ACTGAATGTTTTAATTTAACTCACAGGTTGTTTTGATTTAATCAGAACAGTGTGACATCTTAATAGCTTGATGTTTTATATGACATTTTTGACAAAGATGCAAAAGACGTCTGAACAAACTGGTGAAAAAGGCTGGCTCTGTGGTTGGACTCAAGCTGGACTCAGTGGAGGATGTGGTGGAGAGATCTACACTGAGGAAGGTGGAGACTATTCTAAAGAACATGGATCACCCACTTCACAAAACCTTGATGGACCAAAGGGCCAATGGTGGTGGACGGCTCCTCTCTCTTTGCTGCAGGACAGAAAGATTCAGAAGATCTTTTGTGGTTGGCCTGTTCAAATTGAAGATAACTGGCCAATGAGACTCGGTCGTGTGTTAAATCCAACCCCTGCCCAAGAGGATTAATTCGTATTATACCAACAAATGGGTACTGGTTGTGATGGAGATCCTGGGAGCTCTGTCATTACGGGTTCAGCGCTGTATTACTTTACCTGTGAACATAATAAAAGGTTCATCTGAAACCTGAAAAGACTGAGAAAAAGACTCTTCTGGTTGTCCTTGAGCGGTCAACTAAAGAACAGTTTCTTACACAGCCAAGCAGCTGAGGAGCTTTAAGTTGTGTTCAGTAAATGTTCATAATGGTCATTGAAATGACTGCACTTCTGTACGATGGATATGAGTGACAAATCTAAAGGGCCACCTGGATGTGTAAGTGAAAACACTTAATGGTTTAAGTATCCGATCATGTGGTTCAATCACAAGCATATCCTATCACATTTTAGGAAATGTTCCCTTAACATCCCAACAGCATTTAGGCTATTATTTTTCTTAGACACACAACTTGAAGAGCGAGCTGTTTGGGGAACTTAAAAAGACAGGGTTTTAAAGCAGAAATGGGTCCTTTAGGGTCCCAACTGGAGTGCAACTCTCCGTATCCACTTGTTGTCGAATTATAACAAACAATTTTACAGATTTTAATTCAAAAAGCAAACACCAAACAATAGCCAACTGATGGTGTTAGCTCCCTAAAGACAAAACCTGAATAAAGAGGGAAACCACAACCCCCTAACATTACTTCTCAGCCCGGCTGATTGCCATCACTTGGGGTTGAACATCACAGGTGCCCCCCACGGCTCCTGATCAGCGAGGGAACCTGTGACCCAGATTGTGGATCTCTGCTCATAGCACCGGCTACATCTACAGACATACACTATTCTCTGAGACATTCTCAACAATGTTATCCAATAACCTCTGAGTGCACCATTACTGCCCAGAGATCACAACTGAGAATGAAACAGATGGCACAGTCTACCTTTAGTGTGAGCTCGGCTTGATAAGAATCTGAGATGGGCCCAGTAGTGGCGAGACAGACTGAGGAGTGATTTGATGCAAAGTTGTGTCGAAAAACTGCTTATCAAAACACAGAATGACTTAAAGGGGTTCATCTTCCTTGGAGATAATTAGACCTGAAAGAGATCATGTGGATCAAAATGAAAACAGTCAGAGAGATGAGGAGGTGACAGTGCAGTTTTTACAGTGGTGCTCCTCAACGCCAACTCAGACAGGGAAGGAGTGGGTGTTATAAAACAGCTGATAAACTGAATTCATACCTGCTTGTTTCCTTTTAAAAACAAGAGACTCTTTCATTCTGTATAAATAGATATGAACTGGGCTATTTATGTAAATACAGTATAATCTACGAATTGGATCACAGTACTGATCCTGCTCTGTGATTGTTTTCATTTTTATCCTCTGCGTCATGACTGTCCTCTTCACTTACAATGTAACTGGGTTAAAATAAAAAAAAAAAGATAAGAGGACACTGTTCATGCAGGGGAGGTTTGATGGAGAAGACCCCAGCTGAGCGACTAATCCACATCACAGCGTAATTAACAGTGGCAGCCTTGGAGTAAATTTTTGTTCAAAATTACTCAAAATGTAAGTTTTTAACCCTTTCATTTCTTTTATATCATATTTAAAACATACTTTTATATACTTCTATCAAACCAATATGATCAACGAATTACTATAAAAAACACCTGAATACAGTCTGATGAATGAAAAAAATGTTCTCTTGTAGTTTATTAGTTTCCAAAAACATCTAATGTAACAAACGAGATAAATAAATATATTTGTTCAATTTTAAGGACATTTTCAGTAGAAAGTGAAATAAATATTTCAGCTCCAAAAAATTTGAATTTTCTGTCCATATTTTGTGGTGTCAGACATTAAAGGGTTACCTTAGAAAGGTCGACATGTTTCACGCAGTTTTTTTTTTGTAATAATCAGTCCTTGAGTTTACCTGAATTTGTTGTACAGTTTTGTACAATAACTCATCTTATCTTGTTAAATCATCTTTCAAAATCTTTCATGTGTTTTCTGTGCAAACTTAAAGTGGTAACATTTTTGAATTGGTTACTCAGCATTAAAAATGCAGAGGTCTTTACTTTCACTCACTTCACTCCCTCATGAGCTGTCTTGTTGCAAAACTCTGAGTTTCCCGTTCGGCGCTCTTCCCTTTTTATTTTTGTGTGTTTTCACGTACAATCACACACCAAATCAAAGTATTACCCTATTGTCTCTGTATTAAACACACAGACTTACTCTATGTCGATGAAGAGTCCCTAGTTTGAGGTGTTAAAAGTACCACACTTTGGACATCTTGGCACGCCACTTTTTCATCTTTCCTCTAAAAAGCAAAAGCAGAAGTGTCCAAACAGCATGACTCACACACAGTCACTGCAAATGTGCTCGGAAACAAATATTGACCGAATGATGATCTGATCCTTTAAAAGGAAGGTTACATGCCAGTTATTCATGCGAGGAACCATCCAAATATGACCATCCAAGGGTAGAATAATTTTCAATTGATAAGCCAAAGAGGGAATTTGATCTCTGCCACCCGCTGCTCTGCTGAAGGCGCCATGTGAGCTCCAGAATCACAATTCTGTTTCTTTTCTCTGGCTTCTCAAAAGATTTGCCAGGGTTCGGGGAGAATATCACACTCACTGGGGTGGAATACTGAGAGCCGCATGTTGGACCTGACTTATTATTTCTCACAAGAAGTAGCTGCTAGAACTAGCTGAGCAAGCAGAGGGCACAGTGTGGATACTGGTAATCTGACAAATCCAGTAACTCTGTGAATTTACCACCAACGGGTTTTACACAGAGGGAGAGCCTTTGCACATATTCAACATATTCTGTTGTATTATATCTGTTGCGTCGTGTCATATTCTATCCCGTTGTTGGTGCTGACATACTGTCTGCCCATGCATCAAACTCCCTCAATGAAACACATATTGAACTTACTCATAAAATGTCAAAGATCCGGGGGCACTGGTAGGCTTGGTGGAGCAGACATTGAGGCTGCAGTCCCCGTTGTGCTGGTCTAGGATCAGTTCTCGGTCCTGGCATGATTTGATTTATGTCATTCTACATCTCTCTCCCAACATTTCCCATCCGTCTCAAGCTGTCTTATCCAATAAAGGCAGAAGTCCCAAAACAGTCAAAGACCTTTCAGATTGGTCAGTCTTGATTTGAATAAGACACCACCGGCTATTGAAAGTCCAGTGACTCCTCTGATAGACATCTTTCTATCAAATAACCAGTTAAAGTTCAACATTTTCAGAAAAAGGAACTCTTGATCAAAAATTTGCGAAAATGAAAATAGTTCAGGAATTTTCTACCGAGTCATTTTTGATTATAGTGATAATCTGTTTGTCTGGGAACCTCAGGGAGATAGTTTCAAGCTCTAATCAAGATTGTTGGCATCAACCTTGAAGATCTAGTCAGAGCCATCCTTCAGCCCTCCCTTCATGCAGTGAGGTTTGCTTATGCTAGGAGGGCCAAAACAGATACTTTAGATCAGTGCTGTAAAAATATTTGAGCCTGCATGTTTATAATGATGATATCCATGTAAATATATTAAGACGTCTTGTGTTGAATAAACTTTTCTTTATCGTGTGTCTTGTCTGTGTTGTGATGTGATGCCTATGTGGACTATGTGTCGCCAAAAGAGGGAAAGATAAAGATTTTTTTATTCTAATTCAATCCCATCTAAAATAATCCAAACCAATCCAATAAAATCCGATCAATTAACTACCTACTGAGACAGATTTTTTTATATACATCATAACTTGGTAACACTTTACAATAACCATAACTTATAAATGGCAGATAGACCTTTTATAAATGGTAAGCAGATAGTTTATTAATGTTTAATCATCATTTATAAATAGCATATAGACCATTAATAAACTGTAAATTTTACAGTTTTAAAAACCTAATCCTAACCCTAACTTTACAATAAGCATCTAAGTAATATTTATAGATGGTTTATAAACCACTTTTTAATTATTTACAAAGTGTTACAAGCATCAGTTGCAACCTTTTAATAACCATCTAAGTAATGTTTATAGATGGTTTAAAAACCAAATATTAACCATTTACAAAGTGCTGCTGACACACATTTTCATCAAGACGTTGTACAACCAATATTTAAACCCTAATCATAATTTCATTGCTTGTTAATGGTAAAGTTACTATTAACTTAAATTAGGAAACTATCTATTTTCCATCTTTAATTGGTCTATTTGCTGTTTTTAAATGATGATTAGACATTAATAAACTATCTTTTTAACATTTATAAATTATGGTTGTTGTAAAGTGTTACCAATAACTTTATAAAATACTCCAACTGTAATAATGGAGGAGGCGGGCTCTGAACACTGTACTGCAGCCAGGCACCAGGGGGAGCTCTGTACACATGATCAGCACTTACTGAAGCCATGTTTATTATTCTTCTAACTCTCTTTGTGTTAGTCTTGACCACTAATCGAAGACTAATAAACAGCTTTTTTTGTGCTTCTTATTTCTCAATCGTTCATGACATGTTCTGCAGAGCAATGACGATGCAAAGACGATTATAGTACGAGTTTTACTAACTAATGGCCCATTCACAAAAATACCCCTTCTCGCTGGATATAATGACACAGATGTGTTTGCATTTGTTTCAAATATTCACTTTTTATTCAGAGAGTGAATCTTAATTACTTTAGAACCACATACATTTCCCATTGAGCTTACAAAAAGACAGAAAAAGGTATTAAAACATACAAAATAAATACAAAGAACAGCTCTACAATTTTTTCCACTGCTCTTCATCGAATCTTACTTTCAAAAAATGATACAAAACAGTGTAGGACAGGTAATGCATGAAGAAAGAAGTCAAGGAATGGACGTTTTTTGGGGGAATGAGACCAAAAGCATAATAAATTAGTATTTCTGGGTTGTTGCAGGAGTCATCAGAACTTGCAGCAGAAACCGCAGCCCTTGTTGCCTTTGCAGCAGTTGCAGCACCAGCGGCACAGAGAGAGGTGGCTCTGACGCTTCTGCCTGATGTGACTCGGCATCTGTGTTAAAGACAAAGAGACGTGAACAAGGTGTTCATCTCCGGCGTTCAATCCACTCGTTGTATAGCGAGAGCACCGGGGTACTCCGCAGGGAAAACTCATCTACTTAAATTTTAATTTGCTGAAGTTAATTGGCTTAATTCATTCAGTCAATTGAACATACCATCCACGATTCCATTGACATTTCTTGATGTGCCGCAACTGGAGTGTCATTGCTCCCTGCCTCCTCCAGCTCTCGCACCTGTTAATGAATTATGCACATTTAGGAGACACATCTAAGCATCCTGACAAAACATTTATGGCTAATAAGCAAATGAAGTGAGTTTAAGTCAAATCCTTACCTCGCTAAATGGGAGGGCGGAGCTCTCCAGGATGCAAATAAAGGCGAGCACGAGTGTCACTGCAACTGCAATGCTGAATGCCTTCATTTTGAGTGGTTTAGTTATTAAATCCTTTGAAGATTAGAGCTGATAGGTCTTCTTTCTCATGGGTGTCAGGCCACGCAGGAGCACCACTATGTCTTCAGTTAATTCTTCAGCTCCAGTGATGGATGGCGACTGTCTGGACAAGTGGATTTCTTCAGATCTGCTGGTGACCCGTGTCAGCCCTTTAGAGTCCCTCTGCTGTCTGATAGTCAAGTATGCAGAGCGGTCTGGTATTTATACACCCCCGGGCTCAGTGTTGCCTCATCACTGGGAGGCCCGGCCCATTCCTGGCAGCAGTTACCTAACTCCTGTGGGGAAGTTTTGACCTCCTCATTATTGCTCTTCATAGTGCTGCAACACTCGGGGAAATTCTCTGATCTATTTTTGATTGTGGGCCTCACTGTCTGTTCGGCAATTTCAAATCATCTCTGAACTTTTAAATTAAATTACTTTCCAAAGACAGAACACGTAATTCCACACATGAACAAGCTGCCGCCGCTGCTGGAGACCATCATTTAAACAATATATGAGAGTGATCTGTATTCTGTATTGATGCGGCGCCTGATACTCGAGGAGATTTATCTGAAAAATGTGACTTTCCCTAGAATGAACTGGAGATTCCCACAGCAAAGGCCAAGACTGCACGGGTCAGTCTGTTTTATGGCTGACTGAGCTGCACTTGTTTCGACCCGGGAAATCCTTCAGTGAAGAGAGCGAGCCTCTTTGGAATATCCATTGCTCAGTCTAAAGGATGTAATTACAACCTCTCAAATGGAATAATTAGCCCCTCATTTTCAGCACGTTCACTTTTTGCATAATACACAGGAACCTGCAGTTGAACCAAATTAAATCCCTTTGAGAGCAGTGAAATAGTGGCCAGGATTAAAACCTTCCATTTGAGAGTCAAGGTGTTTTAATCTGCGCTGGTTAAAGATGACTATAATGTAATCTGATGAGATAAATCATGTCCGCTGCATTGTTCTGAGTGTTTTATCTGCAACAATACAAATCTGTTCATGTGCGTGACATATTCATCATCTTTTTTGTTGTTCTGTGGTTGATTAATTCCTCTAAGGAGGTTGGGGTTTGATGCTCTTTGTTTGTCTTTTTTGTCACTTTATCCGGCAGCAGGATTATATAAAAACTGCCTTTTGTCATTTTAATGAGATTTGGTGGAAGTCTGCAGGTTGGATGGAGGTAAAAATGTAAATGTAAAAATGGCCTTCTTATGAACAATCTCTTTTTCTAACACATGTTAATCCAGTCTAAGCATCACACAAGGTGAGAGCTAGTTCAGGCAAGCAGCTCAATCTGCACTGACTACTTTGAAGCGAATACACAGATTTACAGATTTGTGGTTGCAAAAGTAACTTCAAGGTTAACTCCAAGCTCAAAAGTAACTCATATGCTGAACATCTGATCTTCTTTGGATTAGGTTGTGTTCAGGAAAAGAGATCAGTCCAGAGAAAATGACATGACATGTATGATATTAGCCGTGGTGAATATAATGAAAGGTTGTGACTGCACACTGACATTATACTGCCAAAATCTGTTTCAGAGAATAAGAGTTGTTATAGTCAGATCTATTGTGAAATAATTATGGGAAAGAGATGAAAAAAGTCTAAATTTGCACCTTGACTCTCGTTTTCTTATCAGCCGGTTCTTTAATTCTGTACACACACCTGTGTTGAATTTATTCCAAGTAATCTGTTTAACCCTGTATTTTTCTGATACCAAAGGCTGCTCTAAGTCTCTGTTGATCTGTTCACTGTAGGCTTGTAACTCTGAGTTTTCTTACCATGTTGATAACCTCTGTTGTAGGACCACTTCACTCTTCTGTCAGGATTAGTAAAGCCAGATAAGATACCTGGGGTATGTTGAAATCTAGTCAAATTTAAACCCCAACCACCTCCCCACTACTCACCGGCAGGTTTTGACAAAAGCTTTTAGGACACAATCTTATTATCACTCTATTCCTGCATGTAAAAATAAAGTCTTTACAGCTTAAAGCTCCAGTGAGGAACTTTTGGTCTGTGTCAATTTTGACACCCTTAATGGAAAAAGCCGTCTCGTCCTCTGTACTTAACCCTCCTCCTGTGTTAGGGTCTGTACCGACCCGTTTTTGAATTTAAATGCTTAAAAGAACCATTTAAATAAGTTTTTTTTGCATCAAACCTTTTTGACTTTGTCAGGAACCTCTATTTCAACAAAATAAAAACAAAAAATTCAATTGACTAGATTATAAAATGTTCTTATTAATAATTATGGCACTTGTCTTGTTAGGGTCACTGTTGACCCAGTTAGATTAATATCAAATAATTAGAGCAAAAACTGAAATAATGTGCACAGTCAGGCACCACACTGACAGTCAGATCCTCTTCTGATCATGTGAGATTGAGGAAATTCTCATTTTTCTGCGTATTTCTCTGCACAAAAAAAAACGTCAGGCATGTCCAGACATGTGAGATCAGTTCAGTATAGATGTCTGTGTGAAGGGTATACTGACAAAGAAAGGCCCAGAGGACCACTGCAAAAACTATTATAAGCAATATTTTCATGGATAAGGAAGCCTACCAAGGTAACTGAGAGATGAGAACCAAATTGGATGATAGAGAATTGTTTTTAGTGTAATTTACAGCTGATTCAAGACACAGGTCAAAACCGACCCTTAACATGGTGGGTGCGTAGTAAAAGCTAACACAGGAGGAAGGTTAAAGTCATTTTTGACCAAAAATTTCATCCTGCTAACTGTTGAAAGCCAAATATATCTTTTGTTGTAAATATGTAAAGTGGGAAATAATAAACAGAACTGCTTTTTTGAGCTGCTTGGCCGACACCTACCCCCTCACATTGGTTTCAGGCATTAAAAGTTTGGAGTATAAAAATCCTCAAACTTGTTGTCAGTTGTTTGCTTTTGTATATCATAGAAAGGCATCAATATGAATTTTAGCCCATTTCATTGACATCAAAAAATTCCTTACAGGAGCTTTAAAGCTCATACGAGCTCCTTGTTGCTTGATATACAGTAATGACCAGGAAGGGTTTGCAAGTTTTTAAAAATGTATATTGAAGTTTTTTATCTTGTTATGGCATGTGGATTTATTTTACCAACAGCAGCACCAAGACCTTCAGCGGCATTAATCATTTAACTGAGTTATTTTTCATTGCTGTAACTGTTGCTGCTAAAGGTTTCAGGTGAAGAGCAACATTAATCTGCAAGTAAAGCCGATGTTTATGCTTTCCTCGGCAGAGATTCAGGGTTAGTGATTTGAACAGCAGGATACTCATTACCACAAAACAGGACAGGATCGGTAAAGGTGTTTTTAAACCGCACTGCTTTGCCAAAGTCAACATAAACCAAAAATTCCCAAAAGGATGTTTGATTACTCTAAATATTCCCACAGTAGAGGTTCATGAAGATTGCACAACTGCTGTGATGACACTTCAGTTTGGCAGACACGTGTTTGGCACAACAATCCAAGAGATGTGTTTGGACATACATGACGGTTCAGTGTGGACAATGTATATCCTCGAGGAATGGACTTTAGGCTTCGGTGGAGGTCTGCGAACCCTGCATGCTTTTCTACTCTATGTTTGGTGTTATGTAAGAGTGATATAGGGAAACAGAAACAATGGAGAGCTGTTTTTGTAGAATTAAACGTCATTACAGACTCAGACAAAAGCAGGCTAACAGAGAGTGCATGCATATAAGTAACCCATATGAACGACTCCATATAACATCAAAACTCTGAATTTAAAAGAATCATTTCCCTGTTATCAGTAAGGCAGCGATAAACAGCCTCAGATTAATTAACCTGCCAGCATCAGAAACTGTTCCAGAGCAACATCGAGCTGTGAATAAATACAAAAATCAATACAGGTGGAAATGAAATAACAAAAAAGGCAAAAAAAAAGGTACAAACTGATAACCAGTGGACCGAGCCCGCTGATAAAATCAGAGGCCATTTGAATTCTCATTATACCTTCAAAGCGTCTGTAAATTGTTCGTGCTGACTCAATTAGAGGAACAACATGCAGCGGGACCCCTGCGTCAGTCTGTCTCGCTCTCTGATAACCTCACCAGCCTGTGTGCTTACTTTGGGTGACCACATAGTCAGTGTCAACAAATACAGCCATGAATGGCTCCACATTTGTTGGAATGTACCCATACTGTCCTGATATGAAAGCGCCACATCACATTGTTTTTACGTTTGGTGCATGTGCTTGTGTGCTAAAGTGTGACTGAGGGGACTAAAAGGGGCTCTGGTCCACTGCTTGAGCAGGCACATGGAGTCCTCTAATGATGAGCATATTTTGTTTTCATGTTCCACTCAGTATGACTCAGCTCATGAGAAATCAGAGAACGACTCGGGTTGATTGTGCCAAGAGAAAAATATTACTGCCAGGTTCCCAGCGAGTTGAAGAAAAAGTCGAAACGAATCAATTCCTGGTGAAAAAAAACGCAGAGACCCTGCGTAAATAGGTTGATTTGAACGGGTAGCAAACCATTTGAAGCCTCCACATGCAAACATAAAGCTGATATTGTTTTATAAAAAATGCATGTTCCTTTAAATTTGATGCCAGTTGAGACTTTTCATTTCATGCTGTGCCAAATGTTTCAGTAGGTGAGGTACGCCAGTGTAGCACATGTGCTCTTCTACTACAGAGCCACTCTGTTGTAAGACATGTGGAACAAGGTTTGGCATTGTCTTACTGAGATGTTTAAGCTCTGCCTTAAGAAGGTTTTTCCAGTGACAGTGTTGCTTCAGTATCCATTTATGCTGTTTAGCATCAATCAGTGCGTTTACATGCACAGCTTAATCAGACTGCGCTCATAATTCATTTTGTTCCCTGAATCAGGCTGCTCTCCTTGTTTGCATTTACATGCAGCTGAGAAAATCGAACTATTGACGAGAACGTGTCCTCCTCCCCAAAACTAGGGGGCGATATGGGTCTTTTCAGCGCTACTTTTGCCCCGCTACTTTTTCTACTTTAATCGGAGTTCTCAAACTGGGACTATAGTTGCACTTCAGTTGTCTGGTCTTAATGAGAGAAAGACAATAATTTGGTTTTCTTGAGTCATGTAAACGTACTGACCGTTGCCTTCCCAGATGTCTAAGTTACCACAGGCCCTCAGAGATCCTCATACCATCCCAAAAACTGGCTGTTGAACTATGAGCTGATCCTTACCTCTTATAAAAGGTGGACACAGTATCCTTGATTTCCTTGATGAATGTTTAATTTGAAGACAGCACAGTCTTGTCACTTCACCTCTGTCCATCATAAGAAGTCAGAGAAGTCTCCAATGTTTCTGGATCAAGTTTACAAGTTTTCCTCTTTATGGCGGCTTAAAGCGTATTTGAGCACATGCCGTGTTTTCCACTTCAGAGTCAAGCCCGTTTCCAACACTATGCTCCCAGAGGGCCTGAGGATCACAAAAATCCAGCATTGATTGTCACGTACCGGAGTTAAACAAAAAGAAGACCAAAATGCAGAACAAAAATGATTCATTCAAAATGAACTAATTAAAAAGCAACAAAAACTGACTTTAAATGTACAACAGAAAACTTCCCAATGGCAAAACAAAGAGGCAAAATCCAAATCAACCAAAAATCCAAAATCCAACTAAAGATACTGGCATACAGACACGCAGACATACAACAATGAACCAATAAGGAAACAGGGGAGACAGGGACTATATATACGCACACTGGGAAACGAGCAACGAGAGGCACTGAGACACAGGTGCAGACAATTACTGAGGAGGGAAAACTGAGGAAGTAAAACAAGACTAGAAACACAGGGAATAAACTACTACAAAATAAAACAGGAAACACCGAAAACTGATCTAAGAAATAAAACACATTAGGGTCAGACACAAACTGAAAACTCACAAGACAGGACTACAGGGGAACAGGAACAATGGGGTACAGAAACACCAGGGAAAGACCAAACCAAGGGAAAATTAAAAACCAGAACAGATCACGACATTAATATTCAACATTGCCTCCCTTTTAAAGAGATTTCTAGAGATTCTCAGTCTTAACAGCACAAAAAGTGGCTGTACAAGTTTGCTCAAGACAAACCAGAAGTCAAAGTGTCCATCAGAGTGAAGAGTGTGAGCAAATGTTTGAAATAAAATGTTTAATTTTTTAGTTTAATATTGGAAATAGTGTATTTACAGTGTTTCCTTATAAAAATAGGTTTTATCAAAGATTTTATCTATAAACATTTAACACAGTGTCATTTTAAAGCGTATTCAAACAGATATGAAAGTAAAAGTGTGTGTATCCGGGTTTTCCAAGTTTTCTCCCCTGTGCCTCCTGACAGCCTCTGTGGCTATCAGCAGGAATCTTCTAGCCAAACAAAGCCAGGCACCAGCCCGGCGGACAGACTCACCTCTGCAGGCGCCACTCTACCTTTTCCCCCCCGTTTGTGCATCGTAGGGCATTGCTCCTATCCATCCCTGTTGCGTCATATCACCATCCCTCCTCCCCTCATTCTCCTCTTGACCCCTGCCTGCCCCTTATATGGAGCTGCAAGACAACCCTCTTATATCCAGCTCATCATCAGACAGCATGTCAGTGTCAAATCCCCCCCAAACCGAGCACACCTCACCCCCCAAAATCACAGCCAGACTGACGCCTCCAATGTTTACATCTCACCTGAAACTGGGGCAGGGAAGAACCGGTGTTAGGTAATCATGAAGACATCAACTCGTAAATAAATACAAGGTTTAATAGACATGACATCATGTGATCATGCTCTGCTCCTGTCTCTGAGAAGTTAAAAAAAAAAGTGTAGTGACAGTTTTCAGCTGCAGGGGGCAGTGTGGAGTTGGGATGGGTTTTTGCTCTTTGAGGATGGCGGAATTTCCCAGTTTGTGCAGACCACAGGCATGTGATAATGTTAAACTAGAAATTCTGAGTATTACTGAACAGTATCATTCATGGATAAACCACAAGTGCATGAAGAAGATTAAGACATCATTACAAGGAAGTTTGCTTAAAACTGATGTACAAAAAATGACTCCAATCGAACGTTATTTCTCTCAGTGTTTAAACATGAATCTAAGGCGTTAGGGTGTATTATTCTCCCCTTGTTTATCCAACAACTATGACTACTACTCATTGTATCCTCAGATATAAACAGAGAAATCAAACATGTCAAAAGGTAAAGATCCTCCTTTTATAGTTTTGGTAGCAAGTCTTAAACACAGCCCAACTTATTAACAGTAAACTTTTTAGAACCGCCAGTAAACAAAGTATAAAAACACTCGAGGCGGCATAAAGCATAAATCAGCGTTCTGACAGCTTGCTGTTTTATGGTAGAGTGGAGAGACGTCTGTTTTGTTCATCTTCTTGATGTTTGATCCGACGCTGAAATATGAGTCGAGTGCACAATTTGCTATATAATAATGCAGTGGATGTATCATGTCAGAATAAAAGCACACCTGGAGTTGTGCTCTTATAGCTGAGAGGATTTGCTCCTTAGTGTTTTCATGAATTATTGAAACTTTGCTTTTCCTGTACAGTATTTTTTTTTTTCCTCATTTGAACTTGCAGTATAATTCTGCTGGAAGAGTTATGAGACCACGGTGCATGATGTTTCATTTGCACCTTTTTCAGCATTTCTAATCTGGTTGAAGTACAAGGCCTAACTGGAATCAGGATTACTTGTTTCTTAAATTGCACGTCATGGTTGGAAAATCTTTAAAACTCCTGCGAGGAGGTTCCTGACATTTATGAAACAGACTGCAATTCATATCAATGCCTTTATATGACATACAAAAGCAATCAAGACCATCAGCTCCTACATTGTGGAATGACTTACCTCTCCACATTAGACAAGCTCCCTCACTGTCCATTTTTAAAACCTGTCTAAAAACCCAATTTTACCTCTTGGCTTTTGACCCAGCATGAGACGGCATTTGTTTTATTGCTTTTTATTATAATTTAAAACAACTATTTATTGTTGTTTTATGTTTTAATGTTATTATGAAAAGCACTTTGTGTCAGCTTTGGTTGTATTTAAGGTGCTTTATAAATAAAGTTGAGTTGAGCTACAAGGTTGATGATTTTATATTGTAATTTTTCATGCCTGGTTTGAAGGGGTAGGTGTCAGCCGAGCTGCTGAATAAACAGCCTCTTTCTTTTGCATGTCACATGTGATATACTCTTAAAAATGATGCATCTTACTGTCAAAAGTCAGCAGGATGAGAGTTTTTGGTCAGGGGACAGTAATTCAGGATGTGCAGGACAATACAAGCAAAAACTGCTTTGTCCACCAGGGGGCAGCAAAATGAACCCAAACCAAAAGTTCCTCAACAGAGCTTTAAAAAATCCACAAAAGTGATGATAAATGGTGATTATACTTTATAAAGATAGTGACATATAAAATTTATCCAACAACTATGACTACTACTCAAACAGTATGTACTGCATGTTAAATTTTTTGTAGGATGGTAGGTGAAGGTCCCGCCCTCCTTTGCCTCTGATTAGCTAGAAGTGCTGGGCTCTGATTGGTTAGTTCTTATGGCTGTGAAACGTCATCTTCTGTCTGGTTAGGATTAGGGTTAGGAGATTCAGAAGTGCGATAATGTTCTGAAATGTTCTGTTCGATGTACAGAGCCGACAGCCCACGTTTGGCTTGAGCGTGTGACAATGTTTCCAAAAAAAAAATTTGCGGACTGCATACTAGCTAGCTTTGTCGTATTAAGCCGTTAATAACATACACCCCCCCCAGTCAATATCGTTACCAAGCAATCGTGACTTAAACCACAATGTAGTTATTCGAATATACTTATATTTTGTGATTTACAGGTGCTGAAACAAAAAGCGTTACAGCCGTCCCTGGTCTCCCCTATTATCTGTAATATTTTCAGGCACTTTTTAGTGATAATAAATGGTGAATATACTTTTTGTAATAGGGGTGACCAGGAACGGATGTAACACCTCAAATTTTTTTACTAATCAGGTACAGAGTAGTCCACTTAACCCACTTATTTCATAATTGAACAGAGTGAAGAGAAAAAAATGATAAAAACAGCGGCATATCTGAATTTATTCAACATCTACGACTGCGACTCAAACAGTATGTACTGCACACTACCTAGCTTTGTAGTATTAAGCCATAAATAACATACTAATGCCCATTCTATCTGGGTCATGTGACTTCACTCATGTGTAACTGGTCAAAGATTTAATTCAATATCATTATCAAACAATTGTGACTTCAAGCGCTATGTAGTTATTTGAATGTGTTTATATTCAGTGATTTACAGGTGCTGAAGCAAAAAGTGTTACGCCGTCCCTTGTCTCCCCTATTATCTGTAATATTTTCAGGTGCTTTTAATCATTTCCAGGTTTGTTTTTCTTGTTTTTAAGGTCATTTTACACCCTAAATTAGAGACATCTGATCTTAAACTCCAGAGTTTTTCCTATTTGACTTCAGCTGTTGTGCACTAGGTTTTAAGTGCCTGGAAAGTTGTTAAATCAGTGGCGTATTGGCACGGCCATGTTTCAACCACTGTTAAGTGTTTATCAGGTTGTTGTATTGTGCAGAGACCATTTTATGAACCAAACAGGCCATCCTGGGAGAATTAAAGAAGTAGGAGATCATATAAACGAGGAGAACATAACTTCTAGTAAAAACGGGTCTTTTGGCGTTCCTGATAATCAAAAAAGTCCATTTTGGAAGCTGCTGGACCGAGTGATAAACATTACACAAGCATTAGGAGCAACTCTCACTACTGTTTCTGTGCATTTGTATTCACAACGCAAACTGTGAGGAGCATAAAGTTTTAGTTCCAGCTACAATAAAAGAAGAGCTTTAAGGTGGAGTCAAACTTGTCTTTCAATATGCCGTATGCAAACAGAATTTCTCTGCCAGCTTGATCAAAATATCATCAAATCCAAATCCAAAGACAGGCTGCTGAGGAACAGCAAGAAAAAAAATCTCTGAGCTCATTCCAATCCCCCAATCCCCCATCTCTTGACAGCAGCAGAATACATCCCTTTGTGCTGATACTACCATTATGAGTGAGACAGGAGCTGTGTAGTTATTAATGTAGGCCCAAGGAAGACGAGAGTCAGAGCGGTATACAAGGCATGAGGAGCATTGTACGTCAGATGGAATGAGACTCTTTCTGTCAGCCATTTTTCCACAAATAACAACCTGGGAGAGAGATGCGGAGGGAGAGGAGGGGGATGTGAAACAGGCAGAGGCAGCGGACAATACTCACTCCTGACAGCTCCAGCAGCACAAAGGTAAGACCAGCCTGCAGGACATCAAAGTGTGGCTTTCCAGCAGCATGTGTTGGCCAGCAGGAGTTCAGGGGGAAAATCAGTCGGCCGTGTTCTTTGGTAGACGGGCCTAAACACAAATTAAAAGAGGGTTTTTCCACTCTTATCTAAAAAGTGTTACAGCGGGGGGCTTTGTTCTGCCCTCCAGGCAAACGAGGAAACTGACATTTTTTGCTCAGAAATGACCAAGAATCAAGCACTTTTTAAAATCCATTTGGGATTAAATTTCCTGCATCAACCTTTTACTCGAAGCAGGACAGACTTCCCTTTTCTATTTAATCATTCATCATTTCACTTTAAGGGAATTTTCTGCATTTCTCTGAACAGGGAAATAAAAATAAAATTCTCATACATGTTGCAGTTCTTAGAAGTGGGGAGCCACATGGTTCTTGTTCAAGACCGCAAGCTTTTCTCCATAATACTGAGACAGTTTGGGGTGAAAAAGACACAGACAGACAGAGAGACAGACAGAAACAGACAGACAGAGTACATACAGTATGTTCCAATCATAGGATCAGAGATCAGGCATGTCAAACAGAGACAGGGACACACAGACGCCTGTCTGCCTGGCTACCTGTGTGTGTCTGTGTGTGTGTTTGTGTCAGGTGTGTGTGTTCTTGAATGGCAGCTGACAAGCTTGCAGAGAGGAGAGGGCGGCAAGACAAAACCGAAGCACATAATGTCATCCGAGCGAATACCACTAGAATACAAGTCTCCATGCTATAAATAGTGTTCATTCAGACATGTTCAGTATTCCAGTGTGCATTTTCAAGATTATCCAAATCACAGCTGCTCCCTCCTTAAGAACCGCACCACCATGCTTAAACGCCTCCACCGGCAGAGTCAAACTCAATCACACCGAGGGCTTAGATACGCCTTTTATCATCATTGATCTCCCTCACCCAAGGTGCCCTCTGTGTGTTCCAGCTACTTACTGGTTTCAATTTAACCAGTGTGTTGATCAATCGATCGTCTGAATCTAAGAGTCCTCCAAGGTCATTTAATCCTCTGAGTTGGTTGTTTCCAGAACAGAGGACGTCTTAAAAAAAGTAAAGACTGCATCAACATCTGGAAATGCATTAACTCCCTGAGACCTGAGCTTTTGTTTGCTGTGTATTTTTATTAGAATAATTATAATAATCATTATTTAAAGCACCTTTTAAGAGCAGGTGTAACAAAGTGCTTCACAATAAAAAAATCAAATGGATAACACCACAAGATGTAAAGTAAGTAAAGGGAGATTTCGAGACATTATCAGGTTTAAAAGACATGAAAAGAGATGCCTTATACATACATACATAGAACAGCAGAGGACCTAGGACAGAACCCTGAGGGACCCCATAAGACAGAGCCCTGACAGATAAGACATCTCAACAATATGTCAACAAAAGGGTCATCATTGTGCAACATGATATAGAACTTGATCTCTTTAACAGAGGGTAATCACCATGTTGGAGGTAGGTATTTTTATCCATATTCTTATGAGTAAATATGTTAAAGCTCCTATAAGGAACTTTCTGTCTGTGTTGATTTTGAGGCCCCCTAGTGGACAAAGTGGTAGCCCTTATTTCATCACAGATTTAAAAGCCGTGTTAATTCATTTTTGAAAATCTCCTGTTGTATTTTACGGTAAAATTGATCACTAAGTGTTTATATTCGCTGTGGGAAAAGTAACAAAGGTTGTTTCTCCAGCCGACCTTCCCCGTCACAGCTGTCACAGACATTAAAAACCATAAAATAGAAGCTGTCAATGTAACTGTTAATCTTCTCACTTGCTTTTGTACTTCATAAAGATGCATCATGGTTCATTTCGGTCTGTTATATAAACTATCAACATCTTCTCACAGGAGCTTTAAGTTACTCTTGGTCCAGACAACCAAAAACACTTTAATTTTTCTCCATCAGTCACAGACAGGAGCGATGGAGCTGCATGAACAGATCTTTTTGGTCTTTTTACAATCATCCTTAATGTTTGCACTCCTTACTGATCAGAGCAGTTGAAGACTCTAAATCAAACAGTACATGAGCATTCTGTCCTTAAGGAAGAGCAGTGTGTCTCCTAAACCATCGCACGTCCACGACTCTCAGTACAAGTCCTTACCATCTGGCAGATAATAAAGAGCCTCAAGCACAAACTGAACCACTTTAAAAGCTTCTTTTGTGCCCATTTCGATCAAAATTGTAAATGTTTTCCAAGAATGTTCAGCTTGTTCTTGTTTTTTAAGTTCCTCTCTCTTTTATTTTGTCTTGAGGAAATCGAGCGCACTCTGGGCTACGTGCAGTAAATTTTACTTTTGGTTTCCCTCAGTAATTTTTTTCAAGTTTATATTTGTTGTTTGCCTTTAATAATGTTTTGGTGCTTTAAATATTAAAACAACTGTGGGGGCGAGTGAATATGCGCAGCACTAGAGTCCTAACAGAATTACCCACTATCTGTTGTCATGCCATGCCTATGTTCTATCGCACTGTATCATAATACATTGGTTTATACGAGGTGGCAACCTTGGTATAGATATGTAACGGGCTGAACTGAGGCCTATGTGAAAGTAGGGAAACAAACTGCAGTTCCTCAAGTGTCCACTTGGGGCTGGGTGCAAAAATCAAGGAACTCCCATTAAGACCTATATTAAATGTCCATTATTACTGCAATATGTCACATATTTACAGTCTGGTTCTTTTTTTTTTCTTATCCATTTTTAAGATATTAGGGCTGACAGTTATGTGTTCGATTTATTTCATTTTGGTGCTTCATCTTAAACTTTTTTTAAAATTTCATTTTAACAATTATTATTTCAAAGTTATTTCAAATGCTCTGACATACTTTCTTCTCTTGATTTAATTTGGTGTATTTCATTGCTACAGGTGTTCATTATTCCCTACTTCTACATTCAGTTCAGATTTCCTTTTTCCAGCAGGACCTAGCACCTGCCTACAGCGCCAAAACTAACAGTAACTGGTTCGCTGACCATAGTATTACTGTGCTTGATTGGTCAGCCAACCCGCCTGAACTGAACCCCAATAAAGGATCTCAGGAGTATCATCAAAAGAAAGATGAGAGGCATCAGAGAGACGATACAGACGAGCTGAAGGAGCTTTCAACGCAACCCAAGCAGTGCCACGGACTGACTGATTGTGTGCCATGTTGAACCGATGCAGTAACGTGTACATAATTTTTTCTTTTTTGGATTAGTGTTTTGTATTATTCTTATGTATTGAGATAGTATTTTTATTTTAGTGAGCCGTAATCATCAAGATTCAAACTAAGAAAGTCTGTAAACTTCTGAAACGTTCACTTTTTTAATGAAATTATGTGAGTTAAGTTCTAATTTTGTGAGCTACACTCATATATTTCATTTGTGTGCACTAGTTGGGACAAACCATTGTTCAAATATCAAATCTCAGATGATACCAGAGTGGCTGCTTTAAACCCTCTCTATATGGCAGAAATACTGTATATTTAATATAGCTTCTTCCTTCACAGCAATGTCTACGTTTAAATATTCAAATGCACTTCCCTCAGGATGATATGTTGAAATCACCCGCCTGTATCCTACAGTGCACTCATGTTAGAGCCCTCACACCTACACAGGTATATCACCAAAGTGGCTGAAGGGATTTAAACCATTCAAGCTGCATTATTTTCCATATGTCTCCCTTCATTTTCAACTGAAAGTAGATTTCAACTTTTTTTTTTTTTTCTAACAACGGGGCGAACAAGAACTCCCCGTGATGACTGATGAAAATGTCCAACGAAAAGAAAACCACAGCTAAGGAGTTATGAGCCAAAATATAAAAGAGAGAAACACAAGCCAGCTCTCCAACAAATCTATCATCACTTCGAAGACACCCTGCTGACTAACAGATGGTCAAGCTCAAGGATCAGAAACCAACCTGACGGAAATAGTAAAGTATGGATTTTTGAGCGTGTCTAAACTCTGAAGAAACACACCGAGTCACAACCAAAGTCTTTAAGGTTATTAGCAAGTGAAAGTTTTATTTCCCACCTTTTTGTTTAGAAAAGATGTTTTTTTTTTTAATCTAACCTGAGAACAGTGCGGCTGCTACAGAGAGAGAAGGAGTCTGTTTTTTCCTTCCTTTTGCCATTTCAAAAAAAAAACAAAAACCCTTGAAAACAAAATTAGCCAAGAGTGACCTTTCATTTGTGACCATCCATCTTTGGGGGCGTTATTCATGCCTTCACATTCACACTTCTCCTCTCGGTGAGGTGTGGAGAACTTCGACTGCAAAACATCCATCATTCAACTTTGGCCGGGAGCCTCGTTTGATGGATCAGACACTTGCACTTTTCGGATCAGGTTTGAATCGCGCAGTAGTGGCAGAAAAGCACTTCCAAAGCACAAGCTGTTCACTTGCACTGTCTGAGATATTAAAATGAGATCGTCTGCCTGATTTCGCCAGGGGTCTGAGAGTTGGTTTTGCTTTGCTGTTGACACAGAGAGAAGCGATCGTGCTCCATTTAGAGGCTCTGAATCTTGATATCTCTCTCTCGCTTTCATTCCAATCGCCCGAAGCGGGACCAAAACACATCATGTTTATTCATTCACAAAATCATCAACAATATTAATATTGACTTTTGCTGTTTGTATAACCAATTACAGTTTACTTATTGTTCGCCTGAGTGGGTGGAGGAATATGTGAGGTTCCTGCTTTCAAACTTCTCTGCCTCTTTCCCGGAGAGCAAAATGTGCTCGACTAAGAAGTGCGACACAGAATTTGTGTGTGCTCCTTTTTCCGTAGTGAGCAGAGAGTCTTTGAGTACCACTCTCCTGAGTGCCTCCTCCCCCCTTGTGCGTTGAGCTCCATTTGAAGTGTTGCAATACCAAAATAGAGCAAACAGCTTGAAATGGAACATGTGGGGATTATTCGTTCACGTACTGGGACACCGGAAAATCACACATGAACAAAAGATAGGGGGAAAAAAAAAAAACACAACACCTGGGTAAAGTTTGGCAAAAGTCAGAATTTGCTGTGCTCTCCTCCCTCGAGCATGCTCAGTTTATCAATCATCTCCATATCCCACACTAATGCATTTCAAACTAATTAAACTCAGATTAAACTGCTGAATCTTCCAAAGTGATTTGTTGACCTTCAAGCAATTCTCTGGTTTAGCAAATGCCCAACAATTCAAGTATACCACTCTTTTTTTTTTTTTTAAGTCGAGCTCCAAGATTGCACACATCATTATTATAACAAAGGGCCAGCATGAAGTTAATGAGTTATTGATTGTTTGCTCCCAGAGATAATCTGCTCTAATACTCTGTAACATCTGTATTAAAACATGAGACGTCATATTTACATAAATCAGCCCAGAGGCAGGAGCCGCCACAGCCCCTTGTTTGTCTTTGGGTCTAGGTAAGCTATGTGTGTCACATTATTTCTGTCTGCAGAATCGGTATGTTTTGCATACTTTTGATGATCTCTCGCTTAAAATTCTTATCTGCCTCTCTGGGGTGCACGAGCTTCATCGTAACTGGTCTCCATCAAAGATTCTGTCAGCAAGCGGACTAATAAATTAAAGTAGCTAAAAACAACATATTAATACAGAAACACAAAAACACAAACTGAATAAAAGCATAGACTAAGTTAGAATTAATAACTCTGAGGGGGAAAAATACAGACGAAGGACATAATTAAATGACGCACATCAAAGTCCATGAGTGAGGCTACATAAATACAAAAACAAAGTTCAGCAGAGGTTCTTCCGAGCTTGTGCTGATGAGGCAGCGCTCTGATGGAGGTGAGTTGGCATCTTTTCTTGAAGCACATTTCTACTGAAGGTGGTTATCTCGACAGGATTGGAACAGTCAAACACAGCCACTACAGGCCGATTAAGGGGTCGCGACCTGGGAACTCAGGGAGGATGCATTCTCGAGAAAGAAAGCGAGTCTTTATTTCTCCGTCATTCGTATGTTCGAGCGGCTTAGCCCCTCTCTGTTCTCCTTTTTTGTGTGTGTGTGTGCGTGTCTCTGCTTCACTGCGGCGGCGTCTCTCCAACCGTCTCGATCCCGTGCTGCTGGAGTTGCGCTCTCAGCAAAGCGTTCTCGTTCTTCAGCTCCTCAATCTGAGCAGAACAAAAGAGCAAAAAGAAGAAAAGAAAAGGCTCATTATCAACATCTTCATCCTGATGACAGCTTAATATACCTCAGAGTTTACAGACCAAACTTTTCCGTTTGAAGACTCGTTTGAGTGCTGCCTCTGCGTGGAGAGTACACACAGCTATTCAATCCCTGGGATTAAAGAGTAGTATGTGCAGCCCTTTTTCAAAGTCAGCCCTGTCCACATCCAAGTGGATTATCAAATCTTGAGGTGTGTCATCTCCGCTACATTTCCCTCGGGCGCACTCCCAATTCCCTTCCTCCCCGCTGAGGCACTGGGGAGGACAGGATATTGAGCTTTGAGCGTCAGAATAGGAATATATTGCTGGTTGCCTTGCAGGCCTGGGATTCAATGGGGAGATGTGGCAGCCTCAGAGCAGCACCGTTTCACAATACTTTGAGTGCATTAGCATGCAGTTAGCTCTCCCTTAACCCTTGTGTATATTATTCCCACAGTCTCTCAAAGAGCTGCGTTCAGGTAACACTTCCTATTATGTGAGAGCAAACTCTTTGATCCTCTTTGTCAGGCTGTGATGATCAACTATAGAGGCTGATGTGTCGGGGGGTTTGTTTTGGAGAAAGCGGATGCATGTGGGGCTGAGTGAACTTCATGCTTCTGAGGTTTTAGTGAAAGGATGCTGCCGAGAACTCCAAAGAAAGCTTTTCGACGCGGCGCCAATCTTCAGAGACACGTATGCACCAAACTACGGCTGCCTGACTTAACACCTCAAAAGGGCCATTTTCTCGACATTATCATTCACAGGCCTTCTTCTCCCATTCTTCCGCTCCTTGACGCAGATATTCGAAAAGCACAAAGTGACATTCACACCTGCTGCCTGCACAGCTCATTGTCCATTTGTATCCTCTCCACTTCCTTGAGACTCTCCTGCAGCCGCTGGTTGCTCTGCCTCAGCTCCCGGATATAGTCGCAGGCTTTCGACAGGATGCCTCCTTTGCTCTAAGATGGAAATAGATGACATCATGGCGTTTAAAGGCGAGGTCTTTTCTTTAGCGGACACATTAGGAAAAGAGATAAGGCGAGACCCCTTACTGCTCCTGTCTTTGTGCTGTCCATATTGCAGTCGGGGATGATCTTGGAAAGCGTGACGATCCAGTTGTTGATCTTGTCTCTTCGCCTCCTCTCAACTGATGGAATAGAAGAAAACAGAAAAAGGTTCAAAAGTATTAAAAAGAAGAGTAAACAAAAGCAGCATTTCCTGATTTATTTGTTGTCGGCCTGGCAGATCAGAGGTAATTGTGTTTCAAGAATCAGCCTCTGCCTCCGTATCTTATTATTTCAGTGGCTGCACTTCAGGTACCAAATGCTGCCCTGCTTTGACGGCTCAACAGCAGCCTCTACTGGCCGCTCTGTGAACATCTGTTATTCCATATTATTCTTAATCAAATATTTTGAAAGGGCTCGGTGATTCTGTTCAAACAAAATTGCTCTATTTAGACACCACAGTGCATTGTGCCGCACTGTCTCATGAAATCAAAAGCCACAATCACAGCTAATTACCCACCTTCATTATGTTGCGCTCTCCTCCTTTCATCTCTTGGCGTTCGGGGTCCATCCATTTTCCTGCAGACAGACAGGAAATAAAAAAGGCTTTTCACACGACACAATCTCGCTCATCTCTGACTACCCTACAATCAGGCGCCGATACAAGCTGCCAGATTCACCTAATCCTGCCTCTATTTAAAACAATTCCTCGCTGTTTTCTTAAAGCCTTTTATAAGTGCAGCACCATTATTGGAAAAAAAAAAAAAAAAAAAAAAAAAAAAGCCTCTCGAGTCGTGTGGCGTCTTTTATCAGAAACACTGAGGCCACATACGCGGACACCCTCGGCGCCCTGGAGTTTGAGACCCGTCCAATCTGTTTTATTCTTGCAGGCTGTGCCTTTCTTCCCAGGTGTGGCCTGGGGGGAGCTCTCCGCTTTATTATGCTGTAAAATTACAACACTGTAGACTCCCAGATGCTGTCTACTGGAGTCTGGACGCTGGGCTAATGACACAACTGTCTCGTGTCTTCGCGTCTTCCCTTAGGTATTCTGTTAATTAAGTCCCTGAGACGTGACAGGGAGACTTATCCAAGCACCCACCTCAGCATGAACAGGCCAATAACACGCCCGCATGTAATTATTATAAAGGTGGCCTACTCCGTATCTCAAACATGTTTCTGCCTCGCTAATGGAAAAGACAATTAATACTTCACTCAAAGTGTTTAACAGGATCCTCTCCGGAGCAAGAGAGCAGAGGATCACGGAGACTTCCTCTCTGTGCGCTTTTTTTTGTAAACAACATCCTGTAAGGTCATCTCTGCCGCCTGTCTGTCCCCTTTTTGACACATCTTTATCCTAAAACGGCGAATTCACGACCCATCGACTCAACTCGGCGGCTGATATCTCAGTTTGAGATAGTCAGCCATGCCAAACTGCACTCTCACTTGTATCTCAACACATCTTAATGGGATTTCAGCTTCATAATGGATTCAGCCCAACAGTACTCTTAGGCAGAGTGTGAAAAAAAAGGGGATGACTGTATGAATAACTAAATATACAGGCCTGAAGGTAAAGAAATGTCTTTTATTTTACAACTTATAAAGGCTGGGCACACCTCATCTGAGGGCTCTTGAGACTTATTGTTGGCAGAGAGAGCTTGGAAAATTAGCAGGATTCAGAGGCATCAACCACTTCTGGAGTGTTTCATCCAGATCATTTGAAGCATGAAGGAAAAAAGGGACAAGGTTTGAATAGTTTCATATTGATCCTCCTCCTTCTTCTTCTGCCCTCATCTGTCATTAGACTAAAATGTCACTCCAAAGCAGGCCTGCGCAGAGCTCATTTCTGTGCGTTGTGATCCAACAGACTGCAGTTTGGGCTTTTACTTCTCTTAAGAATCGTTTGAGGAAAGATAATCATCGGTAATTATTACCTGTTGATGTGCAAACAGTTCTGCAGCAGAGAGGGGCTGAAATTAAAACCACATACTTCCTCTCCAGCTGAATTTAAACACCGAGTTTAAGAAACCTCAAACTGTTTTCAAAGTAACTCGCTCAAACTAGGCTAAACGGGAACAAAACTTAAAAGAACTACGACCGAGGACACTCTGAAATTATACTAAAATAAGTGTGGGGGGGGGGAGAGAGAGCCATTCCTTTCCAGATGGAGAACAATGACCCAATTTCTAAGTCCTGATGGAGAAATGCGGCTGCCACAAGCACGACTACCAACAATGGATCAGGGTCAGCACTGAAGAGACGCTACATCTGTGTCTCACACATCAAGAGCGGGGGGGAATCACCGGGGACTTATGGGAGGGGAGGGGTGGAGAAGAAGGGGGGAGGCAAAGAGAGGGGTTTGTGTGCTTCTTCTCTCTTCTTGTGATCTCATTTGATTAGTTCATTTGCTGTGAAAATGTGAGTGAGTGTGTGTTTGTGTGTTTGTGTGTGTGTGTGTGGGACAAATGTGGAAACTTTCCTCACCAGTTTAAACCTTCCTGCTGCAGCAGCTCGTTTTCATCTCTGCGAACGGCAGATAGGGTGGCAAGTTTTCATTCATTTCACTCACATGTCAACGATAATATCACTGTTCATTAGTTTACACTTAAATATAACTCTCAGGCTCCAGTCAAACATCATGAATTATTCATGTTAGAGGAAATAAATAGAAACAAACATATTGCAGAGTAGATAGACATTCTGAGAGATGAAGGAAAAAAAAGAAACATCACTTTGTATTTCAACACATGGCAATGCAGATGTACTCCTCGACAAAGCTCGCTCTTTATTCTTGACTGGGAAGCAGTCTGTTTATACGCTGTGAATTTCAAACAACATCAAAAACGGCGGAGCTGCTGCTAAATTTAAGGCGGATCTCGAACCTCCCTGTGATGCCGCTGCCCACAACAAAGACGATGAAATCTTTGATAAAGTTCCTAAAAGTCACAGACGCGGCCGGCATCCTTGTTGTTGTTACACATACTGTTCAGACCCAGAGTAAAACATGATAAATCAGGAGCAGGGATAATTAAGAGTGTGGCGCCTGTCTGCTGTTTGTGTTCTCCTTAAATAACATTTTTAATGAGGAGGAAAACAGGAGCTGCTTACAGCTACCTGGATTTATATGTTGTGCTCTTGTGTAAAAAAAAAAACAGACAGTGACTCCGCTAACAGTTGCTCCTGGCTGAAAAGCATTCACGCGGTCAAAGGTTAAGAAAAGGTCTGCTGTTAAAGAGGGGAATGTTCACTCAGGTCAGTGCTAACTCAATTTAATTAATGGATCATATGTGTGGCTGGCCAAACAGGCAAACGCCTGTGCTCGTCTTTAACTAAACAAGTCGAAATCAGAGTCACATGACCTGTGAGAAAATGCGTCCCAAAGCATACAGCCCTGTATGTTTCTGTCTCTATATGGACTCTGAATCTGACACTGAGCTCGCTGAAATTCCTCCACTCGTAGTCGACCAGAATCAGGCCGCCATCATGCAGTTAAAGAGACGCCTCGGTTCGTCTTGGCTCAGGTGAACCTGCTGATTATCTTAATAACTGCAATCACCAGCGTGAGGCTAACAGTTGGAGACAGTCTGAGACTGATCCCTTGAAGCGTGATTATAATGATGCATGTTGTGAATTTTACAGATAAATAACTCAAACATTTTAGAGAAAAAAGGAGAAAACCTTGTTTAAAAAAATATAACCCCACATATCAAAGTAAGGAGGGGGATGGAGAAGACTCCCTGAGCAGCTACAGTGTGAAGAAAAGGTTGAAGTATAACTAGATGCTGAATAACTGAGTTTTGCGGCACATTATATAAAGATGATAGTTGTGTTATAGTCACATGCAGTGGCGGCTGGTGCATTTTTCTCAAGGAGGGGCTGTAAATAAATGCAAAATACACAAAACAAGGTGTACTAAATTAGGAGAAATAAAAGGCATTTATCTGTATTTTTCAAATGGACTTAACCTATCCAATCCAACCTAAACCGATCTGAATCCTTATCTCTAAAAAACAGAGGCAGGTGAAGTTAAATAAAGCACGAGCATCATCATATGCCATCAGCCAGGTCTTCCTCAAGGCTTAAATTTCCCTTCAAGGATCAATATAGTTCTTATCTTCAAAGTAAACCAGTCTTTTAAAAACTGTTGTGTAATTTCACCCTGTGTTACAGATTTTCTGTTAAATTTTGACACCTGGCTTGTTTGGACCGAGCTCTTTAACACTCAGCTTCTCCTGCAAAGACCTCCTTAACTGCATTACTTTGAACGGCTAATCAGAGTTTTCTTTCTTTGATGATCAATATAGTTCGTCTTATCTTCAAAGTAAAACAGTCTTTTAAAAACTGTTGTGTAATTTCACCCTCTGTTGCTGATTTGCTATTAAAGTTTGATGTCTGGCTTGTTTGGACCGAGCTCTTTAACACTCAGCTTCTCCTGCAAAGATCTCCTCAACTGCATTTCTTTGAGCGACTAATGTGAGTTTTTTTCTCCGTTTTATTCTTAACCCTCAAACTTTGTCCTCAGTATCGGCAACTCAACGCTGCCCCCTGCTTGGGGCTGCTGCTAGTGTGTGATGCGTTTTCAGTGCGGGTAATTGCGCCATCTCTTGAACTAAAAAGGAGTAAATGCATGACTTATGAACAGAGTCAATGTAGGGCGCAAAAACGTGAATAATCAGTCACGTTAGACATGGGAAATATCTTTATTCTACATTTTTACAGCAGCTTCTTCAGCTGTAATACTAGCTTTAAAAGATGTCAATATGTTTATATAAAATCGTGATGATAACGCCAAATCAAAAACAGCTGGGTGGTTCATATTATCAGGTTGAGACTTTCTTATCTCTCTCTGTACACGTCTGCCTAACGCCACATTGCTGCCTGTTTTCTGGCAATTTTACTGTCTCCGCCGCCCCGGCCTCCCCCAGCATTAGCATTTAGATTTGGGCGAATCCTGATGCTTTGTTCGCTGCATATTTGTTGATGTTCATGTAAATGCCGCGCATCTCCAGGTTTGCCAGGTTGGGTTTCTTCAAATGAGAGAAATCTGCGTCAAGCTTGTGCAGATTTGTTCGGGAGCATCACAGCAGCAGACCCACACTGCCAGACTCAATTATGTATTATTGTGGTAATAAAGGGTAAAAGCCTTGATGAAAAGGGCCTGATTGAAATTATTCAGATTTAATTAATTTTAGTGAATTGCTCTGGACATTGCACATTAAAAGCCCCACTTCAAAACTCTGATATATTAACCTTCAAACTTAAAGGGATTTAGATCTTGTACGCTGAAATCACCTAATATGCCGCTTTAAGAGGCATTTACATGAAGAGCAAGTGAAGTGTTTTACAACCAAACAGGATTTTGTTTGTTTTTTAAACAGAGCTGAGTTTCAGACCGCAACACCCCAAACAATAAGTGACAGATGCGATACTCACGCAGGGAAGGGCTGTGTGCGTGGGGCGATGGTTCGCTGTGTGCCTGTCTGAATGACATCCTGGGGCGTCATCATCACATAAAACTGACCTGTGGAAGACATAAGAGTCATCAGTTAGCGCCGAGGGGAAGAAATGAAGCAGGGCGACGTGTCATGAAAGACTGACTCAGCTGCCGTAATGAAATATCTCACAACAAATATGAGAGTAAAAAAGTAACTCGTCAGATCTCGAACCCACATGAGCCTACAAAAAATGTGTTTACACCGCGGGATGCCTGCTCAAGCACAATCAACATGGAGACTGAAACCTGACAGGACTCCCTTCTCCCACCCCCCGAGACATCCACCTCAAAAACCTGAAATATTTTCTCCAAATTTTGGAGAGAAACTCCACTGTAAGGCATGCAGGGACTGTTTTTACAGCACCACAAGGCCTGTGGAATAAAAACAACTCCTCTTGTTCCTGCGGGTCAGAAGAAGGCCAAACAACACAAGAAATCTCACCATCCAATTTTTCTACCAAAATAAAGAGAAGACCCAAAAAGAACGAAGGTCTCCCCGCACAAAACTCTCCCGGGTAACTGAACTTTACGAGCACTTCTGAGTAACAGCAGCTCCAGCTAGGAGCGAGGAGTTCATGGATTTTGCGATGAATCTTGAAATTCGGATAACAAGAACCATCAAAATCTTTTATAGAAAACTGATCGATTTTTCTCCAAACACCAAGTTGATTATCCAAGTCAAAAACAAACTTACAACGAGGCACTCTTGAGCCAAAACAGCAAATTACCTTTAATTTCTGTCAACATTTTTCACTAAATGTTTCACTGAGATTATTTTAGGGCTGGACAATAAACCGAAAACTGAGCAGCTTGTGGAGTAGTTATCCTCCATTTATCGTTACCAAGGTGAACTGCTCAATATATTGTGATATTGATTTGAAGGCATATCGCCCAGCCCTAGATTATTTTGTTTCAAGTTCACTCACAACATGAAACATCACACTTTTAGAGTCCTACTGAAAGGAAACCAAAGTGGATATCCGTCTCCATCAAGTTTTCCCTTTTTTAACCAAACATTAAAAAAAGTTCTCCAGTACATCATCGCTCCTGCAAAAAAAATGAAAACCAGTAATGACGCCACTTGGGTGCTGGATCCAGTCCTGCCAGAGAGTCAAAGCCCAGTGCTCTGTCCTCCACTATCCTTCACCTCATAGGAGACGACAGCTTGTAAGGCACTCTCCACCGCCTACACCCAACAGAGCACTCCTCAGCCAGTATGTCATGGCTGCTTAAACTGCCCCAGGCTCACAGAGGTGAGAGACAGCAGCTTTCTCCCTTATCTAAGACCCTAACTTCAGCTGTTGCCCTCAGTAATGACACCTCTGGGTCCTCTTCCTTTTCTGTGGCATCGACACGAACGAAGGCTGCCTCCATCTCCGCGAAAACAAAAAGAAGAAGTAGAGCCAAAAATACAGAAATGTGTTTGTGGTTTTCTGCTAATAAAGTTTGTGACTGAGGTGTGTCAAATGACACTACTCAACAGCCTTAAGGCCATCTGACTACTGTGGGTGTGTGTCATGTGATGAAAGATTAACACACACTTCTGGTAAGAAAAAAAAAAAAAAACGTGGGATGTGCTGCATCAGCCTGACAACTTATATTGTCAACAATGGATATAACACATACAATAAACCAGACGAGCTTTTAAAAAAGGCAAACTTCCCTTGAGAGAAACCCGACACTGTATGAACTGTTATTGTCCCGGAAAATTGTTCTGAAATGGAGAGATTTTCTGGGTTTATGAGCCAGATTCTTCCCTCTCAAACTTATGAGTTTCTAACTAAAGGGCAGGCCAGATGGTATATTGCTATGAAATGCTGTAATACCATGTGCTAGAACTTGTGCAGGATGAAATTATCACAGCGTTACAGCCTCAAACATTCGACAAACGCTGTTGATCAGCTACAATTGTTTAGCGGCCAGACCTGCTTTCCACGTGTACGCTCTGAGAACTGCAGTGATTTAATCCAATCCACCACTCACTTAGCCGGCAGTTTTTCCACAACTTATTGTTTTGTTGTTTCTAAAGCAAAAAGCTACACACTTTGTACTTTAAGCTCCTTGTATGAGAGGATTTGCTGCTCTTTATGACAGTACACTGAGTGTCTTTGGTTCCACAGCTGCTGGAGGGACAAAACTTGAATAGAGGATATCACTCGGGCTCTGACAAATTACCCTTAATAAGATTGCTCATGGCAGCCCGAGCAAAATCTGCAGTCAAGATTCTCTCTTACCTGCTCATGAGCAAGTCAATGAACTTTTTAATTTAATGTCTGCCAATTTCATACTCTAATCAGACCCTTCAAAAGTATCAATCACTGTGTCTGAGGTGCCTGGCAGCACAAATACCTGAACCCAATCTTTGATTTTAATTGATTTTTCTTTCAATTATTAATCATTGATTTTTAAAAAAGCTTTAAAAAAAAGGCTCAACTCAGCAAAAGAAGTCAACTGTTTTGGGACTTTGTACATACAGTGCCCAGCATAAATCAGTACACCCTCTATTACAAGAAATGTATTACTCAATGTAGGGCTGGGCAATATGTCCTCAAATCAATATCACGATATATTGAGCAGTTCACTTCGATAACAATAAACGGACGATAACTACTCCACAAGCTGCTCACCCCCTCCCACATCAACTTCGTCTACTTCAGCCGCTCCAACTTTTGAACCGTCCTCCATCTCCTCACCTGTCTTTCCCTCTTTGCTACGGACTGGATGGGGTGGAGTCACAGCTCTGGCGTAGGACAATGTCTTAAAAGGACATGAGGCCATAGCCTACCTACACACATCCAAAACCAATTTTTATTTTTCTGACATCAAATATACTGATATGGGCAAAATAACGTTGTTATTGTCGTAAATTTAGGTATCTGCAAATTTTCGTTTTATTGCCCAGCCTTAATTCAATATCTGGATGAGAAAAAGTACAATTTTTGACAAAGCTGACTTTAACATAACATTTTATTTACCATTAGATAAAAATAATGTTGATATGGTAACTAAAATTTAGCTTTGCTCCCAGAACTTTTGGCTGTACTCATTTTTGCATTCTGATTTTAAATAGAAAAAAAAAATACTTTTTCCTGTGCAACTTATAAAATCGTTTGTAATCAATGGCCTACATTTGGAGGAGTATTTTGTTGTACAGTCTGACATAGAAAATGTTGATTTTGAAAGGAAACTAGAGGTTTTCTGACAACTCTGAAGGGGTGTACTCATTTATGCTGAGCACTGTATATGCAGAGCGACTGCACTGGTGTAAGTGTGACATACTGTTGTGTTATTGTGTGTGTCTTGCATACAAACTGCATCAAATTCTTGATTTTTACTTTAAGGAATCATCCTAAACCTTCAATTTGAATTTATTGATGAAATCGATCAGAAAGCATGAAGGTTAACTCTTATGTATCACAGCCATCTGAACTCTTGTGGCAGGTACTAAGCCCCTCAGCACCAGCTTTGTATAATGAATGTAAATGTCGACCCATGCCTGCAAGCACCTCTACATTCAACAAAGAGCGACTACATATGAAGTCATTGGGCCCTGAGATGTAGGTACAGGTTTTAGACCGTTCCTGTTCAGAGTCTGAGCCTGAAGTGCTGCAGGAAGCACAGACTGGAAGATGAATTATGATTGCCTTCCCACCACAGCTCAGGCACCACGCTCTCCTTTGAAAACCATCAGAGAACTCGGATAATCCACTCTTTAAACTGGCAACTGGCTTGAAGAAAACAGTTTGCCAAAACAGGCAGATGCCGGTTGCGTAAAGCAGGGCCAGAAAACCACTTCCTACTCTCTGGGTCAACCGAGCTCTGACCACAGTCACTAACAGGCCCACAGAGTCCACGAGTCTCCTCTGGATCACCACCATGAAACCGCAAGGACAGCTAATGCAGCCAGATGAAGACATATGGCAGTAAAGAGGAAGAGACGCAGAGTGGGCGGACATGTGACACAAAGCCAGGAGTAAATATGATCAACGTGACCGATTTCATTTTGGCAGCTGATAATATATGACTTGAGTCATTTAGAAACTCTTCAAGACAAATTGTTTCAACACCGAAAGAACAACAGGAGGATAACTGTGCAAAGAAATGATGGTTTTAGCATTTTTTTACTATTCAACAGCAAAGCCCACGGTCTGTCTTCCTGAAATGAGCCAAAGCCGCAGGGATCACGGTACATTTGCAACAACAGAAAGAAAGAACCGTTGTCCTTTTATTACTGCACTTCAGATACTCTCCTCCTTGTCGTTGAAAATAATGGCTGCATTAGCCTCTCAGCACAGTTGCAAGTTTCAGCCCAAATTAAGTGTGAGAACTGACTCACCCCCTGCCTGTGTGAGTGTGGGGTCGGCGGCGGCCTGCACAGACACAGTCCCGTCGCTCACCGCTGTTGCGGGGAAGTAAGCGAAGCGGGTCTCCCCTCCCACCGCCTCTCCTGCTGGGCTCCCTCCATTACTGAAGGGGTTTTGGATCACAGCCTGCGACAGATAAGAGAGAGGAAGAGAGACGGGGGGAAAGGCTTGAACAGGTAGCAGTGGAGCAGTCGCAGCAGGTAAACGCACACCTCAGTCTCTGTCAGACTCAATACTTGTATCCCCCATGGACCCCCTAAGCAAGACTAAGAGCTGTTTGACAGCAGGAATAAAAGGAGGGGGGAAAAAGAAGTCGCAGTGATCTTGTTAACAGAGATAACAGCAAGGTCAGTCCAGTGGCACTCTGCAAATGAAAACTGATTTGGTCTGCTCTTGTTTTGGTCAGGAGACCCCTTCTGGATTTGGCTGTGCACGTTTACAGAGACTTTAACTCTTACGTGAAAAAATATTACTGTATCTTAAACTCTGTGGGGCTCCATTTTTTGATGACAACATGCTGAGGCACACACTTCTCTATTTCTGCTGCTTTGCTGGTTTGACGAGCTTAAAGACACTAACTTTGCTTTAAGCTGTTTATACAAAAAGATATGTCACTGAGCATTATGGTATGGCTCTTCCACTTTTTATTTTTACATTGCAGTGGAGAGCTATGGCACTGGCTTAAGACAGCGTGCTGTGTTTACAGTGAGGAAACTTGTAAACATTCATGTCTCTGCCTTTTGAGACGATCAAAACACTGAAAACAAGGAGCTTTTTTTTTTAAAATCAGCTTTTTAACAATCAATCAATCAATCAATCAATCAATCAATCAATAAACAGAGACAGATTTTAGTACCTGAGCCACAGCTTGAGGAGCTCCTGTGAAAGCAGCCGTAGAAACGACACTCACTGCTCCACCTCCGTCATCTCTTGTTTCAAGCTGTTGGTCAGTCACCTGAACCACCCGATACGTCACCTGTAAAGCAGAGGGAGACACAGAGTTAAAATACGTGGAAAAAAATGGAGCAACATCTTGTTTTTCTGAAATCTGCAACAATCTCCAATGACGGGTGCACTAACTCGTAAGAAAACCTCACCTGACTGGAAGATTTGTTTATCATTTCTACCGCTTCTATCCTGCTGAGCCTCTGGTGTCAGATGCTGTGGTCCTAATCTCAGCAGCACATTGATCTCACTTGCAGCACATTCTGAAGCGTAAGCATACGTGCTTGATTCAATTTTGAAAACAAGTCGAGAAAATGAGCCTGTTTGTTCCAAGAATCAGTATTTGTATTCCCCTATCATGTGACTCTCCTCCTGACTGACATGTGACAGCAGCCCCATGCCAATCCCAGGCCAGACTGTAATCACATGATCGCTCACGCTAGTCTTGTTTACAGCCAAATGAGCCACATGGATCACTGCTTTAATTCCCTCCAGTGTAAATCAACCAAATACAGAGAAAACTAACTTGAGCGACTTCTTCTTTGCTTCACTGCTGCATTGTCCGCAGCTGAAGTGAATTAACTCGATTAGGAAACGGCGAGGAGACACTTTTGACAAAGGTCACCAGTCAATCATGGGACTAGAAAAAGAAAAACACACATTTGTACCTTCGGGCAATTAAGAGCCTGCTATCCTCCTGACTTGTCTTTGGAAAAAGGGGGGAGGGAGCTGAGAGCAGGCGGCAAAAACACATGATAACACTACCAGATAGCATTACACTACGACTAAAAGACTATCTTCTGACTGAGAGGTGTCTTTCTCACTGTAAGGTGGCAGCATTTACTTGAAAACCCACTCATTAATCATGAATGATGAATGTGTGGGGAAAACAATTCTCTAAGCATGGGAACAAATCCGCTTCACCATATCTATCAATACATAACAGGAAGCTATGTCCTAGGATGAAACTGCAAAACAGCCTCGTACATGCCTTTAATGGGACAGTTAAAGTACCGGTGCTAACAGAAACTGCTGCATTAGGGTCTAACCTGCGCTTGCTGTATTTTTGTTAATCTATTTAGTAAGTAAGTCAACAATCACGGGCACTCACTATAATAAAAACCTCCATTAGTTATTAAGGGCTGGGTGATGGTCTTCGCTTCCCTGGTTCATTAAAACAAGGTAATCAAGATTAAATGATCACTATGCCGCTTGCTGTGAAGTGCTTTTTTTCGCCCTGTGTGGTGAATGGAGTCCACAAGCAGGTCTCATTTCAGCTGGTATTGACAGTGAAGAAGAGAGGGAGTCACGTCCAGAAGAGGCTATCTTGCAAACCAGTGGGCTGACACACTTACACATACATACTTTTTTCCCCTCCTATTTTGTTTTGTTTTCTCTATTGCTTTTATCCTGCTGTTTTTACACTTTAAAGTGCCCTTGAGTGTCCAGAAAGGTGCTTATGAATAAAATGTATTATAATTATTATTATTATTACTTAGGTGCTGGTAGGCTGTAACACAGACTCATTCTTAAAACAAAAATAATACATCCAGCCCATTTAGTAAAGGAAGCTGGCATTTTGTGCACTTTCAGATTGATATGGGACTGGATAAATCATGTCTTTTCATCCCCCCCTCCTGCTGTATCCACAAGCCCCTTTCAGCGAGTCACTATCAGGCTGTCTTTTATTTGACTTATTACACTGTACACCAAAACCATAGACAAACAAGCAGCAAGAGGCCAACTAGTTGAACGTCTTCTGTGAAGTTTTTGTTTACTGCCCAGTTTCCTTCAGGATATTTACTCTCCTTAACTCCCAGTTCAAAGCCTGGTGTGCAAACTGAGGAGTTAGTGCCAAACACTTACACCCATTTAAGTCCAAATGAGTTGTATACATGCAAGTAAAAATAGATCCTTTCTCTATGTATATTAGTCAGACTGTGAGAACTCTGACTCACATGTACTCTAAAAGTGAAGTTTCAGCCGCACTAACACAACAAATCAGTCTTTTGCACCATGCTGTAGACGTACTACAGAGCGACACTGGTCTGTATCCTTATAAAACATCTATTCAGAAATGTTTAGTTTTTAAGGCTCACAAATGCATGTGATGCAGATGTTGCCTTGTCAGTCATGACAGTTGTATTTTGTGGCGTTGGTTTTGGCCGTAGTAAAACAGCCCTGTCTGTGACCTACCTGACCACCCTCAGTGCGGAACTGATACTGTATGTTGTGGTCTCCAAAGGCTGCAGCCTGCTGGACGTTGGCGATGGTAACAGCCGCCTGCTCCTCTCCTGTTCCGTCTGAGGGGAATGAAGTAAGTTATATATGTTAAACAAATAAAAGACAGTTGACAGAGGCATCAAAATCAGAAATACTTAAATAATCTCCAGGGGGAAATTGCTTTTCATTACAGTCACTCCAGTGCAAATAAAGTAGAAAAAGGAGATAAATATTAGATAAGTTAAGTAAAATAAGTAAAAATAAAGAGATAATATACAGGTATGTACCCTATATACAACACGAAATAGTCAAGTAGTAGTAGTAAACAGTAAGCAGAGTCCAGGTAAAGACTACTGACTGAGGGTGTCAGAGTCTCTGAAGGAGGAATAGAGTCCTGCAGCAGAAAACAGTGTGGACCACTCAACTTCACATACTTATATATGTTAGTTAAAGCTTAAACTACTTGACTTTTAATAAATATGAAATAAACATCACTGCTGAGGAGTTCCAGGGTGTCATGAATGAAAACTTGAACAATAATTACCTTCAGATGTCTGGACAACTTCTTCTTGCTTTTCTTGGCTGCAAACCAAACACAGATATGATAAATAAAAAAACAAGCTCCAGCTCCTTCTGGATAAAATTAACTAAACTAAATGCCATTAAGTTTGCTTGGCTGGTGGCAAACTGGTTGAAGAGGTAAAGAGTATTATCGAAGAGTAACAAAAGTTGTAAGTGTCCTTGGTTTACCCACCGTCTCTGACAACAGACGATTGTTATTTTAAAGCTAGCTCAAGCTAACATAGCTATCCTGCGATTATTACTATGTTTTCAAAATTGAACTTTATAAAAATGAGTTATGAATACTCAAATGAACTATACTCCTGTTAAAATCTGTTTTTACTCGCTCTTTTTAGGTCAGGCCTTGTTAAGCGCCATAAACTAGCTCTCTGATATAGCATGTTGTTGCTAGCATGTCCCAGTTAGCCATTTTGACCGTTTCTGTTACCTCGCGTTGTCCAGACTCTGTTCGAGCATATCCATCAGTGTTAGGATAAAAAGTGATATTCGGTGTCACAGACGGAGATGGAAGTGCTGATCACGGGAACAAACACTCGGGTCATGTGAGAGAGACAGCCCAGGACACGTGAGGTACGACTCGGTGTCGGAGTTAAAATGGAGGCCGCCGCCGATAGGTGATCCGAGGTGACTCCGATCCATCAGCTGTGGTGGTGGCGCTCCCGGAGGAGGATTTTCGGCTCACAGAAGACCACCGGGGTCAGCGAGCTCAAAGCGACTGTTCCTATCCCCTCTGAGACAGCAGCACCGACAAACATAAGCAGGAGGAATTCACAGATAGGATGGTCATCTGAGGAGAAAAGGGGAAGGACAGAAACCTTCATAACAGAGCATTCAGAATTAAAACACAGACCAGACCTTCTGTCAGAGTCCCTTCAGTGACTTTTTGTAAGATGTGGTTTAATGGAACAAGTCTTGTCTAAAACGTTTATAGGCTGTGACACATGAAGAGGACTGTTATTTTTCTCTAGAGAATAAAGACATAAGGTAGGGGAGAGTGGGCTAAGTTGTGCCAAAGAGTAAGTTGAGCCACCCCCTGTTGCTTTGAAATGGTAAAAGAAATTAAAATGTGACCAAATATCAATTCATGGATTCTGTGAAGGTTAGAAGCACATGGGTGAAGGGGTTGGACATTTATTTCCAAAAAAAACCCCAAAAACTTTTCACTCTTAAAAAGTGATGTTTTATCAGAATTGTGTTCAGACCGTAGACAGTATAGACTATGGACAACTTGGTTCTGCCTTCCGCCAATATATGTATTTGAAGCCAAAAAGCTCTCGGTAATTCTGCATTTTTTCTCCACTTCCTGAAACCAACATTGCGCAGTAGCGTTATACCATAGAGTGTTTATTGAATGGACAGAGTCTGCCTCCTCGCTGGGTGAAGCCACTCCGAGAACAGCACCCTCTGTTGACAGGCTGCAGTATAGGTCATAAATCCCGCCTCTGCCAGCAAAGCTTATGGAGCTGTGGACAAACTTTAGAAATTTATTACACAGAACATACATTTTTCTCCCCCCTGCTTGTGATGTTGACATGTAGTTATTGTAACACTTGTTTGTGCTCAAGTCCTCTTTTTTTTCTGTACAGCTCCGTTTTTAAAAGTTATTGGGGGTTCATGTTTTCTATGATTGACACCTGATACAGCCTATGGGCATTCAGGGATTGCGTAGCTCTCCCGGGGGGATACGCTGTTTGAGCCGAGCGTCATCACAGCGACTCTCGGTGACTGCGCAGAGCTGGTTTCAGGAAATGAAGAAAAACCGCTGAAATATCGAGAGCTTTTTGGCTTCAAATCCGTATACAGGCGGTAGGCATTTGCACATAACTTTCTATCAAAGGGGTGGGTAAGTAAAAATTCAATCAATCAATCAATCAACGTTATTTCTATAGCACATTTAAAAGAACCACAGGGGTAGCCAAAGTGCTGTACATTGTGACATAAAAACAAATAAAACAAGCAAAGAACAAGATAGAGCGAGCAAAAATACATAAATGCAATAAATAAATAGATATATAAATAAGCAGGCTCACGGCAAGTGCTAAGATGAAAACAAAATAACACTAAAATGTATTAAAAGCCAAGGAATAAAAGTGCATTTTTAAAATTTGAGGTTGGTAGCTTGTTCAGAAGTTATCCTGGAGGTGAGGACTGGAAAAACTCAAAACTGAATTATGAAAAAAAGGAGCGCTTCTTCATGAATGAAGCTCAGCTTCTATAGAGATTTCATGTGTTATTTCTCTTGGCCATTTAAAACTGAGTATTTAAATCTAGCTCAGCAAATGGAAGAATTCCATTATTTTTTAATTCAGTTTACAAAACCATAAATTATAAGGTTTAAGTTGCCGACAGGAGCATTTTTTCACACTTTATTTGCTAAAAGGGCACTTCCTATATTTTATTCTCTGGTAGGGCTGCCATAAGGCACTTTTAAAATATTTTGTCCATTCGGGCAACTTTTTTATGTTTTATTCATTGGAAGGGCATCCAGGAGACACTTTTCATTTATTAATCCATAGAAGAGCACCAGAAGGAGCATTTTATAAAACATGTTTATTGTAGTCCAAGGGGCACTTCAGCTAGAGGCAGAGGTGGTGGGTTGATTTAACAGTACTTTCTATTTAGATGCTGTTTTATTTAAGGGAGTGGGTGCATTTACAGTATCATCTACCCTGAGGATAGATAAGGTATTAAAACACTTGACACAGAGAGTGTAAACATGATTTTTATTAAATATCTTTGAGGAAATCTGCAGCATTCATATTTACTATATCATTTATTCCCCTTTTATCTTTACACTTTCAATAAAATACCAAAAAAAACTTTGCAAAAACAAAAGCAGAAAAAGTAAAAAGAAGGAAGGCAAAAGCCACAAGGTATGAGCAAATGTTGAGAAAATCATGAAACAAGTACAGGGTAAAAAAAAAGAATGTCATACTCAGCTGCATTTTATTTTGATTTTTTAATTTTATTTATTTTCCCCCATTTAGATTCTCCCACACAAGTTCTTCTAGTATTTAAATTCATAAAATCGATTTTTATTTTCCTATTATGGTTGTTTGTTTTTAAGAGGGTTTAGGTGACTTGTCCACTATTATGTCACATCATCCTCTGCTGTGAACTTTGTCCTACTCGAAGCGGAACCTTTCTTCTTCGAGATGTGTTTCCTTCAGATATATGACCAGCACCATAAAATACACCGGTGACTCGTCTTAATTTAGATCTTTTCACTTTAACAAAATAGCTATCAATATTTGACTGAAAGCAACAACAGCGTCGACCAATTACCTCAAACTCTTATGTATTTATTTACAGTTTATGACCCACTCAAACCACCACATCGAGAGAACGTCTGATGAATTTTGCAACTGTCAAAAAAGCGTCTCAGCCAATCCGAGACGTGAGCGTTCATCCTTCTTCTCTTCTGATTGGCTAAAACGGTAGGCGGTCCCCTTCACCGTTCATTTGGGGTCACTGTAAAATAATTCCGACCTCTCCTCCTTGAGTGAAGGTTCACCGCGGTGACTCTTTTACGTTAGCTGCTCACCGCCGTGGAGTAAAAACGCTTCAGCCGCGATGTCTGGTCGTGTTCTCGTTGGAGTCAAACGTGTCATTGACTATGCTGTCAAGGTAATGTTATCCTACTTAAACGTCGACTCTGCATTTTATAAATATATAATATATTCCGCGCTAACTCTCTTGACTTTCTGTGTGCTTTGCTATAGCTATCATTAGCCTGCTGGAGCCAGCTGGTTGTGTCCCAACAGTTGAGGGGCAAAACTAGTTGGTAAATAAGACTACAGCCTGAAGCAAAACATATATGTCCGGAGATAGCGTAATGGAATAGTTTAGTATCCCCAACAATGCAATGTATAACAGGTTGATGCTTTCTTAAGTTGTGTAACACGATGTTCGGTTAGAACCATAAACCCTAAAGGCAGATCAAACTGTAAAATCAGCCTACAATCACATTTTACTGCCCTCTAGACTAGAGAAACAGGACAACACAGTGATCAATACTTTTTTTGCAGCTGTTTCATGCCACAGCAGGATCCGTCCTGCTCCAGCTGCCCTCAACAGGATCTCTACTGACTTATCTTTTGCTCTCCTCTGACTGTCAAACAGACCAGCAGGCAGGTGATTGAAACATGATGGGCCATGAGAAGACATAGATGTGGATATCTGGTTAAATGAGGAGTATATAACACCCTAGACAGTTAGTGGAGTGTGCACCGGTTGTCTTCTTAGTTAGAAAATCAACATTTGGTGTCAGTGATACATAACAGTTTTGTACATCAGGTGCCTTCTCTCTGTTTTGAGCATCCTCTTTCCGTACCATTAAGAACTTGTCACACACAGCTGGTACAGCGCTCTGACCTCTACCACAATCATGTGCATTTGGCATAATCTCAAAGGTGCGCCACTAGCCAGGCCGTACTGTCCAAAATTAGCACAAACATCAGACCACTCTGTTGGTGCTGTGACAGAACAGGATTAAATGTCTACAACCAAGTTCCAAAATCACATGGAGAGTCTGCTACGACATACTCTATGGATCTGGAGCCAATCTTACACATGTTGGTGTATTTTGTGGACAAAAGTTGACCTTGGACACCTGGTCAATTTTACAACATGTCATCTTTCCACCAGAAGGGAACGCTCCTCTCTGTCATTTTCCATTGGCAGCACTCAATAGTTGTACAATGTTCATTTAAAGAAACAAAGAAATAGCCATAGACTGTATATACTATGGACAACTTGGTTCCGCCTCCCGCCTGTTTATGAATTTGAAGCCAAAAAGCTCTCAGTATATCCGTGATTTTTCTTCAATTTCTGAAACCAGAGCTGCGCAGTAGCATTGTGCGCATTAGGCGGGAGAGTCGCCGAGAGTCGCTGTGATGACGCTCGGCTCAAACAGCGTATCCCCCGGGTGAGCTACGGAATCTTCGTACGCCCATAGGCTGTATCAGGTGTCAATCATAGAAAACATGAACCCCCTAATAACTTTAAAAAACGGAGCTTCACAGAAAAAAGAGGACTTGAGCACAAACCAGTCTGACAGTAACTACATGTCAACATTGCAACCAGGGGGGAGAAAAATTTAAATTCTGTGTAATAATTTTCTAAACTTTGTCCATCAGCTCCATAAGCTTTGCTAGCGGAGGTGGGATCTATGACCTATACTGCAGCCCGCCAACAGAGGGTGCTGTTCTCAGAGTGGCTTGGAGTCTATGGAAATAACACACCAGTTAATACAAGACTGCTATTTACCATGTATCAAAAGATGCCTCGCCTTTTTACCTTGAACAAACTTTTATGTCTGACTTCCTTAATGAGTCCCTGTGCGTAAAAGTTTGCCAGGGAATCCAGTCGGTATGGATTGTTTGTGAACGGGCACCCCTGTAGTGACTGCCCCGCGGTCTTCTTTCTCCTCAGATTCGAGTGAAGCCGGACAACAGCAGCGTGGTGACAGATGGAGTTAAGCACTCGATGAACCCCTTCTGTGAGATCGCGGTGGAGGAGGCGGTCAAGCTGAAGGAGAAGAAGCTTATTAAGGAGGTTGTGGCTGTCAGCTGTGGGCCACAGCAAGCTCAGGTGGGTAAGACAGGGCCAGAATCCCCTTGAATCTCGGCCTTGTTAATCAATGTCATCCTGAAGAACAGTGAGATCTGGCGGGATGCCTACTTCCTGATGGGTTCTTTCCAAGGGTTCAAAACTTCAAACCTTTGATGGTTCTTCTGCTTCATCTTTTAAATTCATCTAAAAACTGATGCCAGCCTGTTGATGTAGTTTTATCATGGGACAAATGTCGATAACTTGATGGGAATCATTAAAATAACTCATGAGACTTTCTTTGATCAGACATCTATGTCGCATAAAATGTTTGTGCTTATTAAATGTGTCATTTGCCTTGTTACAGATAATGATTTAAAGACATTTCATTAGTTTTTGTCTGTCTTTTGTACTTCACTCCAAACAAATCCTATCGATGTAGATTGACAGAAACCCGTATTTATGCCTGTCCACACTAATTTTTAATGCTCTTTTGTTTAGGAGACTATCCGTACCGCCCTCGCCATGGGAGCAGACCGTGGTATCCATGTTCAAGTTGCTGGGAAAGACTATGAATCCATGGGCCCTCTTCAGGTTTCTAAGATCATGGCTGCTTTGGCCAAAAAGGAGGATGCTCAACTTGTCATACTTGGCAAACAGGTAAAAAAGAAGGAAAAGAGAAAATCACTCTACCTCTCTTTCTTTAAGTTAGATTAAAGTACCTGCTCTTATATTATGGTTTTCCTCAGTCTAATTTGCGGTGCTTATTACCTTTTTAATGACTTGGATTGCTTCCACAGGCGATCGATGACGACTGCAACCAGACAGGTCAGATGACAGCAGCCTTATTGGACTGGCCTCAGGTGAGTTCTCACTCTAATGCTGTTACTCTTAATAAGATCTAGCCAACCTGATCAAAAATAAATAACAGTCAGATAACTGGATTACAGCAGTTTATTGGTTGTATATTAGCAGGGCTGCTATCAGGCTGTGTTCTCGTCCTGGCTGCCTTATCAAAGTAAGCCATGACCAGTTGAGGTCAGTGAGAGCTGCAGTGTTCCTGCACACGGCAGGAAAGCAGGGCAAAGGCTGCTTAGACAGGTGAAGTTTCACTGTCTGGCCATTGGATGGAGCTCTTTGACACAGTGGGCAGTCTGAGGCTCATATCAAACCGTAAATGCAGACATTTTAACCAACTGAGAGCTTAAACTGAAAGTGTTCTATCATTATCATATCTTCTTTTCTAAATATCATCACTACCAAACCTAAGACCTTTTCTAAATTCATAGTCACCCACAATTTAAATGTTGTTCTAGAGTATTACCTGTAGGTGGAGCAAGTTGGCAGTCTTGTGTCCTTGGATAACCCTATCCCACCCTGCTTTGTGCACTGCAGGGTTAGAGATTTTGATGTATGAAAAATGTCTTTTTTGATCCTGCTGTTTGTGCAAATTTGTAGGTAATGATGATTTTTTTCCTCCTCTTTACCTCCCTCTTCAGGGAACCTTTGCATCAGAAGTGGCATTGGAAGGAGATAAAATCAAAGTGGTGAGAGAAATTGATGGTGGCCTGGAAACTATTAGGATCAACACACCTGCAGTGATCACAGCAGACCTTCGACTCAACACCCCCAGATATGCTACCCTGCCTAATATCATGGTAGGAAGCATGAAGACGCATATAATACAGTTTTTATTGATAAATTATGCAGCACGAAAGGAAAACAACCCTAAAAACGACACAAAGATTACATTTCCTAAGCATCATTCACTTCCACTCTTTGTTCAAAGGATGCTTTGACATTGTAGAGTCTGTTCAACACCTCTGTCTCGTGTTTTCCCACTTCCAGAAAGCCAAGAAGAAGAAGATAGCTAACATGAAGCCTGAAGACTTAGGGGTTGACCTCACATCCCGGTTGGAGGTGTTGAGAGTGGATGAGCCCCCGCAGAGAGAGGCAGGAGTGAAGGTGGAGACGGTGGAAGACCTGGTGGGCAAACTGAAAGATGCAGGGAGAGTATAAAGGCTCCAGGAGCATAAATAGAGGAACACAGACTGAGCAGCAGGGTGAGTGTCACTGTTTTCACAAATGTAGACGCCTGAGGTTAAAAAAAAGGTTTCATGACTAAGCAGAGACTTAAAAGACCCTGACAAACATTTTGCAAATATCTGTTGAGATATTTTTCATTTTGTCAGTTGAGAGCCAATTAAGTTACCCATTCATTAAAAGAAATATATATTTTTTGCCACTAATCAGTCAATAGCACACTGGCATGCAGGGCCTCCATTTATGAAAGAAGTGCAGATGAGTTCAGCTTTAACAGGAATGAAATCAAAATAACAGCTCTAATAGAATTTACTGAGGAACTTAACATCCTAGTGTGAATAGAGATTTAAATCCTGACTGCTTTATATGAAAGAAAAATCTCAGAGTCTAAATGAGCACAATTTATTCAACACTGCTAAACAAGAGATCATAGAGTCTGCAGTTAGATAATGTTTGTTTGTCAGATATTGCCATCACTAGCAGAGCTATAGCATCAATAATCTTCAGTCTCCCTTGCAGATTAACATCCACCTGTCTGAGCTGGCTAGCAGTGCTTTCTGTGTATTATGTCTGCTTTCTTGATAAACAAAAATACTGTTAAACCGTCAATACTACAAACCATCTGTTAGTTTTACTTCTTTAGCTTTATGGCAGCCACCATTTACCAGAGGAGCTATAGCTTAGGCACGCTAAATAGCCACTGTCATTTTTGGTGTTTCAGGGCCTACACCAATGAAAATTTAATAATTTGTTTAACCAGTAATTCTATCAATGGCCAGTAGTGGTGATGATGTTAAATGGTTTACCGAATTTTTCGTACTATAAGGCACACTTAAGATCCTCTTTGGCTTGTCGGAGCACTGCAGCTACTGTAGCCTCGCGAAATTATTGAATGAGTTAAATAAAGTTTGACTTATCTGACTGTTTTGTTCGGCTTAACGCGCTTTATAATCCGGTGCGCCTTATGTATGAAAATAGACACGAATAGACGCATTCATTGATGGTGCGCCTTATAGTGTGAGAAATGCGGTAGACAACTTAACTTGCACATCCATAGTCATGATATTAAATGACATACCGCTTCTTTGACGTAGTTTGAAGTTTCCTCTCTGAAATCAACAATTTCTCAATTCCATTCATTTAAACTTTTGAGGGGGAAATTGCTTCAAAAATATAAGTGTTATTATATCTGTAGATTCTTTACTATATTTTATGTATCAGCATTAAGTCAAGTGTGGAAGAGAGGTTTCAGAAAACGTATCCTGATAAACCTACTTATATTTGCCTCTTTATGACTCGATACATTTCAGGCTTTTATTTTCATGCAGCACAGAAATGTCTTATCACGAGAAAGAGAATTACTATTGATAAATTTGCCTGGAATATTAATAATATGATACCCTTTTATCCCTGTCTCTTCATCGAAAAACTAAAAAAAAAAAAAAAAAACTAATTAATTGCTTTGACAAAGGGTATTGTGTGTCCTCTGTGCACGAAAGCAAAACTAATTAAAAATTTTAATTGCTGCTCTTGTCTTGAATTACATATCATACGTTTCTTTCTTTCCTTGCAGGACTCACTAATGAATATCTGGACTGTTTTACATAAGCACGCCTGGAGGACTAGCTTATGTACTGGTCTGATCCCTCTGTTTGAGACTGTTGCTCCTGGGGATGTGCGGGAGGTAGGGGCAGGAGAAGAAGAGTACTGAGACACACTACTTCAGCAGACCCAGACAACCAGACAAACACAAAAGATCATCTCGTCTTTTATATGCGTTTTAATTCAACTCAATAACGAGCCAGGAATCTAACTTAAACAGTCTTTATGCAACAACTGAAACCCAGAAACTTCCTTTCACTCACGCCTCTGTTTTTGTTGCAGAGTACTTTAACACCACCAGTACGGTGCATTTCACTGACAGTTGCAGCTCTTTAATCTTGTATATCTGTAGTCACACATGTTATGAGGTGCAGTTTTTGTAAATTATATGTAAATATGGACCCAAACATGTTGAGATGATTATGTTCTTCAAGATAAATGTTAAATCTACTGATCATTTGTATAGTTTGTGAAACTGGGTTTCAGTTTTGCCTGGAGAGAGTTCAGCCTCAGTATGAAGAAGAGAAGATGATCATAACTCAAAATTAACCATAAGCGCCTCAATTTACTGTTGATTGTACAGATCATTACCATGACAATAAAGCAGCCAGTCTTTTTCATATCTAAACACACATGTGACTGTTATTTTGATGTTCTTACAAGGGTCTCAACTTAAAAAAAAAAAAAGGTTTGGAAAACTTTGAAACAACTTGACATTAATTTTTGTACATTGCAGTTTGTGCAGCTGGTAAGTGGTGTTTTTCTTTATTGATTTAAGTTTCAAAATGTCAGCCTTTTAAAAATACTGTTGACGAATTGTAACAAAATTAAATGACTAAAGTATTAAATCAATACCTTCCTAAACAAATTACACCTTTAGTGATACATCAAGTTGTTTTAAATCAATGTAATTTTCAAAATTAACACTCAGTATGTGGTTCTACTTCTTTCTATTATACCAGATTGATTTAATACCAATTATTTCAAGTTCTCAGTTGAATGAAAAACTCCCAGCTCCTTGTTGTCACATGCAGATGCAGCTCAAAAGATTTAAATGTCCTGAAAGGATTCAATTTTCCTCATTATTTAATTAAAAAAGCGAAACTTCCATTTATTTGAGATTTATCTCACAAAAGTGAATATTTCATTACTTTTTTGTTTAAACCTTGACAATTACGGTAAAAACACAAAATGATTTATAATAGAAAAATATTGACGTGGAAAATTATATTCATTAATGCTCTCAGTTGGTCGGGGCTCCTCTTGTAATGATAGGCACGCGGTTCTTTTAGATGTACTGAATCACTAGAATTAGTTCACTAAAAAGATTTGTTCACCAAATTACCAAATCACTTAACGCTTGGGGGTAGAAGCCCGTGACTCCGACCTTCTGAACTGATACACAGCTGAACCTTTTCTGGATTCACCTCAATTCAGAGCTTTGTTTGAGTGTTTGTCTGTGTTTCTTTGGCAAACAGGTTTGTAAAAATGAACTTGTTTATAAGTCATGATGTTTTAAGTTTACTGTCGTATGGTATGCTATTTTCCAGGTCTGCTTGGTAAATTGGGGTCAGTGAGTGATTCTTTCACTGAACGTTTAGAAGAATTCACACTGAACATGCACTGTAAAACGGAATTGAAGGCCATTTTCATGTCATAAGGAACCCAGACACTCCAAAAACCACGCAACATACAATGAGACCATGAGGACCAAAATAAAAACATAATATAGTTCAGAAAAAAAAAATGCAATTAAAAGGGAGGATGAAAGCGGAAACAGGATAGGAAATATAAAAGGCAATATCAACAATGACAATACAATAATAACAGGTAATACTGGTAATAATAGTACTGATAAAATAGGGCAACAGAAATGAGCGAGAGGTAAAACAATAAAAGGCCTAAAAGGTTAATTAGAAAAGCGTAAGTATAAAAAAAAGCTAAAAAGACAGTAAAGCCGAAATAAGATAAAGTTTAAAGAGATAAGAATTGACAGATAAAAGATAATAGATGTTACTTATGATGTAAAAAAGTTTAAAATGTCTTATTTTTCAAACACTTAAAACTCGAGGTCCTCATCTAAGAAGGTCAAAATGACGCTAAATCAGAACTCGTACGGGTGAGCCGTCAGTATCAGATTACCGTCTATCATCAACACACGACCCATGACGGATTTTTTTTTAAAATTTAGCATAACGAAAATAACCACGATATTTCTAACATACTAATAATCTCATTTTATTCGAATTAGCCCCATATTTTAATTCTATTCATTCAAAACTTGTCTTGGTTTCCTTACTAGTCAAATAAAGCAGGTACTGTTTTGTGAAATAAGACGACAGGCGTGGCCTCACGTGCACAATCAAGGCTTTGAGTCAGCACAGGTGAGCTGCTCGCGCCCTGCTGACAGCCCGAGCTCGAGAGCGAAGAGGAGAGCACGCAGGTATAACTGTCACCTCTGTTCATAAAGAGAGGATTTCTGAGCTTTTTTCTTTATTATTGCGGTGGAAAAAAATCTACTTGAACAACTCAGGTGCGCATTTACTCCTGAATCCAAATCTGACGTGTTTTTTTTTTTGTTTGTTTGTTTGTTTTTTTTGGCTTGAAGGATGAATTTGCATCAAAGTTTTCGATCGTTCGCTGTTTTTGTGCTTATTTTACTCAGCTGCATCTTTCAAGGTAAGATTAAAATGAATGAGGTTTTTTGCTGTGGGCTGTTGTTTGTTTTCAGTTTATTTGGCGCTGTTAGTAATGGGTTATTGCTGAGCACAAATGTCTGAAAAATAGCTTTGATATGTTTTTCTTTTACTCATAAAGTTCACTGTTTTAGTGATTATGTCAAACCATAATGACTGTACTGTTTAGTGTCATTTAATTTCCATATTTGAGCATTTTCTGATCTCAAGGATCAGGCCAGTTCACTTATTGAGACATGAGTGTCCCCTCTTTCATGCACTGGCTCCACACTTCACAGGTACACACTGTGAGCTGACTGCCTCCCCTAATGGTCCCACTCTGGTGAGCGCTGTCTCTGGCAGCAATGTGACTCTGGCTGTGTCCTTCAGCGGCGCCCCTGACCCAGCACTCACCTGGTCCATGGGAAATCTTCCTGTCGTCACATGGACTATTAACTCACCTTCTCCCCCAGATATACCTGAAAACAGAAGGACCGTGCTGCAGGTTGAGCAAAATGGATCTCTTACATTTGTGAATGTGTCGCCTGAATACACTAGTAACTACACGTTTGAAATTACAAAGTCTGGACTAGGAAAAGCCTTGGTTACTTTTGAGCTGAAAGTGTTTGGTGAGTACAAGTATGAGCTTTTTTAATCACTCTTTAGGGGAGTTTGAATCTAATACTTGCTTTTAAATGTAGGAAATAATCGGAACTTTTGAAACTGTGGCTACAAACTCAAAGACGACTTTTTCCTGGGCTGAATTTCAATCTTTTTCATAGACTTCAGTCGAAGTGGTTGCTGTCTTTACATATGTAGGATTATGTTAGCGAGCACACTCAACTCATTGCCACAGAAATCCTTTATTACATTACAACTTTACAACCTGTTGGTCTTCTTCAGGTTTTGAACCACCTCTGTTTTCAGGGTTATGTTAGTCCCCCGTTTCCTCCGATAAAACTAGACTGCCGGGACAGTTTCCTACGCCACTTTCTACTACAAAAAGAGTATTGTTTTCAGAAATGATATCTGGAGTGTGAGTGTTTCCCAGCTGTTCTGGATTATATGCAAAATTCCCTCTAAAGTCAGGGTGTTAGAAAGGTGGTTTGTTGTGAAGGCAGTCAAGAAAAACTTAAGCACTAATATATTTATCTGGATCAATACACTGATAACAAAGTGTCTCCTGGAAAATCAGCTGTTTAAGGTTAATTATATTGCAGCATTAACAAACAATAACAGTGTAAAGTGGCCGTGAGAGTAGTTAGTTAGTTAGTTAGTTAGTTAGTTAGTTAGTTAGTTAGTTAGTTAGTTAGTTAGTTAGTTAGTTAGTTAGTTAGTTCGTTCGTTCGTTCGTTCGTTCGTTCGTTCATTCGTCAGTTTGTTTATTGTCCAAGAGTGGAAATTTGTCTTTAGTCTCATTGTGTACAAAAAACAGATCAACAGCAACAAGGACAGCAGCAACAGACACATAACAAATACACACAAAACATCTTTGCAGCAAAAGAGGGAGAACAACAATGGCATGTACTGGCAGATCTAACGAGACATAGGCCTACTATCATTTAGTGCCCTGAATGAGTTTTTGAAGAGGTTACAATTTGCCTTAGGTACTTTAGAATCATAGCTAGCAACATGCCAACTTAAGGTGTTTTCTTACCTATTTTCATCGCTTATTTTTATTGCACAAAAATCCAAAGGTATCAAGTTAAAGAATCAGATTAGAAAAAAGCCACAGATGTCAGCATTTACTCCCAACTCAGACATTACGATACCATGACCTTTGTCTTTCTCCTCTTCCATCATTCCATCACCTCCTCTCTTACAGAAATCATCCAGAATGTGACTCTGAGCCCAACGCCTGATTTTGCCATTGAGGGCACAGACCGCTTCACCATGCAGTACAACATGATACAAGGAACGGTCGAGCAGCAGATGTGGTTCTTTGGTGATGAGGAGATAAAACCCAGCTCGCACTATCTGTTGACACAAAAGAGTCTTGTGGTCCTTGCGCCGACCAGAACTGACACAGGAGAGTATTCGGTGTTGTTGAGGAACCCCTTTAGCAGCGTGACAGCCCACATTAGTGTCACTGTGCTGTGTAAGATCATTTTTTTTAACAAGGAATCTTAATCTTAATGTTCTGGTTTGTATCTCCTCATTCAGTCTCTTCAGTCCTCTTCGTTTTTTTTGTTACAGATGGACCAGATGATCCTATCCTCAAAGCCCATCCAGCTCAGCCTTTCTATGTCTCAGGAGACTCTCTGAATCTCTCCTGTCAGGCCGAAGGATTCCCTCAGCCGGCTGTCCAGTGGGTCTTTAATGGTCAGAACATTTCCAGCAAAGGAGTCCTAAATTTAACAAATGTGCAGACCTCTCAGGGAGGCGTGTATACGTGCAAGGTGCTCAATAATCAGACCGAGAAGGAGCGACAAAAGAACATAACTTTAAATGTTTATGGTAAGTGAAAAGCCTTTTTTTCTTAATTTTTATTTATTTATTTATTTATTATTATTATTATTTGTTTATTATTTGTTTATTATTTGTTTATTTATTTATGTTTTAATTGTTTATTTTAATTTTTCTTAATTTCTCTTTTTGTGTGTGATTGTGTAGGCTACACTTTAGAGGGCTTTTCATGGCATCAGAAAATAATGATGTGGTTTATTCTGTTCGTTTATGTTCTGCAAAACAATCATATCCAATATTAAATCTAAATCCCAAACCTGTAAGAAAGAGTTCTCATCTAACAAACTTGAGTATCATATAAACATATATTCATGTACAGGCTGCTTGCTTCACTTTAATAATATCTAACCAGTCTTCTTGATTGACAGAGAAACCAGCTGGCAGCCCTCTGTGCTCCGTACAGTCAGTGAATAACAACACTGACCTGCAGTACCGCTGTAGCTGGTCAGGGGGAACTCCAGAGGCTCAGCTTTCTTTCCCTGTACTGAGCAGCAGCAACAGTGGAGCAGGAAACTTCAGCCTGACTGTCATCGCCTCAGAAAACCTCGACGGGAGAATTGTCACATGCACAGCGGACCATCCACTCGAACAGAATAGGTGCAATGTTACCGCAAGTAAGTTTTTGTTAAAGGATGATCAAACTTGGGGATCTGGTATTCAACAATATTAAGTCGAAAACAAAAACCTTCACCCTCCACAGGTGGTCCCCTGAAGTTCCTGCCATTTGTGAGAACCACAGTCGACTCTGAGGGCAAAATAGTGGTGACTATCTACTGCGTCAGTGAGGCGTCTCCCAGCGCTGTGGTGTCATGGTCCAAAGGGATTGAGGCTGTGATCAACGGGACAACGCACCAGATTAGCAGCAACACCGCCCAGCTCCAGATTCGGGATTTCAATGTCAGCTACTTCCTTCTCCAAAACTACTCCTGTACCTGCAGAAACCCCCTGGGCAGCCAGAGGAGGGGGATTCAGTTATTAGGTATTAAACAGCTGCACTTGTTTGTTGTATTTTTGCAGTCATCTTGAAGTAGAGATAGATAGATAGATAGATAGATAGATAGATAGATAGATAGATAGATAGATAGATAGATAGATAGATAGATAGATAGATAGATAGATAGATAGATGGGGTGCTCGATCAGCTAAGTGAGAACTGCTCGAGTTCGTAGCTGTCTCGTCCAATAAGGACAAAATTCTCTTACAAAATATTCAGTGCTCAAGGGTGATTCAAAATAACCTCCCAAAACAATTAAGTGATGCTCATAAATAATTTGTGAATTTAAAGCTCCTGTGAGGACTTTTTAGTTTGGGTTGATTTTGGCGCCCCCTGTGGACAAAGCAGTCTTTTGCTCATCTTGTCCTTTACATACTCCAAGGATGTCTTTGACAAAAAGTTTTATCCAGTCAGACAAAATCTAGCAACTTTGCAGTACTTTAGGACATTCAGTATTTGGCTGATTTTTTTCCTTTTTTAAATTTTAAATCTTTTCGTCTGTTAAACAATTAATTATTTTACGAGGTGAATAATTTAGAGTTAAAGCTTCAATTTTAAATAGCAATTCCCTCTTTACTTCTTTAACCTCATAATAAATATATAAGACCAACATTATATTTATTCAAACAGAGTAATTTGGCATTGCTCTTTATCCTTGGAAACAAAAGTGTGGCTTTACTTTCATTCTTCCATGTTTCAAGTTTTCCACCGGCCTCTAACTGTGAGCACATCTAGCATTACCAGAGTTAAAGGAAACAAAGAGCCCTCAGACGGAGTTAAGTTATACCTGAAACTGCTTTCCCCTTCAGACAAAGCTCCCCAGTCTTGGTCCCCCCCTCTTGATCTCTCTCTCTCCCTCACAATCCCTCTCCTCCCAGGACCGTCCATCTCAGATTCCAGTTTGTTCCCTAATCAAGATGGAACCATAGTCACGTTGACCTGGGAGGTCCCACCGACCTCCATTGTTACAGGTAATACAGTCATTTTCTCCAGGAAGGAGGCTCTGGAAAACTGCAGTTTGATTTCTTTTTCCACTCAAATATATACAAACGTCACACGGCAAACCAAGCCACCCTGTTTTGTATTCGTACATCTCAGCAGAACTCCCCTGGGAAGAATGCCGACACGGTGTTGAAAATAGAAACTCAGCATAGAAGATAGGGGTGTAAATATTGTGTAATGTGTGAAGCCTCTTACTGAGCAAAGCTGTGTTGTGGTAAAAATATGAAAAGGGCACAAGCACTGTGAGGCACGAGTATCACTGTCTGTTATTTCCTCTCACTGTCAGCCTGTTTACACGTGTTTGGCTCCACTGTTTGACCTTTCTTTTAAAGGTTTTGACATCCAGATGAAAGGGCCGGACCTCCAGAACATGAACCGGAATGACACCCAAATTAAAGGCAGCTCAAATATGTTCCAAATCATTCAGCAGAAACCTGGCTTTGCCCGGAGTGCTGATATCTTTCCCCTCGATCCAAAGAAGACATACAGGTTTCAGATCATCCCCAAAGCTCGTATGACTGAAGGAGCGCCCTCAAAAGTCCACCGGATCGGCCCAGGTGCAGAAATCTTTGGATTATTATGATAGAGTGTTGTATTTCTTGTTACACATTCAAATTGAAACACGTTGTTTAGGGATGTGAATTGATAAGGTTTTATAGATATCGATGCCATTATCGATTCAATTCTTTAACGATTCCCTAATTTATGCCTTTCTTTGTATTTAAAAAAAGTAGACCATAGGTCTTCACCATTCACTCAAAGTTATATTGAGTCTCTGATAACAGAAAAAGATGTATGCCATCGTCATTTAGAGTCTAAAAATAATCAAACGACAAACTATTTCTACAGCATTTACTTTGGTCGGGATTAAGTCAAATACATAATACGTTGTCAAGTTTGGCATGCATTGTACTCATGTTAACACAGGACATACATACCGTCCATGCCGTGCTGAGACGGAGCAGCAGCGTCTGACGACCAGCGGAGAGCATTGAATACATATGACTCCTTATATTTGATGCCGTGCCGCGTTGACAAATGTTTAAGCATGTTGCTGGTGTTTCCATCTTTGCATGTTGTGCTGTTGTTGTCTTTCTTGGTAAAATTAAGCCATGCTTGAGATCGTCTCTGCCTACTTTTCATACCGTCCACCACAGTTTTTTTTCCCTCTGTCTCTGTTCTCATTTGTGTAGACCGGCACTCGCGAGACTGTTTTTCAAAGCACCCGCAAGAAAGGATTCCTTAAGGGAATCGTTAAGATGAAATGTAAATGATGTCGATGATTTGAACCATTTGGAACCGGTTCTCACTTCCCATCCCTAATGCTGTTTGTCCTGGTAATACTAGGTGAGGGGCTGAGTGGTCCAGCCATTGCTGGAATTGCTGCAGGAATCCCCTGCAGCATCCTCTTCCTCGTTCTGTTAGCCGGCTTCATCTACCTTTGTGTTTACTGCTACAGGAACAGAAGTGAGTTAAAATCAACTTTCCTTGTACAGCACTGAATTGTAACCACTCATCACATGACACGTTATGGAGAAAAGGTTTCAACATTTAAAAGAGGCGGCCAAGTTAGTGCAAAAAGCTTCAGCTCTATACTAACAGCTATCAGCAAAATACCAATGAAAACATGTTTACTTTTACAACCTGGTACATGTCATGTCCTTTTCGATCCCACTGTGCAAAAGCTGAATTATTATTATTATATCACTCATCTGATTTGAAGATATCAAGACCAGAAGTTAAACAAAGGTTTGCACATGAAGGAGATGTTGCTGAGTCGACTGTTGAGCATGCATGTTGCAGCTCAGGCCACACCTCAGCTCCACCGCTTCACTTGGGTCTGGACTGACAGACGTTTGGTCAAGTCGACATTACGATAAGGCGGCGGCCATCATAGAGATTCAGAACCCAGTGGCTGATGATCATGTGACACAGGTTTAATACAGCCAGTATTCTAGTGCGCAGCTTTCATAAAAACAAAATAACACAACAAAAGTAAGAGATTATAATTGTTAATCACTATCATACTCATAATTTTGGACTAATTTTAGCAAAACAAACTATATTAATTATTTTAAAATGTGTCTGACAATTGTAGCTCAGCTTTAAAACCATGTTAACAAATCTTTTTTTCCACAATAGTCAATATTTTTGATGTTTTATTTGTGCTTTTTAGGTCGACAGACAAGATATCCTGTTTCCAGAGCCGCTGAGAAGGTAAGACTAATTATACATGTCGGAAGTATATCTAGTTCTCAGAGGTTAGCTGAAAGTTACGTCTTAAAGACAGCTCTGGCACTAATCCAATCTTTCTATCGTATGTCAGACACAGTGTGTAATTTATTAATAATTTTCACAGTCGTGTTGTCGATTGTTTTAATGTCTTTTTCGTCACTCTCAGGCAATAACAACCCAAACTGATTCAACTCCCCACAACCGTCTCAGAGGAGGGTTGAAGGATCCCCCAGATTACAACCGATTAAAACCGGTAATCAATCAAACATGAGATAAAGATTACTGTTTTTGTACAACGACAGCAAATGATCAGATTTATGTTTTTTTTAAATTTTAGGCTCCCTCTGAAAGATCCGTGGATCTCCCCGCCTTTATCCCTCCACCGCCGGTCAGAGTCGCTACAACTGTCTAAAATTATGTGTATATTTTCTTGAATATCAATATTTTTTATGCTTTATTCTAATTTACATGAAGATTTTCTATATTTGTTACCATAATTTTAACTAAAATAAGGTTTGGTTTTATGTATTTATTCTCATGGGGATGTTTCATTTTTTCTTATAATCAAAAGTTCACTGTTTTCCAAAAATGTTTATTGACCTGAACACACAAAAAAAAAAAAATCGAAGCTGAGGTTATATTGATTGTGTCGGTTTAAATCACCTTCATTCCATTAAAAATACATCACTAACAGTATCTGTGAGATGTCAGTATCAATGACCACTCCTCTGGTTTTTTGGTGTATCATTGGAAAGTAACGCACGCTAACCTCAGAGTCAATAAAGGGAGATGATGATTGGCGCCTCCTCTTATTTAAGCAGAGGACTGAACTATTACTCAGTACCTTACTAGGAAAGACCTCAGATCTGAACATAATTGGCCGGTGTTTTCTACTCTTGTGCAGCAGATGGCGCTGTTGTGTAGAAGGTTATGTATTTCATCATCACATAACTGTGGTTTGTGGCTGGGTCAGAGGAAATTGGGTTTGTGTTTTAGGGAAGTAACCGAGATAACACGACTTCTGGTTGAATGGAGTGAGGGTGTGTTTTTTTTTTTAACCCCCCATGGTTTCTGTGAAGTGTGTACACATTTTCAGATAGAAAGACGCAGAGCACGGTAAACTGTCTAAACTGTTGGATTGAAGATTGACAATTAAACTGTCAAAAGGTTCATATGTCTGATTAATTTGTACGGGTAACCAGAAAAGTTTACTGTAACTTTAACTTTGAGGAAGAACACAAGTCACCGTGGAAAGAGGAAGCCCACATGCTAATAGAGACACAGATGAAAGGTTGAACAACTTCCAGAGAAATGTCGAGTTTTCATCCAGAATAATTCCCCACATTTACACGTGTGTGACCTCCTGTAAGCTTCTTATCAGGGTCACCATGTCTGCTTTTCTTTGGTTTTTGGTTGAGTCTAATTCTGTCTTCCCCCATGCGTCATAACGTGAAACACTGACACACTAAACGCTGCGAGCTTTTCTCAGCCGTGGGTTAAACCTCTCACCAGCCACTTCCTGCCACACTGGACCAATATGGGGGGTGAATGTCAAAGTTTTCACCAGTGTGAGGTAATCATTTGAAACCTGTCTTGCAGCTACCTGGTGTGCAGCTCTCTGTCGTTCTTGCTCTTACTGAGAGAGGATCTTTAATATTGTCAAAGCTGTTGCACATCTCTACATCAGCGCATAGAAGCATTTTAAAGCCATCAACCCCCTGTGGACTGAATGGAAATATATATGTATATATATGCACACCAGTTATCTTATCCTGACTCTAGTGGACTGCAAAAACTTTTACCTTAGAGTATTAGCTTTATCGAGAAGAAATCTCATTGCACTTAATATAATCTAAGCTCATCAGACTAGTTTAGATATAGTCAGGAGTGAAAATAGCTGCCAGTAAAACCACCTTGAAATAATATAATAGAATCTAATATGAAAGGTACCTGCTGCACGAGTGTCTAATTTCACACATTAAATTTATCACACCACATCACTTTCAAGATATATTTAAAACTCACCTGCAAGATGAGAGACAATACAAAGCTGCACGATATGCTCATAAAAGGATATGTGCATGAGTTTACAGCTCTATAGACATGCAAATATAAGAAAATGTCCACATACATATAGTAAAAGCACAGGAGTTCTGTTTTATTCCAGCATAAGTGGGAACACCGTCCAAATAATGTGCACACACACACACACTTTAAGTCTGTTTTACATACTGTTCACTTTTGTTCTTTTGCAGTAACAACAGGTAGGTGTCGATGACGGTTGTACATTCACGGACAATGGTTTCTCACTGTGGGAAGTCTTTATTACACAAATAAGGAAGATGAACTAAAGGCTTCCCTACATGAGTAAATGCTTATCAAGTGTTACTACAAGTGTAGATGCAAACGCTGTGTGCACTCAACAGGAGATAAGAAATACACTAGATATTCAAAATGATATTTAAGTTGCATAAAAACAAACTTTTTAATGTTTATCTTAAGAAAAAAATGAAGTGAAAGGCATTTTCTTTGTGTTTTATGTACTTTCTAAGAAATTTAATAATTATTTCTTACACTCAATAATTTGATTCATCATGATGGACTCAGAGTATCTAAAAAAATAGCAACAAATACTTAATTTTTCCATGTGCAATACACACGAATCATATTGCATACTTAACAGTGTTCATGCTTAGATACTAGTGATACCTGATGGTCAAAACATGTTCCTCACGCAGCATCAAACAGCGTTTTACTGTCAGTGCAGTGTTTCTAAAATATCACAGCCTACACAAGGTGGCTACGTATATCTCATTGTGCATGCAGGGTGTAACTTTTTCAAGCATCTATTTGGTCATGCGTCTGCTCTAAGTGTGTGAGAGCGTGTCCCTGTGACCACACCCCGGCCACACTGAAAGAAAGTGTGCGCTTCAGCATGTTCCATTGACCGCCGCAGTACTGCAAGCCTTTGCACATCCACAGTTCCAGAACACCTCGTAGAACAACAGACATGGCTCGCAGTGCTGCGGCCTCACATCCCGGACCCTCCCCCGTCCCCTCCCTGTCCACCCCTGACCCCCAAAAATACTCCCATGCAGTTGAGTGTAAAAGAGTCACGTGGCTTGTGGCCCACCAGCTCAAGTGCGTTTGTTCTGTGCTGATTGTTTTAAAGGATTTTGCATCCATCGACAGAAAAGTGGAGGGGATAACTTTTTGGAATTCAGCCTAGGGCTTCCTCTTTGACACTCTCTCCTGGCTTGCACTCTCTCTCACTCTTTCCCTGAGGAGAGCCCGATACTTAAGAGGGTTGACTTGTTCTAAAGAATTCAGGTAAGATGACGTCCAATCTTTTGTTTATTGCTGCTAATGCTAGGAAGTAGGAGTAAAAACAGCTCATACATATCAAGGCATGTTCACCTGAGTGGCTCTTACAGGTGGGCTGGGATGTAATTCACCTAATTTGTATAAATACAAGTTAGATTTCTAGTTCATGTCTTGGAATCCGTCTTGTTGCAGTGTTGCTCAAACATAGCTTTACAGACCTGCATCATTTCTCAGGATTTCCTGCTAATATTCAGATTTTCTTTTAACTACTTCCTCTCATCTGTTTCTCAGGGCCTTGGCCCGAGAACGTGTGGTGCATGCTATTCCTCAGCTGAAAAATGGCTTGTTAACACATTTTGTTTTGGGCGTGATGACTCAATGCAACATTTGAGGAGTTTGTATGAGTTGACAGTAAAGAGGAACAGATTATGGCTCATCACAGTGGCCACCGTACCTGTCACTTCTGAGTTATTGTCAGCTTACCACAAAAAACTCCCACGAGCTGTCATCACAAACAGACAAAGACCTTCAAAGTCATCACGTCTCTCAGCATGTCGGTTGTTTGCGCCATCACTGAGGTTTTTTGAAAGCAGCGAGTACAAAACATGTTCATACAGAAAGAGATCATATGTCTCTATTAATGTAATCTACTGTGGTTGGTGTGACTGCTTCATACTGACCAGCAGCTCTCATGTTGAACACTGTTAGTGAAGACCGTTTAACCTACATGGCTGCACAAGTCTAACATCCATCCTTAGAAATCTTCAGACAGCATCTGTGCCCCAAATATTCTTGAGTCTTTGCCTGATTACAAACTATCCAAAGGAAGTTCAGAAGTAAAGTGACCTAAATTTTCAGAAGAGTGGTTTTATATCTGAAAGGATGTAGTTTCTTTCTCAGGAGGTTGAATCATGCTTCTCCGGTATTTGGCTTAAAGATAAGCTTCTGTTTAAGCTTCACTTGTTAGCCAACATCAGAGCAGACTGACCACATGTTGAAGCTCAGACGCATGTCACATCCTCTCTTAACCATGAAGCCTGTTCCTGCTGCAGGTGTTTACAACACTGCTGAGTTTAAAGCTGCAAACCTTTGACTGCTTCATTCCTACAAGTTTTCTCTCATGTCTAAATCCTTTCCTCTTATTTTTCTCTCTCTTTGCACAGTGCATAAAGCCTGAACATCTGTCATAGTGTCACTCATGATGTACAGCTTCATGGGAGGGGGCCTATTTTGTGCCATAGTGGGGAACATCCTGCTGGTGGTCTCCACAGCCACAGACTACTGGATGCAGTACCGTCTGTCCGGCAGCTTTGCCCATCAGGGCCTGTGGAGGTACTGCATGTCCGGAAAGTGCTACATGCAGACTGACAGTATCGGTGAGTGGATAAATACCTCCTGGACGGTTCAGAAACTCCTCCAAGAGCTTAGATCCGAATGACTGTTGAGTGACTTTTAGAGGATGTTCAGAGTAGAAAGGCCGATCACAGCGACAGAAAGACTTGTCAAATAGATACACCCACATCTCTCATTTTACTACCTTCAGCTGTATTAACAGGGCTTGACACTAACTTTTTTCACAAGGAGCGCAAGTGCTCCTAAGTTAAAAAGTAAGGAGCACACAAAGAACTTTAGGGGCAAAATGAAAATTGATCGAATAATGTGTGTCTTATTGGTCGACATAAGTACCATTATTTGAAATCAATTTTAGGTCAGTTGGTCAAATGACATGGAAACTATTGAAGGAAAACAGCCTTTTCTGAGAACATCAACCGGTAATTTATTGATGGTCCCTTATTTAACACCCAACGTTGACAGCAAGGGTGCCAAGTAGATTTAACCCATAGACAGTATATCGTATGGACAACTTGGTTCCGCCTTCTCCCTGTATACGGTTTGAAGCAAAAAGGCTCTCGGTAATTCTGCGTTTTTTCTCCACTTCCTGAAACTAACATTGCGCAGTAGTGTTGTACGCATTTTAGAGTCGCAGAGAGACACTGTGATGACGCTCGGCTCAAACAGTGTATACCCCCGGGTGAGCTACGCAATCTTCATACGCCAATAGGTTGTATCAGGTGTCAATCATAGAAACATGAACTTTTAAAAATTGAGTTTTACAGAAAAAAAGAGGACTTGAGCACAAACCAGTCTTACTGTAACTACATGTCAACATCACAAGCAGGAGGGAAAAAATTTCTAAAGTTTGTCCACAGCTCCATAAGATTTGCTGGCGAAGGCTAGATTTATGACCTATACTGCAGCCCGTCACCAGAGGATGCTGTTCTCAGAGTGGCTTCACCCAGCAAGGAGGCAGACGGCGTCCATTCTATATACAGTCTATAATTTAACCACGCTGCTGTTGCTATCCCGGGTTATGGAGAGTGAGAAGACACCGGTAGATCCGCAGTGAATATCTGTCGGATATCCAACCTAAAACTAACTTCACTGCGGTATTTACATGAAAAAACATTTGTTGCTCCGCCTGATTTTTTTTAATATCACATGTGCCCCTAAATACATTTTACAATTTACACACATCTATTTTTAGTCGCAAATACGAGTGAAATGGTCGCACTGTCGAGCCCTGATTTAGATATAACTGTGATTTGATCAAAATGACAACATTAGCATGCTAAAGTGCTCACAGAGATGATGCTAGCATTTAGCTGAGCATTTCAGCATGTCAAACTTTGATAATAAGCATCAAGATGCAGCCTATAATGATGAAATTAAAGCCAATCAAAGGACTGTAGGTCCTTGATTGACAGCTAAATCCAAGTGATCCTTAATTAAAGGCATATCAAAATGCCCATTTTCCCCTGTGGGTATATTTATGTTTATAAAAAACACTTTATTCGTCTCCATAACTCAAAACTTCATTCTCAAAAGTTTATTTCTGTATAAAACTCATCTATTTTGATTACAATTGGGGTTATAGATGTGCATAATTAAGGAGTTTCTTGTTTTACCTTTAGCTATTTATATGTGTCTATATTAGCCGATAGTATTTTGGAGTCTGCATGACCAATTTGTTGACCTTCCTCTTTACGTTACATACGTTACGTTTATAAAGTCTATGATTAACATTAAGTCTAAGTTCAGCTGAAACTGATGGATATGTTTGTTTGTTTCACTCCAAATAACTCAGATTTCACCATGTGTACTTGTCCAATTCCAGCCAAAATATCTCATTATACTAAGTACAAGCTAAATTCACCTTACAAGTCCAGGTATGACTCTTTATTTCGAGATATTACAAAAAAAAAATGAGGCCAATTCGCATTTAGTGATTAAGAAAGCTGTAAAAGGAGTAAAATGTACTGATAAAATGTAATGATTCAAATTTAAACCTCAAAATGTCGGATCAGTCATCTAATGTCACATGGTTAACCTGACCCTTTCACACACTTATTCATCGAGGAATGGCGTGAACATCTGAGCCACACTTCGTGACGGTGAGAGACTAAACCTCAATCAGGGAGACACAGAAGACCCCAGCGTGCTTTGTCTAAGACCACAAATTTCTGTGTAACATTTTTGGCGATCAGGCAGACGGTTGACCAGAAATTTATGCTTGAACTGAACCTGCAGACTGAAGTTTCGCCAGTCCTGGTTCAACTGTGGTGAAAAAATTAAATCTGAGCAATTCAAAAGTACCCCTCCACTCAGAGTGAGGTTTTCACTGAATGATCTCACTAATTTCAACTCACTTAACCTTTTTTTGCCCTGACTCAGTGTGGTGACGAAGGTGGATAAAACAGACTCTTTCGAAAGCAGATACATGCTTGATTGTCAGGCTGGAAATGAGTCTGAACTGCTCATAGTGGATGGAATTGTAGAGCTGATACTGTTGTTAGGGCTGCCATATAAAACAAAGGAGTTACACTGAAATGAAATGATGTAACACATTTAAATCAAGATTAGAAAACTACACTGACATACTGTACTAAAGTAAACACAATTATTGCAACTGCGTCGCAGGTCCAGGTGTGCAGTGTAACAGGTGAAAGTGAAAAGGGAAGAAAAAAGCTATTTTGTTGTCCTAAAATTGTCTGAAACATTATCAGGATGTTTTTCGAATAATCTTTAAACGAAAGTTGCATTAAAAACATTCATATGAAATATTGGGCGCAGTCTTTCCCCATCTTTTGGAGCATATTTTTACCGTTTGTTCTCTCTTCATCCTCAGCTTATTGGAATGCCACTCGAGCCTTCATGATCCTCTCTGCCATGTCATGCTTTGCTGGCATCATTGCAGGAATCCTCTCTTTCGCTCACTTCTCTGCCTTCGAGAGGTTCAACCGCTCTTTTGCTGCTGGGATCATGTTCTTTGTTTCAAGTAAGTCATGGATTACATAACGTCGTATTGATTTGCTCGGTCTTGCTGGTTATAAAGCATGTACTGTGATGTGAATTTGCATTTTATGTAAATGTGCACCAGCAGAAAACAAAAGATAACTTCTGCTGGTGCGCCATGTGAAAGTGAAACCCTGTTAATGCTGCACTTGTTTACTTTCTTTGCCCACTCTGACAGCTCTCTTTGTTCTGCTTGCAATGGCCATTTACACCGGGGTGACTGTGAACTTCCTGGGCAAGCGCTTTGGTGACTGGCGCTTCTCTTGGTCCTACATACTAGGCTGGGTGGCACTGCTCATGACTTTCTTTGCAGGTTTGTTCAAAAGGAGGAGCACTGCAGGAATCAGTGTTATCAGTTTTATTATATTTTATAAACAAATCATAACATTACAGACACGGTTTTGTAGTATAAACATTGCATTTATAGTTTTTAAGGTGCTGCTATGAACAAAACATCAAAAAGGTCAAAACCTCAGTAAAAATTTCAACCATGCTGTTCAAACGTATTGTATGTATTTCCTTCATATGAAATAGTGTATTCATGTCCCATTATGCTTTTCTGTTCTGCAGGTATATTCTACATGTGTGCCTACAGAATGCATGAGTGCAGAAGAGTGGCAGGTCCTCGTTAAGTAAACAGGAAATGATGTAAGAAAGCTGCAAAAGAAATCAATCCCCATTCAAGGATTAAAATTTGCTGTACAATAATAAAATTTCGAAATCTGCATATGCACTACACACGTGTTGTGGATTTATCATGGGTTAAGTTGAAATTCTTGTGATGCTAAAAGTCTGACATGGTCTACAAATAAACCAAAGTGGAAAATCAGTACAAACGGCATGAAACGTTTACATATATATGGATTATAAGGAGCAAAGCAGCTGAATGTGCACAGATTGTATTAAAGTGTCCTTAAACTTTAGCTTGAGTTTGTGGCCTCTCCTTGGGAACCTGAAACATTCTTCCTGAAAATGGACTTTGCACCCGTGCAGCGGAAAGCAGAGGAGGAAAAGAAGAAGATGATGGGGTCTATGCAGGTGTTGAAGGTGCTGAGGAGCAAAGTGTAGTGCCTCCATTTCAGGCTCGCATCTTGAAAGTAACCCACCAAATGTGTCATGTTGTACGGCATCGCACAAATGAGGAACACAGCTAGAGTTCCCAGGGCCATGCCGATGGCCTTCTGCTTCTTGGCTGCAGATATCCTGGGGCGGTTGTAGAGGATCAGGATGCACCTCAGGTAGCAGAACACACAAATTAGAAGAGGTATCAGGAAGAGCACAAAGAAGATTTCCAAACGCACAGGGATGAGGACCCCCAGCTGCTTCTCTGTGAAGTCCTCATAGCAGGCCGTGGAGTTTTTATTGTACAGATCTGGGTGGAAGCGGATAATGATAGTAATGCTGCAGTGAGCAGTTGAGATGAGCCAAATAACAGCACAGATTGCTAACCCATACACAGGTTTGAGCAGCTGACGATAGGCGATAGGGTAAGCTACAGCGATGTAGCGGACCACACTGACCGCCATCAGCAGCAGAGAGCTGGTGTAGATAGTGGAGAAGAAGGTGAAGGAGATGATGGAGCATAAGAGGCCGGGCAGAGTCCATTCCATGTTAGATGCTGCCTCATGCATCTTGAAGGGAAGGATGATCAAGAAGAGCAGGTCAGAGACGGTCAGATTGAGGAGCAGGATGTCTGTAGGAAGAGGCTTGGAGTGGATCTTTCTACTGAAGGTGTAGAGAGCCAGGAGGTTGGCCGGCAGGCCAAAGAGGAAGGACAGGATGTAAACGGAGAGAAGGGCCTCAGTACTCACCACTGTCTCCATCATGATCCTATAAACAAAAAGAAAAAAGAAACAACTCCTCTTATATTGGATGAACCAAGACTAGGAAGTTAAAAGAAAAGGCTTTTCTTTATTTCTAGTCCAATACAAAGTTGTGATTAGAAAGTAAAGTTTAAATGCACCCCCATACCATCACAGATGGTATGGGGGTGCATTTAAACTTTACTATCATAGTATTCTGTTTTTATTTACGTTTATCACAATTTCCTAACTTCAATGGAATTGGGTTTTGCATAATGGGCTCATAACAACAGCATGACCCCAACACAGAAGAGCCAATGGTGCCTGCAGTCCCGACCTGTCACTCATTAAATACATCTGTTGCATCATGAAACCACCTTAAACAGTAGGGTGACTACAATCTAATACCAAACTGCAGTAGGACAACAATTCACCTTCAGAACTGCTGAAACTGACCTCCTGAGTTTACAAAAGTTTACAGTGCCGGTAATTTTGAAAACATCAGAGAGTTTATCAAAAATAAGTACACTGTGTATGAATAAAGTAGCACTAGTTACACAGCAATTTCAAAACCAAACTCCATTTTCAAACATGAGCCAATGAAAGTACATGTATTCACCTACCTTGGTGTGAATTTTCTTCAAAAAGAAAGTGAAGGTCTGTGTTTTCTGCCTCCTTGCAACTTTCCCTTCAGGCAACAAATGAATAACTTGTGAGCTCAAAGATGATCTCGCATATCATGCTGCTCTGCCTGTCTTATACTGACCAATACATAAACACAGTTAGTTAATGATGGATCAAATGCAAAACTAAAGCTCACGTTGACATTTATATTTGGTTAGTAAAGCACTTCCGCCCACTGGAACTCTGTTTGGAGACACTCCAAACATGAGGATCAGGTTTTAATTCAGCTCGTGTTCTCTTTGAATGGACACAACCACTGGGACTGTACTCAGTTAAGATTAATGTCTTTTTTACACGGACATTAGATTAAGGACCTCTGTCTTAATTTTGGTTGCAGAATGGCAGTGATGTGTCCAGAGGGGTTGCCGTTAAAGTAGAATTTGTGTGTGCTTGCATACCCTGGCCACCTCTACCTCTTAAAGTCCCCAGTCTGAAGTGTCTGGACACACCCCTGCAGAGTGGCATCTTTACTAGAAAATTAGAACAATTGATTTTAGTGTTTTTCACTGCCTTCAGGAATCGATTGGTAGGTGAGCAAGCTAATGGATAGCCAACATTAGTAGCATAAAGTACATTGCCTCAAACATAGCAAGCTAACACGTTAGCTGATGTGTGGTCAGAAATGTTGAACTACTGCTTTGATGGACTCTCCGTCTTGATGTTTCCGGCAGATACGAACAAGCAATGGATGACTTAGAGACTTGGAGTGGAGTCGATGCAAGATACAACCTCCTGTTCTGTAGTGTTTATTTTGAAAAGATAAGAAAACCATATAAAAAAGAAAACTGCCAAATGTTTACTAACTCTAAAGTTCATTCTTTGTCAGTAAAACGGAAAGAAAGCTGTTAAGGGGCGTCAGTAGCACAAGAGGTAAAGCCGTTGTCCAAAAACCAGTAGGTTGGCGGTTCGATTCCCCCCTCTCCCTAGTCTCTCTGTTGTGTCCTTGGGCAAGACAGTTGCTCCCAGTGTGTGTCCTCCACTAGTGTATGGTTGTGTGGTGGTGGTCGGAGAGGCTGTAGGCACAAACTGGCAGCCATGTTTCCGTCAGCCTGCTCCAGGTCAGCTGTGACTACTAAGGAAATTTACCACCACCAAGGTGTGACTGTGTGGAGGAATGAAGGATGTATCCAACGTAAAGCACTTGGAGGGTCTCTGATAAAACACTATATGAAATCTGAGTTATTAATGTAATTTGATATTATATTAACAACCCAACATACTGGGTTTAAAGAACTCAGCAAAGTAGTTATTTTGAACCCTTAGTTCGGTTATATGAACAACCCAATTGTTGGAATAATTGAACCAACCAAACGAGTTGGGTAAAATCAACCCAGCATGTGTTCTGTCCAATATTTAACCAGTGCTGGGTTGGGAAACTACCCAAATTTGGTTGTTTTTAACCCAATGTTTTTAGGAGTGTAGGTCTTCTCTGTTGTCTGGAAGAAACTTGAGTCTTAATTTCCCTCCTGTCACATAACTTACCAGTCAACACAGCACCAGGAAATACTTTAAAAAATGTCACAAATTTGACTTCAAATTCAAAGAAGTTATTTCAAAAAGTCTCCTCTTTCAGTCTTCCTTCACAGCTGATGTCAACAAGTGGGTTTTGAGGTTGAAAAGTTCCTTTACTGGTGGAAGTTGAAGGTTTTGTGGACAGTGATTTCAGTCAGATGTTCCGTGTTCACCCTCACTACAGGTTTATGATTGCTAAGCCAGTTTGGCCCAATGTGCCATCAGGCAGAGTTCATTTAACAGCTCTGTTCCTCTCCTAACCTGAGTGCCCAACAAATATGGCTGCAAATCTGATGATACAAACACAAAGTTGATTATTAATCTTTGGCCAAAGGTATTGTGCTGACACTCCAGCTTAAACATGACGTTTGGACAAACTTTGACTAGTAGAAGTCCAAAAACAATACAGTTCTATGAATCAGATCAGGTCTGAACCACCATCTACCAGGTTTCTCCATTATTGCACACAAGGACGTTAAAATACAAACATCTACATGAGCTGAGGATGACAATCTTCTTGTCTTCTTCATGCTTTACTGGAGTCATACATCCTCTCCTTCTCCACCTTTCAGAGAGTCAATCCCTACTCTTTTTGAGGCTGTAATGTTTTTCTTTGTTTTAAATTAATCATGGATAAAACAACCTGATGCCATATTAGATTTGCTTAAATAATGTAATATTAAATAATTTTGCATTTTATGTAAATATGCCCCTTAATTGTCACAGGCTGTGACAACACATGACCACAAAGACAGATGTCTTTTTTCATTTCACTGATATCAACTTTCATATGTCTGTCTCTGCCCACCATGACCTGTTTGCTCTGTATTTACTCTGAGTGACTGTGAACATCCAGGGAAATCACTCTCTTGTCTCTGCACACTGAGCATGATGACGACTTTTTTTCGCAGGTTTGTTTAAAAAAGGGCACATCAGAGTTTAGCGTTATCGCTTTTTAGCATCTGGCTATTTTAAATACTTGATTCTGATTGGTTAAAACCCTATGTCAACAGTGATTCACTCTCAACAGCTAAAGCTATTCCAGAAACAACCTGATTAAAGCATTAAACAAACAGTGGAAAAGAATCAGGAACAATTTACCTCAGCTTGTTGACACTGTGGCAAAAACATCAATCCAGTGAAATACTAAACTGATAGAGCTTAAATAGGGCAGAACTGTCAACCTAAATGTTCATGCAGAGGCCTGCGTCACCTTGTTCAGCTTTAAAATTGATACAAATGTCCAGTTTAATGTGAATTTAATCAAACTAGCAGGCTAATATTAAAACACTCAGTTGAATGTTTAATCACCCCAAAGCAGGCTAATAAGAGTCCACTGTTAAGGTTGTGTTACCAACTGTGACTACACACACAATTGGGGTGTTTAGAGAGTGAGAGGCATGAGGATTAGACTTTTGACAGTGTAAGACATGAAACTTTAGTGCTCATAGTCATTATAAGATAATTAACAATGAATCCAAACTGGGAAGAAAGCCATTATCTCACATTCTTAAAATAGTTCTGACAAATAAAAACTACAAAATCTTTAAATTAAAAACCAAAATTACGGGAACAATTTTATTAAACACTTTTATTTATAAGGTTGAAGTATCTGCTTCTAGTTGTAATGAGTAAATACAGTCTTATCACCAAATGCTATCAATAACTAAGAGCTATTGACTGATATTAAAAGCTTTTTTGTAGATACACCACAATAAAAGATGCTTCTGTAACAGAATCCTGCCTTCCCCACCTTTAACACTCATGGATAATGCCCACAGCATGTAATCAAAATTGACACATCAGTAAGAAATTACACAAACAAGCAACTCAAAAGTATAAACTGGCTCCAGAAAGAAGTTTTCCTGTAGAAATATGACCTGCTATGCTTTTCTGTCTTGCAGATTAAGTTGATACAACACATTGCAAGAAAATGCTTGCAGAATAACTTGAATAGAAGCTTGATGTGCACAGATTGTATTAAAATGTCTTTTTATCTTAGCTTGAGCTTTTGTCTTCTTTGTGTGATCTTGGAACCTTCTTCTTAAAGATGTACTTGTCACTTGTGCAGCGGAAAGCAGAGGAAGAAAAGTAGAAGATGATGGGGTCTATGCAGGTGTTGAAGGTGCTGAGTAGCAAAGTGTAGTACCTCCATTTTGGGCTCTCATCTTGAAAATAACCAAGCAAATGTGACATGTTGAACGGCATCACACAAATGAGGAACACAGCTAGAGTTCCCAGGGCCATGCCGATGGCCTTCTGCTTCTTGGCTGGGGATATCCTGGGGCGGCTGTACAGGATCAGGATGCACCTCAGGTAGCAGAACACACAAATTAGAAGAGGTATCAGGAAGACCACAAAGAAAAACTCCAAACGCACAGGGAGGACGACCTCCAGCTGTTTCTCTGAGAAGTTCTCATAGCAGGCCGTGGAGTTTTCATTGTAAAGGTTTGGATGGTACCGGATAATAGCAGTAATACTGCAGTGAGCAGTTGAGACGAGCCAAATAACAGCACAGATTGCTAACCCATACACAGGTTTGAGCAGCTGACGATAAGCGATAGGGTAAGCCACAGCGATGTAGCGGACCACACTGACCGCCATCAGCAGCAGAGAGCTGGTGTAGATAGTGGAGAAGAAGGTAAAGGAGGTGATGGTGCACAGGAAGCCGGGCAGAGTCCATTCCATGTTAGATGCTGCCTCATGCATCTTGAAGGGAAGGATGATCAAGAAGAGCAGGTCAGAGACGGTCAGATTGAGGAGCAGGATGTCTGTAGGAAGAGGCTTGGAGTGGATCTTGGTGCTGAAGGCGTAGAGAGCCAGGAGGTTGGCCGGCAGGCCGAACAGGAAGGACAGGATGTAAACGGAGAGAAGGGCCTCAGTCCTCACCACTGTCTCCATCATGATCCTATAAACAAAAAGGAGAAAAAAAACCACCTGTTGAAATGGATAAACCAAGAAAGATGGTAATAAAAGACATACTCTTCTTTATTCATGTACAAATGGGTTTTTTTCCCTTAAAAAATGCATATAGGACAAATACTATTCATTATGTGTGTATATATATATATATATATATATATATACATATATAGGTAGTTTATCTTAAAAATACAAGGTAGAACTTATGACAGTTACTCTAATAGAGTTTACTGCACCAAAATATCACTTCTTTCAATGTGGCAGCTAAAACCTAAAGTCAACCTCTTTTAAGTTTATTCTGAGCAGCTTTAAAGATATCCCTCTCTTTGAGACCTCCTCTTTTTTATAGCGGTATAACAAAGTTCATGATAAATATGACTCCGATCGCACAATGAAACAAATGAGCTAAAATCAGCTCTCAAGCTTTGTTTCCAAACACCGGATGTCAAAATGAATTTACAAAAATAATCTGCTGGGACTATTAAGATAAACATATTCACTCACCTAGATGTGACTGGTTTCAAAAGGCTCTCTTTACAAGACAGTAGCGGTCCTTGTTGTTTTTCTTGCAGAGCTTTTACTGGAAGATGATCAGTTTATAACTCATGAGTTCAAAGATGACCTGATATAAAACGCAACAAGTGAGAGACAGCAAGTTACACCCAAGCCTTGCACACTGCTGTCACTGTGCCACACTGACTAATAGGAAATAGATTAAATTGATAAAACACAGCATTACAACATTGCAAGAAAATGCAACGTAGCAGACCACATTGACCACCATCAGCAGCTGACACCTGTTTCTTCGTAAGAGGCTCTGCTGACACCTGTTTCCTTATTGGCATTCCCCATTATTGCACACAAGGACGTTTAAATACAAACATCTACATGAGCTGAGGATGACAAACTTCTTGTCTTCTTTATGCTTTACTGGAGTCATACATCCTCTCCTTCTCCACCTTTCAGAGAGTCAATCCCTACTCTTTTTGAGGCTGTAATGTTTTTCCTCGTTTTAAATTAATCATGGATAAAACAACCTGATGCCATATTAGATTTGCTTAAATAATATCAGATTAGCTGAATTTGCATTTTATGTAAATATGCCCCTCAAAATGTGTCACAGGCACTAGGCTGTGACAACACATGATCACAAAGACAGATGTCTTTTTTCATTTCACTGATATCGACTTTCATATGTCTGTCTCTGCCCACCGTGACTCTGCTCTGTATTTACTCTGAGTGACTGTGAACATCCAGGGAAATCACTCTCTTGTCTCTGCACACTGAGTGTGATGACGACTTTTTTCACAGGTTTGTATAAAAAAGGGCACATCAGAGTTTAGCGTTATCGCTTTTTATCATCTGGCTATTTTAAATACTTGATTCTGATTGGTTAAAACCCCATGTCAACAGTGATTCACTCTCAACAGCTAAAGCTATTCCAGAAACAACCTGATTAAAGCATTAAACAAACAGTGGAAAAGAATCAGGAACAATTTACCTCAGCTTGTTGACACTGTGGCAAAAACATCAATCCAGTGAAATACTAAACTGATAGAGCTTAAATAGGGCAGAACTGTCAACCTAAATGTTCATGCAGAGGCCTGCGTCACCTTGTTCAGCTTTAAAATTGATACAAATGTCCAGTTTAATGTGAATTTAATCAAACTAGCAGGCTAATATTAAAACACTCAGTTGAATGTTTAATCACCCCAAAGCAGGCTGATAAGAGTCCACAGTTCAGGTTGTGTTACCAACTGTGACTAAATACACAATTGGGGTGTTTAGAGAGTGAGAGGCATGAGGATTAGACTCTTGACAGTGTAAGACGTGAAACTTTAGTGCTCATAGTCATTATAAGATAATTAACAATGAATCCAAACTGGGAAGAAAGCCATTATCTCATAGTCTTAAAATAGTTCTGACAAGTAAAAAATATTAAATCTGTAAATTAAAAACAAAAATTACGCGAACAATTTTATTAAACACTTTTATTTACAAGATTGAAGTTGCTGCTTAGTTGTAATAAGTAAATACAGTCTTATCACCAAATGCTAATAATCAAAATTGACACATCAGCATGAACTTACACAAACAAGCAACTCAAAAGTATAAACTGGCTCCAGGAAGAAGTTTTCCTGTGGAAATATGTCCTGCTATGCTTTTCTGTCTTGCAGATTAAGTTGATACAACACATTGCAAGAAAATGCTTGCAGAATAACTTGAATAGAAGCTTGAAGTGCACAGATTGTATTAAAATGTCTTTTTATCTTAGCTTGAGCTTTTGTCTTCTTTGTGTGATCTTGGAACCTTCTTCTTAAAGATGTACTTGTTACTCGTGTAGCGGAAAGCAGAGGAGGAAAAGTAGAAGATGATGGGGTCTATGCAGGTGTTGAAGGTGCTGAGTAGCAAAGTGTAGTACCTCCATTTTGGGCTCTGATGCTGAAAATAACCAAGCAAATGTGAGATGTTGTACGGCATCACACAAATGAGGAACACAGCTAGAGTTCCCAGGGCCATGCCGATGGCCTTCTGCTTCTTGGCTGCAGATATCCTGGGGCGGCTGTAGAGGATCAGGATGCACCTCAGGTAGCAGAACACACAAATTAGAAGAGGTATCAGGAAGACCACAAAGAAAAACTCCAAACGCACAGGGAGGAGAACCTCCAGCTGTTTCTCTGTGAAGTTCTCATAGCAGGCCGTGGAGTTTTCATTGTAAAGGTTTGGGTGGTAGCGGACAATGACAGTAATGCTGCAGTGAGCAGTTGAGACGAGCCACATAACAGCACAGGTTACTATTCCATACACAGGTTTGAGCAGCTTTTGATAGGTGATAGGGTAAGCTATAGCAATGTATCGAGCCACACTGACTGCCATCAGCAGCAGAGAGCTGGTGTAGATAGTGGAGAAGAAGGTGAAGGAGGTGATGGTGCACAGGAAGCCGGGCAGAGTCCATTCCATGTTAGATGCTGCCTCATGCATCTTGAAGGGAAGGATGATCAAGAAGAGCAGGTCAGAGACGGTCAGATTGAGGAGCAGGATGTCTGTAGGAAGAGGCTTGGAGTGGATCTTGGTGCTGAAGGCGTAGAGAGCCAGGAGGTTGGCCGGCAGGCCAAAGAGGAAGGACAGGATGTAAACGGAGAGAAGGGCCTCAGTCCTCACCACTGTCTCCATCATGATCCTATAAACAAAAAGGAGAAAAAAAACACCTGTTGAAATGGATAAACCAAGAAAGATGATACAAAAAGACATACTCTTCTTCACTTATGTACCACAAATGGGGTCTAAACTGTGAAATCTGTTGGTTGTTCCCTTTAAAAAAAGCATATAGGTGAAATATTTATAATAAAAAAAAAAAACATTGCTTAATGTAGACCAAGAGTCTTGGCATTCAATTGAACCACATTTTATTGGCATGGCTCAACACAGACCAAGTGTAGATGTGAAAATCATTTAAGTGCAGCTCTAAACAACATTTCGACACAGTATGGGTCAGATTCAAAGGAAGGAAACATATAAAAAACTTAGCTCCTCTGTGAATGCTCATATCCTCCTGAAAAAAAAATAGATCACCTTAATCAACCCACAGAGCACCTAAGATGACTGCTGTCAAAACTGAACACCCACAGCTATCAACGCTTGACATGTACACAGCTTTCAGTGTAACCAGGTGAACTGATGCTGTAAGACAACCCTCTGTGGTTGGTTAACAGAAAGTATAAGTAAGGAATAAGTCTTTGGTTTTCGGCTTTAAAGATATCCCTCTCTTTGAGACCTCCTCTTTTTTACAGCAGTATAGCAAAGCTCATATCAAATATGACTTAAATCGCACAATGGTTATGAAACAAATGAGCTAAAATCAGCTCTCAAGCTTTGTTTCCAAACACCGGATGTCAAAATGAATTTACAAAAAACATCTGCAATGCTGGGACTATTAAGGTAAACATATTCACTCACCTAGATGTGACTGGTTTCAAAAGGCTCTCTAAACTAAGACAGTAGCAGTCCTTGTTGTTTTTCTTGCAGAGCTTTTACTGGAAGATGATCAGTTTATAACTCATGAGTTCAAAGATGACCTAATATAAAACGCAACAAGTCGGAAACAGCAAGTCATACCCAAGCCTTGCACACTGCTCTGACTATGCGACACTGACTAACAGGAGCCAGCTGATAAATAATGACCCATGAGCAAAACTGACACACAGATGATTTTTGCATTAGATTAATAAAGAACCTCCCACTAGATCTCTGCTGGGGGAAACGCTGAAAAAATGATAATTACATTAGGACAAATGGACACCCACACAATAAGATTGACATCATTTCAGATTAATCCTTTTTTTCCACATAGATACTCAATTGAAGACTCTCTTCTGAGTTCAGCTGCAGAGTAGCTTAATTATTAGTCCTTAGGTTTTCTGTATATTTTAGGGTATATTTCCTTTTTTCTGTCTCCTTGGAACAACTTTGGTTGTGTTTTCACTCCTGAAAATTTGTTTTTACATTGGCATCTATCTACACAAACACCGATAAAAGTTATTGACACATTTGTGCCATGCGGTAAAGTGTCCCGGGCTGAGCTCTGATGAACTTCAAGTTATTCTAAAAAGTCACAAACTGTTTCTGTACATAAATAAATGTACATGTCTTGAGCTTACCATGTCATCTTGTTGACAGTTTAGATACTCCTCCATGTTGCACTGCGCATCCTGTGGAGGGACCAAATGTAATTGTATTATCTATGTTAAACATGGGACTCAAAATGGCCTACACAGTTTATATACCCCTCTATGGCACTGTTTGGAAAACACTGGTATGATCAGACACAGCATCAAAGGAGGAGTTGAGATGGAGGAAGCAGCAAGAGACTAAAGCAGTTGAAATTGAGCATCTTTTCTGAAATTTGCCAATTAGATGCAAGGAAGGTTATCAGTTGCTGTGGTGTGGGCTGGGTTTGCCCTGTTTATTCCCCCCCACCTTTTCCACTGGTTCTGTTTCACCCTCTCTTATGGCTGCTGTTGTGTTCTGCTGCTGCTGAGCTCTGGCTCGTCGAACTTCTTCAACAACATCATTGTCATAAACGCAGTTGAGTGTGTCCTCCTCAGGGTCGCTGTCCTCTCTGCATGGGCTTGGTCGTGTGACATCAGCTTGTGCACTAATACGGATAAAAATGAAGAGGGGAACAAAGAGAGATGTTTAGTTGTTTCAAAATGTCCTCGAATTCACATCACATCAGAACATGGTTTGTTAAAGAGGCAGAGACAAAAGTCTATTCAGTAATATCACATAAATTCATTTCAGCCAAGGCCACTGTAGCCAAAGAGAATGAGTTTTACAAGGCAATAAAGCTCTGCTCTACAAGCTTTACGCCCTTCCACGTGTATATGTGGAATATATGTTGGAACCTGCGGCGGGGAGAGCACATGTCCCCTTGGTTTTATATGCATATATAAAAAGCAGGCAGGGAGAGCAGCAATAAAGACCCCCCACCCCTCCAGTATGACAGTGATAAAACCAGCCAGGGCATAAACAGAAGAAGACAGGGGTGGAGATAAGTTGGATATTGGCAGGGAAGCAGCTAAAGTAGGCAGGCTAAAGCAGTTAACCTTTCTCCAGCCTGGCTAAACTAAGGCTATGCTCATTTCATTTGAATATTTGTGAGGGGATTGACGCCAAATTGGTTTCCTTTACCCTTGATTGCTGTTGTATGCAAGTTCTTCCTGAATATTCTCTGATGGACGTTGAGGCCTAACAAAAAAAAAATTGTTGACATGATTTGAATTTAGTTTGTGTCAAATTAGTTTTTGTACACTTTAACGCAAGCATTTCATTTACAAACCTTAAAAGGATTGCATTGTTGCACACCATGCCTGGTGGTGATCTGTGAGTGATAAAACAACAGAAAGAAGATTATACAACAGCACAGACATTATATCTTCAATTGACTGAAATCCACTAACCTGTGTCTTCTATATTTTCTGTAAATTACCAGTGCACATCCAAACAACACAGGAATTCCGACAAACAGCAAAGCCAACATCCATGAGAGAGAGGCTGTAAAAGGAAGGTAGCTGGATTAGTAAACATAATACACAAAGTATTAGGTGCTCTTGAATAAGGTTTTGGAAAATCATTAGGTACCAAGCGAGTACAGAAGGTTCAACTCACATACTGTTGGAAAGTTGTGTAAATAAAGTTGTTTGGTGTGGTTACCCAGGGAGTTTGTGGCTGTGCAAGTTATGTTGAGCTGACTTTGAGCTCGGCCACTTAATTCCCCAGAGACAACATGCTCATAAGTCTTGGAAACAAAATTGAGAGTGGATGAGATAGAGTCATTTCCATCAATGGTCCAATGTATGACGGCATCAGGGAAAGCCTCGGCCTGGCAAACACACTTTAGAAACTCCCCTCTCCTGTGGCAGGAGGACTCAGGTAGGATTGTTGGGGGATCTAGATAGAAACAGAAAGTTATCTTACAATTTATTAAACCTATCAGATTTTCTATACATAGCCTAGAAGCAAAGATAAAATGTGTTTAGGCTATATTTGATATTCTGTAGATAAAAAGGAATGACTGTGGCTGGACTAGGTAGATATGTACGTAGTTGTTTACTGACACCTTTGTCATTGGAAGGAGCTTCATTGGGGGTTAAATGCTCTAAAAATGAATTATATCTTGCATCATATAATTCAACTTGTCTGTTTTGTTGCTGCTGTTAACCCATGAGGTACTGAGGGAGCCTTATCCTAGTCTGTTAGTTGTAATGATGGTCATGGATACACTTTACCTAACTTTCCAATCATTCATTTAATGACTCAGCTCAAAAGGTACACCCTAAAAGTTTTATAGATTGTTTTTATACTCTAACAGCATTTAAATTAAAGTACAACTTAATTGTTTTGTTAATAGTTGGTCAAATAACTAAAACATTGAAAACCCTGTGCAGGTGGTACAAACCAGTCTATGGTACTAACCTAGTGTAGTGGCGGAAGGTGACAGAGCTTTGGGCGTAGTAATTTTATTGTTAAGTAGCATCTATAAACTGCGTAAGACGTTAGAAAATGATTTTAAGTTACAACCTGTGAGCCGAGGTGAAAATCTGTATGAAGAGAGTTTAGATGGCGCAAACTGAGCTTAAACGAGAGGCAAAGCGAAGAAAAACTTACAGGAAAAGGTGTAACTGCTTAGCTGCACGGATAACGACATTGGCCGTGCTTCGAGTCGCCGACTCGTCTCGTCCGCCTTTAAACTTCGGCAACATTATTCCCATGGAAGTCGCTCGAGCAAACGAAATAACTCCACATCGTAGATATGTCAAGTTGTGGCGAGAGTAGAGAAGCTAACCCATGAAGCCGTGGTGTGAGGAAGAAAAAGTCTGGGCTGGATACAAAATCTTAGCTAGTTCAGCTAGCTAGTTCAGTCGAGCCGGAGCGTTGCCATAACAACCATAGAGTGGGCCGCACTCGCAGGTGTGCTGCGACGCTAACGGTTACCGTGGACATGTTTACACCGAAGCTCTCAACCCATATTTTCTCTCCTGGTAAGTCCAGTTTTTTTCAAAGATATTCAACCATTTGCAGGTTTTGTATTATGGCTGTGAGTTTGAGCTTTCAATCATCTGCCAGTGTTACAAATGTGCGTGCCATGGTTAAACAAGTGACTTAGCATCAGGGTGTGTAGCTTGATGCTGTGTGCTTCATGTTGTTAATGCTATTGATAACTTTTTTTCATTTCAAACCCTACTTTCACGTTGCTGTTGTAAACTGGTTACCTTCTTTGTTTACCATAGGATTTAAAGAGAGGTAATATCCTCAACAAGTAGACAAAAACCTATTTAGAAAAAAAAGAGTAATGACTGACACAAATATGGGGCTTCTGAACATGTTGGAAAACCGTATCCTGAGCCCTATATTCACCAGACTACTCCTTTCATATCATATGGTTTAGTACAATAGAAGAAAAAGAATACATTTTTATTTACATTGAACATCCAGGTCCACCCAGTCCGACTGCTTCACTCCAAAGTCGTTGTAGGCGATGCAGGAGAAAGAGGTTTTTTGGGTGATGTTTTCAAAGAGCAGTTCTCCACTTGTTGTATTTGTGTCACTGTTGATCCGACCCATCTGTCTGCTAAGCCATAAGTACGTCTGTGGTTTGGGGTTGGAGTTGACGGCACACTCCATGATGACGCTGCCTCCATTTGTAACATACTCCTTTTTCAGTGTCAGGGTCACTGTCACAGGCTCGTCTGTGGATGTAGGCAATCATAACACATGATTAAAATGGTGAGTTTTGTTGGTTAGAGAGTATTTTGATCAATTTTACTCCTTACATGAAATGTCGAGTGTTATTTGTTGACTGTCTGTGATGAGGTCGCTGAACAATGCAGAGCAACTTATCTTGCTGTTGTGCATCTCATATGTTGCCAGCCCACGCAGTGTCTCTGTGTACCTCCATAGCAGATGTACTTTCTCATTGATAGCACTAACAGTGAAGTTTTCCAGCAACTGATTTCTTGTCCAATTAAGTTGTGGGATCGATAAAGGGCAGGAGTGGATGATGGTGCAGTTAACCTGGAAAATTTCCCCTTCAGCTATTTGCTCCTGAATGGCAATCACAGGAGATTTTTTATCTAAAAGAACAAGAAACAATACAGTAGTGGCATATGTGGTTTTGATGTTCAGGTTTAATTATGTTCCATAAGCTACATACAGTTTGAAAAGGGTTTTAATGTGTGGGGCTCAAGGTTCTTTCACACTGGCAGTGTTTTTTTCGTGCAATTATTTCGGACGTCAATATTTTTTTCAAACCTGTTCCCTGTCAATACAAGCGTTCACATCAGCGACGTTTTCCCGTCCTGTGATACTGCAGCATTTATTTTTTCGGATCACGGCCTATTTTTCTAAAGTTTCGCATACTGTGTGTCTACTTCTGACCAATTAGATTGCGTGTTGTTGCGACATCTAATTCACCGGTATATCCAACATGGCCGACCAGCTGATTGTTTACGTGTCAGAGAACGGAGTGCTTTTTGATAAAAAACACAAATATCACAAAGATAACGACCTGAAGGACAACTTGTAGAGAGTCATAGCGTTGGATTTCTCATATGACGATGGTTTGTGTTCTTTAACAGTTTGCTAAACATCTTTGTTTTAACTTTCATCTGTGCTAAGTAACTTTAGCTCGTAAGCTAACCTGTTCAGATACAACATACCATATGAATTTTCACCATTAGGTCTCGGTTGTTATCTTATCATTATGGATTATAGTTTAATGTGCTTATCTGGTACTGGCCCCGACTCAGTACATGCTATCATGACAGACAGCCATCTCAACACTAGTGTCTAATCAGAACTGAAAACAGTCAGTCTGCTGTTGCGTCAGTCTTCTGGCTTCCAACCGGGACGCGCCCCCCCCCCCCCCCGTAAGTCACAAGATCGCATTGGGCTTGATGTGTATTGTCAGGCGCGTCAAAATCCCCCTCCGAATATTTCGTAATTTTGCGTCGTATATTTGCGTCAGTTCCGGTGTGTAAGGACCTTTAGAACCAAAATCTTTTTACCCTCCGGTTGAATTCAACAACATCGGTAAGATTAAGCAGTAAATAATCTGTCTACTTACAGGTATTAGATGTAATTGGGATTGAACAGTTGTAGCAAACACTTTTGCAACCTGTTAGTCCATGTTGTGCTTTCATTTTTTTTTTAAGTTATATTGTCTGAAACAGCTGCAACAGCTGATCCCTCACCTAACGCTCTGATCTGACATGACTCCGTTGTTATTTAGGCTATGTTCACACTGCAGGTCAATTCCGATTTTTTAACCATATGTGACACATATCTGATTTTTTCATGTTAGTGTGAACAGTGCGATTCTGATTTTTTCAAACCTGACCCAGGCCTCTTTTGTATGTGGATATAAATCGGATATGTATCCAATGTGACTGCAGTGTGGACGCTCAGGTCGCATTCATCGGACCTATACGTCATCAATATGCGACAAACGTCACCATTGTTTGACAACACAAACAGGCGTGGAAAGCAATTTGTGCTTTGTGCGCACGTGGGTCACTTCACGGCGCATTCTGTTCACATTAGGTGACTCATTGGTTGTTGTAATGTGAAGACCACACAAAAAGATCGGATTTAACAAAAAAAACGAATTGTGCATCATAACCTGCAGAGTGAACGTAGCCTTAGATTATTGTACTCCAACTAAAATGCTCTTTTATTCCTGATTGGTCTGTCATATATCATTAATCTAGAATCTCACTAAGAACTTCTCAATATGTAAGAAAAAAAATACAAGATAAACTAGAGGTTTAAAAATACTCACCAACTTTGATTGTAACAATTTGAGCATGGAATTTCTGAGTCGCTGCGGAGCCTGGGTCAATCCAAGCATATATCTTAAGGTTGTTGTCTATTTGCTTAATATTTTTGATCAAGAGGGTGCAGTTACCCTCTGCAGCTCTACCCAGCACTGAGGTGCGCCCTCTGTATTGTAATTCCACTGTGGAAGTAGATCTGTCATACACTTTGGGATAGAACACCTTGTGGTATTGATACCAGGTGACCCAGACGTGAGAGTCAGTCTGACATGGCACCACAACACAGCTGCCCTCCACTGCGGTCACTGTTTGAGGCACAGTAATTCCCATGCCTCTTACCTGCTGGAGCACAGAGAAGCCTTTGTTGGGGAATAAAAAAAGGTGAAGTGGTTAGTGTGGGTGAAAACAAACATGAGTTCGTCAGTAAGGTAAAACTGTTACCACATGTGCAACATCACTCTGCAACAGGAAACTGAATACAATTTCAAAGTTGCTTAATCATAGAAGTCAGGTCGCTGCAGCGTTTAGTCATAAACCAAAAAAAGAGGAATTCTTTGAAGCTAAGCTGACTCAATAAGCACTTTAATATGAAATAGTATATGCTCAAGATAAAGAATCAAGAATATGTCACATCAAATGGGGACCAAAGGTTGCCCCTTTTTTATGCAGGTATGTCGTGCCACAGTCTGCAATCTAAGGTGCAAGGAAGTTGGGTTTCTGTGTAACAGGTTGATAAAAACAGTTTTTCATGTTTTAAAAGCCATTTTAACCTTGTATTCAATTGAAAATGGTGCAAAGACAGCATATCAGTTGTCAGTTGTCTGTTTTATGAAAAATATTCCCTCTCCTAAGTGGATTCCAGCAACATAATTTAAAAAGTAGCAACAAAAAATTTCAAAATTTGACAGCCTTTTTGGAAATCATGGATGCTTTAAAATGAACTCCAAAAGGTAGGACAACCAGGCTTGTTACCAACTCACAGCACAGAATACAATGTTTTTGATTGTTTAGGGAGCTCAAACATCTGGGTAGGCATCATTAATGCTGCACTGATTTTAGAGCAACAAATGCTTCCATCTGGACTATACTTTTTGTATTGATCTTAAATATTTCAGCAAGACAACGCTAAACCACATTCTGCAGATTTTCAAACTGCATGCCACTGCTGTAGAAGAGGTAGGGGGCTGATCTGGGATACCCGCAGTCCTAACTTGTCACCCATTGAAAACATTGGGCACATCATGAAATCTTAAGTAGTACAGAGTAGACCACTTATGCCGGCTTCACATACGATATCTGCCGGCGGCATAACAGCTGATGTGTCTTAGGGTTCTGGCCGTAGGAGAAATGCTGCTTATGCATGCTGTGTGAAGGGTGTAACCTGTGAAAATACGTGCTAAAATGAAAACTGGGCCACTCCGCTGATGGCACACATCCTGTGTGAAGATGGGTTTACCCATGCACAGCTCAAATCCTTTTATCAAGCACAACACTTCACTTCATTACAGAAAAAACAAGAAACTGGTGTCCAAGGTGCCTAAATGTCCATGTTGCTGTAAAAAAGAACAGGCGACACTACATTGTAAATATCCAAACATGTTGCTGTTTCAATATGTTGCTGGCATTAAATTCAAAAGTATCATGTATTTTTGACAAAACAATGAAGCAACATTTTCAATGATGTTTTTGCAGTATTTCCAATAAAAAATAGTATTTAAATAATTTGCAAACCATCAAATTCTTTGTATATCAACATTTTACACAGCCCTTGAACTTCTTTCAAGCAGAAGTTGTGTTACTTTGTGTTGTACATGTACATATTGCAGTGTTTCCCCTAGATTGAGAGTTTACTTGAGGTGGTGGGCCGGGCGGTGCAGGGTGGCGCTGTGGTGCATTCAAAGGTTGTGAACTTTATGGTTTATGGACTATGCGTTATTTATTGCACATGCAGGGCTCCACACAAACTTGTTTTGTAACCCCTAACTAAAAAATTTTAGGAGAGCAAGCAGAAAATTTAGGGGTGGACACTCTAACTTGACTTGTAAGGCAAATAATTTACATTTCCTCTCATTTTCACTGTATTAATGATAAATAGATTAGAAATGCAGAAATTACAATGTGCAAAACAAACATAAAACATAAGGTAGACAGTGCACTATCATTACACTGAGCAATGATATTTTTTTTTTCTCACATGGCATTTGTTTATAACTTAAGACCGCTACAGACTGACTCTGTCTCTAACATTTGAAATAGCTTTCAATTGGCTTCATGTCTTTACGACGAAAAAGTCAGTCAGTCTCTGAGAAAAAAAACAGAGCTACATTAACAGAAACTGTATGAGGAAGGAAACAGTATATAATCAACAATAAATTAGTATAGCTGGAGCGTAACAGTTTGGGTGCGCCTCCGTATATTCACCAGCGTGTGAATATACGGCGCCGTGTTTGTCTGGAGGAAACCTTGCCGTCTGTATGGCCGCACATTTAAAAAAAAAAAATTCTATCTTCATCTTCTTGGCCGGGTGTCAATCTTTTTGGGTGGGCCGCCCAAGTAAAGTCTATGTAGGGGAAACACTGAACTGTATGTATGTGAGAAAGATGCATGTTTGAAGCCATATTAACCAGGCTTGTCTACATTTTTTGGTCAACTCTTGACTGTTTGTAAAATTCTGCTAAGGATGTATTTCTTACATTACCTTTTTTAATTGAGATGCACCACTTTCAATTTCTGGGACTGAATCTGATAACAGATTTTGTTCAAGGTCTAAATTACTGATCTAGATTTTGGCAGATTTAAAGTGTCTTTATATGGTTTATGTATGGTTTAAGTATAAAAAAAATACATTACCCTTGAAAATAATTCAGTTTTCTGCAATAATAATGTTTTCTGCAAACATTTTATGGAGATGAAAAATAGCATTGTTTACACTCCCCTATCTCTAAAATTGCAATGCAACATGTTTTTTTTACTCAAATAACAAAAACAGAAAAATTACTTCTCCCTCTTCATCTGAAGATATAAGTTACACAACATATAAATACAGTTTGTAAATATATAATAAGGCTGACCCATTCAAACGTATTATTTGACCGATGATGAACCCAAGTGCAGCTCTTTTTGACTCGTTAGTATAGTCTTTATAATCATTATAGACACTAAGGGGTTAAGCTTGACATTACCTTTCAGCAAGATTAGAACTTTAAGCAGATACGCAGTCCCCATTGTAAAAGCTGTCATCATCCAGTGAGTCACTGTTTGGCCTTTTAAGTTCTGAAATACAGACGTCATTTTAATGTCAGATAAAGGTGGTTTCATCTATCAACCTCTTCACCAGGAAACAGTGTAAAAAATTATTAGAAGGTTGAGTCATTTAAACAGTGTCTTAGTCACCAACTGTAAGATCCTTTAAATACACCATGCAAAAGTTTATCAAGCCCAGGAAGATTTGAAAACACAGAGTATCTATGAATATTCAGTTACTGTTCACCATCATACAAAAAAACAGTAATTTTAAGAATCTAAAATATTCTGGATATATGTTTTTGAGTGATCTGGACATGAGGGCTTACCTTATCTGTTGAACTGCAGCCTGAGTGTGTCTGTGATGGCCCACTGGTCTGTTACAGTCCTCAAGTCTACCACTTAACCATCACCTAATCCCCCAGAACCCCTCTTTCGCTCTATTCAGTCTCACACAGGAAACTTGCTGAGCTCATTCGAAGCAAGCAGCTGTAACGGTGTGAAAGTGTGAAAGAGGGGCTCTCTTACCTATTTTTAAAATCAGGCTTACTGAAACCCACCGCTACTCGCGTAAACTCTATTTAAAACACAATGAAAAGTCTGACACGCAATAGAAAGTACAGATTAGATATAAGACATTCTGCTATTGGAAAGAAGACATTCTGCTATTCTTGAAAGAAAAATCTCATGCAATTATTGTCATAAAAAGAATACTGAACACATGGTTATTTATTCACACAAACTTGACAGATTGTCTTGGCTCTTGACAAGTTGAATACAGAAAGTACACTTTAGTAAAGTAATCTACAAAACCTAAACAATATTATCAGGAAAACAACAAATGTAAAAATACAGCATCCCTTATATATGATTATAAATATGTACATATTTTTTTTTTTGCAATGCAGAAGTATGGCTGTATTTACCGACTGTACATTAATTGGACTCTTTGTAAAAACAGATGTGACTCGCAGCTAACATAACATGCTGGAGCCAAACATTGATTGTCAAGCTAAGAACTTCGGCATATCGGAATGAAATCACCAATTGAGCAACTGAGGCTCCTCATTAAAGGTTTTTTGCTATTGTCATGTATAAAAAGTGGAAAATATCAAATATCTCTGTTATTATTGAAATGAACTTAGGAAGGTCTCATTAGGACTCCCTACTCCTTTGTAAATATAACCTTAAAATACAGTAAAATATTACAAAAATCCTAACACTAATGACCATGGTAACATCAATAGAACATACAGTACAATAGGCATATTCTGTACAGCACATCAATTTGTATCAAACACAAGCCAGTAATGTTTGTATTTCATATATGTTCATTTTGGGTGGAAAATGTGTTATCAGTTAGAGATGGTGATGCTGAATATCAAAATGTCATTAATCAGCTGGATTTATTGATTATCCAATGAATTGACCCATCTCGAGTCTTCTTTGCTTGGCATCTCTCCAGGGTAACATTATAACAGTACATTACCAATCTAATTCTCCTTGCAGTTAGGTTTAAGCATTCAAATTAACTTTTCCACCCACATCTTAGATTTAGAATTTCAAACCCCTGTATAAGAGAGCATGGTATTCCTAAGAGCTGTTTACAGGGCTAGTCCCTATAATAGAACTGTGATCTATTTCTGCACAGCACTGTGTCTGAATTTAACCTGGGCATACTCGCATTCTGATTCCTTCCTTACATTTCTAGGCTTCACCTGACCATACAGATTCCCCATCTCCACTGCATTGTTCACAAAATCTCCTGTCAACCCTCTCTCCACGCTCATCTCCTCTTGAGGATAGGAGCTGTCCAGCAGGTTTGTGCCATCTCCCTCTTTCCTTATCTTGCTCTTCCTCTTCCAAGTCACGTTAGAGTAAATGGCATCCTTACTTTCCACGGTCGTCTCTTCTGAGCTGTTGCCTGCACCACTGGTGTTGTTTTGGTCAGAGCTTGGCAAGCTAGTGCTGTTTGGCTCAGAAGTCGTGGCAGGTTGAGCAACATCATCCTTCTCCAGCTCAGTGGTGTTGGCATAAATGTCCTCATCTTTTGTCGTGGGTACCTACAATCGAGAGAAAACACTGATGGTAAGGAAAATCTGTTCTCCAAGCAAATCTCAACTACACCACTCAAGGGCTAAATACCTCATTTTCTTCACCACTTGGTTGAAGCTGGTTCATAGCTACTGTGCTGGTGTTACTTGGACACTGACTCTTCAGCAGGTTTTGATGAGACTTCTGAGCTCTGAAAAACGCAGCACAGTATTGAACCAGTATGCATCTTGAAACATTTTTGTTTTTCCACTGCTCAGTCATCAATCACCCAGAGGGGAACGGTAAACGACAAAGGTGAAAAACAGGAGTTGCTCAAATTAAATAGAGATTTCATTGGTATTCAGTCTGTGATCTTTTCAACAAACTGATTTCAAAGGTGGATCCACTGACATGCAGTCTCTGAACCCATCTACCATTGTCTATGATGACAAACACATGGCTCTTGGAGGTATGGTCAACTTTCATTGCATTCCAGTTCAGCTTGTAGATAGATGATGTGCCCCCATGACCTTCTTAAAGGTGCATTGCCTTTTTTTATAGTCTATAGGGGGGGGCGCATCCCAGGTAAGACTTTTCCCAGGAAAAGTCCCACCTCCTTCACCTCTGATTGGCTAGAAAAGCTGGAAACGTCATCACGCGCTCAAGCTCGAACGGTCAACACTTATAGCCAATCAGAGGTGATAAGATAAGCACATGAAACTATGGTAACAACAGTTGGCTTACGTTAGCAAAGATTAAAGTTAAAACAAAGGCGTTTAGCAAACTGTTAAAGCACACAAACCATCGTCATATAAGAGATCCGACATTACGACTCTCCACAAGTTGTCCTTCAGATTGTTATCTTTGTAATGTTTGTGTCTTTTATCAAAAAGTACTCTGTTCTCAGACACAAACAATCAGTCGGTCGGCCATGTTGGATATACCAGTGAATCTGACGTCGCAACAACATGCTATCTGATTGTTTAGAAGTGGACACACAGTAAGCAAAACTTTAGAAAAATCAACCGCGATCCGAAAAAATAAATGACGCAGTATCACAGGAAGAGAAAACGTCGCTGATGTGAACGCTTGTATTGACAGGATACAGGTTAAAAAAAAATATTGATGTCCGAAATAATCGCACGACAAAAACGCTCCCAGTGTGTAAGGACCTTAAATTTGTATGAAAACAAAACAAGAAAATCTATCAAAAAATAACCCATGTTAGTTGGCTTTGTGAACTTACCTGATGACAAAGAGTAGGGCACATACTAGCACTATTAGTGCAACAACTGTGGCGACAAGGATAAGTACCACGACGAGGTCTGAAACATAGAAAAGATAAGGACAGTAAGATCAGGTGGTACAAGAGTTTAGTGTTGAGTCATTATGTTATACATTTGAGTTCAGCTCTGAGACTAACCTTGACTTTCTGTTGTAGTTTTTGGTACATGGAGGAAATAAAACTGTAGAGTTGCAGACCCCAGCGAGTTGGAGCTGCGACAAAGTAAAGTATGATCCCTCCACTGTGCCTGACTCACTGTGATGAGGCTCACATTTGTGCCATTTTCAGGCACATATCTGATTTCAGACTGGCCTGAAGTATTGACAGGTAACTCATCCAAATACCAGTGTAAAGTGGGGGGAGGGTTCCCTGAAGTCTTACAAGAACATTTGACCTGGTCCACAGTTTTGTTGCAATCAGATGAGGGCAGGATCTGAGGAGCAACTGTAATGAACGCGGAAAACAGAGAAAGGAAGAGTACATTTAGGACATGCTTTACCGCTTTTTCTGATGACAGATTAAGTGCGCTGCCGTAAAAGAAAAACTGTGAAATTTTCTTAGTGAATGAGTTAAAGAAAATGCTGTTTTACTCATAAACCTTTTTTTCGTCTGGCCCAATGATAAATCTGTAGTTTTTCTCCATTTAAATTCAGAGTTTCTGGATTTATTTGTGGCATTGCTGAATTTTTCATTCATTGACTAAAAGAGTAGGCCATAAAGAAAACCCTCGGCCTCATAGCACGGCCTGAGAGCAGGTCAGAATAATTGTCCAAGAGTCAGTGGTTTGACTGAGATAGGTCGGGGAGGCCTCAAAAATCAGACACTTAACTTTAAACTTGATAGTAGTAACCTTAGTAAGTCAATAAAGGACAGAATTGGGTGGCATGGGAACTATTCAAAACACCTCCCATTCGATTGAAAATTGAACTTCTGGTGTTAACAGTAAACATCTAACAAACAGTGTACCTTTCATAATAAAAAGCTAAATTAATGTTATAGAATAAGCTTATAAAATTAAGAGCTCCTTGAAAAATGTAATCAGTAATGGAGGAATGGTACCTACACTGAACATCTACATGACTGACATTGGATCGCCCGGCTCCAAGGTCATTTTGAGCTGTGCAGAAAAGAGAGACACTCTCTCTAGAAGCTGTGAAATCGATGACCTGTCCAGTCCCGATAGTGATCTCCTGGCTGCCGTCGACTCTGTACCAGTTGTAGTTCTGAACAGCTGGGCTGGCTCTACTGCTGCATGCCAGAGTCACATTGCTGCCTTCTTTTACTGGGCCAGAGGGACTGACCACCACTGTGGTCTCTTTGGGTGAATCTACAAAAAATGATCCACACAACGTTATCAGTAGTTCATCACAGACGGTCACAGCTCATCCCAACATGTGGTGCTAGTTGATGTTTGGTTGTGTTTTTCTGACTCCCTGGTTTTAGACTTCCACTTCCCTTTTTTGTGCACGAGTCTTCCCAGGAATGTCATAGTTGAGCTTGACCCACCTGCATAATTACAATGGTTTCAAATGATACCTACACTGAACATCTATTTGTGTGTTGCTTGATCGTCCAACTCCCACTTCATTCTCAGCCTTGCAGAAAATTGGATCAGTGTCAGGAGAAGCATTTATGTTCAGAGTTTGACCAGTCCCAATAGAAGCCCCCTGGCCTCCATCAGCCCTGTACCAGGTGTAGTCTTTTACAGCTGGGTTGGCATTAGAAGTGCATGTCAGTGTGACAGTGGTGTGTTCTTTAACTGGACCAGAGGGACTGACTGACACCGTGGTCCCTTTGGGCGAATCTGAAATATATGTAAAATAATTTATATTATATGTAAGGAGTTTATCAGACAACTCAATATTTTCATTTCCAAAGTGGTCCTCATCATATTAACCAGTGCAACCACTGTTGTTTGATTGTGTGATACCCAGAGGATGGTGCTTTAATGACCTGGGCTTAATTTCAGATGTGCCCTGATAACTGCCAGTGCAGCGATCACCAGAACCTTCTTCATGCAGCCTTATAAGAATACGTTTGTAAGCAGCACTTTGCTTGGCAAAATCCTTGGTGCAGTGGCTTTAAGAATCTGTAAAACTTAAGGATGGTTATTATTAACATTCACCTAATCACTAGTCTTTTCATGTGTGTTAAAAGAACTTGACTTGACAACATCATGCTTGACCCACCTGCATAATTACAATGGTTTCAAATGATACCTACACTGAACATCTATTTGTGTGTTGCGTGATTGTCCAGTTCCCAGTTTATTCTCAGCCTTGCAGAAAATTGGATCAGTGTCAGGAGAAGCATTTATGTTAAGAGTTTGACCAGTCCCAATAGAAGCCCCCTGGCCTCTGTCAGCCCTGTACCAGGTGTAGTCTTTTACAGTTGGGTTGGCATTAGAAGTGCATGTCAGTGTGACAGTGGTGTGTTCTTTAACTGGACCAGAGGGACTGACTGACACTGTTGTCCTTTGGGGTGAATCTGAAATGTTTATTTAAAATAATTTTATTTTGTTATGTATAGTTTATCAGATGTAGGGTGAATTACCCTTAATTACCTTATGATGTGCCTTTAACTGTAATTTAGATCATGAGCCCTTTTCAATGGGAAACAGAGAAACTCCACTTATTTGCATTTCACCAAAGATGTCTCAATTCTGATCCCAACCAACCTGATCTTGGCATCTTTTATAGATCAGTGATTGGCAATTTAAGAAGTTCATGCAATGTGACCAATTTTCCAAGCAGAGCCGAGTTAGATAAAATTTTAGTGCCTTTTTTTTACTTTAGTTTTTGTAGAAAACGACAAAAAATGGTGTGCGGCTCTATTTCCAAAGAAAATACAAGCATCAGATTAAGACTTGGTATCAGTGGATACTCAATGCTCAAAAATTGGATTAGAATCAAAAGAGCTAATTGTGACACTACTACTGCTCAAGAGTGCAGAACTTGGTCCTCAGTTAGTTTAAATGTGTTACATCTAACAAAAATTATCCTTCTAGTGTTTAAAGGCAAGAGAAATCGGTCACACGGTTCATGAGTCTTAAAACAGGAAAAATGTACTCACATGTAATTTCAGCGGTTAAACTGTCTACAGATGACTCAGTGCTGCCATCTTGTTTTCTGTAGACAGCAGTACAGGAGATTTTCTGTCTGTGTTGGAGGTGTGATGCATAGAAGTTTACAACAGACATCTTGACTTTAGTTTTGTCCAGATTCTCCCTCTCTGTCTCCTGAACTTCACCCAGGCTTGGGGTCCATGTCAGAGTTGGAGGAAGAGACAGACAGGGAGCTGGAGCAGAACACGTCAACCTCACTGCAGTTCCCTCTTTGACCTCCAGAGTGGACGGAGTCAGAGTGGGTCTTGGTGGGCGTTCTGGTGGGAAGGTAGAGCAGTCATTCTTCTCTATTGTTTATAATTTTATTTCTGTTTCAAAGGAGTTTATACAAAACAAGGTGACAGAGCTGCTGCATGATTTAAGTGAAAATGAATGGACTTTGAATCTTACCTTTGACTAAAATACGTGTTCCATCTCTGAAATTATATCTCAGACCGTTATTACATTCCACTCTAAAGAAATATTCATTGCTGTGCTGAGGTTGCATGTTATTCAGGGTTGTGCTGCAGTCTTTTCGTGTCAAGACTCCAGTTAGTTTTCCTCCGATTGAACTCTGTTGTGGGTCACTGCTATGAAACACAAAAGGCCCATCATAGCTTCCTTGGTTCCATTTTGCGATACATGTGCTATCCAAGTTTGATTTAAATCGTGTCTCTATGTCAAAAGAGCAGGGGATTGTCACACAGGATCCTTTTAAAACCTCTATAGTCTTTGGGAGAAAGGCCTTAAACTCTTGACAAATGGCACCTGAAACAGAAAAAAACACATCTATGAATAGAAACAAGTGCTTCATACTTTTCTAATGTCATTTCAATACTATTGTTTAAAGAAATGCTCAAAATCTGAGCACAGTACTTTCAATGATCAATAACCTACAAACAAAAACTCAAGACTGTTTCTTTTTCCTGCTTCTGTATAAGACCAGATAGAAATATCAAGTTAAATACCAGATTTTACTGATCAAGTACCAAATGTGGGTGAAAATCTCACCTTGCAGCAGACAGCCAATGAGAAGGAGAGGCAGAGCTGCAGCCATCCTGGCAGTTTGGAAACGCCACACAGTCTGAAGACTGCACCTGTCAAGATTTTCACGTTTAGGACGAATCCTGTCCAAATAGACTCAGATTTAAAGAGTACGGTCATTTAGAGGCCATCATTGAATGTGACAACTTCAGAAAAATGTAAATAATCAGTATTTTGAACATCTATAATTCCTTTTTCAAATCTAAATATAAAGAAGAATCCACAAAAACAGTCATGTCTCAGCAGGTTGATAGATTACATTCATCTGTCTTCCATAGAGGGAAAATATGTACTTTTTTCCCCTGTATTATAATAAATTCTTTGAAGGTCACTTTTTGCTACAACATATCTTTGTTGTTAAACAAGTTGTAAGATGACGAAGGGAGAAAAAACGGGAAGTTATGCTGCCTACATAAGTAAAAAGTAACAGACATGTGATATCTATTCATGATTATTTTTCTTTTATGAAACAAAACTGTAATTTGTCAAAGGTGGCTGTTTAAAACAGTTTCAATGTTCAAAAGCAAAACAGAAATACAGAGTTAGATAGTCCGACAGTCCAGAAAACGATTTCTCCTCTTTAAATTTAAGAGTTTCTTTGTCTTTGTCCAATGTTCACCCATTTAAGGAGAATTTTAGTGAGTTAACATGTTTTTAAGAATTCTGTTCAGCAACAATCATGTAAATTTGACATGTTTCATACAAAAGTTCAGTTTGACTTACTTTTTTTCTGGTCCTTCAAACAGAGGTGAGAGATGTTTAGAGAAGTGAAGTTTCTCACATTTTGAGCTGCCTTTTCAAACACCAGCAACATTTAACTTCAAATGAGGAAGTCACAAAGTCGTTTTTTTTATTTCACACAGTGTACAGTTGCTTTATTTGAAATGTTTTACATACAGAGTCACATCAGTTTTCATCAGTTTTTATAAAGTGTCCCCTTCAGGAGCAGCTGAGAAGGAAAATATCTGCAGTCATCTAAATGCAGGTAAATTTGCCCTTCATAGAGAAGATAGAGATAAAAACGTTTGTTATAATGCAATCCTGGCAGTGAGCTGAATGCAACTGATGTTAAATGTTTATACAGAAGAATCTGCAGTTTCAGCTAACAATCTGCCCAATATAACGCTTTTCAGGACAAGGGTAGGTTAACTGCTGCATCCGAGCATTTTTCCTCACAAACTATCACAGCCTTCAAAATGATGAGGGCTCCTGAGGGCCAAATCACATTCATGGAAAAATTGACCTTTTCAGGAGGACCAGAAAAACCAAAGTGCTGATTCTTTTTTGGGTGACTGTCTTAATGGAGTTGATCAAAAACTTGTTCAACTGGCTGCTCTGATTTTTAGAAATGCCAGAAAAAAATTCTAACAAGTTGCCTGAAAATAATCATGAGACTTAGCTGGTTTTGATTTTTTTATCTAGACAGTTAAAGGAGGTCTGACATTGGCAATAGCATCAGTTTCAATAAAGAAAATTGCACTGATAACCATTTCCAGATTTTTCGGCTGCAAATATGAAAATAACCTTTTCTACAGTTTGTGGAGCTTTCTTTGACTCAGCACAGAGATGGCCTCTTCCTGGTCACTTCTTGGAGTAGTGATCCCAGCTCTCTCATGTCGTATTTGCTGAGCTGGACCAGCTGTCCGTCATCTAAAAGACCTCCTGTTGCCTCTTGGGTTTGGGGCTTGCTGCATTTTCTCAGGCTGGTGACCCAGAGGTGAAAAAGTGCAGTAGTTCAAAGGTGTAGATTGCCTCTGATGAACAGATATAGTATCGATCAGTGGTGGCTAAAGAGTCTCTTGTCTCTACAACCAAAATGTTTGTTGTGATATGAGTGTCGGCTCAGCTGCTCTCTTGTACTGTACAAAGACTTTTTGACCCCACTGCAGCGAGGAGACGAACAAGAAGAGGCTCCTAAAGGCTAAGATGGTGAAGACCAAACGGCAGCTGGCCCTTCTCTTCCTCCTCCTCCTTTTTCTTCTTCTTATGCTGACAACTTCTGACTCTGTTGTTCTGCTTAGCTGTATGTGATAAGGACTGTGTAGACAGAGAGTCAACTGTCCACTTAGGACTCTGTCTGCTTCACAAACTCTAAGATGACACCATTTTTGAATTTGCTCAACCAGCTTTTTTAGCAACATGTGACTTCAGTGAAAACCTGTTTTCTGATCCAAATAAAAACTGCAAACCTTGATAATCAAATTTTATTCCAGTCAAAGAGAAAACATCCACCACTTTAAACCTTATCAACACAGCAGGATCAATAATTTTCTGATAAAGCATAAGCCAGAATACAGCATCATAGGCTTCATGGAGAAAGTCATTCCTGTGATGAACAATGTGTTATTCATATTTTATGTGAAGCAGCAGGAAGAATGTTGATTTATGAACACTCAAATGTTAAAGAGGATCTTTAAAGTCTTTGCAGGAAAAGCGGAGTGAGAGAGCGAGAAGGTCTGGTTCCACCGTTGCTAATGTCGTTTGGCAATGACGTCGTAGTCTGGCGTTCTGTTAACGTGATCCAGTGTGGTGTAAGTATTGTCCTCTTCTTTTGGCTTCACGTTCTTTCTGTGTTTCCTTCAGCAAAACAAAGAAAAATGAAAGGTTTAAATACAAAATATGATAAATCTTAACGAACACAGCTTTTTTAAAATTATAAATATAATAACATACCAGAGGAACACCATGAAGATGGTGTTGAGAATGCTCAGAGTGAGAGCCACACCAGAGACAGCCAAGACAAGATCTCCACTGTAGGGGCTTCGCTGGTGCTCAAGACCTTTAAATGAGAAACAACAAAATATGAGCCGGTCATTGTTCTGCTGTCATTTCATGCCATCGTGGCCCAGCTACAGAGTAATAGTGCATCAGCATTAGAGGGTTGAGACAGCAGTGCATGGTTCAGTAAAGTCTCTATTGAGCGTTTCATCAACAAAAATGTTAGAGAGCTTTTGAAAGTCATGATTTAAATGGATACCATAGATTGTCAGAGAGAGAGGACTGATTTATTTTCTTGATTATAAATGCTCCTGATATGTGGGACTGATGACAGCGAGTAACTTCTAATGGTATAAGTTTATTAACTGTATTTGTCTCTGAGAGGGCAACATTAACTGACATTTAATTAGAATAAAATGTTGAAATACTGACCAAATATGATACAATAAAGTCAGCATGACGATCTTTACAGTGAGGAGGATCGATCAGACAAAATAAACTTTTAGACGTTTTCCAACATGATGGCTCACATAAGAAAGAGGATTAGGACCACATGAAGAGAAAAAAAAAATTACAGGAATGAAATTAAAGTCGAAATTTCGAGATTTAAAACTTGAGATTATGTCAAAGTCAAAACTTTGAGATTAAAGTCGACATGAATAAAGTCGAAATTTCATGAATTAGATCGGAACTTTGAGATCAAAATCAAAATTAAGAGATTAATGTTGATGCAAATAAAGACAAAATTTTATGAATAAAGTAATAATTTTGGGATTAATGATAATGAATCAACAGCATTGTCGCTCGTCACTCGACAACATGTCCTCTGTCGAATAGGTTTATAAAGCTTCACTTTAAAATTGGATTTATTAACAAGGAAATGTTGCTCTTTTAGCACACAAACACAGTATGGTTATAAGTATTCGTTTTCTGGAAAGACTGTGCTGAAGATAATGATGCAGATGCAGGGTTATCAATGGTTTCACCTGGGTGCTATACAGCGAGATTATGTTGTATCACAAGATACAATAAGTCAACTGATCAAGTTGATTGATCCTGAAGGCGTGGAGCACAGACGAGCCCAGCGTCTGAGGCGGGGGCATTTACGAAGCTGAGAACCCAATGCACTCTGGCACATGTTGTTTCTCTTCATGTGGCCCTAATCCTCTTTCGTACTCACAACCTCACACCTCCTGAAAACCTGTGTTCAGTAATAGGAAGTACAGCTGATATAGCATTTTAAAAAAGTTTCATAGGGACTCGTTTCTAATACCACACGTACCTTGAACATCAATGTGTTTGTAGGTGGACTGTCCAGTTCCCAGCTCATTTTCAGCTCTGCAGAAAAATTGACCACTGGCTTTAAAAGCTTTAATGCTCTTAACACGTCCAGTCCCAATCAAAACCTCCTGTCCTCCGTCATCTCTGTACCAGGTGTATTTCCTCACAGGTGGGTTAGCATCACTACTGCATGTCAGGGTCACAGTGCTGTTTTGTTCAACTGGACCAGAGGGACTGACCAACACTACAGTCTTCTTTGGTGGATCTGAAATATTAAAATGAGTTTGAATTATATTTAACGTGTAATTCATCAGACATGAAGTTGAATACCTGTAAACCATGTCTTTACCTGTAAGTACGAGCTAACCAACGATAAGAGGGAAAAGAGAAACTCCTCTCAGTTTGACTCAAAATCAGCAAAAGAGGGAGAGAGAGAGAGAAAAGATGAAAGCCTCTAGAAAACTGGGTTTATCTGAATATCAGCAGCAGCAGAAAAACAATGTTAATAAAAATTTATGGTTTGGTTCACTTTACGCAATAGATGGATAGAAACAAACATCACTCACTCAAACATTGCTGTGAGAGAGTGGGGGTAATAATTACACACATTCAAGTCCCACAAATTGAATGCCAGAAGACTTCACTTGTCCTTTGAGCTCAGACATACTCACATGTAATTTCAGCAGTCAAACTGCTGTTTACAGATGACTCAGTGCTGCCATCTTGTTTTCTGTAGAGAGCAGTACAGGAGATTTTCTGTCTGTGATGGAGGTGTGATGCATCGAAGTTTACAACAGACATCTTGACTTTAGTTTTGTCCAGATTCTCCTGCAGCGTCTCCTGAACTTCACCCAGGCCCGAGGTCCATGTCAGAGTTGGAGGAAGAGACAGACAGGGAGCTGGAGCAGAACACGTCAACCTCACTACAGTTCCCTCTTTGACCTCCAGAGTGGACGGAGTCAGAGTGGGACTTGGTGGGTCATCTGGTGGGAAGGTAGAGCAGTCATTCTTCTCTATTGTTTATAATTTTGTTTCTGTTTCAAAGGAGTTTATACAAAACAAGGTGACAGAGCTGCTGCATGATTTAAGTGAAAATGAATGGACTTTGAATCTTACCTTTGACTGAAATACGTGTTCCATCAGTGAAAATATATTTCAGTCTGTTACTGCAACTTAGTCTAAAGCGATAGTCACTGCTGTGCTGAGGTTGCATGTTATTCAGGGTTGTGCTGCAGTCTTTTCGTGTCAAGACTCCAGTTAGGTTTCCTTTGATTGAACTCTGTTGTGGGTCTCTGCTTTCAAACACAAACTTTAAATGTTTCCCTTGAGTCCATATTCCTGTACATGTGTTATCCAAGTCTGATTCAAATTGTCTCTCTATGTCAAAAGAGCAGGGGATTGTCACACAGGATCCTTTTACAGCCTCCATAGTCTGTGGGAGAAAGGCCTGAAACTTTTGACACATGGCACCTGAAACACAAGAAAAAGCAAGTGTTTGCATAACAGATCAAATGATTAATCCTGTATATTTATGACAGATGTTTATTGCTAACAGCCTTAGGGCTTAACTTTACTTAAAATAACCCACAAATAATACTGAGAAGTTTGTTTGTTTGAAGTTGTTGCTTATTCCTAGAAAATTTCACCGTATAATCATGTGTCTTTGCTAAATATGATAGAACAACTCACCTTGCAGCAGACAGCCAATGAGAAGGACAGGGAGCGCCAAGGCCATCTCTGTCTTTCGGAAGACGTGCCAAGTCTGGAGATCCCTCACAATTATGATGTGTGATGATTTTCTGAAGTATTTGTTGGTCCAGATGTCTCGCAGTCAAACATCAATCCTGTGATCAGATGGGGTCTTAGATGCGAAATATTCAGTTCCTCTGAAGTTGGTCATTGCTCTTACTGTTGTTGTTGTAATGCAAGAAGTAGATGGTGAAATGGTAAGACGGAAAAACAGGAAGCTATGCTGCATTGATAAATCTTGAATCTGTTCTTTGTGGCTAACATGATCTTTGAAAAGTTTCTAACACAGCACATGTAAACGACAGCTTAAGGGTCCAAGAATTTACCTGGCAGCCTCCAGCTCACAACAGCTCATGGCAGTGACCCAGTATCAACTTAAAAACGTAGACATTTTTTAAATTCTTAACGACATTAAATAGGCTTATGTGATAATTTTGTGAAAAAGATATGAGAACTTAGTTTTTTTTTCTTCAAATCTTGAGCAGAGAGTCAGGTGTAGAGAAGTTTCTTGTGGCTTGTGCTGCTTTTAGAGCAGTATAATGAACAAAGATACATGAGGAAGTTACTAAAGTGTAGTGATCAGTGTTGTGTAAATGTGAAGTAATTGTTATCGGAGTATTCAGCTGTGCTAGGTTCATTTGTTTGAGTTTTTTCGTTCTTTTGACGTTACATCATTTATATCTGTAACACTCATTTGCTAGCCTTTACATGAGAAAGTGATACACTGAGGTAAAACATGTCGTTCAAACCAGGCAAGATCTGTAAATCCTACTGATGAACTCATAATTTCCCATTTTAAACGCACAATAAAACTAATACTGGTCTCCATCAAAGCAGATTTAAGAAAATTTCGGTTCAATCCTCCTCTTCAACCCAGCACCCAGTGAAGCACATGTAGACTGACTTGTAGGTAAGTTTATCAGGATCTATCCTGGTTCTATCCTTTTGTGTCCACACTAGATGGCAGCATGGTCATGAGTTGTACCAGAGCACTGGGACTGGTTTACTGTGTTTCCAGCTCATTTCAGTGTCTTTGGTGTTCATTTTTTATTTAATCTGGTGTAGTTTCTTTCTCTTTCTCTACAGTGTCGTTGAAATACTCAAAGGAGTTTCTAAAAATGATATTTACTAATGTCTATTTAAAAAAAAATTAAGAGTTCATTTTCCCCCAAATATGGAATAATGAGCTTTTGTAGAAAAACTAAGCCATATCCTGAGGACAGGTTATAGTAATAGGCTCCTTTACTGCCCTGAGGTCTGGATTTCGATATTTTCAGGCGCATTTGTGCTATATGTGTGTGTAAAAAAATAAATGAACCACAACCCTCCTGGTTCTGGCGCCCCCTGTAGACAAAGTGATGCCCTTCCTATGGTATATACGGTATGTAAAAGCTGTTTTGAGGCAGAAACCTTATCCTTTCGTCATTTTACAATGTCGTTATCACTCACACTGAGTATTTGCTGTTTTAAAAAGTAAAAAAGGACTTTTTCTTTTTCGTCTGCCATCAATCACCTGGTCCGACACCTACACCCTGGCAGCATTCAAATTCAAATTACTGCAGGAAAATTATCAGACTTGTTGCTGACAGTCTTATTTGCTTTTGACAGTCATAATAAAGAAGCATCAGTGTTAGTTTCAGACTTTTTCTCAGCCAGTTAAAAACTCCCCAGGGTACCTTTGAGAATTGCCTCAAACTGGACTTTTGACTCACTTCAGGTTCCAGAATTAAGTTTTTACTTCACAGGGTTATCATCACTTCATATAGGCAAACACTTAACAAATCATACAGGTACAAGTATGAGAGGCGATTTGGACAAATTTATTGATCCTTGTTTTAAAGAGTAAATCACAGACAAAATGTGAGCAATATGTTTTCCTCCAAATATATCTAAAGACATTTTGGGATCAACTTTGACAACAGAGTTCAAACCTCCTCTTTAACTCAACTTATTCTGGATTTTTTTAAGGATGCTGCTGCAGTGATTTAGTACTGTACATACCAGTTATATATACAGAGAGTTAAAACAAAATTGTTTTCAACTTTTTTTATAACCAGGGCCCTTGAGAAGGCAGAGGATGAAGAAGCTGTGTTTATTTCTGCGTCATTATGTTTGACTGTCCTGAGACTTCTGCATATGCACACTTCTTATGCATATTTCCTGAACAGCAACACAATCAAGCTTGTATGTAATTCTCTCCAGATTTATAGAAAACAAAAAAGAAGCAAACACATAAAGCAGTTTTAAACATGTTACTGAGTTATTGGAGTAGGATTTGGATCCAAGTAAATCAAACAAATCATAGAAGTTGGTCTGACGGCCACAGTGAAGAATGGGTTTTTGGTTGCTTCCAATATTTCTACCATTTTGGATGGAGCTCTGCCCTCACATACAGTTTGTGACATAACTTGCTCTTATCTCCCTCCAATCAGGTTCGTATGAGACTTCAACAAATCCAAAATCTTTGTCTCAAGCTCCTTGGCTTTCTCTGCATTCTCTCTTTTCGCCGCCCGCCCTCCTGCCACCTGGAGTCCCTTCAGAACTGACTGCAGGGCGTCTGCGTTCTTCACCGAGTCCATCTGGTCTCTGTCCACCCGTATCTCCTCTACCCAGTCTAGGTAGGCCTGCAGTAATCCAAGGTCATCCACAAAGTTTGCAATAATGCATAGCCCCGGTCGATTTTGCTCCAACTCCTTCAGCCTCCTCCTTCCTACCTCTCCAATGTCATTTCCGACGATCCTGGAAAGGATGGAAAAAGCAGGAGATAGTTGTCAATTTTCTTTGTGACAAGACTTTACTTACACAAGATGTCAGCTCTACTTGGCAGAAACAAATGTGTTGTAATCTTACGTCAGCGTCTTCAGAGAAGTGTTTTTGCTGAGGCACTTGACAATGTTTTCAGTTCCTTGCTCTGTGATGCCGGTAATGTCTAGATAGAGTTCCTCCACGGTAGTGTTGTGCTCCAGTGCTTTCCACAGCTCCAAGACTCCCTCTGGACCCAGGTTATTGCCACACATGCTGTATGTGTTGGTGGAAGAAAGGGTTCATTAAAGTGTCTTCATGACATGTGTTTAGATATTTAGAGCCAGCAATAACATGCCAATCTTAGAAAGTCGTGAAAAACACAGAATCAATTTCCCAAAAGAACTGGGGCAACAGCTGACTGTATGAAAAACAGCCCGCTTTGCAGCATAAGCCCTGTCATAAACACTGTCAACAAACACTTAAAATGTGCTCAAATATCTTGTTATTGTTGGGTTGAGTTTTGTCCCTTTTATGTGTCAAAAATGTGAATTTGTTTATCATATCACCAGAAACCACAGTTGGAAAAAGTTGTATTGATGCACATAATGTGTAATATAGATCAAATAAACGATATAAATAAAAACTATGTGATAGTTCATTAATCATTTAAACTCTGTACTTGATTTAAAATAGTGCAAAGACAACATATAAATATTTGAAATTGAAGAACTTTAATTTTTATGAACAAGATTATGGCCGTTTCAGTTTCAGTTTCAGTTCCTGGACTCTTCTACTAAAGAGTCCTGCTGTTGTGTTGTGATTTAAACAACATTTTAAACTTCTCAGGAATTAGGGTTGTATTACATCACTGTACAGCTGGGTGGTACTGATAGAAAATGGGATGAGCTACAAAAAGGAAAACGCTAACTGTATATAATATGTCCCCTGAAGTGCTTTTACATCCCGAACTCTGGATTCTGTCGAAGTTTTTAAGTGTCATGAAAGTTGCCGTATATAATTTCGTGACTTACAAGAGTTTTTTTACTTGGCACTTGTTTGACTTCAAAACTGTAGATTCGAGACGAGCTGCTTGTTTATCCAGGCAGTTGTATCTCAAACTAAAATAAAAAAAGATGAGATGAAATGTGAGGTTGAGCACATGAAACAAGTACAAGAATGGGAACATGCAAACCCTACACACTCCACATAAATCCATGTACAGCCCTTTTCAAGCGCCCTGTATTAAAAAGGTAACACTGACAGTTTGATATAAAACCAGTTACTCACTAGAGAGATTCACAGCGATGTAAAATCGGACCGAGCCTGGTCAACCCTCTGTTTCCGATGTTTGAGTAGCCCACATTGAGCTCCTTCAGCTTGTGCAGGGAGAACTGCAGGACATAGTGCATGGCTGCACAGTCCACAACACTCAACTTCATTTTAAACAGGTAGAGCGTTTTGATCTCTGGTGCCACCATGCTGGAGGTTTCCTTATTGTGGAATTCCATCAGGCAGTGGAGAAGATTCAGAGCCGTCTGGTTCTCCAGTCTTTTGCCTTTGAACTGGTCTCTGAACCACAAACCCAACCTGGCTGAGATTCCGTCCTCTTCCTCCATGGGTGTAAGAACAAGCCCGTCCAGCTGACCTGCCAGTCGAGCTCGGAGCGTTCCCATAAAGAAGCGCGTAAACATCTGGAGGCCCTCCACCTTGTCCATGTTGAGGCTGTGGTCACACAGGGGTGCTGTTATGGAGGAGGTTGGGTGTTTCTCAGTGCACCAGAAGTCCAGAGCTTGGATTATGTCATCCTGGCTGGAGAGATGGATTGCACAGTAAACCGCAGCCAGATGCTCTTGAACAGTCAAGTGGAAGAAGGAAAACATCTCTCCTGTTTCCTCTTTGATTGGTTGAAGGACGTTACAGAGGAAAGTGCTCTGAAGATCAGCAGGGGTGACACCATACTTTTCCAAATCTGAACTTTGGAAGATGATCTTCTTCTGTAGAAGGTTTTCATAAGCCAGTTTTCCAAGGTTTATTAGTTGTTGCTTAACTAAAGAGAGGATCTCAGATCTTGGGGTGTTTCTCTCTGCATTCCCCCTCAGTGCGTGATGCTTGACTGCAGTAAACAGGTAGCAGAAGTAAACCTCACTGACTGTTCTGGGCGGGTTGAGCTGCAGAGACTCTGAGTCACCAATATCTTGGTTTTCTTTTGAGAAGAACTCCACCATGGCTGTGCAGATGATGTAGCAATAAAGAGGAATAAAAGACAGCACGAAAATGTTGTCATTGTTCAAGATGTACTCATAAACTCTGTCTGCAACTTGACTGTCTTTGTAAAACCTGTTGGTATATTCCTTCACTTGGTCCTCTTCAAAACCTAATACAACACAACATCTGTGGAAGACATCTTTGGGAGCTTCAGTTGATGGTCTTGTGGTGAGAATGACAGATGCTCCTTTGAGAAGGGTTCCTGTGATTAAAGCCACCATCAGCTCAGATATTGGCACCTTTGACTCGATACCAATGTCTTTGCGGGGCCTGGACCAGTCCAAGGGGAATTTGAACTCATCGAGTCCGTCCAAAATGAAGAGCAAAGAGCTGGGTGTAGAAAAAAGGTTGGGGAGTGCTTCCTTCAGGTAGCGAAACCGTTCTCCAAGTAGCTCCAACAAGCTCAGTGGTTCCTCTATCAGGTTAAGCTCTCTGAAGCGCAGGTCAAAGAGGCAGGTGAACTCACTCATGTTCTTCCCGATCGCCCACTCATAGAGTAGTCTTTGTACTGCAACACTCTTTCCAATACCGGCGATCCCCTTCACTTTAACTCTGAGGATCTTTTCAGTTCCTTCTGGGGAACTCAGTAGATTGCACAGTCGGATGCGCTGGCAAGATTGATGGACGTAGATGCGGGCTCGCCTGCTCGCCAAGTCAAAGTACTCATGTTGGCTGCTGTCAACAAATTCATCATCTTCCGTCACAAAAAGTTCTGTGTAGCGGATCTCAATGTGAGAGGCTGAGTTTGAGGCCGGTCCTTCACCCTCTGAGTAACACTTTAGCTGCCCTGTGCGTTTGAGTATGGTTGTTTTATGAGCAGAAATGGCAGCTGCAACAGGAGAAAGGATTTTCCTATCAGAATTTATTTTGGCTTACTCTCATTCTTAGCTTACCTCTCACACCTACATACCTCGGATGTTGGCAGCTGCAACGAGAGAAAAAAAATTTCTATTAGAATTTATTTTGGCTTACTGTAATTCTTGGCTTACGTTTCACACTTACATACCTCGGATGTTGGCCACTTTACTCCTCCTGGAAGCTTTCAGTTTTTCTTTTGCTGGATATGAAGATATTTGTATCTTTAAGTGCACTTTCGAAACACTGGAATTTGACAAGCATTTTTAACAACAGTTTTAAAAGATGTAAATCCATACCAGTAACTTCAGAAGTCAAGGTGTAGCTTTTGCTTTTCCCGGCAAACAGCCCTCCAAATAGGCCTTTAGGCTTCTTTCCTGAGGATATCACAAAATATGTTAACTTGACAACATTTTGATTGTATTCACATAACTTTATTGCCTGAACATGTAACTTACTGTGCTCAAAAACAAGACAAAGACACTAAATACAGTCTGTAGCTATGATAGGGGCTCTGAAAAAATCCATACAGCATATTATCACGATATTTTGTCTGGTGATATATCGTACCGCCTCATTTACCAAGTATCGATTTTTTTCAAATTAATTGTTAATATGAAGTCAAATCTGTGATAATGCAAAAATGAAATCAACTGTTTATCCAGTGAGGTTGGCAGAGGTGACATCATAGAGCAGAAGAAAGTTAGTACAACAAATATAGCATCACCTGGGGAACGACATTGGGAATGCGAGCAGGGCACAAATGAGATGGACCTGACGTATGAGGTTTGTAAGATGTGCTACATGAAGATAAATTACAGTGTAATAAGACAAATGCAAAGGAAAGACAAATGCTAAATTGGCTAAACAGTTAAAAAATTGTATAAATCGCAATATTTATACAATTATATCACAATACTCACTGTATTGCAAAATGTTAAAAATGGCAATAACATCATATCGCGGCTCAAGTATCGTGATAATAACGTATCCTGGCATCACTGATGATTCCCACCCCTAATAGTTACTACCTTCACATAGTGCTAAGCATGTTTTTCAAAATTAAAACCATAGCTTTGGAGGTATTTTGTTCAAAGAGATATTTTTACAGTTTGGCCCGATGTTGGCGCTACAAGGCAAGTCAGGAGATCATAAAAACTAGAGCAGGATTAACTAGAGTCAGACGTTGTCAAATCAACAGAAAGGGTAAAGGTCTAGTCAGAGGAACAACAGATGTAATAAATCTCCTCCTCTAATCATTGATTTAAAATAACAACCCCTCTGACATTGATGAAATATTTCACTCTGTGTAACAGACATTACCACCACTGTCGTCAAAGCCAACAATCTTACACTGTATGGCACCCTGTTAATTATTTTCTCATCTCTTTGTTACTCCGGCTGTAAAACTTGATTGTCTGAAGCTTTCGAGTTTGTAGCTTCTTTAAAAAAACTTTGTATAACTTACAATGACCTTCAAATACTTAATAATAGAGACGTTTGCAGAATGATGATGCAAGTATATTTTTCTAGCTCACCTCCGACTTGTACAGGTGTTGACTCAGGCTTACTGATGGCATCATTTCTGCAGTGTCTCTCCACCCAGACCTGCAGATCCTTACAGTAATACTCCTGCACCTCCTTCAGCACCTGCAGGAACTTGAGGCTGCTCTCCTCTGTGGCACACACCGTCTCCAGAGTCTGGGCCACTGCATTGGCGGAAGATTTCTCCAGCAGAGACAGGTATTGGGCATAGGAGAGCACCCCATCATCACGCAGCCATCGCAGCAAGGGGGCTGGGTGATCTCGAGTCCAGTTCAGCAGCAAATCTCTGTGGGACTGGATCAGCTGTTGAGCTGAGGTCATGGCTTCAGAAATGCTGTTGCAAGAGAAAAAGAAACCATCAAGATTTCATGCAAATAACTCTGTAATGATCCTCAGATGTCGTCCAGGAGCACAGCTTGATAACAGCACAGAAAATCCACCAGGAGTCCTGCACAACTTCTTGCACCCTGATTGGTTTTAGTTCCTACCTTAAAGAAATACTATAATAATGTGCTCTGTCACATCCCTCTGGTTTAGTTTTGCCATCGAAAGCATGACCTGTGGCAGAATAGGTTTGTCATGTCCTGTTTTAAAGTTCAGGGAGGAGGAGGAGCACTGCAGCTGCAGCAATTCAGACACAATTCTCAGGGTCCATAGTTCAAAGTGTGTAAGTGTTTGTCTCGGCCCCAAATGAACCGGTTTCGTTTGAACTTGCAGACACACATCAGTTTCTTGCCCGATAACAATCCCTGTAACACACTTTGTGAAGACAGATCAAAGTCTGGTACAAATAAGGGTTTTGATTAAATATGAACTGGTAAACACACCATTCTCCAAATTAACTTCCAATCTTCACTCTGATATTTACGGTCAATCGAGTACCAATAAATCAGCGTCAGGAGTTAAATATTAACTTTTTAACTTTCTGTGTAACTTTTATTTCTACCTCTAATATAATGATAAAAAGGAGAGACAGTTTAGGCTCTGAGAAGAACACATATTTGTTGGGACTTTTAGGAAATGGCCAACAGCATGAGAATGACTCACTCACCATCATGTGTTGTCTCAGAGATACATGCTGAGGTATTTCTCCCTCCCTGGAAAACTGTGTGTCTACCATCTGAATTAAGATATGAATCTTTTAAAACATGATCACTGCAGGGGTTTGGACCTATGATTGCTGTCTTAAAATAACATTTTGAGATTCAAGATCTTAGTAAGATGAACAAACATGATAAACAATGAGGACTGGAAAAGTATGGGGAAGCTTCGTAATGAAGTCACAATGAAACACTCCAACTTCCCCCTCTTTTCTCCCTCTGCTCATCCTTCCCTCTGTCTGCACTGCCAGAGCAGGGTTGCAGTCATGCATGTGGACACCGTCTTTCTTATGTGTCTTCTGGTTCTAGGTGAGTAATTTGACATTTAATGATTATTGGAAATAAATTTGCTTCTGATTTATGTATAAACTGCAAGATAATTCTATAGTAGCTATAATAATTTACTTTATAATACAATGACTCGTTATACCTCGTATCTTTACTGTATTAAAAGATCGATTGTACTTTGCTTTTCATTGCAGCTCATAATTTTTCATATATTTTCTCCTTTAAAGTGAGTGAAAATCTTAAAGTACACGTGCAACTGTTTAAAGCAAGATAGTTTTGTCATATTATGAGTTAAGTGAAGTGTAACAGATGCAGTCTGCTCTCTTCCTCATTCCAAATATAAACCTGTTGTGAAACCCTTTTAGGTCATACTATGTATTTGCAGACGGTGCAAAGAAATTTAACAGTTTCATGCAAATTTTAGCTGATATAAATTTTTTCACGATGATATTTGAAGTTTCAAAAAGCTGCACGGTTGTTCAATAAAACCTCCATAAGAGAATGAAAGAGCTCTGTAGTTTGCAAGAGAAAGACACTATCTTAAATGTCGTGCGTTTGGCCGAGTGTCTATGAATGAATACAGGTCAAGTTGAAGTTGCTGGATCACTTGATAATTAGCTTTACAGTGTAGAGATTGATTTTTTTTACTCTCAACCACAGCTGCAGCCTCATGGAGGACGGTCCAGGCTGTCTCTCCTGTGCCCTCAGTCCCAGACCGTGTCCAAGCACAGGCAGGCTCCTGTGTGGTGATTCCCTGCTCTTTCACCCCTCCAGCTCCTCACCCCTTCAGGGGGAGAAGGGAGAGAGTGGACGTCCGGCTAAGGTTCAGAGGTGGCGGTCACTACTTTTCTCTCCGCAGCACCGCTTATAACAGTGAGGACAGAGACCAAGTGAGCAGGGATTTTCAAGGCCGGTCGTCCCTCTTCGGGAGGATCGCAGATGGAGACTGCTCAGTAAAGATTGAAAGAATCAGCCAGGATGATTCGCGGGCGTTTGAAATCTCTCTGAAGAGAGGGGATGAATTACTCTGGGGGAAGCCAAAGAGCTTCAATCTGGTTGTTGCAGGTAAGTGAAGGAGTCACTACACTGTCTTTTGTCTGTCCTGTGAAAGCAGCTCTTCTGTTAGACTTTACACCGCTGGATTATCAACAACACTACTTACAGGAGGGTTGAGACACTGTGTAAAATGAGGATAAATTTTACAAAATAATGCAAAGACAACAAGTAAGGCAGTAAAACTGAAAAGGGTTACAGTTCTGGGAAGAATATACTCGGTTTGTTTTTTAAGTCAACACATTTCAGAGAGGTTCAAACGGGGATGATGAAAAATGATTTAAAAAAAAAAAATGAAACAATGCCAAACTCCATCTTGCACATGTTGCAAGAGCGTGGCTCTGTAGTAGAAGATTCCTGATGCCAAACTGGCCTACCTACAGTCCCGACTTGTCATCTGTTGGAATATCTTTTAGTGCATCACGGCACAAAGAAGAAATTCAAATAAAAAGTGATCATGTTTTCTTCATAAAACAGTATGTTCTTTATTTTCAACAGCACTCTGGAAATTCTGTTTTCTGTGTAAACACAGTCGAGGATCTCGATCATAACTGATTGAATATAAAAGTCAGAAAGCCAAGGTTTAAGTTCTTATCGGTCACTTTGATGCATATTGATCTGCACATGAGTTGTGCGTGTACCTTTTACTTCATTCAGGTCACCGCCAGGTAAAAGAAAGCAAAAATAAGTTAGTTATAACAGTAAACAGGACTTTTTTTCAGCTCTGTCCCAATAAAACTTAAACAAAGGAAATATAAAATAGTCATACAATGATCAATTGTGGTAAAAATAACAGGATTAGGAATGTAAAACTATTCTTGTTTATAAATGACCTTAAATCCATATAGTGAATATAGTGATCAGATACACCCCTGAGCTCCTGTCGATGTGGTGTTCGTCTTTAGAAATCCACACAGTTTTATTAGAAGTCAGTAAAGATGCAGGTTTTCTTCACTGACAGAGACTCCTGAGGCTCCGGTCATCAGCGGCGTGTTATCAGCCACAGAGGGACAGAGGGTCACCCTGAACTGTTCCATCGGCTACCACTGCCCCTCCAGACCTCCTGTGCTGCAGTGGAGGTGGGAGAGAGGAGCTCAGCTGAACAGCACTGATCCTGGGGAGGTACAGATGCACTACCTGCACCCAGAGCCCGACAGGCTGGTGTTGCTGGCCTCTCTGTCCCTCACGGTGTCCCACCAGGTGAAACCAAAGCTCAGATGTGAGGTCAGCTATCCTGGAGCACAAACACTGGCTACTTCAAGGGAACTCCATGTGACATGTGAGCATTGCTTTGACTTGTATATTTGTGTATTTTGGTGCAGTCTGACCCTAAAGTCTTATTCTGTTTTCTCTACAGTCTCTCCAAAAGATGTCGTGATTCAGGTCCAGACTCTGATGGTTCATGAGGGGGGCAGCGCTTTGTTGGTCTGCTCGTGCAAAGCTGACCCTCCCGCCTCAGAGTACCGCTGGTCCTACACCCAACATGGCCTCACAGTGCACCTCCATCAGCGTACACACACAGTACGGGTGTTCAATGTGACCCGGGACATGAAAATCCGTTGCTCTGCAAAGAACCTGATCGGTCGAGGAGATTCTCGGCCCACGGCTCTAAACATACAATGTAATAACCCAACTTCCTGAAGGCCATGCACATGTCTGACAACAAAGTGTTATTTAGATGATGAGAAACAAACACCAGGCTGAAAAGTGAGAAATCAGATGGAGTAGAAATGGAATATAAAATCTTCTCTCTCCTTTTTCTTCTGCAGATAAACCAGTCATCCTCCGGCTCATCTCCACTTGTGTTGTTGAGGACTTGGAGGTGGTGTGTAGTTGTTCAGTCGACTCCAACCCAAAAGCTGCCATCACCTGGAGTGTGAACGGAACCGTCCCTCCTCAGGATTATAACGTGTCAGTGACACTGGAGGCTGAGGTGCTAACAGCTACACTGAGGGGGCGCATGGACAGACCTCAGGCAGTGATCTGCTTCGCTTTCAACGCACTAGGGAATGACTCGCTGATGCTGCTGCAGGGAGGACAAGGTGTGTAAAAATCAGCAACCTCCTTTGAAACATCAGTGCAGAAAAAAAGCAGAAAATAATGAGTTTAAGGAGGGATGAGGTCCATTTTTAGAATCTGCTAACAATGCACTGCTTTGTACATAAATACATGATTGAGGTCAGGTTTGAGCGACTAGTTGAACCAAAAACTCTTCTTTCTATACATAGCAAGCAGACATAGCAATCATTCACTGTTTTACACTTAAAGCTGATCAATCTGTGCTCTTTTTGTCCACATACAGAAACCATTCCTTTTTTGTTGTTGGTGGTGATTCCTGCTGTGGCCGTCTGTCTTGCCGTAATTCTCCTGTCTCTGTGTCTGTGCTGCTGCAGGAGGAGAGCGGGAAAGTAAGTGCTTCAAATCAGCGTCTCAAAAGTCGACTAAAACTTGGCACACTTGCTCATTATGATGTTTTATGAACCTGCTTTATTCTTCTCAGACGGGTCCTGAGTAGACGCCCAGCAGTGTACCCTGGAGGGATTTATCAAGACCGGATGCCCCTCTATATTAACTGCACAGAAGTTACTCATATCTACACCAATGGAAGCTACCAGCTTGTATACCAGAATTGCACACCTCTCTTTGTCCATACAAAACAGGTATTTCATGACGTTGATGTTTGAGTGTGGGGCATCACATGGAAAAAGAATTAGAAGCTGAAATTATTCTTTTTTTCTCAGATGCGTCCAATCGCCAGGAGAGGTGGAGAGAGAAGAAGAGGGGGAGAAGGTGGAGGAATAGAAAGACGAGCAGGTTTGGGAGTCAGAGATACAAGAGAGGTTCAGGGTGCAGCTGCGGCTGATGCAGAGACGGCCATCTACTTGGAGATCCTCTGAGCGTCGATGTAACTTCCAGTTATTGTAAATATTCCTCATCTGTGTATATATGCTTTCACAACCACACACCGTGGGAATGGGAGGTGGTGCTCTGTCTCATTCATCATCTCCATGTTGAGGTGTTTCTTTCTGTTCCTTGGTAGTGTTGTCCTGTGATCTACCTTTGTGCTCTCTATTTGATCAGCAGTATTTAAAAGATGAATAATGACTATTTTGTCACGTTGCACGCACAAGCATCGGCATAAGAGAAGTCTTACCTGTCAGCCTCAGCTATGCATTTGTAACTATACCTGTATCTCGTGTGACACAATCAAATCCTTTAACTGTGAGTTGTAATGCAGTTTGCCATGTTCATGCCATGTACAAGGAAGGAAGTGTGTCACATATGTGTAACTGACTTGTCATATCAGACATGACATTGACAAACAGGAAGCATCCAAGTAAGAATTACAGGACTGTGCAACTCCATCCAAATGTTTGTTCTCCATTCAGAGGGCCACAAGCTTATTTTAAAACACCAACTCAGAATGATCAATTTTTTTTAAATTTTAATAAGGAAATAAATGAAATTCTACCCACAGTCCTGTCCTTCTAAAAAACTCTGTCGTGTCATTTTTCATATTTATAATAACCTTAACCTAATTTTTAGCTTAAAACAAGCCTTTAAAATCTGCACAAGGAGCAGGTCGCCTTCCATGTGAGTCTGTAATGCACTGGCTTAAAGACAAAGAGGGAGAAGAGAGAGGTTTTGTGTGTGGAAAAAAAAAAAAAAATATATATATATATATATATATATATATTGATTGAAGTTTTTACAGAAGACCTAACAAACTGTGGATCACAGCAGCCTCCTGCCGTCAAGGCCACTATACCTTTTGAAGCTTCCTCAACAGGAGAGGTGAGCGAAAGGGCCGTTTGATCTTGAATCTGACAGTCAGGTACTTCTAAATATTTCTGTTTTTACACACTCTGCCTCCTCAACATCAAGTGTTTATTTCAACAGGAGCCGCAAGGTTAGGAATCGGAGATATTGAGCTGATAAAGTGCCTTTGATAAAAGCCAAGAGAGGCTTATGCAGTACAAAGCTTGGTGTTTTGTTGGTCATATAACAGAAAATATACAACATAATGAACACCTGGGCAATCTAATGCAATCCAATACAACAGCATTTTACTTTAACAAAGCTTCTGCATTTGTGGACAGTCAAACAGGTGTTTACATTCGTCGTTGGTGTGCTCAAGTGCTTTGTAGGTGCAGTGCAAAGGGTTAGAATGTTCTGGATATGTTTTTTTTTTTTTATTCCATAATTTAATTTTAAAATTTAAACTTCCAAATATTCTGAATTCATTGGACAAAAGTAAATATTTCAAGACTTTTAAAAAAATTTAATCTTGATGATTATAGTTTACAGGTTACGAAAACGAAGGTGTTTCTAATGTTTGGCCCTTCATATTTGGTACACCACGACCGCCAAGTTCATCTTTACAAATATTAAGAGTAGCATGTCAATAAAAGCTGAGAATAAATACATTTCCTGGTAGGGGAGAGTGGGGTAAGATGAGCCATTTTTCATATTTCAGATCACTACATCTAGACAATCATAGTTTTGTCTCTAACTCGTGTATCTGCATGTATTTCGAGATGTTGTTCATCCCTGCAAACCAACAGAACAAGTGTAAACATAACAGTCTTGATAATATAGCATGCCAAAAAAAGTGGTCTCCTGTGGTCAACTTACCCCGTGTATGGGGTAAGTTGACTATAGGAGCAGGGTACGTTGAGCCGTATCCCTACTACCTACTACTATATGTTTTTTTTTTTTTGCTCTTGGGGGGCCCCCTATTGGCCGCAGGGCCCTAAGCAGGCGCTTAGTTCGCTTATGCCTTGGGCCGGCTCAGCCTGAACTACTATTCTGACTTTATCAGTCCTCAAAGCTAAGATGGTGGACTTTTATGTTAGATTTTTGACCTCATGTTGTAGCTCATATATACCACAAATTATGTATAAAATGAATTTAAAATGATCTTTTTTGGTCTGAACACAATTCTACTAAAACTTATGACAGACTAAATTCACTTTCAAGAGTGAAAAATGTTTTTTTTTTTTTTTTAAATAAATGTCTAACCCCTTCACCCATGTGCTTATAACCTTCAGACTCCATGAATTGAGCCCATCTTCTTAAAATTTGGTCACATGATCAATTTCTTTTACCGTTTCCAAGCAAAAGAGGGTGTCTCAATTTACCCCAGTCTCCCCTATAGAAGTTGTGAGTAGTCGTGTTGGATTGCCCACGTGTTCATAATGTTGTGACAGCCATAGGTGGCGATAAACACAGTCTGACGCAGTTCGAACAGCAGCAGTAGAATAAGAAAGGCGAACTCCCATTGGTTGGAAACGCTGTCAACCGGAAATGATGTCACGGTGCGGCACATATCACGCTTTTGGTGGGAAAATGAGTTCGCCTCCACTCACAATAATCGCAACATTTATGACACTAAAACGTGTTTTCTGATATTTACCGCACTGGAGAGTAAGACGGTGTCGCTCGCGCACTTAAAGGTTTTACAGTTTTATTCGTGAGTGCTTTTAAAATTCGCAGAAACCAGCAGATAAACCGGTAAAAGTTGACTCTGCCTATTGTTTGCTAGCATGCACACGGTTTAGCTCACAGTTATCGTGACATTTACCGGGTTTGTTTGCGTTAGGTAGAAATCAGAGAACCTGTTTGGTGTGTTTTCTTTTACTCTGAGTTATTCCAGCCGTCGAGAATCAACAACATGCCAGAAATCAAACTGAAGCACGTCGTGTCCTGCAGCACCGAGGACCCGGTACGTCTCTGTCGGAACTACAGTGTTACGTGTCACACAGTTTTAAAGTGAAAGCCTCCTGTCTCACAACATCATTTCCCCTAATATGAGTCTTTTCCTCCTCGCAGACTCACAAAGCAGACAACCTGCTGAGCTCTGACACCTACAGAAAGTGGAAAGCAGCCAGACCCGGGGAGAAGCAGACCTCAGTCATCCTGCAGGTGTGTTTACTCTAAAGCCATGTGTCCTGTTTACAGATATTTAATCCCAGCAGGAAGGGAAATCATGGAATAATTCTGACCACCCATGACATTATGACCCTGACAGGTGAGGTTGTTATTACTGGCTCTGTCTTCATAATATCACCTATGTGAGTGGGATATGTGAGGCTGTAAGCAAACCTTAGAGTTGATATAAGTCCATGTTAATGCAGGCAGGAAAACTTTGACAAAGACCAAACTGTGAGTGCCTGATGATCTGTGAGAAGTGTTTCAGGTCTTAAAGGGATATTCCGGAGTATCCCTTTAAGTGGCTAACACCTGCCACAAGGGATCCACAGAGGGTCTCAGTTTAGTTCCAGGGTAAATGATCTACCCTTTTAAAAGCCCGTCCTCCGTGGGTAGTACTTTCTAGGGTATTAGGCAGGCAGGGCCTGACAATTTTGTTTACACTGGAAAAGTAGGTTGTTATTTAACATATAGAATACTAGTATTTAAGTGCACAGACAGAGGAGGCATGAGATATTGTGGATAATATCCTGCATAACCTTCTGTTATTTGATCAGTAAAACTAATCATGAATTTTGACCCAGTTTTATGTACATTTATCCATCTAAGGGGATGCTTTTGGGTGTAATAACCTTCAGTGGTTGCGTGGAGTCCGTGTCACATTAGGTCAGGATTATTTCAGGTGGTCATGGCTGATTGGTGTAGATCTGCTTTTCTTTTTAGACTTTTACTTCTGATGTTTTTAACAATATTTGTACGATGTACAATCGCTGACTCCAACATACTTCTCCTTTGTGCTCTTGTGGGATGTATATTGTGTTTGTTCTCTTGCTCTGAATTTCAAATTAACAAAACCATTGGCCTCTTAAAGTTTCTGAAACATAAATGTATTTTGCAAACAGTTGCAGTTTGAAGTTGATTGCTGGTCTCCGGGTTATTCAAAATGCAGCTCTTGCATAGCATTTAACTGAGAGACAAGAACATAACCTAAACCTACGCAGTTTGTCTCTTCACCTCCTTTGCAAGATTTCAAGGATATGCTAAAGAAACAGTGGGTGTACTCTACCGTTTGCAGAGTGACTTGTCCATGCTCTTTAACCTTGAATTCAAACCCACATTGAATTTATTTATACAGCGCTGAATCAAACAAGTACTGCTCAAGGTGCTTCTCAGAAAGGTTAAATGAACGTCATGTCAGAGCCGTCCCTACATAAGGTCATATGAGGCCCTACTGGTCAGTAGTAAAGGGATCGCAGTCAGCTTGGCTGCTCTGCAGAGAAACTGGTTGGAGAATCAGCTCAGAAATTAGGTGGTGTATAAAAAGAGTCAATTTTACCAGGTAAGTTAACTCGTTTCAACAACGTCTGACCCAAATACTAATGTTGGTGTGGATGCACACTCCATTTAGAGAAATTTCAGGACTTTGTAGTCGGGGAAAGTCAGTTTGTTTCAGTTCTATTTTTGGACATAATACCTTTGTGCTCCCCTGCCTGCAGGAAACAGATGAGCTGGTTGACTCTCTAATGTACAAACGAACTTGACTCGTGGGTAGCACACTGGTATAAAGTCAATTTGTACAGGGATTTTCATACTGAGATGCAATAAATGCTAAACATCATTAGGAATATCTGTTTTTTTTGTCAAGTGCTCTTTGAACAGGGAGAAGATTTCCACACAGTGAATATATCTGGGTTTTCAATGACAAGAATTTCGAAGCTTTTAATCCAGGATTTTCCCACTGTATCTCTTGAACATCCTTGTTTCAAAAACATGCCTCTCAGAAAATGTCCTATTATACTGAAAAAATAATCAAACAAACAAAAAAAAATGAATTATTAGTAATTAAAATGTGTGCAGAGAGAAAAAGTATGATGGAGTATTTGGGCCTCATTAAGAAAAAAAAATTAAGACTTGGAGAAAATTAAGACTTGGAGATTAAATTCATTAATTTACTAGAATAAGTCATTACGAGTGAGAATGAAGTCGTAGTAAAATCATTACTTACAAGAATAAAGTTGTAATCAATTACTACTACTTCTATACTTATGATAATGTGGTGCTGATGTGCCAAAAGATTAAGTATCTTCTTGTTTGAGAAACAAGAAGATACTTTATTCTGACTTTACTCTCGTAAGTGATTACTTTACTACGACTTTATTCTTGTAAGTTAACGACTTTAATCTCCAAGTCTTACATTTTTTTTCTTAATGTGGCCCTAATACTCTGTCGTAAAAAAGGTCATCTTGGCTTATATGATTGTGTTTTTACTATGTAGTTTTCTGATCCATAAATGCGTTCAAACTTTGGTTTAATCTGTTTTCAGCTTCTCTTTTTTTTACTTTTGATCTTTCCTCTTTCCCCCTCAGTTTGAGAAGGAGGACCAGGTCCACAGCATTGACATCGGAAATGAGGGTTCAGCATTCATCGAGGTGTTGGTGGGAAATTCCTCAGCAGTCAGGGACCAAGACTACGAGGTATCCAGATATCCACAATATACCACCTCATTGTTCAAGTACAAGCCATGCCTCGTTGCTTTTTTCACTTACTCTTCGTCTTTCTCTTTTTAGGTTCTCTTGGTTATGTCTTCCTTCATGTCCCCAACAGAGAGCCGTAACGGCACCAACTTGAACCGGGTTCGCTTCTTCGGACCTGCCCAGCTGCAGAAGAGCACAGCACAGGAGAAGTGGGACCGTGTGAAGATTGTGTGTAGTCAGCCATACAGCAAGGTAAAGGTCCAGACAGTTCACTTTAAAGTGAAATATTGACCTTATAGCAGTTTAATCGAACTTTACACACACTCAACAGAAGTTAGATAGCATCATAGTTTCAGGACTGGTGTAAAGATAGTAGATACACAAAGAATTACTGCAAAACTACCGCCGATATAAAATCTGAAATGACTGTGTGTGTTTTTCAGAACATAGCGTATGGACTGGCCTTTGTGAAGTTTCATTCACCGCCTGACAAAAATGATCCTCCAACATCCTCGCCGGTAAGTGTTGTTCCCAAAAGCCCAAGGATGCCACTTAAGACTTTAACTTCTGTCAGCTTTTAGTTCTTATCTGTTTTATTCATTTTTAGTTCTGTTATAGACTACAGGACTGGACTGTTTTTAAGGGACGACTGAATGCACTGTATTGTAATCTTTTAACTCCCTGCACTTAATGTGATGTAATGGAACAAACGTAATTTTGAGCCTGGCAAACCCAGGTGTTACAATAAAGCTACCTTGTATCCTTGTATCCTTAAGACCTCCTGAGTCTTGTTGGTTATGATTGAGGACTGATTGTTCACTCGTACTATCTTTGAGAATAATTCTGAAGAGCTTAATAGATGCTTTACAAAGTATGGTGACGTTAAAGAGACAGTCAGTGATATTATTCAGGATTTTAGCCTCAGTTCTCAGCATATAGACTATGATTGTTAACGAGAATTTAGAGTTAAAATTTTAACTAATGAAATTAAAACTGGAGTTCAAGACTGTGAAGAGGTCTGTAGGTAAAGGAGGAGGATTTTGGTGTCCACATGGAACTTGAGATGGATGAAGTTGGTGGTGGTGACGCCAGGGCTTGGTGCGAGGCACAACCCTGGCAGCTGAATTCTGCTCATGATTGAGACTCTTCAGGATTTTGTTGGTGTCCTGGATAAGACTCCATGGTAGTAGTCCAGCAGGAGGTGAGGGATTCTGATGGAGATTTGAGAATGGATTTCATGCATGACTGGAAGGAGGTGGTGGAGTTAAAGGTGACACCCAGGCTGCAGTTTTTGGAGGGGGGTAAATTTAGCAGCTGTTGATGTCTGTGAAAAGGTCTCCAACTTTCTGAAGCAGGAACTTAGAAGCTGTCAGCATGATCCTGACGTAGCCCTTGAATAGGTGTTTCATTATTTCCTGTTTTCACAGAATCATTTTGCAGTAGGTTTGGCTTATTATACCTCATCTAGGGCTGGACGATATGGCCTCAAATTGATATTATGATATATTGAGCAGTTCACCTCGACAATGATAAATAGACGATAACTACTCCACAAGCTGCTCACCCCCTCTCACATTAACTCTGTCTACTTCGGCCGCTACAACTTTTGAACCGTCCTCCATCTCCTCATCTGTCTTTTCCTCTTTGTTAAGTACTGGATGGGGTGGAGTCACGTCTCTGATGTAGGACAGCGTCTTGAAGGGACATGAGACCATAGCATACCTACATCCAAAACAAACTTTGATTTATTTATTTTTTTGACACTGAATATACCAATACGGGCAAAATTATGTCGGTTATCGTCGTAAATTATGTAAAATTTACAGTTTCTCACCCAGCCCTAACCTCACCTCATTTGGCTGAATCTTCTTTTCATTCAGATAAAAAACGACTCGATTCCAAACTGATGGAGTTAATCTAGGTTTTGTGTTTAAAAAGTGTCCATTACTTCTGCTGTATAACTCAAACCTTCACTCTGCTGGGATATCATGACAGCCAGTTTGTCTTTGTGTGCACGAGACTCTAAGATGAAATGCTGCGTCTCTTATCGTCACTGCTTCTCCCTGACATTAACATATGAAGTATTCTCACGTTCAGCAGAGTCAGAGTCTCATTGTGATGTGTTCATCCATCCTATGAACTTCAATAATCTACAACTTGAATCATTTGTCAGTTCAAACTTTGTGTGCTCCCTTTATCTTGTCTTTTGGCGCTTACCGTCTCTTTTCTTCTCCCACTTCAGAAACTGACAAAGCTGGGACAGTTCAGGGTGAAGGATGAGTCTCCTTCAACCGGGCCGAGCCTTCAGCCCGGCAGCCTCTTCTTCAGTCGGGACAATGCGGCAAAGTCCAGTCCTTCACCTAAAGGTTAATCCGTCCATTCAGATTGAACAGCTGCTAGAGCCAATTGAAATCCTTTGTGGTCCTGCTAATAAAGAGCTAATCACATCAACACTAATTAAGCTTCGTTTAAGAGTGCCAGGAGGCATGATGGGGGGAAAAAAGGATTTCTTTATTCTGGAGCTACTTTGTTCCCTCACCGACGTTTTCCTCTCCTCAGTATCTCCTCCGAGTCAGAAGCTGACTTACGCTGCTGCTGCCCTGCAAGCCGGTGGCAGCTCCCACTCATCAGGACCAACTTCCTCCTCCAGCTCTGCCTCGCCACAGGTACTAAACACCACCGTCACTTTAATCAATGAAGGACAGCCATCAAGCAGCTGTTCGCTCCTTTAATGAGTAGTCTTTTCTTGTCTTAAGTTACACCCCGGGAAAGTTTCCGAGAAAAGATGACACAGAGGTGAGAAAGTTTGTTATAGGATGAGAACGATTGTTTTTTACTCCGGCGGCAATTTTCGCAGTCTGCCAATTCCTACCGGATGTGTTTGTGAGGCAAATTTCGTGGTGGAATACTGACAGCGGGAATCGCAAGAACTCACAAGAACCTGTGTATTCACGTTTAATCGCACGATAACGAGTTGTCTCTATACATAGACATATTAACAGTAGATTGTGTCCTTCCAGAGGATTAAATCTACTTCTAGACTTCTAGAATCAGCATCTCCTCATCCATGGTGTCAACAGGGTGAAATGACGTCTATAAACCTTTCACTTGCTCATCTCCGCCTGTTTGTATGGTGTGAAACGAGTTAATCTGTGCTGAATTTATCCACCCTGCTCCGGCATCCCGAAAAAATAGAACTCTGGTGATCAGCTGTGGAGTCCGGCGATCCACAGAGGAACGGAAAGAAGCTGGTGGAAATTGACACATTAACTTGAATGGAAACTATCACCTGTGATCGGTAGATACGGCCTTTTCATAGCCGTTCCAGATGCAGTCGAAATTGGGGGTTAGACTTCTAGTGACTGATTGTAACCCGGTCCTGTCAATTCTTCAACATTATTGCTAGATTTTCACATGATACTAAAAAGAGGTGGTTGCGACTTAGCGATGGACTCGGTTGACTCCCAATCAGAAGATCGAGAGTTCGATCTTAAGTCCCTCTGTCCTCATGCAGCGATGTCCAAGGGCCAGACACTTGACTCCACCTTCGTATTGATGTCTTTTCCCTCAGATCTCATCTTCTATCAAATATTTCTCTAAAGCACTGTTTTTTTCAGGTGCATGTTACTTTTTACAAGTTGTTAAATCTTGTTTTTGTTTTCTGTTCGTTGTCCACTTACAGCCTCCCACAAAAAGAAAATTTGAGTTCAGCCAAGAGCGTCAGTCTGCCCCAGCTCCTCCACCCTCAAAGAAGTTAAGCCCAGCCGGCACACCTGAGGGCAAAGCCGCAACCCCCAAACAAAAGCCGAGCCCGGCCAGCTCATCCAGCCCCGGCACGGCGAAAGGTAACTTTAGTCCAAATCTGAGGATATAGAAATCTTCTCTACCTTTGAAAAAAACTTTGACTTTCACGATCTCCTCCTCAGCTTCTCCAGCACAGAAGTCCACAGAGAGGAAACAGGCGAGCCAGTCCAAACCTGAACCTAAACCCAAACAACAGAAAGCGAAATCCCAGAGCGCGCAACAGGTCCCGTTCAAGCGGCTCATGGAGGGCGTGGTGTTTGTCCTCAGCGGCTTCCAAAACCCCTTTAGAGGGGAGCTGAGGGAGAAGGCTCTGGAGATGGGGGCCAAATACAGACCCGACTGGACACCAGACTCAACACACCTCATGTAAGTGTGAAAGAACAGAGAGTTTCTGCACACTACACAGCTTGATGAGACGGTGATGGAGATTTTGAAAGAGTTTTTTTCAAGTTTTCCACTTAATAGTCCTTCTGCAGTCACTGCTGCTCGGAACAATCCTTCATTTCAGTGAACTTAAAGTCAAATTTTATTTAAGACAACTTCTCCGATAAAATCACACTTAAATCCTCCCGTCACATCTTAAAGTTGTTGCCTGTAGGATGGCTGCTGTTCTCTACAATAAACAATGAAACCCTCTGCCGACGAGGACGGCTCAGAGAAGGCTTCTTAAAAACAAAGAAAAGAGGTAACCGAGGAGCTCGAGAGAGAAGATAAACAATCAGTACACACTGAAACTGAGGACCGCTGGTGATGAAGTTATAAAGAGATTAAAACTTAAGCAGAGTGGGGAAAAAATGAGCTTTGACAGGTTTCTTCAGGGAAAATCATCTCCATCTGAGGAAAACATTAAAACCTCTCTCACGTATTTCATTTCTGCACACAGTACAACTAAAATCTGATTATTTGCGCAGCATTACCTCCATGTAAAACATTTGTGCGACCTCTTTGTGATACGGACCAAAGCTAATCCAGTAAATCTTCATAGTTCATGAGAGACTTTGACATGTGTCAGATGTTTTTATCACTGAAACTGATGACAGGATTGTGTAACGGCGCTGTTAGCTCTCCCAGTAATTCAGTTTGATTGCTTTGTGATCTCTGCCGTTAAAGCAGACTATTGCTCCTGTCAGGCTCTATCTAGTGATGTAACCGTGTGTGTTTGTGCGCGCGCGTGCACGTCTCTCTGTACCCATTAATCTCCAGCTGTGCCTTCGCCAACACCCCCAAGTACAGCCAGGTGAAATCAGCAGGGGGCATCATCGTACGGAAGGAATGGGTGATGGACTGCCACAAGAGGAAGCAGAGTATCTCCCATAAACGGTAAGAGATGAAACGAAGCCGAGAGAAGACGTGATTTTATTGCAGTGATTGAAAATGAGGCCGCAGAAACAGCTGGACGGGACTGGGCGTCTTGTTAAAGGGTCATTCCCACAGGGTGACAGCCTGCAGAGCATGTGTTCAGTCTGTGATTCCACATCTGATTAATTTGTTCTTTTAAGCCATGTCTGTACCTCGTCATAGCGCAATCTGGGCACAGCACTCACGCTGATTGAAGTGTCCAAAAATACACCCCTCACAGCGGTGATGCCCACTTGTTACAGAGAACATTGTAACCTTGAGCAGCTGATGCCTGCTGTGTTCACAAATTCAGCCCAGCCGGCTCCAGAAGCTCTCTAATTATCTGCCTCATTACGGGGGGGAGCTTTTGAGACATCAAGGTCTTCTGTCAACGCTCCACAAAAGCTGTCCACTGAATAATGAAACGTAGAGGTCTCAGCCGGGTAATGAAAAGTCCATATTAATTGGAGTAGCACAGTACGGTCCTATATCACGTAAGACATTGTCCTATCATTTGGGGAATTTCCTCACACTTTTTTGGCTCCTGCAGTGATTGTGTTTGACTTAGAGACGAAGCACTCGCCCACCAGGCTGCCTCTCTGCAGGGTTATTTGAGGTTACTGAACTGTTTCATGCATACAGTTCATATGTAGGGGCGTGTGTGAATCCTATTAGCTGTCCAAGTATCACTTCTAATTAAATAAGGGTGCTCTCGGCCATCGTTATCTTTAGCCACTCTCATCAGTCGCTACCAAACAATCATTCAGTCTTTACTCTTGATAAATGTTTACTCAAGACTCCTTATAGAAAGAGTGGGCAGGTCTAGACTGAGCTTATCAATATCATGACATAGCAAGACTGAAAGTGTCTCCATGTTTTACAGACCGATGATGATTTGAAAGGATGTTTGTTTGAGCTGCAGGGGATCAGAGTGAAGGAGAAAAAGGAACTACAAGACCCCTGGGGAGAAAGATCACACGTTTTACAGGGTGGACTCGATTTAGCAGAGTATCTGATGTAGGGTTTTCAACGAATATTCTAAATTTAAATATATTCAAATATGTAAAAAAAAAACAAGATTTGAATGTGAAAATTAATATTCAGCGGGAAAAAACTGAGCAGGAAAAAACAGAAAAAGAAAAAAAAACAGCGGCTGCTTTGTGAGTGAGCAATGACGGGTCAGGGACGGGTCACAGGAGCTGCACCTGCAGTCAGACTCAACAAAAACTGTGCAGAGAGAGATGGCGGGATGTTTGGAGCCAAACTCGGAGAGAGTGGTATGGATTCCAACGAACTTTAGAGGCTCTGTTTGGAAATTCTTTAGATTTTGGGCAGACATGGTAGACAGCAAAAATGCAGAGCGAGATAAAGTTATGCAAGCTGTGTAAGCTAGATATTCGAATATATTCGAACCTATGTGTTATTTTTAGAACGAATATTCGAATGTCATTTTAGAGCAATTTTGACAGCCCTAATCTGATGTGCTGCTCAGTGTAGTAAACAGTGGAGTATCAGACCTTGATGTCTTTCCCCTCGTTTTAAAATACCTCAACCCTCCAGTTTAACACCCTGAAGAAAGTAAAAGACTATAAAAATTGAATAAAGTTACAAAAACTATTATCATTTTTAAACTATTTCTTTGTATAAGTAGTTTGGTGATGAAATGAATGTTTCCATACTGACATACTGAGTCTAGAGATCTGCTGTCGGCCGTGGACTCGCAGAGGACCGCTGTATGAAACAACTTACTCTCAGAGTTCTGTGCTGTTCAGCTTGGGGTCCCTCAGGGCTCCTTCCTCGGCCCGCTGTTGTTTTCACGGCACCTGGCACCAGATTCATAAACTGATCATTTACAAGTGTATATGCCAGTTGTTGCAGGAAATAAATCCAATACACCCAAACTTGAGACCTGTCTCACTTGCTTTCTTAGACTTTGTAATTATAGTAGTAATAAATTTTATTTATAAAACGTGAGATAGGTGGGGGCCATGTTGTTGTTCAGTGATTTGTGGGTGAGAAGGAGGATTTTGAATTGTATACGGTGTAAGATGGGGAGCCGGAGCAGTTTTTGGGGGACAGGAGTTCTGAATGTATTGGAGTTTATTGAGGACTTTAGATGATGACCGGTATGGGATGCTGTCGCAGTAATCTAGTCTGGATGAGTCTCTTTGTAGTCTTTAAACTTTGTTCCTTTACTTGGCTGAGATAAAAGTGATGGGTATCGGTCCATGAGGATGATATTTTACTGTTGGATGTGGTCGATGGAAGTTCAAATGCTTGGGCACTTTGCTCTTAGGTGATGGCTTTCTGAGTGTACCCAAGGTCAGAAAATAGATGGTCATTGTGTGAGTAGGCTCTGTCATACAGTTTATTATCTCTTTGGACAGAGTTTTATTTTTAGAGTAATGACATCCAGAAAGGAGTACTTCCAGTCCTCTCACAGGCTGTGTTGGTGATGGGTTTGAAGATTTGTCTCAGAGCTGAATGGCTGTGTGTCAGAATGGATGATAAACTTTGGTCATCAGCACTGGTGGAGTTTTTGCCTTGCTCTCATATCCACTCTAACCCTGACGAAACCATCAATAAAATGGTTCATCCACATCAGCATTTATTAGATATGAAACATCCACTGCGCAGAAGTGCCAACTGAGGCTCCTCAGTTTCAGAAAACCACAAATCTAGAGTCAGAGTTGGACATAAAAACAGGTTTTGGTGGTTTGAAAATCATTCAAACTCTATAGGTGATTGAAAATGGTGTAAAGAGAGTTAAATATAAAATATTAACTTTTCTGTTTTGTCAACATTTTACACAGCATCTCAACTGTTATTGAATTGAGGTTGTTTGTTTCCTCACTTCCTGCCTGTGGAAGATACGGTGGAATTGAGTTAGGCGTCATGGTCAACAATTGGATTTTCCGAGCCATTTCTTTGCCTCCCAAGGTTTTGTTTGCAAGCGGTCAAATTAACACAGAAATGTGGTCGCTCTCAATTCACAGTTAAAGCGTCTAAATTTAATTCAAATTGATTCGCTGCCTGACTAGAGTCAATGTAAGACGCCTCTAATTTCCCTCATGATGCAGCTGTTCAGCCGCTCTTCAAGATTACTGCGGTAATAAAACTCAGTCTGTTTTGAAATTCAATTCTTCTTCTTTGCATTATGAACGCTTGCCTACACAAAGTAACTTCTCCAGGTCTTCTAACACAGTATGAAATAACAAATCTTCTTTGTAAACGCCTTGGCCTCGGGAACTTTCCTCGAGCTGCATGCATAATAAAAAGTGACACATTTGCTCCCGTCCGTGTGTGAAGTCTCCTGAAAGTGCTTTACCTTTGTTTCAACTCACTTCAAGCCAACACCTGCCCACTGTGAGGTTTGGAAAGTGAGCAGCAGGTGGACCACGCTGAGTTTTTTTTGTGCTGTTATTTTCTATTCAAGGTTATTTTTTGGCAGTCAGTTGTTTTTTTTATGCTTTTGAGAAGAAAAGGAAAAAACTGGCTTTTTAAACCTACTGCAAACTTAGATTTAAAAAAAAGACGAGGAAGCTTGTTTTTTCCATTCTGTGTGAACTGCCTTGTGTGAACCAAATACAAGCTGCGGCTCTTTCAGATTGTTTGTGTAGAAATAATGAATCTGGAGACAATAATCAGACATCTCAGTATGAAAGTAAAACAAACAACTAAACATAGTGACATTAACAAGCAGCGAAGTGAAGCAGCCGGTGCCGCTAAACCATTATTTTCTGTTCTGAAACCTGCAGCAAAACATCACAGACACAAATCCAAACACACGAGGGAAATTTTAACCGAATATGTTGTATTTTTGTGAAGTTTTCTAAAAGGTCGGCATTTAATTTGGCGCTCCCTGAGAAAAATGTTCTCCGACAACACCAAGCAGTGAAATCGGCCTCTTGATTCATCAGTTTATCTCTCCTCTGTATGATTTAAGGACAAATTGCTTCAGGAGTCATTTCACCTAAATCTGTACCCCATTTCTTCTTGAGACAAATAAAGCACCACTTTTACACAGAAAACATGCAGAAACAAAACCTTCGGTGATTCCTGTGTTTTAAATGCATTCAACCAAACAATTCAGAGCTGTCACTGTGGATTTCTGGTTTGTCACATGATTGTTTTCTTAATTTGGAGGAAAATTGGTCAATTAAAACATAATTTTCACATCAATCAATAATGAACATATTACCGTGTGCCGTCTCTAGATGAGCCAAAACGCACAATGAGGCAGCCTCCACTCTGTTATTAGTTTGCTATCATGTGGGTGTTCTTATTTATATTGGGGACTGTGATTTAGAAAAAAAAAACTGAAGAAGCAGGTGTCAATAAATCCATATGTGCTCATGTGAGACATAATGACAGTACTGACAGGTCAATCTAAAGGGTTTATTTACAGTCACAGCCACAGTGTGCTTGTAAGTCGCGTCGAGAGCCTGAGACGGAGTGACGCGGTGTGAAGCTTTTGTTTGCTGCAGTAATCAATAACATGCTGCTCTCTTGGAAGTCCAATTTAAGATTCTTAAAAAGTGCAATGAAGTGAGAGATGCACCGCAGCACATGTCGTCATCCCCCCCCTCACGCTTGCTTTACCTACTCAATTCCTGCTTGAGCTGAAGATCCCTCTCCCTCCATTTCTCCCCCCCTCTGTTTTCGTCCCAATAATCCATTCTCCTATCCAGGGCGCTGCTATTGTGCAGTGCGTGAAGTGTGCAGCTTTGATGATGTGTCCTTTATTTAAAACATGCATCTGCTATGGGTAATTAAAGGCTCCACTTACTTTGATGAGGACGAGTACCCGGACAAATATGCACACCAACACTCTCAAACTGCTGCCCCATCATGCATGCATGCACACAGACACTTTACCTCTCAGGCGAATCCACAGCTTCCTCCGGCTCGTAACATCTAAATGCATTTGTGGAGTGCATATGATGAAGAGCGTGATATTAGCAAAGCACTGCAGAAATGCTATCCTTCCTCCTGTTCTAGAGATAGCAAACAAGAGACAGGAGCAAATACACTCAAGCCGCTCTACAATATCCCATCACATTAAAGCTGCATAAATAACCAGATTTCTCATTAAAACTGAGGCTCTTCAGAAATGTCAATCATGAAACATTCACTGTGGAGTAAACAGAGCATAAAAGACTTCAAAAATGGCATCAAGCTTCAGGTAGCTGTCAGCGATTGTTTCCTTATCAGTGACTCAACCACCTAATTTCTTCGCTTATCCATGGCTGACAGTGTTGAAAACCGGCAAAGGAACAAACTAACTACGGTTGTCTCCCCAGCAACACTATCCAGCCACTCAGGGAGATGCCAGATTTTTCCAAGCCAGCTGAGTGAACAATCCCTTCAGCTCATTTTGGGTCCACCCCAGGGTCTCCTGCCAGTCTGACATGCCCAGGAACCCAGGAAAGGAAAGAGCTTTGGAAGTGTCCTAATTGGATTTCAAAATCACTTCGTCTGGCTCCTCTTTATGTAAAACACCAGCAGCTGTGCTCCAGAATCATTTTGGATCTCTGAGCTCCTCGTCTTATCTCTATCTCCCAGCCCAGACACCCTGGAGGAAACTCCTCTGTGCTTCTTGTATCCATAAGCCTGCGCAGAGACCACAACCACACAACTGAAAGATGGATCAACTAGTCTTCATCTTCTGAGTCAGTTGATCTTTTCTCTATCACCTCCACTTTGTAGAGTAACTCCCTCCCAGCTGTATACACACTGTTGTATTAAACACAATTGGGTGGCGTTTGTCTTTTCCTGCCCCTGTGGCTGGTGCACTCATCGACTTATATGGAGTCCAAGTCCACATGGTAGGGCTTGGATCAGGCTGCTGGAGCTGTGGTGCTGTCGTCCCTGCCCTTTCACTAATGATACACTCATTTACCTCAGTCATAACCATAGACTGTATATAGAATGGATGCTGTCTGCCTCCTCGCTGGGTGAAGCCACCGCAAGAACAGCCCCCTCTGGTGACAGGCTGCAGTATAGGTCATAAATACCGCCTCCTCTAGGACAAACTTTAGAAATTTATTACACAGAATATAAATTGTTCTTCCCCCTACTTGAGATGTTGACATGTAGTTACTGTAAGATTTTTAATATTTAAAAAATCAATTTCTAAAAGTTAATAGGGGGTTCGCTTTTTCTATGATTGACACTTGATATAGCCTTTGGGCGCACAAAGATTGCGTAGCTCACCCAGGGAATACGCCGTTTGAGCCGAACATCATCACAGCCACTCTCCCGCCAAATGCGTACAACGCTACTGCGCAATGTTGCTTTCAGGAAATGGGGAAAAAACTTGGAAATACCGAGAGTTGACTGGCAAAAGGCCGAACCAAGTTGTCCATAGTATATATGGTCATCACATGAGGAAGAAGAGTCAGTGCAGTCTGTAACTCCTGTTGGGAAAAGCTTAGCTGAAGTAGTGTCTCTTAGCGTTCCCCCTTGACTGTGCTAATCCAGTTTACACTGTGCTGCATTTGACTGCAGAGCTGTTATTTATGGCATTCGACAAATCAGGGGTTTTTATTTTCATCCATCTTTTCAAAACGTCTATGCTCTTACCCCAAATGGAGCAGTCATTGCCTCAGACTTGGAGGTGCTCACTCTCATCTCAACCGCCTCATAACCCTCTGGAGGCCACAACTGCATGCTGCAGCGAATAAAACCACATCATCTGCAAAATGTTGAGTCGAGAGTTCAAGGTTTCCAAGTTTATCCTGGCGGCGGCTTGACATCTTCTCAGAACTACTTGGACTCCGATCGTCCAGTCCTCAAATATTCGTAGACACAGAGCCTGCCCCTGTGAGTGGACACTTGAGTACTGCTGGAGTATGAAGCAAAGGGACTGCCAAAGTGAGAGGAGTTGAAATTCTTACCAAAGAGTTAAAAGGTGTTCGCCGGTGTTTTCATCTGCAGGCTGACTCCTTGTTATATTCCCTCAAGAAGTCGTTAAGCCTTCAAACGGTTTTCTCCTGGGTTCTAATGAGACGATATGGAGGCCTCATATGTCTTCATGAATTCAAACAGAAATGAGCACAATGATTAAAATGTTGTTTTTCACATCTTTAAGATGCCTCACAGCCCTTTGAGTTAAAGCACCAACTTATAAAAAATTTAGACATGATGGTTCTGGAAATCTCAGCTGGTCTGATTCTGAAATCCAGGGCTTAGAAATGCCATTGAGGAGAGCTCGATTAAAAAAACAAAAATAAAAAATCTCTAATACAAACTTAATTCCATGTTGCAAAGAGGAGAATTGAGAAAACGGTCTGACGCATTTCAGCTCTTTTATAATTGACCATTTCAACCATCCTTGATCTGAGTTCATTTAAGGCAAATCCAAGTTTGTTGGTCCTTTGAGGTAAGTGCATTTACTGTGACAAGCTACTGAATCACTCCCCCTCTCCCAAGTGTCCTCCTTCATTTTCTAATTTCCTGAGTTTTATGAAACAAGCAGGCGTAGGTCAGCAAAAATGTCTCCCAACGGTCGGAAATGATAAAACCTTAACGCCGATATTTCAACTCCCTGCACTCCACACCTCTAATCGGATCATTTTCGGTTGACTTTATAGTGACTGTGGGAGAATATTTGGTGAGGGAAAAATGTCAAATCCTCCTTGTACCATCAGTGTGTTTGTGTGTGTGTGTGGATGTCGGTATTTCTATTTGATGTTTGATTGCTCTTTTGTAGGCTACCTTCCTCTCCCTGCATTACTGTCACATCATTTGGCTTTTTATTTGTCTTGTAACCTTTTGGAGAGAAAAGAGGGAGTCAGAATCACTGCTCTGTTTTCACTTTACTGCTTTGCCTTTCTCCTGGTTAGTTTGAAGGTTTGACTTTCTTGTGTAATAATTGAGGTTGGCTGTGTTTGCAACTGGCATGCTAAATATATCAAGAAGTCTGCACTGTGCTTTAGCATAGAAGATGTTGGCAGAAATCCAGTATCTTGCATTGATTTTGGTAGTCGGCTGTTTGTGAAGTGATTAATTGACTAATAATTGATCAGTTGCACAAACACCAGCGCTTTACTGTGTTAATGTAGCCATCAGCTTTAAAGGGATATTCCGAGATAGACAACCCTGGTCAACCACCGAGTGCAGCTGAAAATTTATTATTATTACTTCATGGAAATGCAATCGGACCAAAACGCTAACACCAATTTCCACCACATTCAGAACGGCTCTGATCCAGAACGGCAGCACGAATTTCGTGGCAGATTACAGACAGCGGGAATCGCGAGAACTCACAAGAACCAGCGGATTCACATGCAATCGCGCGATAAGGGGTTGTCTCTATAAAAACAGCCACATAACCATATAAGCAGTAGATTGTGTCCTTCCAAAGGAGGAAATCCACTTCTAGACTTCTAAAACCAGCATCTCCTCATCCATGGTGTCACATGGATGAATAGCTGTCTTAAAACCTTTCACTTTATTTTGTGTCTTTGCCCGACTTCCTTTCCAGCACTGACTAATCTATGCTGATTTTATACGGCATGCTCCGGCGTCTGGAAAACATAGAACTCTTGCGATCAGCTGCTGGTGTCCGATAATCCGCAGTGGAACAGAAAGAAGCCGGTGGAAATTGGCACATTAACTTGAATGGTTACGATCAGCTGCGATCAGCGGATACGGCCTTTTTATAGCCATTCCGGATGCGGTGGAAATTGCAGTTAAGGCAAAAGAACTACCCCGTCTGCAGTGCACATACAAGATACACAAGAACTCTGATTGCATTTCCAGGAAGAAGTGTTGATAAATGTTCTTCCTTGAGCTGCGAAACTCCGCTGCACTCGGTGATCGACTCGTCAGGGCTCCTCCACAAACAAGAGGCTGCTGGAGGAGAGTGGGTGAGTTGTGTTTGGTCTTTTTGCTTAAGAAATTAAGCGAATATTAAAATATGTTTGATGGCTTGGACCCTATATGTACTGTTGATGAAGTTAGGTGCTGTTCTGAGCATTATTTGTGGCGTTTTGGTTGTGGTTTGCGTGTGGAGAGGTAGACCGCTGTGTATTGCTATTGTGAGGTCATTACTAAAGTTGGTATATCTAGAGAAGCAAGCAGTCGGCAACATTCATCTCTCGAGGGGGTGTCAAACTCGGTGTTACGGTGTGTTTGACCATAACTTAAATTTACGCCGGAATATCCCTTTAAGTTCAGCGTTACATTTTGAAGCCCACACACCTGTTTTTGTCGTTGTTTTAACATAATAAGTGCTAATGTCAGAAAGTGGATTTTGGTGGTGTGTATTTGGTGAGATCTATTTTATGATTTGCACACAGACTCTTCATTAACTGTGTTGAAGATGCCATACTTCTAGACTTAAGGGTGAAGATGTTGCATCAGCCGCTGCCGCTCTGCTTTGTTTTTTTTTTCACTCTCCTTCCATCCACTCGTTGCTGTTTCCATGCATAACTCTCAGCAGAGGAGGGACGACTGTAGGATGATTCACTCCTCAGCAACTCAGCCCCAGAAAACGACGTCACATCCACTCGAAGCATGAAAAACAAACAAGATAGAAATACAGATAATTAAATTCACTCTGCGGCTGATTTTTCATCTTCATTGCTTATTAAGTTATTGATTCAGCATGTCAAAATATTTCCATTAAGATATTTGACATCCCACCCAGGGTCCCCTTTTGATTGGAAATTATATGACCTTGATTATATTGACACCAGTGATGAAGTTTCACAGACAAGAAGCAATTAAAACATCAGTCAAAATCTCTGTCGGTCTGTGCACAGAGAAAACCACACTGGTTTTATTCATGTATTTACTTCTTGTATCCTTACACCTCTTAGCTGTGAAATTCAAAGAAATTTTTTCAATATATCAAAGTCCTGGAACATTAAATACACTTATAATTAAAAATAAAGCATATTTGCCCATGAACGTGACATTTAGTCTTCATTTAATGCTCCCGTCTTCTGGTTTGTATTCCATCTTGATGCATCACATCTCATTGTATCATGGTGTTGCATTGTAAAGCATCCCACACATATATTGAATTTTGTGATATCGAATTCCAGCGTATCAGATCATATAGTATGAGGGGATAAATATATAAAAGCGACTTTTAAATGTATACAGAGAAACAATACAGTCAGCCCACGGTTCAATGCATATGTTAGGTTCTTAGTTCTTTTCATTTTAGGCAATTTTTCCTGATGTAATTCTAATCTGGTATTGATAGTAATGTCTTAAAAATGTGAAATATTGCTTCCTAATCCCTGCGCTTTGACTGACAGGGACACACAAACTCAGAAAATGATAAATGAAAGCTGAAAAAGGTCGTTAATAAGTCCTTATACTCTAACATCATGTTGAGATTTATAGTATTTCTAATTGGATGGTATTGTCACCACGGGGCAGCTTTGCCTGTTAGATCCAGTACTCTTAAAGAGGGAATGAAATCTCACTTTTAATTGCTTTTACTTTTCGTTATGATTGGCTGCACCATCCAGAGCCACTCTTTGAGAAGCAGCTGTGATTTTATTCTCATTATACAAACACAGAGAGTGATGGAAATAACTGTCTGAAGAAGACGGACTGAGAGGTTGGGGTTTTTGAGGAGAGAGGTTAAAATCGTTCCAGTTTTTTTCCTCCTAACATCTGACCCTTTAACGTGTAAAGTTCTAACTGTGCTCCTGAAATTGTTCGATTCAGAGAGGAAAAATAGTCTTGGTAAAGCTCCATTCACACATTTTCAAATAGGTGGGTTATTTTTTTTGCTCTCAAACCATCTTACCTGCTCTCTATTTAAAGCGCACTGGTGCCTCGTAGACAGGGCCACACAGTTTATCCTCGATCTTGAGATTTCTGTCTCAATGTCCCTCTGAAAGGTTCATATTTGTGGTTTGGTTTATTTCTGTGCAGATATTTTCGACGGTTCATTTTCCTCCTTCTCATCATCATTGCTAATTTTAAACATAAATGCCTTCTCATTGAGCGCCGCTCCATGTAGAGGCAGTCATACTTTTGTACCACTGTTACGGTTTGCATCTGTGGGCGGTGAGATAGTCATGGCTGTCATGCAGCATTCAGTCTGAAAACATGTGTTGAAATTTGCGGCTGGCCTCTGGTGAGCCTCGTCCTGAGTGTGACTGTGAAACAGGAAAAGGATGTAGGGGGGCGTACGAGGACAAAGCCTAGTTTATGACTCAGTTGTCCTGGATTTTAGCTGATGAGCAGATTTTGGTGCTTTTTTTCCCCACATGCAATAGATCAGACTTGCCGACAGTGTGCAAAATTTAAACTACTCCCAGCCAGAAGTGACGTTTCAATCATTAAATATCTGGTGAAAAATGTTGCCATCACTCTGCCGTGTGAAACATTGAAGAGGTGAAGCTGAGATTTAGTGCACAGGTATAATTTTCTCTCCAGTCTTCAATCACCCTGACACTTTTTGTTGACCTGCTTTTTGTCAAACACCATTTAGGTATTTAATGGATGGAGCCGAATCGAGCTCAGAGAGCGAGATGGAGATAGATGAAGACAGCGAAGAGGAAGTGACCAGGAAGGTAAATCTGTTCGTTTTAATGAGCCTGTGAAAAAATCCTGGATGAAACATTCAGTCAGATTAAATCCTCCTTTTATTGATCTTCCTCAGACTCCACAGAAGCAGGAGAGACAAGCAACCCCGAAAAAGACCCCCATAAAGAGAGAGGAAGATGATGAGTACGGAGCCTCCACTGATGTAGATGAACCAGGTTTGCAACAAACCGCTTTAATACAGTTTTTACAGCTTGAATAAAAGAGAAAGAGAGTAGTTTTTTCTGAAAGGTGGCAGGAGGATAACAGCCTCTAAAAGTCCCAAACTGCTTTTGACTGGACTTTTTTGGCAATACTCCCGCTGAGACATGCCGATGGACAGGTGTAAATGAGAGGGGAGGACGAGGGAGGTTGACCCACGGAAAAGGTGACGTGGAGAAAACGAGGAAATGACAACTGAGCTCAAAGAGGCACTCAAAGTTTAGAAACAACGTGTTTGGAAAGGAAAACAGACAAGAATGAGATTCCTCTGTGAGCCGAGGACCAAACAAGCCCGCTCTTAAATTCGTACAAGGCCAGCTAGTTTACCTAAGCGCCGTTTTTACACTTAGAATGCTGTCGGACAAACCTCCTATGAGTGAGCGCGCAAAGGAAAACCTAAGGTGTCCGAATTTTAATGACAAATAGAAATAACTAAACATAATTTATCCATTTAGTTAGGGCTGGGCAATGACCCGAAAATTTACAGATACCGATATTTATGTCAATAACCGTCATCATTTTGCTCATATTGTTAAATTTGGTGTCAAAAAATGAATAAATAAAAGTTTGTTTTGGACGTGTGTAGGTAGGCTATGGTCTCATGTCCCTTTTAAGATGCTGTCCTACATCAGAGACGTGACTCCACCCCATCCAGTCTGTAACAAAGAGGGAAAGACAGGTGAGGAGATGGAGGATAGTTCAAAAGTTGTCGCAGCTGAAGTAGACAAAGTTAATGTGGGAGGGGATGAGCAGCTTGTGGAGTAGTTATCGTCCATTTATCGTTATCGAGGTGAACTGCTCAATATATCGTGATATTGATTTGAGGCCATATCGCCCAGCCCTACATTTAATCTGAGTTTTCACAGAATAGATTCAAAAGCAAAGATTCAGATCATCTGGCATTTTTTTATGCAAGCTGACAAACTTTAAATAGTCTGAATCGTAAGTTTTTGGTGTTTGCAACTTCAAGGAAAATAACAGATGAAGAAAAAAAGACACTGAGGTAGCAGACGCTGGCAAAGCTCCAGTTATATTTTGATTCTATTTAAAGAGGTCTGACATAAGATAATATCATCTGTTATACCTTTAGGAAGTTTCTCTGGCATTTAAGGAGTGCACAGACTCAAACAGATTTCAGAGCACTGGTTGCCATTTTTAGCGAGCTGTACTTTAAACTGAAGTAATCTCAGCGCCGTCTGATTAATCTTTCTAAGTGAAGCTCCTGTGAGTACTTCCAATCTCAAGACTCTTTTAGTGCCTCCTTGTAGACAAGCCAGAATCTCTTTACTGAGCCTTTCTCAGATGTGTGAAAGTCTTCTGATGCTCATCTGCATCCACCAAAACACGAGCGCTTGGGTCAGAGTCTCTCCAAATTCCTGTCTGCCACATATTAGCGGCATACCTAGCGTTCTGCTACTGCAGGGAATTTCTTAGTGAAGAGTCCAGCAGCACAGACTGACATCCATTGTGGCCTGTAACTCAAACAACCTCACTTCAAAATGCTGAAATATCCATTCAGTGCCAGGAACATTTATGTAATTTTCATCCAGTGCCATTATTGACTGTTATAGAAATTTCTGTGTCTTACAGGACCCACAGAGTATCTTGTGCTCAAACTAGAATTAAGTGCAATATCTCGAAAGAAAGGCGCGATTTTCTTCAGAAGAAAATTCTGTACCTCAAGCCTGTGTTTAGATATTACCTGCTCAATGCAGCGCCGTCATATCATCTTTGCAGATCTAGAAAAAAAAATCTGTGAAAAACACATTTTTACGAAGGAGAGACTTCTGTTTCATTTCACTTCAAACCACTTTACTGGTGGCATCAAAGTCCTCCCTCCTAGGACAGCGCTCCTCATCACTCTCCAGATCCGATTGTGAAATGTCACTCTGTGATGGCTGGGAGTCATATTGGTTCTCGAGAACCTGACGCCGCGACATAAACCACACGGACTGCTCGCATCCTTCTCGCTGAAATCCAGCTCAGTCTCGCTCACCAGTACTGGCACCCAACTAACCAACCCCAGCGGCACAACGACATGCTGGAAAATTATTTCTTAGATTGTCTGCTGACGATGTGAAGGTCCGGGTCCAGAGAGGGTAGCACCGCTCCCACAAGAGCCGATGCGCCAAGACCGTTTGCTCTTGGCTAATGACTTCGGCATTTTCCTACTCTCAATTGGCACACTTCTCACTGGCGAGTACTTGTTTTTTGTTATTGTAACATGGCCATGACAAATTTCGGCTTTTTTTTGTGCGTTCAGAACGAAACTTAGTCGCATGTTGGGGAGGAGCGCCCTCTGGTGGAAAACAGAAAAACTGAAAAATCCATCAAAATCCGTCAATGGCACTGAATGAGTTAACATGTCCCTCACTGTGAATCTTAGCCGTAGACCGAGTCAATACAGGATCTGACAGAACTTGTAGTAAAATAAAATCACGTTTCACAGAGTTTCTGTCTTCTACGATGCCTCAAGGTTCCTCATATGGAGTCAAATTAAATCAGGGAGACAAGAAAATGCATTTTTCAGTCACTAAGAGGGAAACATTTAAGGCAAGAAGTCTCCCTTACTTTCAAATTGAACACAGCAGCATTGATTAGAAAGCAACAAAAATCTTTTGAATTCATTCCTACGTTTATTTCTTGCTCATCTGTGTTTCTGGGATCCCTCGGCTGAATTGTAATTGGTTACAGCCTGCGGGAAGAGATTCACTCCATAAGCTCAGATAAGTAAAGAGGGAGGGCGGGCAGCACTCGAGCTGAAGAGGGGCTGAGCAGATTGAGAGGGGCAGGAGGACGGGTTCGAGAAGGAAAAAAAAGGGACACCTTTATGAATCACTTGTTAATAAATGAGTTGATGATGACGCTGTGAAAAATAAGGGGGGGGGGCTGCAGGCGCCGTTTGAGGAAAGAAAGTGAGACGTAATCAATGTGAAGGGACTTGTGCATGATTCTCATTTCTATGTTAATGTGAGGCCAGAAGTAAAGTGGCGCGGTGCATCAGTGAGGAGACACAACAAACAGCGAGCACACACAGGGAGACGGCGTTTTAATAAAGGCTTCTTCTCCATTTGGCCCCGACGGCAGATTATCGTTACAGGCACAGCAAGCCTTTGAAGACTGAGTTCAGAGAAAGTTCCTGCTGTTTTTGCTTTGTTTTTAAAAAAGGACCTGATGTGCTGCAGCAACATCGACTCCAGGAAGATTCAACTCCGTCAAACAACCACAAATATGATCAGATCGAGTCTTTGGTGTATGTTTGTTTGTGTAAACGAATATCAGATAACCTTTTTTGTACAAACCTACATAAAAATTTTAACTTCCTTCTTTGTAATCAAGACCTTCTCTGACATTTGAGTATCTCCGTCTGAAGGTCACACTGTCCACACTGACGAATCAAAACTTTCTTTCACAGGAGAGGAAGATGATGGATCCGCTGTGGACACGGAGGACGAGCTTCAGAGGTAAACAAAACCAGAAATGTCAATGATGCTTACAGAAAAATTGTTTTCTTGCATCCTCTACGGTTTTTGATTCCACATTAAACCAGTGATTCTGCTCCAACTTGCAGAATTTTGGTGTAAACAACGCCTCAATCAGCACGATGTGAAGAAAGAAATTTAGAAATATTTACTGATTCCTGGGCTGAGCTTATCTGCTGATATCCGATACTGATCCAATACTACTGTTGAATGAGTGAACTGTTTACCTTGCCCTGTGAGTGAAAGCATGAGGGTTGACATTAGCCTTGTTAAAAAAAACAAATTAACACAGATATAAAGGTACTAATGTGCATTAACAAAGAACAAATTGCACATTAGCAGCAAAAAGAAGACTCCCATGTAAACATTTAGAGCAAAAGGAAAGACAGACATCGAATATAGAGCGAACAGAATCGCTTTGTTGCTGTGTATGATATTAAAAGAAAAAAAAGACAGGATCGGCGTCATTCATCAGATATCAGATCCAGTTAATTTGTCAATATCAGAGCTGATATCCAATCCAAATATTGGATCGGTGCATCCCTAATCCAAACGTGTTTTTCTTTCATATTTTGATCTCCAAGAAAAGCCGTTTGCAAACTCCTAAGTCTCACAGGGAGAAGCTGCTCGCACAGGCGATCTGAAATGTGGCTCCAACAAATTTTACACTCACAGAAGTCTTTTAAGAAGCTTCTTCTGTCCTCTGGCTGAAAAGATGTAACAAACATTCAGAAAACCGCGTTTATAAATGTTGAAGATAAACGTGCTGCTCGTCTGTTGTTCCTTTGTTGTCGTTTCTATCAGCGATTGATTTTGTTGTTTTTCTACGGTACGTGCCAAAGGTGCAACTTCATCTTCACCCAGCTCAAAGAAGCATGCTGTGATGTTTATTATCTGTGGTTCAGGTTGAGATGAGCATTTGTGATGAGAGGGCTGGAGCCAGACTAAGTCCAAGTTTGACAGTTTGTTGAGTATATAAAACTCTTAATATCTACATCAGTCTTCTGTCCTCTCTACTCTTTCATAAATGAAGAACATAAATATCCAAACTTAATTAGTCTGCTGCTTTTCAGCTGTGATTTTTGTGACACGTATCAACTTGTAAATAACAGGGAGCACAGGTGCGTCTCTGAAAGTTCTTTAGTTTTCTTTGACTGCATAACTGAAAGAGGAGTCTAGACAAGGCGAAGAAACGAAGGCCACAAGCTGAGGTTTGACTGAATCATCTCCCATGAATGATGACCAGCAGCTCCCTTTTTTGTCTCTTTCTAACAGAGTGGAGAAAGAGAGCAGACAGAAGAAAGCAGCTGTGGGAAAGACGGTGAAAGAAGAGGATCCATACGGGGGGTCAACTGATGAAAACACAGACGCTGAGGCTGAGCAGGATCATCCCATCCCAGAGCTCCCGGGTCTGTCTCCTCTTTGTGTCCTCCTGATTCTCTTTATCTGTACCTGCTCTTTTCACAGGAACAGGTGTCCTGCTTTCACAAACTATCACGAACACTGATAGAAAGTAATTGCAGGGCTTTCTGCCTCGCAGGAACATCACACACACACCAAACCATCTTCTCTTCTGTTTCTTTCACCCTCGAACAAAGAGCACCTGTAATCACTCCTCCCACACACTCTCGGTCATTAACTCCTATTTTTTTCCCAATCTTCGTGTTTTTTCTAGATTTCCTGAGCGGGAAGCGCTTCTTCCTTTACGGTAAATTCCCCAACAATGAGAGGCGTCTACTGCTGAGATACATAGTCGCCTTTAACGGGTGAGTCACACTCATGGAAGTTCATCATGAAAACACTTAAACTCACAGTAAAGAGAAAAAAATACAGGAAAAAAAGTCAAACTCTTCTTTGACATGTTTGTTAACTTTGCTCCAGAGCTATCGAGGACTACATGACGGAGAAGGTCCAGTTTGTGGTGACCAGCGAGGGATGGCAAGACTCCTTTGAAGACGTGAGTCGACTTTTTCCTTTCCATCCCCTCCCCTGAAGTTAACAGTCGCCACGTTTACATGTGCAAAGTTTCTTGATCCGATTAAAAATTTAAGGGATTGGATAATCCGAATCCACTGTTTATATGGGCGCAAATTCAAATAATCTGATCATGACGTGCGTAGACATGCACCAAGTTTTATTCAGATTAGAAGCAGTTGGACATGCGCAGAGTTGTCTAATTTCACAAAAAAATGCAGAAGAAGAAGAGTTATATTTACGCCTGTGCTGTCAACAAACCAACAAACACAGTAGTGGCTTACTCCATCCAATTCAGGATTCACCGCCTTGTTAAATGTTGTCACTAGATGGCGCCCTTGCTTACTTATTTTACCGTTTTGTCAAAGGTTGCTCTGTGCGTGCAGATGTGACATCATTACGCTGTATGAACGCCTTGTTATGGTAACAGAGGAGCAGACACGGCGCCCACAATCGTGTTTTATGCCAAAGTGTTAATAATGAAACCTCCTGAACTAGTTTTAAAGGTTTAAGAGTCAGGTAAGAGAGTCACGATCAGAATCAGTGTTGATTTCGTTGACGATGACGTTGACGAAAATATTTGGTCAATGTCATCGTCAACGAAAACAACACTGCAGAATATATGTTTCGCTTTTGACTGATGAAATGCTCATGAATTTTGCAATTCTGTTCGTCGTCCACCACTAACGTAAGTCTCGTCAACGTAAACACACATTCGTCTCGTCACATTTAAGTCATCTAAGACTTATGTTTAGCTCGTCAAAGACACGTCTTCGTCGTGGAAAAAAGGGGCGTTGACGAAAACAACACTGATCGGAATAAGTGTTAATATATTCGCATTTCAGGATAACGATCGACATAAAACACCCCTCTCGATCGGAATACAATTTCTTTCTGTTTGAGCTGAACTGGACCAGAATTTTCTGATCGACATGTTTACCATGATGCTTTTTTATTCCGATCGAGCGTTTTTTCCGATTAATTGTGCCCATGTAAACGCAGCTATTGAGATATTGACACCCGACACAAAGATCTGGACTCTCTTCCTGTTTGAACCTTAGCTGGTCACAGTCACAGTGATTTACACGTGCTGAAATGACAAAAACATTTTCCATTTGAAAAAGAGGCCAAAGGTTGGAAATGTAATTCTGACATTTAAGGTGTTTTGATTGATTAATCAGTATTGACTTTCACATTGATCGACATCCAGCCGTAGAGTTTCTGTCATCCTTTCAGCTGCACAGCGATTGGCTCTGTGAAAAGTCCTTTAAAAGGTGAATTAGACCATAAAATGTCAAAAATTTACCATCAATTTGCTGTTGATTTAACATTTAAGGATAATTTTGGAAATTGTTGAGCTGTGATCAGACATTACCATATCTTATTATCGAGATCTTGAAGGTCCAGATCTCTGACCAGCTTTTCTTACCTTTACTGTAGCCTAGGAAACCAGCAGCTTTGCTTTAATGATCCAATGTGACACTATGAAGACAATCACACCACAGCTATTCTGGTCCACAGCCTTGTTACTTCACGCATTGACTACTGTAACTCACTCCTCTTCGGTGCCCCTCACAAATCCCTCCATAAACTTCAACTTGTCCAAAACTCTGCAGCCCGCATTATCACCAGAACCCCCTCTTTTCACCACATCACCCCTGTCCTTCAGCAGCTTCACTGGCTCCCCATCAAGTTCAGAATCAACTACAAAATCCTCCTGTACACTTTCAAGGCCATCCATAACCTTGCCCCCCCCTACCTCTCCGATCTCCTCCACATATCCACCCCCTCACGCTCCCTCAGATCCTCCTCCTCCCTCCACCTCTCTGTCCCCTCTGCCCGGCTCAGCACCATGGGGAGCAGGGCTTTCAGTCGCTCTGCTCCCAAACTCTGGAACTCTCTCCCCCCGGACCTCAGGAACATGGACTCATTACCCCACTTTAAATCCAATCTCAAAACACACCTATTCCGAATCGCATACTCACTTTAACTGTCTACTTTCACACTTGTATGTTGTTCTTATTTATTTTAATTATGTTTCTAGCTGTGTTTTTATGCCCTGTAAAGTGTCCTTGGGTGCTCAGAAAGGCGCTTTTAAATAAAATGTATTATTATTATTATTAATCAAAGCTTTTCATTACAGCGTGACTGCAGACCCAGAGGCTGCAGAATCGGGACTGCAGTCCTGGTGCTGCGATACAAAAGCATGATTCATACTTGATTAAAGCACAAGCTGGAGGTGCCATTTCTATTGTTCTCACATTTTCCAGTTTCTGGTCCTGCTACAGTCTTTTCTTGACCCAAGTATGCTTTGATAGAGCTGGAGCTGATAAATGTTGAGCAGCAGTCGATTTTACGACAATGAATTCCAAAAGAAACTGAGAGGAGACATTGAGGGAGGTGTATGAATGAATGAAGGGCTTTAGTGTGACAATCTGTAAATGCAGGCAATCCAGGAAATATAACGCTGCATACTAAGATTTTTGAGTTAGTGCACATTAAGCAGCATAGATTTCTGGGTAGTTGAAGGGCTCCATGGACCTCCAGCGTATTATAATTATTTCTATAATTGTTACTGTAACTATTGTAATTAACTGATCAAGCCAAGTGGATCAGACAAATATGAACGGTAAGTTTGTTGGGCTCTTATAAGGGACACGGGTGGTGGTCTAGCTGAGACCAGCTGCAGGTTGTTGATAGGGGAGATATGCTTCATGGTGTCACGAACTGAGAAACCCTCAGAGAATGAGCCTCTGAGCTAAGATGTCCTTTTGATGATTTTGGCAGCTAAAATTATATGTCTGTTGGTGTCTGGAAACTTCTTAAATTTGACTTAAAAAAAAAAAACGGGGAAGGAGCGTCGATATCGCTCTCAGTGTAATAACTGACAGCTGCTGTGACTCATGGAGGAGGCGGTGCTCTTTGATTAGAGAGCGAGGATCTGCTCAGGCAGAGGACCAGGGTTTAATCAACATTGTCGTTGGTCACCAATCACCGTGACATGACTTTCTTTTAACCTCAACTGTGGTGTAAAGGGAATCATATCTTCCTGCACCAAAACAGATCGAAAAATACTGAAGAATTTTCAATAAGAGTCAACATGAAGAAGCTTTAAAGTCCTGGTTGATGATCTGAGAAGCAGTTGAAAAAAACTGAGCTGTTGAGGCAGATTTGAAAAAAGCGTCTCCCCCACACACATACAAACCTCTCCCCTCTGTGCTCCATGGTAACTCCCCCCTGAACCTGTATCGCCCTCCCCACGACACACCTCCTCTGGCAGAGCAAGAAGCCGGCCGGCAGGAGATCCTACGCTAGCTTCAAATCGGATTCACCATGTCGGATTGTTAGTGACTAGCGGCTAAAAACGCCAGCTCTGCTCACGAGCTCCGTCTGCAGCTGCCTGGACAGCTACCCTGTTGACATTGCAGAGACTAGTAAGAGTTATTTATGTAACATGTGCCACAATAAAAGGTGATAAAAATTACCCACTCAATAAAAACTGCTGTCTCGGCGTCTGTTTTCAGGACCAAATCCTGGCGGAGCTTTCTCCACCGCTCCAAGGATGACCCGATGTTTATTCAAGTTAGATTCCTCGCTTGGTCTCATTTCCTCTTCGTCTTTGTCTTTTCTTCTGTCTGTGTTTTCTTCCAACTTTTGCGGTGGGGCAAGCAGAAGTGTTTTTTGCGTCGTTCTTCATCACAGCTCCTTTAGCTAAGCTGCTACGCTACGTCTAGCCACTCAGAGCACCGAGGAGGCGAGGCCTGGGAGGGGACGAGTCGGAACTACGGGAGAGGGGTGTGTTGAATGCAGCGAGGCGATTGGATAGAGAGGCGGAGCAGGAGATTGACCAATAGGAGTTGTCCGCGACAGGTGGCTCCTATTGGTCGATGTTTTTGCAGCCCTGCACCTGCTCGGGTGAACAGATTTTTCAGATCTTTTTTCTCTTCACTTTGTGGAGATCACTCTATAGGACCATGATCGCCATAGAAACGAGGTTCATAATAATTACCAATCTCTCCAATCGTCAATCATGCCTTTAACAATTTTGAATAAGAGTCAGCATGGAGAAGCTTTAAGAAAGTGCTTCTTTTAGAGTTTCATCAAAATGAAAGCAAAGTGAAGACCTAAGGGATCTGATCTTCACAGCTGGTTTCTCCATCTACTGAAATGAGTCTTCAACTTTGTTAGCGTCTGAATGAGCAGCTCGAGTTAAGAGCTTGAACTTCACTTTAGAAAAGGCTTTCCCTGTTTGTTTGTTTGTTCTGCAGCACTCTCTGACCTCTGTGCTTTCACTCTCTCTTCAACCGCAGGCGCTGATGGAGAACAGCAACCTGAATTTTGTGAAGCCCGCCTGGATCTACGCGATAAACGAACGCCAAAAGATGCTGCCCTACCAGCCGTACACCGTCGTCCCCTGAACAAAACCCTGTGTACACACAAAGGTGCGCACAAACATGCTGACACTAAACATCCTGAATGACGGGGAAACGGGGGGAAGCCATAGAGACTCTTTTTTTTTTTCTTTCAGATTCTCTTCACACACATAAAAGCTTTAAGTTGTTAATCCTTCAAATACACACCCTCAACACCGATTTCCCTCCTTACAGCAAAGTTCAAAAGCGTTTGATGTTTCTGCCGAGGTAAATGTTCGGATTCAGTCCAGATTTAAATGGAGCTCTTATTTCCAAGGTTGTTAGTCCTAGTTTGGCCACAGAGTACAAACATCACCGGCGGAGTGCTGCGGGGACATTTTAAGGACAAAGCACACGCTCACCTCGATTCAGGACTCGGATAATTTTCTGCCTCCTCTGCTGCACTTTGCTGCTGCTGCTGCTGCTCTTCACCTCGGCTACCTCAGGCTCTGTCTGGAAATGACTGATCACCCTGTCCTGACGGCCAGCAGCACCGATAAGACTCTCAGTAGTTTAAGCAGGGAGACTATTTCGAGCCGAGCCAAGTCAAGTGACGCTGTGCCATTTATTTGAGAACACAGATGCAAAAAATTTCGACGATTTAAAAATGGAAATGAATTCTTTTGTATCTTTTCACAAATGTTATTTTAATAAATATCATGAATGGTTTCTGTGGTTTGTTAAGAGTTTGATAACGATGACTTTGTCTGATTTTATGAATGTTTTTGCTCTGAGAAGGACTGACCTGACAGACGTGAGGACAAGAGTCAAGGCGGTGTGGATGTCTGCTTGTTTATTTCTCTCTTGGACTTTTTTTCCTGTTAATTATTTTGTCTAAATAAAGGTTTGTTTTTTAATCGAGATAACTGGTGCGACATTTATTGATCAAGCTCTCATCCCTTCTTCTTTCCTCTCAGTGTTCACAGCCTGCCCCTCTCTCTCTCGTGTCGAGCGCGCTCTCCTCTCTAATTTACTCCTCCTGCTTTGTGCCCTGAAGCTCCTGGGTCTCCTGCTCTTCAGTCAAGAGGATTAGAAAAGATGAAATGCCGACAGGAGACGAGGAGAGAGGAAGGTGACTTCAGCCGAGAAAAGGACGGATGGAAAGGTTTCGGGCGTGTTTTTAAAGAGACCAAAGATCAGATTTGTTTTCTTGAGTTTTACTGCACGGTATGACGAGTGTGAGGTGCATCTGTATCAGGAGCTGATGCGCTTTATATGTGTCAAATCTATTTTAGGTGCAAAGGCAGAAAAAACAGGGCGGTAAATGGCATCATTCTTGAAATACGTCATATTTCAACTCTGGGCCTGAGCTGACCCTGCACAGTTATGCAAACCATGTGTCCATTATGCAAACAACCTAATTAATGCTTTAAATACCTTTTAATTATTTTGTTTAACAATCCCTGAATATGGAATGAGTAATATTTCTACTGCAGTATCTGTATGGCAGCCCTCCTCAAATTTTGGTGACTGTTTCCTTTTTCTTCCCATTTTTCTGCCCTCCTTATTAAACAAACATGCGTCACTTCCTTTAGCTCTAAATTAACGGTGAGTAATTTCCCTTGACATCAGCTCCTCTGTATTTATAAGACTCGGCTTTAAAGCTGAAATATGTTTTGCTAGCTTACCTAGAAATGGATAAACTATGGTCTCAAAGTTTATCATTTTAACCCGAGATAATGATGAATAAGAAAAGTTCATACCTGATGCTGAGACATTTATGGACTTTATAAACTTCTGAATGAAATGCAGCCTGAGATAATAATAGAATTACACTGAATCAAATAAAAATCGTTAGTGTTAGCTTAAAGTCCCACTCTGATCATTTTCTTTTTTCTACTTTAAGTGTTCTCAGTGGTCTTTAAACGGTGATTATTACGTTTTTAGCCAAATTCACATTATCTGTGTCGTTTTCAAAGGGTTTTCTTCTGCAGAGCTCCAGTAGCTCATTAGCAATTCACCTCTGAGTCGTGGACGGAGACAGCGCTGCTCTGCACACATCTCTTCGCGTTAGCTTGCTGCCTAACATTGCCGGTGCAGCAGAAGAAACAGGTAACAGGAGCTATTCAGCTCTCTGACACTGTTGTCTTTTGGGGAATGATGAAATATAATAATATCATAATTAGCTTATTTACGAGCCTTTCAATCTGCTAACGCAGACACTTGTTCAGCGATCATCCTCTCTAGTCTGGCCTGCATGACAGGGATCCGGGGGGCGGAGCTTGGATTTGTGACGTAGGAAATTCACAGCAATTTGAATGCAGAAATGCAATTTCACACTTCTTTTTCTCATGATTTGTCCTCTTGTATCAGAAAAATGCTGTATGAACACGTAGACAACAAGAAAAACATGATTTTCATCAGAGTGGGTCTTTAAAGCTCTTTTCCCTCACTTTTCTATCTTCTAATTTAACCCTGGTTTCGTCATCTTTGAGGGAGATGTGGTGCTACGATTATCACGTCAACTTGGAGGTTTTATGTTATTTCTAGATAGAAACTCTGAGTATCTTTCAATTTAATCAGACAGTTTTCATTTTATTACGACAGAGAAACAGTGTAGAGAGAAAAGGCAAAGAAAATCCATCACCTGGTGCTTTTCTCCTCCTCCTGGCTTGTACCCAGTCAGTCCCACTTTTCCCTTCTCTCCGACGCCCCTGGGACAGGCTGCCATCACGTTGTCTCGTTTTACAGGTTGACTTTGTTCAAGCAGCACTTGCCACCTTACTCTTGTCTCTTTTTGTCTGATTTATTCTCAGCTTGCAGCATTTTAATATCTCCTAAATCTCAGCGGTGACCTTGCATGTCTGCTGAAGCCAAACGTTGTCAGACTGTGGCGTTTTAATCCTCATTTTTCAGCAGCACACAAGTGTGGGGTGTCTTCATCTGAAAGATGTTTTTCTTTAATCATTGCAAGATTTGGGTCTGTTGTCCCTTCTCCTTGTTCTCTTCTGTTTTCCTACAGAGCTGACATGAAAGGGTGAATACTAACGCGGTTTGTTAATTAACATCCTTTTGCAGAGATTTGATGTTCCTAACCTTGGAGACAGATTTTCTCTGTGCCAGTAAAAAGTTCTTGGATGCACTTGGATTAGTTTTTGAAGGATCGGTACATAAACAAAAGAACTCTACGAAACTCAACTTTATTTGTAACAACCACAGCTGAACAAACAAGTGCTGTACATAAATAGACAAAACAGCACAGACATAAAAAAAAACAATCAGAAAACAATAAAAACAATGGATTAAAAAAAGCAGATATTAAAAATTAAAATATAGTTTCAATGTTTTTAAAAACTAATTTAAAAACATGGAAACAAATGACCCAAAACAAACCATAAAACACTGAAACAGGAGCCGAGTCTCCTGCAGGGTTGAAAGCCGATGAATAAAAATTGGTTTTGAGATGAGTTTTAAAAATGGACAGTGTGCGGGCTTGTCTGATTTGGAGGGGTAGCTCGTTCCATAATTTCGGGGGCCACAACAGACCAAGATCTATCCCCTCTGAGCTTCAGTTAACAAATCAAAGAATCTTAAAATTAACTCTAAAATGCACGGGTAACCAGTAGAGGGAGGCCAGGATGGGAGAAATGTGCTCCCTCTTACGTACTCCAGTTAAGAGCCGGGCGGCTGCGTTTTGTACTAACTGGAGACGTGAGAGGGAGGACCGGCTGACTCCAAAATAAAGAGTGTTACAGTAATCTAGCCGAGATGTAACAAAGGCATGGATTACTGTTTCAAAGTGCTTACCTTCAAGAAATGGCTTTGCCTTCACCAGCTGCCTAATATGATAAAAGCTGGATTTCACTACGGAGCTAATTTGCCTCGAATTTAAAATCACTGTCCATCTTAAAACCCAAATCTGAGACGATTGGCTTTAAATAGTCTGAGAAAATACCCAAGTCTACAGGAGGGGATTCACAAGGGCCACTCTATCCTCACATAACCAGCACATAATATCTCTCATGTACTGCGATGAGGTTTACCTCTTTAAAAAACTCATTCAGCAGGATATGTTTCTCTTTACTCCTTCCTGCGAGGGCTGTATGATGTGAAAAAGCACAGTAAAGGTCATCCTCCATGAATTTTAAGTCTCATAGTTCATTGTTGACTACACCGACCTTGTGAATCATGTTCAAATGTTTTTCCCCAAACTTCCCCAAAAGGAAAGCTTGAGATGCCTCTTTAGAATCAAACTAAATAAACACGGTAGCTGGAGGCGCTCCTGCAGCATGCTGGGTCAAATACTGCGAATCCTGTGCCGTGCAGAAGTTGAGCAGATATTAATGATTGTGAGATGCTGGAGGTCGAAGCGTTGCCTGATTTTACTTCCAAGAAATGCAAAAAATTCCCAAATTTGTACAAACACTATGAAAGATGGGAATCATGGGGAGTTTAAAATGGAAAAACAGCTTTTTTGTTGTTTTTGTTGTAGTCCTCAGCTAATTTATAGCATCTGGACAGGTGTTATTTCTCACCTGTTGGTCTGTAGACAGCTGTTTACTCTCCTGTTGAGGATTGTTGGTACTCAGACCTGAGTTTCCTCTTTCACTTTGGCCCTGGGACCTGTGATTTACAGCATCGGCAGCTTGTCGGGACGGTCCCTCTGAGAGTTTTTCATCACATTTTGTGAATAACAGCAGCTGCTGCTCTTCATCCGCTCTACATCTAATCAGTTTTCCCCACATGGACTCATTTAATCCTGTCCAAACTCAAACAGAATAACATCTTGTTCTTTTTCTTTTTTCCTCGCAGATTTTGCAATTAAATGTAATCCATCACAGCAAACGAGACACTGACAGCACACAACAGAAAATTGCATCAGAGCGTGAATGTCATAAAAAATACATTCTTGACTGTCATGCTCTGGTACAAAGCTGGTATATATGTGAGATGAGAATGAAAGATGCTGCAAATACGGACACAGGTTTCACTAGTTCTGCCTCTGCTCCTTTTGTAGTTGGTCGAGTTAAAATAAAAGTTTCTTGAATTACTTCTGAAGAAAAAACGAAGCAGGTTGCACATTAAGATAATCTCCTTCCATTAGTGTAAAAGATTATCCGTCAGCTGTTTTAAAAAGTTTAAGAAGTTTTAATCAGGTCTGACTAAAGCTGTTTTGTCCCTTATCACCCCCTTCTCTCCAGTTCAATAAGTGTCCATAACTCCAGCCCTGCAGCAGCTTTTATTTTGTTACTCTAATATCTAAGTCCCCCACAGTAAATGACCTGTCATTCCTTCAGAGTAAAAGCTATTACTTCCCCCATATTCCCCGACTCTGTCCTTGTTGCCTTTTAATCTTTTGAGATAGATCTCCCATGGTCAGAGAAGCGTTACAACTACAAGTCTTACACTTACAGTCTCTGCAACATTTTTTGTGCTTATATAACTGGATTATTATCACTTATACACAATTGATGACATTAGAGCATCAATTGTTCTTTAGCCTCTCTTAGATGACTGTGTAATTTTGTTTTAATAACATTTTCAGCATCTTAAAACTGATGTTGCTGGTAAGAACAAAACTTTTTCCCATAATGTTGTATCCCTGAACTCGATCACTTTCATCCAGAACTGTTTTTATGTGATTGACAGAGATTATAATTTACAAGCACCAGAGCCTGATGGTTGGTGTTTGTAAGGAGAGAGAAGAGATTTTAAAATCCAGACTCAGTGATACAAATTAGTTGATAACAATAATGTGTAATTACAAAGCACATTTGTACAAAAATTAAACCCCAATGAGGCGTTTTATGAAGTAGACTGAAATTCATACTGATGCCTTTTCATGATATCCAACTGGGATTTCTCTACTGGGAGATACAGCGGAGTGTCATCAGCAAAGCGACAAAATGAGTCTGTTTCTTTGAGTTAAATTGATGGTCCCCGATACAAGGCTAAAGCTCAGGGGTGACAGAGCGTTTGCCGCAGCTGCTCCTAAACTCTGGAACGAGTTGCCCTTGAGAATTAGACAGGCCTCCTGGTTTCCTGTTTTTAAATCCCTTTTAAAAACGCACTTTAACTCCTTGGCTTTTAATACATTTTAGTGTTATTTTGTTTGTTATCATCTTAGCACTTGCCATGAGCCTGCTTATTTTTTATATATTTATTTACTTGTTGCATTTATGTGTTTTTGCTCGCTCTATCTTGTTTTTTGCTTGTTTTATTTGTTTTTATGTTGCAATGTACAGCACTTTGGCTACTCCTGTTCTATAGAAATAAAGTTGATTGATTGTTATGTGGCCAAGCAGAAGTATTTGAGAGAGAGTAGCAGTGGTCCAACGACTGATCCCTGAGGGACTCCACAATTTAAACAAAATTGTCGCCTCTCACAAGGGAGCCACGAGCAAAGTTGAGTTAGCTTTTCAAATATGACAGCAGGGGCGAATTTTTTTTGTAAGATGTGAGGGGAAGGTCCCGCCCTCCTTCGCCTCTGATTGGCTAGAAGTGCAGGGCTCCGATTGGTTATTCCTAATGGCTGTGAAACGTCATCGTCTGTCAGGTTAGGGTTGGGAGATTCAGAAGTGCGATAATGTTCTGTTCAATGTACAGAGTCGACAGCCCGCGTTTGGCTTGAGCTTGTGATGACGTTTCCAGCTTTTCTAGCCAATCAGAGGTGAAGGAGGCGGGACTTTCCCCTACCGCCCTACAAAACAAATATCGCCAGCAGGGGTCCAAACCTGATCTGGAAACCAGTGAAGATATTTGAGATAAACGTGAAGTGTGTGAGCTTTGCTTCTTGTTTATTAAAGGGATATTCCGGTGTAAAATTAATTTAGGGTCAAACACACCGTAACACGGAGTTAGTCACCCCCTCGAGAGATGATTGTTGCTGAACACTTACTTCTCTAATAATGCCAACTTTAGTAACGACTGAGACTAAACACAACTCACCTACTCTCTTCCAGCAGCCGCTTGTTTGTAGCGAGACCTCAGGCCAGTCCATCACGGACTACAGTGGGGTGTCGCAGCTCAAGGAAGAACATTTATGATCATTAGAAATTTATTACACTGTACATAAATTTATACGTATACTGGCAAGGGGCGGAACCAAGTTGTCCAAAGTGTATACGGTCTGTGGTTTGGTCTCTTTGCTTAAGAAATTAGTCAAAGTTAAAAAGATGTTTGATGGCTAGTGCTGTGGCTGGGACCCTGTATGTACTGTTGATAAAGTTAGGTGCTGTTCTGAGCATTATTTGTGGCTATAGAGTGGCGTTTTGGTTGAGGTTTGTTTATGGCACTTCAGACCGCTGTGTATTGCTATCCTGCGGTCGTTACTAAAGTTGGTATAACTAGAGAAGCAAGCAGTCAACAACATTCATCTCTTGAGAGGGTGTCTAACTCAGTGTTACGTGTGTTTGACCCTAAAGTAATTTTACACCAGAATATCCCTTTAATATTCTCCACAACTAATAGCATCACATCTCTCTGCTACAACCCTTACCCCTTTTCTACTCCTATAACAACCGATACTCTCGGAGAAGGCGTGAATCTCTCTCCTCCAGCTGTTTTGAGTCTCCTCCTCCTCCTCCCCTGTCTTCCAGACTCCACGACGCTCATCCAACCTTTACCACCGACCGACACGCAGAGGAGGGGAGCTCAATAATCACGCAGCGTGAACTCAGTGAGAGAGAGAGAGAGAGAGAGAGAGAGAGAGAGAGAGAGAGAGAGAGAGAGTCTGTTCATTCCCCTGTGTGGACCAGGAGCGACCAAACACGGAGTGACCGGGGTCAAGGCGGGAGGTCTAGCCGTCAGTTGTTGAATGGGATGCCGCAGGCTGACAGCCAGTTTGTCCCCCGATGTTCCTGAGAGGAGAGCGGACCTGAAGGAGAGCAGCTCGACACGGAGAGGTGAGTGATTTCAACACTTTATGAAAAACCGACCTCAGACTGTACTAAAGTTTTGGCACTATTTATTACAAATACATAAATATTATTTAAATTTATATAGGAATTTCTCTGTTGGCTGCTTGTTGCTTTGAGGTTTATCTGACAGTGATATTAGTATGTTTGGTGATGTTTCTGAACCTGTTGACAGACAAAACGAAAAAACATGAGAGCAACATCTTTCAGGTGCGTTTTTTAGGCTGGTGAGAGACTTTTTCTTGGTTTAAGCAACACTAACCTCAATAGAGCAGTTAAAAAACAGGGGAGACCAGGGGCAGAATAGGGGACACCAGGGACAGCTGTGACATATTTCATATTTTCTTCCATAACTCACAGATACAACATATAAGAAACAAAAACAGTATTTTTTTTCATCAGAGCCAATGCTGTTTCATTCATGAAATAACAGATGTCAGAGTGAGAAATACATTTATTAGCTCATCATGTAGGAATTAAAGCACCTGGAAGTAATTTGTTTTGTTTGTAGTGTCTACTAATGTCAATATTTTTGTTAATAGTGATTGTGGTGAGATTATTTTAGATTTTAGGCAATGTACCTAGATTTTAAATAATCCCATGAACTCCATTTTAGTCTAACTTTATCTGCCATTATGTCAAGAACAGTCAAACTGTAAAACTTATCAGAAATAGTAGACAATCCAAGAGTAACATTAAAAGATCTCTTGAAAGTAGGATTAAGTATGTTTATAAAAAAGAGTTAGAAACAGTACAGTCGTTTTATTTAAAACAAAATGTGTGATTATGATCAAACTTTTGATTTAAAAAATAAACATGTTTAACCTCTAGCCACAAAGCAAATATAAAACATGGCTGCTCAGAGTCAATGATATAAATTTCAGTTGTAACAGACCAATATAAGCATAGACTGATCCAAGCTTGTGTGCAGTTTTATACCTCGAAACCACCTTTTAAAAAAGTTTACACTACACTCATTTCAATCAGGCAGCAGGAGAATCCAACTGAGCATGTGCAGTCATTTTGATATCTCTAGCTTCTTCTCCTATTGGAGATATCGATTGCGTTACAACTGCCCCCGGTCTCCCCTACAGCCTTGTGTCAAATCAAAAACATAACAAATCCCCCCACAAAAGGAGTTATCAATATTTCTATCGAAGAAGGAGTTTTCTATTAGATTATTGATAGTAAATATCTTTATCATCGATGCACAGATTAACACATCACACTGACATTTGTAGGCTTTACATCATTTTAGTTTAGTTTTTATTGAAACCTAACAATAAAAGTCCTGTCATCTGAGAGTGAAACTTTTCAAAAGTCACAGTGAGGACTGAATTGATTTTATATTTCTGTGAAGGACGTTTAGAGCATCGAAACTACACATTTTTCCTAGTATTAAACCAAAGAAAACTCAGGGTTACGATTTACTCTCTCTCTCTCTCTCTCTCTCTCTCTCTCTCTCTCTCTCTCTCTCTCTCTCTCTCTCTCGAGATGTTTTCTTGTACCTGTATTGATTTTTATTTCTTTTCTTCTCTTTTATTTGTCAACATGAACAAAAACCTTTCAAGGATATTCCATCTAAAACATCAGTATATTGTGTCCATAGATACTCCAACCTAATGATGATACTTGATGAAAAAACACCATCCTCCGACTGTGAATTCGACTCGTGGAAATTAATGATGGATTTTTTTCTAAAGTCAGTTTAATTTGTGATACCCTCTAGTGGCCAAAAAAGCGTCATGGTGCCGGTGTTGAGGCACGCTCCTGTTTCAACAGAGCTCAGTAGGAGAAAAACAAACTCACATGTGCTGCTGTACATAAAAGCCTCTAAAATCACTGAAAAACGATTCAACCATCTGTTTTAAGCAGCAAATTATGACATTCAGACTTTAAGCAAAGCAGAGATGTGTTGGCTTCGCTGTTATTGCTCTGTTTTCACGCTCTGTGTGCTCAATAGTCAACTTTATGTCTGCATTGTGTAAATGGATGAACAGAGGAGCATCTGTCTGAGTAGGAGAGTACAGAGTGATTCCTGAGTGAATTTGTGTGTTTGGAGTTTAAAGTCTGTGCGCATCGGACATCTATCGCTCTGATCCCAAAAGCTACAGTGCCATTTTCAATAAAAGATGGAGGCGATGGGAAAATTGCTTCTTAAATAAAAGATGATCGTGGCTTGGTTAGAAGTTTTCTCATCGGACTCTGATCCTCTCTTACTCTGTCATTTGATGAAGGCCTGAGATCACAGCAGGCTCTCTGTCTGTCGGGATGTACAAAGACAGTACTTATCGGGACACAGAGTTGATCCTCGCTCCCTCTCTGCACTCATTTCTTTTTGACAGATCACAGAGGAGACTCCGATCTTTTATTCATCTCTTCTTTTTCAATATTTCTCTGTTTTCAGTAAAGTCTATTCTCCCACCTTCTCCTTCAACTTTGCCCTCTTTCAGACTGGATGAGCAGAGATGTGACTTCCACTCATCACTTTCAGCTTGTGCTCTGTAGGGATAATATGAGCTGAGACGAATCATAGTCATTTCTTCATAATTGGTACCATAGATCTGTGCAGGCTGCTGATTGAGTGTACTACAGTGTGCTGAAGTAGAGATTTAAAGCAGCAGGGGTGAAAAGAATCACATAATGAGACAGCTGAAGGAAAAGGATGGCTGCTCCCTGTTCATGTCTCTGTTGGGTTTTCCTCCTGAAGAAGTCAGTCCTGATGAGGAAACACTACATGATCGATTGCTCTATAAACCAGCTGTATTGTCATCATTGAAACACAAGTTTAATTGTGCACAGCGGCAGCAGCAGAGTGGAGGAATTTCGATTGAGGAAGTGAAGAGGCAGCTGGATTGATTGTTTGATGCAACAAACAATCAAAAATGACATGACCGCAGAGAATCAGGATTCATTTATCCTGAGTACAGAGCTGGGATTTACGCCGCTACCTAGAGAGCAGGAACAATGAGATTAATTACATGAATATGAATGAACAAATCAGACACATGCAAAAGTTATACAACTTGTTGAATCCTGATGTAATGCCGTTACTCAACCAGACCCCTCATAATCGATGCCGTCCACTTAACTCTGCCGGCCATGCACAACAATGACGTGATGCTTCACAAGAGGTAGTCAAGGCGAACCAGGAGAGTATCCATGGTGAGCAGGAGAAAAGGAACGAAGAACTGTGAAATCCATTTGTGCAGCTTTGCAGAGGGGCTGCTCAACTATGGTGAAAATCACAATCACGAGTATTTTGACTGATATTGATATCACTTTTATTAAAAGTGATTACCTCTTTAAGATGTATAAATAGTCACATGTACTCCTAAAAAAAGGGACCATGTGTCTCTTCTTTTCTTAATTTTAAAGGAATATTCAGTGGAAGCAGGGTTTTGGACATGTGGAGGGTCAAACACCGAGTTGGACACCCCCTTGAGAGATGAACGTTGCCGACCGCTTGCTTCTCTAGTTTTACCAACTTTAGTAACGATCATTTCTTTATCATTTCCTTAAAGCAATAATCATCATAATAATCATTTTGCAGACTCTGTAGTTCTTCTGCCTTAGCGTCTCGAGCTGTAGCTTAATACTGGTGATAATACTCTCTGAATTAAAGGCAGATTTCACGCGTAGTTAAGTATTTCCACACTGCTCCTCTCCCTGCTCTCCTCTCTCTGCCTGTAGCTGCCTGATAGTTTGTACCGCTGTTGCACAACATGTTGAAGATACCAATACTCCTAGCTAGAGACCCAAATAACATCCTCATGGCAGGAATTAGCAATATGTAAACATTGCACCACTTTGATTTGTTTAAAAGTTAAGTGTTTCTAAAGACTTCTCTTCAAGGTCCCTGATTATAATAATGCAAGCCCACTGATAGGAACTTCGCAACAAGGGTTAAGGGTCAGCTGTTACCATCCTGTTACTAACGTTGTTTAAAACATGACAACAGTCGTCTTCTTGTGCAGCCTCTATAAGCCTGATTGAGTCTCTATCTCAGAATAACTGATAAGAGGGGGACTTGGACTGAACTGGACTCTCTTTTCTGTCAGTCCTGCTCCTGAATATTCCTGCATTTTAGTTGTCTGTGGCCCTGTTATTTATTAATCATTGGCAGCTTGTTAGAGCTTGCAATGGGAGTTTGAGGGATTGGATTGATTGAGAGGAGGAATCTGGGTTATGAAGTGCAAGACAACAGTGATTTTTATATCCCCTCTGCTCAGCAGAGAGCTGGTTATGCTGCAGTGGAAAAATCCACATCATTCCCTGTGGCCTTATCTTATTCCTGCCCCTCTGTGAATGAGATGAAAGATTTATTACAGGGCGGGTCATTGCCTCACTGGAGCAAAATCTGAAGGAGTCCCCTGGGTTTTTATTTTTTTAGGATGTTGTTGTTGTTTTTTTCCAGTAGTGCTGGTCGAGGGCAAACAAGGCCAAGGATGTAATAGACCTGTCAAGTGTCTCCAGAGGAGGAGAAACAGGAGATGAGACAGGCGGCAGAAGGAGATAAGGGAGGGATGGAGGCGGGTGGGCGTTATTGAATGAAGGTTGAGGAGCAAAAGGGCGTCTCAGAGGTCAGTTCATCACAAAATGAAATAAGACTCGGCTTTATTCTCATATTACAGCGCACACAGAAATATCAGCTGTTCTTCTGCTAAGACAGAGAGATTTAGGAGTTTTATGGAAACAATTACAAGTTTAAAAACTGTCGACGGATCGATCGTTTATTTTGCTTCTCAGTGTTTATTGATCAGTGGGTATTTTTCCTCATTAATTAGTCAGTAACATGTTTAAAATCCTCTGAAATTCACTCTCTAGACATAAAACCTGCGAGCATTTGGCGCTTAGGGGGTGTAAATATTCGCATTATTCATTTTTTAATCAATTTTACTATCTAGGCTAATTTTTTAGTTTGACAATGTTTCATACAAAATTAAAAAAAGACATCCAACAAACCTGAACTGTTGGTGTTGTGTTGCAGCCAAGTTGCACAAGTTCATTAAAAAAATGTGGGCTGACAATAAACCAGAGACACAGCCTGAGGCGGCGGTGGATGCAAAGAAAGTCTAGATGTTAAATTATCCTCCGGAGCAGGTCTGTGTTTGAGAGCAGAGGTCAGAATGAGACAGAAATGACCTATGAGAACACCAGGAGCTGATCCATGGTGCAGCATGAGTAATAACTGTGCTTGACAAAGCCAAATATTGGTATATAGACTGAGATATTGATCACTTGAAAGGCTGTATGTAATAAGAAGTGAGTTGAAGAGGTCTTGATTCATAGTTCTTCTTTGGCTTTGTGGCTCCAAACCAAGTCAGAGTCGTCCGTCCACATAATGGATCTGGGTCTGAATGAAGGTTCTTGTGAGTTACAGCGTCTGGAGGAGCTGTGTGAAAAAAAAAGCTCCTGAAAATGAAGCTCAGTCATTTTGTAGCTGTAAAAACACCTAAACTTCTGAGTTTTTATCAGTGTGTCCCTGCAAAGCTCCAACATGCAGACAGCAGAAGAGAGAGAGATTATTGACTTTCATTTTTTGGGGTTCCACCAGCTGGGACAGATTCAACTTATGGTTAAGTGCGAGTTTTGCACCTTTATTTGCAACACAGCTTTTTACACAGATGGTGTACCAGCCCACTAAACTGTCCCTCACTTTTCTGCTTTCATGAAACTTGAAGATTATCTCAAACTCTATTAATTGGACGTTTCTTTTTCAGCTTTTTCAAAACTTTCATTCTTTCAACTACAGCTGGGGTTAAGGTCAGAAAAGTTAGATTAAATTTGGTGAAGTAAAATGATTTTCATCAGCACAATACTTCATTTGTAATTTGAGGAAAAAAAGGGAAAAGTCTCCAGCTGCCATTCTCCGACCTTTCACCACATCATTTGTATAACTTTGACACGAGTTTCTCCCCTTATCTCTCTTATTATGATAAAAAATATAAAAAGCTTTCTGTAAAATACAAACTTTTTAAACAGGATTATGTGCATGTTCGTAGAGCGATGTGATTTCATACAAATATCACCTGAACGACACTATCCTTGATAATAAAATGACACCTGCTGCCCTGACCTTATGGAGCCAAGTGCCGTACGTGTGTTTACATGTGTGTTCACAGTTATGCAGCTTGACTTTGGTGGCCATGTGTGAAATTGAATTACCTGCATGCAGGGATCATTGCACCTTGTTTTGAACAGAGACCAATGAAATGAAGCCACCGTTGGCCTTTCCTCGAATAATCAATAACAAGTGGCCGTGCTGTCAGCGTAGCGCTGCTGCAGGACAAATAAAAGCCATTTAAAACCAAACACGGGTTACCTGCTCACCATTTCTTTAAAACACTCACTCCTCAGTTGTTTTCAATAGATTCTGTGTGGAAACAACTTTTAAAACCGTCTGTAAAGTGTCACATACATGACTGGACTTTGAATCAGTGATTGTCCTGCTTTAAGCTCCATGTGATGTTGACTGTAAAATACCTTCAAATGTTTTATATAAAAAAAATACAGAAAAAGAAGAACCTTTGTTTTATCAAAGCTAAACGACCTATATAGAGTTTGAAGTAGGGCTGGGCGACAAACCGAAAATTTACCGATACTGAAATTTACAACAACAAACGACGTCATTTTGCCCATATCTGTATATTCGGTGTCAAAAAATGAATAAATAAAAGTTGGTTTTGGATGTGTGTAGGTAGGCTATGGTCTCATGTCCCTTTAAGACACTGTCCTACATCGGAGACGTGACTCCACCGCATCCAGTCCGTAACAAAGAGGGAAAGACAGGTGAGGAGATGGAGGACGGTTCAAAAGTTTTAGCGGCTGAAGTAGACGAAATTTATGTGGGAGGGGGTGAGCAGCTTGTGGAGTAGTTATCGTCCATTTATCGTTATTGTGGTGAACTGATCAATATATCGTGATATTGATTTGAGGCCATATCGCCCAGCTCTAGTTTGAAGCTAGTGTGAGCTGATTGTAAAACTGATACTGAAGCCTCCATATGACCCACAAAACCAGAGCAGACCATCATGGAAAGATGAACTAAGACTCGTCAGATGGGTCATCATAAAAGAATTTAAATTGCCCATTATGATTATTTAAATTTTTTAATAAAACATCTAATAATCAGTCTGATAAGCTGCGTCTGTGTGATTAGCTCATGAGTGGCAGCTCAGAAGTGCAAATTTCTATTGATTTGTTATTTGAAGCCAAAAGCTCGCCAGGAGGGACGAAAGAACTGCAACTAAAATCACAACCAGTGTGTGAACACATTAGTCCCTGCTTCATAGAATTCTTCAATACCTGCTACCAGTACAACACGATCGATTGTTTTTCTCGTGATCGTCTTTTTTTACATTTTCCAGATTAATGCTCGGAAAGCAGGAGGATTTTGGGGCATAGAAATGAACTTCATTTGAACATGAATAAAAGTTATTACATGTAGAGTGATTGGCGAGGAATCGTTCTATTGTAGGATCTTATATTCTTGTTCTACACACTGCCCCCTTGTGGCATCAATGTGAATTTCAGTCTGCTTTAAAGCTGTACTATAAGACACCTTTACCCTCTCGTACCTCTAGAAGCAGAGGCTTTATTTGTATGCAAATGTATTTTCTTCAAATCCTCCAGCTACCAGACTCTCTTGACTACAAAAAGATCGAATACTTTGTGCATGTGTATCAGAGGAATTACTATTCTGCAGAGGTCTTTGTTTTTAAGTTGAAGTTGCAGTAGAGCCACTGGACCGGCTCTAAAACCAGAGGCAGTGTCATTAACCACATTCAACTTAATTTAGTGTTGCACACTGTGAGACTCTCGCCCTCTCTGCAGACAAATATGAGTCTCTCAGTGTCCAGTTGTGCTCATATATCATTCTTGACAGTGAGGTCAAACTGTGAAACGTAGTAACAGGAATCAGAGCAGGTTTTTCTGTCGATGGGAAGGTTAAGGTTAGAGGAGAACCACAGTGATGGTTAAAAGGAGCCAGAGATGACTGGTGGAGGGTGGCGGGATGATTTATGTCACATATCAGTGTCAGCTGAAGATTAAAGGAGATGTATTCAGCGGTCTGGTGCTGAAGGATCAATACCATTTGATTTCACCTGCAGCCTGTTTTTATTTTGTCCTCCTGCTGGAATGATGTATTTTCGTAACTATCCTCTGCCGTCAGGTGAATAGATCCTACAAACTAACCACTTTGAAAAGTGTGATTGGCTTTACCACAGAGATACATGATGAATTTAGATTTAAAAAAGCGGGAACACTGCAGGTAAGATCACCGAATGAAAAACGATCCTTGTTTTGAATACAGATTTTTCATGTTCTTACAATCAATAACGAAAGAGAGAACAACTTTTGTATTTTTCTATTTTTGTGGATTTTTTGCTTTTCCAGTTTGCTTTCAGCAGCTGTTAGTAATTTGGTTTCGAGTTTCACCTCCAAAGTTGTTGGTTTCTTTCTCAGTGTGCTTTTTTTTCTGTAATTTTACATGATCACAAGATGTGGAGCACATACAAAATGAAAGTACATGGCGTGGCTGTACAACAACAACAACTATTATCTAAAAAACAGATGGACGTTCTTCAAAAAAAAAACCTTATCTATAAATGTTTTTTTTTTTTTTTCTGGCTGCAACAACTTCACTTTACATGTAAGTGGATGGTTTAAAGCTCCTGTAAGGAACTCTGTGTCTGTGTTGACTTTGGCGCCCCCTGTGGTCAAAGTAGTAATCTATCTTTTCCACTTTTGTCTCATCCTTTCTTTCAACAATGTTCATTCTCCTCTTATCTTTTGACTGTGAAATTCATTACCAACCATCATCACCGTTGTAGAAACGGTCGATCTTGTAGCTTATGCTCTCATTTTGCTTCAGTCTGTTTCATAACCTGTGAAAAATCCCCCACAGGAGCTTTAAATGATACTCATGGAGGTACATTTCTCCTCAACCCCGAATCCTTTCTCTCTAACATTCAAACTAAATACCGTACTCGTCACCCAGACCATCATCATCCCAGAGGTTACAAACCCTCTGATGTCTGACGTCGACTAAGATGGAGCTCACTTCAGAGGGACATGAATCACTCCGGGCAGACCACAGTATATTACAGCTCAAACTCCTCTCTGCTGATGACTCTGACCACAGCGTAACTCCACTCTGTTATTGGCTTTTCCCCCAGTGTGATACTCAGTCTTTGGGGCTTCTGTTTTCTATCAGACATTATTGAACTCATTTATATCAGACATGAAGGTGAGACATGAAGGTTAACTTTATAAACATGGAAGGAGGAAAACAGAGAGGTGTGCTTTCCCCAAAATAACAAAGCAATAAAATTCTCCTTACATGTACACTTTTTAAAATCTTATCTATTCTTTTAAAAATAGACGGCCTGGTGGCTCCTAAAATGCTCGTCTCACATCTTTTTTTTTTTTGTCCAATCAGATTAAAAAGGCTCAACAACCAATCAGCCAAATCAGTGATGAATAGACAATAGATTGTCAGCTACCTGATTGATTTATCACCAACATGTCACTTCCAACTAGAGGTGTCACAGTAGCAGATTTTCCTCCTCACAATTACATTAAAATATCACAGTCATATTTTTTTGTAACAATTGTGAAAAACTAGAAAATAAAAAACACATACAGTTGAATAACTTGATTATGTAGATTTTTTCTGCCTTATATTTGAGTTCTTTAACATATATTTTGCTGAACTTTGCTTTTATTTTGAAGTGTACTACCTGCGTTAGATTACAGCTAATCCGTCAATCTTCTTGTAAATCCAAATTAAAGCTCCTGTAAGGGACTTTTGGTTTGAAAAAATTTGGCGCCCCCCTGTGGACAAGGTGATCTTTTCTTGTCCCCAGGGTGCTGAAGTTGTGTCTTTTTTTGAAAGTCAGATGGATGAGCTGTTGTTGTTGTTGTTGCTGTTGTTTTAATGTGTCTGCTGTCCCCTGTCTCTCTCTCTCTCTCACCCTCGTTCTCTACTCTCTCTCCCTCCCTCCATCTTGTTCTCTTTCTCTCCCCCTGCTCTCTCTCTCTCTCTCTCTCTCTCTCTCTCTCTCTCTCTCTCTCTCTCTCTCTCTCTCTCTCTCTCAATACATCAAACAATGAGCGTAGTCTAGACCTGCTCTTTTTCTTTGGAAAGCATCTTGGGATGACGACTGTTGTAAATTGGCTCTATATAAATAAAATTTTGTTTGATTTTGATCATTTATTGTGAATATGTTATGAGGAAAAAGTAGAAAAGATGGCTGAAGGCCGACTCCTACCCTCTATACCAGGCGTCAAAATGGAAATACAGAAATGGTGGACCTTAAACTTCCACCTGCTTTAGTTGTACTTTTACAAAACATCGTAGCATAATCAGAACTTTTGCTGCTCTTCTTTTTTTTTGTTCCCATGTTTGTTTATTTCAGACACATTCATCATTAGCTGATCGGTCGTGCACCTCCACAGAAACACTCGTCACGGAGGCTTTTTTTCGCCGCTGGATTGACCTCTGGCTGTGTTTACAGCCCATCATTACGCCCCTCAGCTGGGTCAGATTCACCGTTTGAATCCAGTAAATATGCAGCAGAGGGTGTCTTATCCTTCAAGTGCTTTGACCTGAGGTGAGATGTCAAAAGGTCAGATGGGTCATTAAGTTTTCTGGAATATATCGTAGGTTTATAAGCGATACAGAGGTCAGGTGCGGAGGGGAACACAGCCGGTATGAGAGACACTTGATGGAGTGAGTGGGCGGCGTCGGTTTGGCCCAAAATCCTCCTGAATTTATTCATGACTTTGGGGATTGATGGGAAAGTTTAACCCGAATCTGCAAGTCAGGATTCTGTTTCAACTACCTGTGGCTAATGAATATTTAAAGCAGCTCTTAGAGCGATATTACACAGCCTGGCTGTTGGAGTGAATCCGAAAAGAGTGACAGAGAGATAAGAGAGGAATCCACAAACCTTCAGCAGTGGATTACTGAGGGCGAGTTTAAGCAGAAGATCTATTTTAGATAAGAGTCTTAATATTTTCCCTGAATAGTCCTACTTTCAGTTCCTCCTTTATGTTGTGAAAATATTGACATGGTACAAAAATGAATCCATCCGTCTTTCCTTGTCGTCTTAAAAGTTCAGTTTGTATTCAGGTTATAACTTTGATTTATAAAGTTGAAAAGCAGAAGCAGCAGCCGAGTCTGGAGGAGCTCCTACATAAACCCCAAAAATCAGTTTCTGAATAAATTCTAAACGACGCTTCGGTTGAACTCTGCCTCATTAGACTTCAGAGCAGACACGTTGTCAACCTGTGTTAGACGTTTTTATGATGGAGAAAAGAAGTTTGAGGTATTAAACAGAAACAGTTTCTTGAACAGCTCCTTCAGGACTATCTGTCTCTCAGCGGCCTCCACGAACGTCCGAGCCCTTCAGCCTCAGATCTCCTGCGTAAATCTGTCAGGTCCACGAACAGGTGTTGGTGACAGTTTGCACACGCTCAAGCTGCTGCCTTCTGCTTCTCTAAGCGCTGCTCTGTCCTCCGCTCACCCCCACAAATTAAATTAAGCCATTATTCAGCAGCAATGGCTGTATTACAGCTGCAGATAAGAGGCTGAATAGAGTTAAAATCAAATTTTCCAGAGGGATATTTCTGCTCATAGACAGCGGATGATGAATAATAAATGAAAATAGCAGCACAATGAATTTAAAAAAAGGAGTAATTTTAAAGACTCATGAGGGACGAGGGTTAAAGGTTTTGGTGTTTGTTCGGTCTTTCTGCTCAACTTTCAGATCGGAGAGTTTGTAAAAAGTTTGATATCCTCCGTGGACAGAAATCTGTGATTGCAAAGAGTCCTGATTAAAGTTTAAAGTGGATGTTATGAGAGTTTTTATCCAATCAATGTCTCAGGTTTTATTTTTATATTCTGCCCTCTTAAAAACATCCACAGGGTGTTTCCCAGATGGATCCCCTGCTTTGGATATGTGCAGCACAGACACAGAGACAGTTTCCCCTTCATGACTTTGATTTACTTCCTGTGCGGTGACCTTTTAGAGCACAAGAGGCCGGAGAAAATTCAATATAAATCTGAGAGACATTTATTTCATCCCTGACTTTGACTGTGTGTACCTCAGCGGTGGTTAGATGTGATTGTTGTTTGTGTTTTCTCACTGATACATTTTCCACCCTTGTGCGATGATAACCTTTTCTTTTTTATGGTTTTTAGTCCTCTGCTGTCAGACTCGCAGGTTTATCCTTGTCTGCGGTCTCTTAAATTGGGGTCACAGCAGACTTTTAATGCTCCGTTTGTCGTTGTTTATTCTCTTCATTTTTCAGGTCGATCATGTCCACCGGAGCAAGATCATGACTGTGCTCAACGACTCGGACGAGACCCCCACTCCCTCCTTCCCCTTCTCCTACCTTCAGCAAAATGTCTCCGCCTTTGTCACCCACGATCCATACTCCCCAATTACCTTCCTCACCTCCCCCTCCCCTTCCTCCCTGACCTCCTCGAACTGCACCAGCCCTCCCTCCTCTTCCTCTCCCACCTATAACTTCTATGCGGTGCTGCTGGTGCTCCTCATCTTCTGCGTGGTGTTCGGGAACGTGCTGGTGTGCGTGGCCGTGTCAAGGGAGCGCGCTCTGCAGACCACCACCAACTACCTCATCGTGTCGCTGGCCGTGTCGGACCTGCTGCTGGCCACGCTGGTCATGCCCTGGGGGGTCTACCTCGAGGTGTGAATTTGGAGATACTGGAGCCTGGTGTAGTTATTTAAAGAGACCCGTCATACACCTGTGGGACACCTATAGAGATGCTCACACCAAGGGCTGGGCGATAAAACGATAACGATATATATATCAAAAATACATTTCCCTCAATATCGATATCAAACATGGTCAATATGTTTTCAATAGTCTGCATTCTGCCATGTTTTGGTAGACTATACGAATAGCCAATGGAAAGGGGAGTTTCTCCAGGTCGGTTTTGCCCTAAACTTGGGCTGGGCAAGATGGAAATAAGTTTATCATGGTATATTTTTTTCATATCCGTCACAGTTGTTTGCTACTCGGTTCTAATTCAGCACATGAAGCAGACCCGGAGCAACTCCCTTTTTCATTGGCTATTCATATAGTCCACCAAAACATGGCAGAATGCCGACTATCGAAAAGCATATTGACCATGTTTTATATCGTTATCGAGGGAAATTAATGTTCGATATACATTGTTATCATTTTATCGCCCAGCCCTAAGCTGAACCAATCATGTGCTGAATAAGAATCCAAGTAGCAAACAACTGCGTCGAAGCAGGCTGCAGCTACACGCAACCAAAGCACCTTAACACGTGAATGAGTGCTACCCGCGGTAGAAACGCAGATGAAGGCTCAACAGATGAGGACATCATCGACAACACTGGCACAAAAATGTTGTTGGTGTGGAGGTAGTTTGTTTATTTTTAGGTCAGACAAGGAGCAGAGTAATGTGTACTGCAAATTATGTCGAGTACATGTTCTCGCAAAGTCGGGGAATACCTCAAATCTTTTTCATCACCTGAAGCAGCGAGACGCGACAGAACACTCGCAATGCAAAAAGTTACAAACCCCGAGAGGAGTGAGGAGGCCATGGCATCTGTGCAGCCGAAACAGACGACCCTTTAGTCCACTTTCTCTAGAGCAACGCCTCACGACAAAACATCGAAGAGACACAAAGACCTCACAGATGCAGTTGCTTATTGTATTGCAAAAGACATGCTACCAATAAGCACTGTTAAATTTCATCTTTTTTTATCATGATATATCGATATTGACTGATGTGAAGAAAAAAATATATATCCTGAAGAACTTTTTCCCATTTCGCCCAGCCCTGTGCACACCTAAAGATTTAAATTTCCAGAACCAGCAATCAATAAGGAAGATGTTTGAGGGAATAGAAAATGATAATAAACATGTCTGTATTATCCCTGACATGTTCGTGTTGTAGCTCTCAAGTGAATAACCAAAAATAATGAAATCACAGTTTAAAAAAGACTAATGGTCGCCATCAAGCAGCTCATTTTCTCGACCAAGAGTCAAAACACATTCAGTAAAAACATCCATTTGCAGCTGAGAAGCTAAACCAATCACATGCTTGGTTGTTACGCCTAAAAAACACACCTAAAGGTTGCAGGTTGATATCATTAAGTTGACTTAATAATTGAAACAGACCAGCTAAATGCATAGAGTGGAGAAAGATCGTAATTGGACGTGAGGTGTGAGGTTGACCTCTAACCAAACTGCAGAGTTAATTTAACACCAGCCGCTCGCATTCTGCCTGCATGTTCAAATCCTGCAGAATCTCATGAATTCAGAGTATAAGAGAACAATAATGCTCCTTTAGTCGTCAAACATGCTGCAGATAATCTCATGTTGTTCTCATGTCGGTTCAGCTCTAGCTCCAGGCTCTTTCTTTTCATGCCGTCATTGTGTCCGAGAGACCTTCTGAATAAATCACAGCACCACTGAGCGATCACACCGGCCTTCACATGCCTGAAAATAATAAACCAACTCTCTCTGTATGAAAAATTAATGTCAGAGGCTAACATAGTAATTATGATCTATTATTTCTTATTGAACCGGGGACCTGGAGATATAATTGTCCTGTCAGATTCTTTGGGGGTAAATTGGGTCATTTGAATGAAAATGGAATTAAATATTAAGAAATATTAATATTAATGCTCCTCTTTTAGTGTTTTAACATATGTTATAGGTGTACAGAATGAGTGTTGAGAGTTAAGATCTATTAAACTGCAGAAAAACTTAACTTGGTTGTTTCTTGTTTTGTTAAAGGTGGTCGGAGAGTGGCACTTCAGTCTGATCCACTGTGACATCCTCTTAACTCTGGACGTCATGATGTGCACCGCCAGCATCCTCAACCTCTGTGCCATCAGCATCGACAGGTGGATTATACTTCATCTTTTACTTTCTTTTGTCAGACTTCAAACTCTCCTCATCTTCATTTCTTAAATTTGGCCTTTCTCCTCTGATTCAGGTTTTTTTTTTTTTTGCGAGAGAAAAGGTCAAGTCGATTTAAAAAATTTCAGAGGGATCTTTATTTGAAATAACAAAGCTGACGTTGAATCGATAGATCATCTCTTTTCTGCCTGGATTTGGTTTTACTGTGATCCTGATTGATGCTGTCTGCCCAAACAAAGAGTCCGAAACACTCAAGAGCTGCGATAAAAGAAAAACACACGTCTACTAACATTTTCAGAGATTGATCCATCATCCAGCGGGACGGAGACTTCACACACTAGTCATCTCTTTTATTTTCAGCAGGTGTTGACAGGCTTCCTCTGCGATTCTCATTAACCTCTGCAGTTGTCAGAGTTTGTTCTTAGTGGATGAAGGAGACCAGGATTTGTCGCTCTAGCCGTCGCCCTTTTAATGGGTCCGGGGGGAGGAAGGTGACCAGACACCTAGCGTGTGGAGCGTTGGCAGCTTTATCCCAATAACTCAGACGTGGTGACATATTCGGGCTGCTGCGGTTTAGTGGTCCGCAGTAACTCGAATGAATAAAGTGTTGTTTAATTGCTTTGTCTGAGCTGGAGGCGGTAATAAATGTGCAGTCGAAGCTTCATGCCTGAGCTATTTCAAAATGAAGCCGTAACTTCAAGGTCAAAGTGCTGGAAACTTTAATTTGGGGTGTTTAATCCTCATTAGATTAGAAGTTAAACAAGAACAGGACTTTTCAAACACAGCCTCCTCGAAATGGTGCGTAACCCCAGATAAGTTCTCCGAGTTTGTCTTTGTGATTACAACTGAATCGATAAGAAAAAGGTTGTACCAATTAGTGAGTCCTCATGACTTTTTGTACTAACACAGGAGGAACTTTGGGATCCCATGAAAGTTTTTAAAGAATATAATGGTTGTGTTGATTTTGGCGCCCCCTGTGGACGAAGCAGGTTGTCTTATTGTTTTCGCAAAATGAAGGAGTCTTATGACAGCAAAAGGCTTAAACATAGAAAACGCAGGAGCTGAAGTGGAGGGATGGAAAGTTTTGGCCCAAAAGAAGAAGGATATAGAAATTTCATTAGCAACTGTCTCGTTACTGGGAGAACTGGGAATAGTCCGGCAGAGTTTGTTGGAGACAGGAGTAGTTTCAATAGGTGGATGGATTTGGATGAGGAGAGATGATGTGACATGTTCAGGGGGTCTGTTTAAGTTTTATGTCCTGTCTCTATACAGCGGAGTTTGTTCAGGTGACACCTGCTCTCTTTTCAGATCTTGAGTCTGTACCTTGGACAATCATTCAAACTTTGGGCTACACTCAGCCTTGAAAACAGAACTGCCCCTCACATAAAAGTGAATCACCTCTATTACAATGTACTTTGGTTCTTCCACATCATGGAGTTTTATTTTCTTTATGCTAATGATACATGAGGTTGTGGTAATATCAGCATTGTCTCTACCTGAAGCTCTTCATCTCACTGCCAGTTAGGGCTGGACAATAAATGGAAAATTTACCGATACCAAAATTTACTGATGTCATTTTGCCCATGCCAATGTATTCACTGTCAAAAAATTAATAAATAAAAGTTGGTTTTGGATGTGTGTAGGTAGGCTATGGTCTCTGTCCTATGTCAGAGATGTGACTCCACCCCATCCAGTCCGTAACAAAGAGGGAAAGACAGGTGAGGAGATGGAGGACGGTTCAAAAGTTGGAGCGGCTGAAATAGACGAAGTTAATGTGGGAGGGGATGAGCAGCTTGTAGAGTATTTATTGTCCATTTATCGTTATCGAGGTGAACTGATCAATATATCATGATATAGATTTAAGGCCATATCGTCCAGCTCTACTGCCAGTACTACCATTAGTAAAACCATTACTTTTTCACCTCTTTTTTTCAAGTGCAGTTTTCTTACATCTAACCCTCATCCACTAAACTCTCTCTCATTCTCCATTATTGAGTTTTTGGAAATCCCATTTAGGCGACATGAGGTGCAGTAGTCATGGTTATGATCAAGGTGTGAGCGTTCAGTTGATTTGACATCGCCACCCTTTCTGTTTCACACTAGAAGAATAAATATCTCTTTTACTGTAGACCCGAAAACTGTAGGTTAGTCACTCACTACAGTCCAGGTCTGCTGTGATGATCTACTGCTTCACTACCCGGATATAAACAAATATTAATGATTGATGGTTTCTTCTAGTATGACGTGGCTTGGCAGTGATTTAATAAAGTAATTTGTTACGATAGCTGTGCTCGGTTAAACCGGCGTGTAACCTCTTGACGAGCTCAGACATGTGGACATTAACCATCAGAGAGACAGGAGACAGGTGGTGCTAGCTCTGCTATCGTTAGCCAGTTTGAAACTGTGGTTTCACGCTGAGCTGTGACTATTTCTCTTATACATTTAAATGACCCTTTTAAGGAGTAATCCTCAGGCAGGTTTTTCCACAGCCGAGAAGCTCGATCAGCAAATGCTCCGTCTCCTTTGGCTTCAAGATTTAAAGAGGTTTCCGCCTGAGGATACTGCAAAATAAGACGATCGTGAGCAGGTGCTTTTTCTTCACACTCCAGCTGAGACGGGGTCATTGCAGCACACTGAAGAAAGATGCTCACCCCTGCGCCCATAACATTAAACTCTTATTGTTTTTTTTTACAAGTGCTTTTATTAGTTTTTCGACCTCGTGTCCTTGCAACAGGATGTAACCGCTTCAGTCTGTTTAAGAGGAAACTGGGAAATTGTTTGTGCTCTGAATTAACAGCTTGTGTTTACTCTGATGACTTGTGGGAACATCAGGACAGGATAATAAAGTCTGAGGAAACATCAGTGTGTGTATAGTCTAGCTGGTGTTCAAACACAGGCGCCACAAGCTAGTGTGTGAGAGACACTTTAATGTTGTGTGTGTTTTACGGTCACAGATACACAGCGGTGGCCATGCCGATGCTCTACAACACCAGATACAGCTCCAGGAGGAGGGTGGCGGTGATGATCGCTGTGGTGTGGTTCCTCTCTTTTGCCATCTCCTGCCCTTTACTGTTTGGACTCAACAACACGGGTAAGCTGATCCCTCTCTGAAAGCATTTCCCATTACATAAGGTTGAACTTTCTACTCTTAAGGGTGTTTTAAGGTCCATTCAAAGTTTGGTCCCGTTCACAGAGGCCACCAAATCCCAATATCCAATTTGACTCCTAGCCTTAAACCTTTTGCTCTGCATCATCCTCCACTTTCTCTACTCCCCACATTCGCTCTCTTTCATCAGATTTCCATTTTGATGAAGGAAAAAATGCATCTAAAAAGAACACTGAGTAAATGAACTATCATTAATAATCACCATCAAAAGTTCAGCTCTGTAATTACAGAAACTTTTGACCCCCTCAGCACTCAGCAGCCTGAAAAGTTGCTCATCCTTGTGGAAAGTTCCTGCAGCTGAGGTGTCTGTAGCACCACTTAATTTCAGTCATGTGTCGTCATCAAACAGGTTGTCTAAAGGTGTCTCAACCCTGGTAATGTCTCTAAATGGTCTGTTTTACTCGACTGTGCGAGCTGTGTCAAACTATTCCGCCAGTAGGTAACATTAAAACTGCAGCAGATGTCATAAAAGACAAAATATTCTAAGCTGGCATAACTGGAAGTCCACTGACCTTGGATGCTTTCTGAATAGGTACAACTTTTAGATACAAGCAATGGCAAATTTATCTCACTGGAAAAACAGCTGAGATGAAGCATTTTAGACGGAGAAGTAGCTGCAGCTGAATAGTGCTTAAAAAATAACCGTTCACAGACTCAAGTATAAAATAAATAAGGAGATTTTCTGAGCTGCAAATGGCTTAGAACTCTACAGGAGGCGTCCCAGACTGACGTAGTGAAATAAGTCTGTATCTTAAAGGGATATTCCGGCGTAAATTTGAGTTAGGGTCAAACACACCATAACACTGAGTTAAACACCCCCTTAAGAGATGAATGTTGCTGACTGTTTGTTTTTTATATCAACTTTGGTAAAGACCGCACAATAGCAATATACAGCATCTCCGCTCAAAATCCTCGACCAAAACGCCACTCTATAGCCGCAAATAATGCTCAGAACAGCACCTAACTTCATCAACAGTACATAGAGGGTCCCAGTCATCGTACTAATCGCCAAACATCTTTTTAACTTTGACTAATTTTTTAAGCAAAGAGACTAAACACAACTCACCTACTCTCCTCCAGCAGCCGCTTGCTGCAGCTCAAGGAAGAAAATTAATGATTGTTACTTAATGCAAATGCAGTCAGAGTTCTTGTGTATCTTGTATGTGCGCTGCAGACGCGGTTGTTCTTCTGCCTTAGCGTCTCAGTCTGAATGCTTTTCCTCAGCTTACAGCTGTTCCAGTTCACGACATTTTAAATCATAATTAATATAATGTTTTAATATAATGTTAACCTTTAAGATGGTGGTTTTGTTTTCTTTTATGATAAAGAGGCATCAGAATGAATCCCACTCTGTTTCACTCATGAAGAAATCCTCTCAGGAACTTGATTGATAAAACTCAGAGACAAAGTTTTTAAAGAAGGGAGGATTTTGAGCTTCATAAGCGAGATTTAAGAGTCCTTCTCACCTTATTTATTTAAAGCTTCATAACAGGTGCATCCTTTGCTATCGAAGCCAACGGGGTAAATATACCTTATAATGGCTTTAGGGTTTTATTTACAGCAGAGCTTTTCTGTCATTAACAGGTCCTGGGAACTGTTTTTCACATATGGGTTTAGGTAAAGAAAATGGGAAACTATAGATTAGTTAGTTTACACCACAGCTGTTCTTGTTTTTGCTTTTTTACACTGCAGCGTTTTGTTTCCGTGCCTCACTTTCTCTCAGGTGTCATTAAAACAGGAAAAAGAAAACTAATGAAGCTGAACGTAGACTCTTTAATGCAAACACAGCTGCTGGAGTCTCCTGGTCCATCTGTCCCTGAATTAGATTCCCAATCTTTGATGAGAAGGTGAACATATCCAGTACATCTGCTCAGTCGACAAAGCTGCATACCAGCGCACATTAAACCTAGATATTCATTAGCACAGACACGTGGACCATGAGGTGACATATTTCCATATGTTCTAATCGACAGAGCGACAGGTGCGAACAAGTGGGCACACATAATCCCTGATCGGTTTGTTGTGTCACAAAAGGAGCAGGAGTGAAGACACTTGGCAGCCAACCTCTGACTTAATGAAGCTGTGAGGAGGGACTCAAGCTTTGAATGTGCTCACACTGAACTTAGGGGAAAACACTTAAGAACGAGGAGAGGATGAAAAGTAATGAAAGAGTTGACATCCTGCGGCCATGACTAAACACAGACACACACACAGAGAGGACTTTATGACTCCCTTCAGGACCAGACCGCCCATAAATTACATTATAATGACAGGAACACTTGATTTCTCTCAGCTTCTGTAACAGCTCTTTTACAATAATGATCAAAGTATGCAAATTTCAGACTCATAACATCTTCAAAAATAGAGGAATACAAAATTCTGCAACTCATATAATCACAACATTTCTCTACTTCAGACAACTGATGGTTCTTATCTGTGTTTGTGGGACAGTAAAAGACCAAAATATCCACTTTAGGAACTTTCTGTCTGTGTTGACTTTGGCGCCCCCTGGGGACAGTGTAGGGGCATTAAGAGACACAGGTAAAATAGATGATAGTAATCAAGAGCAGAAGTTGATGCTGCGTTCCAGTTGTACTTGAAATTCGGTATTTCCGAGCTCCGAGTCAGAAATTCATCTGGAACGCCCCCCAGAAGTCAGATTTCAGACTCATCAAGTCAGACGATCCTCGTCAACCCCGACTTGATGACCACGTCATAATCCAAGATGGCAGCGCAGTGCATCAACAGTTAAGGATAACAGTGAAAGTTCTCGTAATTATATAATTATATAATTAATTATATATATTTTATTTATTAACACTTTTGTTTTGTTTTTGCGAAATTGAATAAGTGGTAAATGTTGTACCGCCCAACGTCTGACAGTGAACACGGTGCTATGGTGTTTGTAGAGTAAAATTCTGTGTTACACGTTGTTTACATCTGGTATCGCTAACAACAACTAACAGCAGCTGACGACAGGTGACAATTGTAAACAATAGCCAACAACGGGTAACTGTAGACGTCCATCTTGGTTTTCCAACTTGTTAACTGGAACACCGTAAACTCGGCTGTAACGTCATTCCCAGCTCCGACATCCGACTTCCGAGTCAACTGGAACGCAGCGTAAGAGTAAGCTTCAAAATAAAACAGGAAGCATAAGAAAAGGAAAATGAAGTGTTTCATCTAAGCAGGAGACCTGACTGATTTAAAGTGTAGAGGTTGGTTGGTGATTGGTGGTTCAACTTCCAGCCTTCACGCTAAGCTAAGCTAAGCTAAGCTAACCCTTCTTTACTGTAATGTGACAGGCATGACTGTGATATCATCATGTGATGTTAAATCTTTGCATTATTCTCTTGTCTGCTTTAGCCAACCGTGAAGGCACCACATGCAGCTTTGCAGATCCGGCCTTTGTGGTGTACTCATCTGTGGCCTCCTTCTACGTCCCCTTCATCGTAACTTTGCTGGTGTACGCGCAGATCTGCTTAGTGCTGCGCAAACGTGGCAGACGCACCGCTCCTCCGCGTCGACAAGGCCTGCACACACAGAGCGCAGCCGAGTTGGGAGAAGGTCACCGACACCGGAAGGTAAAATCATAACTCAGCTAAGAAGAACAGATATTTTAAACAGTCATTGTCTCTGGTTAAGTTAATTCAGTGTCTCCAAGTGCATTAGAGTTGTTTTCCTCATTTGTAAAAATCAGTCAGGGCATTTGTGGAGTCCCTCAGGGTTCTGTACTGGATCCTCTGCTGTTTTCTTTACACCTTCTCTCATTGTCTCTTTTTATTTTTATGCAGATGACACTCAGCTGTACACGTCTTCTGAACCTGATAAGCCTCTAAAATGTCTATGTTAGTTGCATGAACTGTATTTCAAGCTCAGATGGTCGATAATTTCCCTCAGCTTGTCTCTACTCCTGAACATGTTGGGGTCCTACCAAGCTGTAAAAAACACCATCCAAAATCTTAGTTTCCAAATGGGCCAGGGGTTAAGTCTGGATCAGTCTGAAATGGTTTGCTTCGCTCCTGTTTTCTCCCATACAAGAAATATTGATTAGCTAGTCCATGCTTTTATTTAATCTATTAGACGACTGTAATTCTCAGATCTGTGTTTTGGCTTCTGATTCAGTTCAGAATCCAGTTTTAAATACGAGTGATTGTGTACAGAGTGTTTCACAGTCAAGCTTCGGCTAACATCGTAGATCTGCTGTATCCATATAACTCCAGCAGGACTTTGAGGTCCTCTGATCAAGGTTTGCTGGATGTTCCTTGACTCAAAACTTACTTTATTTATCTAATTTTTATTATCACTAAATAAAGAGGATTCAGAAAGGTTCAGACCAACAGTTGTTCTCTAAAAAGTTTGCTGCAGCTCTTCCTGGAGCTAAAAAAGGTTGATGCTGATTGACAGATTTAAATTGATGCTTTTTAAAGAGACATTTTTCTTGTTTAATATTTATGTCTGCGACTTCAAAAATGCATCAGTCCCCAGGATAAATTTTTCTGCTGTCATTCTGCTTCATTTTCAGAATAAGTGCACACAGCCAGAGGATGTGAAGCTGTGCACCCTGATCCTGAGACCTGCCACCGCCGGCCCACAGCGCAAGAAAGTGGTAACGAACGCGCTCTTTTAACGCTCTCTCACTCTCCCGTCTTTTTAATCCAATCACCCTCTGCTGTTTTTCTTCTTCTTGTGTTTGAAGATGTTGCTCGAACTTTCCTTTTCTTTGACTTTGTTTAGTCACACCTTTCTTTGTCAAACCATGTTGACTATCATCCTCTCTCTTCCTTTCTGCGTGTCAGACCCTGGTAAAAGAGGCCGTGGTCCATCCCTTGGATGTGGAGCCGGGTCAGTTCCTGCCACAGACCGAGCAGAGCTTGGCACCTCCCCCTCCTCCCCCTGCTCCCCAAACCTCCTCACATCCCCATCCAGGGCGGGCCAGGATCTCCTTGGCTATCTCGGTCGGACCTGCACCGGTTCACCCCTCGACCGTTACACGCTCCGCCCTGATGCCTCGTCCCCCCACTCTGGAGGATGGCATGAGGGGCAGGGAGGGATGGAGGGAGCGCAGTGGGGGCAGAGAGAGGTGGGGGATCACGAAGGAGAGGGTGAGAGGGAGGCTGTCGCAGCAGAAGGAGCGGAAAGCGACTCAGATGCTGGCAATCGTTCTCGGTGAGCCAAAGAAAGTGCAGACATAGAGAAGAGTGAATACTCAAGCACAATGTTACTCATTATGAAGAGACATGAATATTCATGCAGCGCTGATTACACCACACAGGAGCATCTCATCTGCTGTTAAAGGGATAGTCCAACGTAAAATTAAGTTAGTCTGATTGCATTTCCACGAAGTAATAATCATTCATCTCTGGAGGGGGTGTCTAACTCGGTGTTACGGTGTGTTTGAGCCTAAATTAATTTTACGCCGGAATACTAGAATATTAGATTTAATAGGAGACGGTTGCTATGAAGGAGAAAAAGCTCAAAAGCCCTGAAAGATCAACTCTATACAAAGTCATTTGCAGGAAGTGGTCTGCTTCATTTAGCAGCATTCATGAACGTAACAACCTATATTTTATCCCACTGTGGGTCTGATCGCTGTGAAAATACAAGTGGTGCAATCATGAATCAGGCTGAGTTCGAGGAGAAGTGGGTTCATTGTGAGATTTCAGAGTGCTTGTACTTTGCTCTCATACATCTCTCTTATTCTGATTTATGACTTTTCGTGCTTCGTGCTAAATGATTCTGTTTTCATCAAGGATTCTCACTGAAAGCACTTTTTCTGTAACTTTTGGTTCAGTCTGTCTCGAGTCTTTGAGAATGAGACTTCATTAGAAAAATCTGCCGGGAGCAGTCTTTTCAGGAGCGCTGCTGTCTGGTTCAAAGTATAAACGTTATTCAAGTTAGCTTGACCGTGATTTTCTTCTCTTTGCAGACAAGTTTCAAAAAATCCAATCCGAGGGCCTATTTGAATCATCTTACTGCTTTGATTCTGCACATCTAAAGGCAGAATTTAACCTTCACACAATGATTTAGAGGAGATTTCAAAATACAGAGGCATACAAGATTAAAAAACACGCAGTAAAGTCTTGATACCTCTTTCTGATCTGCTCACCTTTTCTCAAGGCCTTCAGAGACAATAAAACCTCAAGGAATAACGTCACTAATTCACGATTTGTTCATGTTTCTTAGGTGTGTTCATCATCTGCTGGCTGCCCTTCTTCCTCACCCACGTGCTGAAGGCTCACTGCAGGAGCTGCTGCATCTCCCCCACACTGTACAGCGCCGTCACCTGGCTGGGGTACCTCAACAGCGCCGTCAACCCCGTCATCTACACCACGTTCAACATCGAGTTTCGCAAAGCTTTCATCAAAATCCTGCACTGCTGAGAAAACACGGGGAGCGTCGAGTGACCAGAAATAAAACAACCTGAAGTTCTTGGTGAGATGAGGGGGTTTGAGGGGACGACAGGAGATTTGACACCTGATCACACAGGTGGTACAAGCATCTGAAGACAACAACACGTAATCAGTGGGTTTGACAAACGTGAGGAGACGGAAGAAGACAGGAACATGACACACACAGAGGGAATAAAATCAACCAGGACATCACAAAAGAGAGTTTGACACGTAGGAGACAGCTACAAAAAACTGCAACCGGCAGGAGACGTTTAGACTCACTGAGTGATATGAACACAGACTGAGACGAGGAGATACCCACACTCTGGAGATTTTAGGAGACATGACTGTTTTTTTCAGGACTTGGTTATCTGTCAGAGTCACTTTTTTTCCTTTAACCTTGACTAAGAGTGTCTCGTTGTGTGTTCGCATGTCCCTGCAATCAAAACCCTCCCTGTTTGATTCATTTACAGAGCGAAGGCTCCGATATTTTTAAAAACTAACAAAGTTACATCAAGGTGGAATTACTGTTGTGTTGGTGAAGGACAGTTCAGAGAGCCTTTGATAACTATCAAGTGTAAATTTCCTGCTTTGAACTCCTGTGCATACAAGTTGGTACAAAATTACATGTGTGGCTGTTGGTAACAATTTTCATAATAAAACACATTTCTTTCTCAGCTCAAGATCGTTCAGAATGGAATCAAATGAAAGCAGAAATCCTTCATAATAAATAAAAGAAGTGAGAAATATTTTAAAATTTTAAAAACTCTGAATGAAAGCAAAATATCAAACTCATATCAAACTGGAGTGCTTTTCAAATTCCTTATTCATGAGTCTGCTGTTGTACAGAAGCAGTGAAAAGCACCATGTGAGGGAACTGAACAGAAATACTTGGCTAAAGTAGGTATTCAAGCGAGACGGTGTGCACACAGAGGATTTCAGAGAAGCCTTATTTTATGTAAACCCTTGAGCCTTCATATCAGTATTAGGAACACTAAACCATCTGCTTTCAGCTATGCCTGTTTCTTTTTTACCAAGGTTAGCAGGTATGTGTGTGTGTATATTTCAAAGAATTAGGCAAATATGGAGTTGAATAATTTAAAAAAATGCTTACAGCAACCAGGTCCCTGAAAAATCAGTCTGTTTATGAGTTAAAGCTCCAGTGAGGAGTTTTCACCTGCTCGCTGAACAGGCTGAAATTAATACTGTTGCTTCTTAATGACCTACAAAAACAAACTTCACACAACCTGACCCAGTTGGAAATCCATCCCCATTCATTTTGTTTTACAAGCAGCCACCATTTGTCTTGTTGCGCAAAACACTCTGGGATACATGACCGGGCCGGCAGCACCGCTTTTCAACAGAAGTCATCATTTCACACATTTGGAGAAAATGGTAGTTGACTGTTAGGTACATAAACTTCCCTTCACTGCAAACAAGGGGGGTCCAAAAACAAGACACTAAATATGAGGGTAAAGGTGCTAAAAAAAAAGTGAAATTATCTGATCGTTCAGTAAGATAATTTCACTTGACAAGATTTCTTGAATTAAGATTGTTAAATCTAGAAATAAGCGTGTCTACAGATGTATCAGGAAGGCTTAAAGTAAGTAAAGTAAGCCGAAAAGGCAGGTTTTAAGATCAGATTACTTCAAATTTAACTTTTACAGCCCTACAGACTTTTTGTAGCCGTTCCAGATGAGGTGGAAATTGGGGGTAACTTTTCAGGCTTTAACTATCAGTTGCTTCTAAAACAAGTGAAATGCTGTAGATTATGAGCCTCCAGTGGACACAGGCCCTTAGAAGTTCAGCACAAAGGGCCATCTAGCTTGTCTCTACTCCCTCAGCTTTGATCTTTGTTTGTTGGGGGTTTAATTCTACAATTTTCATGATAAAATGCTTTAAGTTTCTATATCAGGTTTTTTAAACTGGCAGCAGGCGGAGCATTAGTATAGCACAAAGAGTAACTCGTGCCTATCTCTGAAGGTAACATATATCCACCATCTATGTAGACCCCTGATGTAGACCTTTTGTACTCATCTTTCATGAGTCTGGGACTCCTACACTGCCTTCCTCAGACTCTAAGGTCTGTGCTAAACTAATCTAAAGGCCTCTTCAGGCACTTTCACTTCTTTATTAATTTATTATCCTGACAGTAAATCTCACTGATGCACTTCTGCACAAGACAAGAAATCCCGTTAAAGCTGCAAATACTGCTGCACCTTGACTGCTGTACTGGTGGTCCCCCTCTCCTCCCCTGATTGAAAACACATATTGATGAAGCCGACAGAGAGGCGTGGACCACATCAGAACAGATTGCCATTCAGCCTGATTGGAGTGAACAAGGAGTCCGACACCAACAATGGAGCAAATAAAGCCTGTCTGCTTTATTTATTTCTTTGTTTGGTTTGTCAGTCATTCAGTGTCATGTGAGGGTGGGGAGGCAGCGACTGCACACTCATGTTATAAAACAACAACAAGCATTACTGAGGCAGTTTCCAAACTTCAGCAGACTGATATCTGACTGTTTTTCTGAGGCAGAATCTCTATTTAAAAACCACTTGAGCCAAAAACAAAATCAAAAACAGCAGCAGCTCGGTGGATCATTAGGCAAGAGACAAAACAACATAGACTTCAAATAAACAAGAGGAGTTTTTTTATGTTTATGAAACAGACAAATTCATACTGATGTGTTTTTATGGTAGGTAAAAGCAAACAAGACCATAAGAAACAAGGATTATAATAGGGCTGGGCGATATGGGAAAAAGTTCATCACAGTATATATATATTGTTCATATCAGTCGATATCAATATATATATGGATATAAAAATGAAATTTAACAGTGCTTATTGGTAGGATGTCTTTTGAAATACAATAATCTCCTGCATCTGTGAGGTCTGTGTCTCTTTGACGTTTTGTCGTGAGGCGTTGCGGTAGAGTCAGCCCAAGCCTCAACGGGGTCCTAAACAAAATTTGATTTTGGGTCCACCGCTAGGAGTTTGTAACTTTTTGCGTTGTGCGTGCTCTGCCATGTGGCACTGCTTAGGGTGGTAAAAGATTTGAGGTATCCTTGATTTTGATTTTCCGACCTCAAAAAACCAAAATACTTCCACACCACCGATGTTTTCGTGCCAGTGTTGTCAACGATGTCATCATCTGTTAAGCCTTCATCTGCATTTCTGTCGGGGGTAGAACTCATTTTCTATTTTTCTCACCAACAGTGCTGTCGACTTAACATGTCAAAACACTATGGTTGTGTGTAGCTGCAGCCTGCTACTACATAGTTGTTTGCTACTTGGTTCCAATTCAGCACATGATTGGTTCAGCGTGAAGGGGACCCAGAGAAACTCCCCTTTTCATTGGCCGACTATTGAAAAGCATATTTACCATGTTTTATATTGTTATTGAGGGAAATTAATTTTCAATATTTATTGTTATCAGTTTATCGCCCAGCCCTAGTTTACAGTACGAAAATAGTGCAAAGGGGTAAGTGTCAGCCAAGTAGATGGAGAAACAGCCCTGATTTGACAATTGAGACATGCAAATACTGCTTGGTCCACAGGAGGCGCCAAAGTTGACTTAAACTCAGAGTTCCTCACTGGAGCTTTAAAATTTTTAATCAATGTTCATGTGCAAAAGCAACAAGACCATCTCTCTCTCTCTCTCTCTCTCTCTCTCTCTATCTATCTATCTATCTATCTATCACATTTTCATGGCATGGTATATTTTATTTTGTACATCAGGTGGAGTCAAAAACCTGCTTCCAGGTGATGCAGTCATGTCTCCTACCTGTGAAGTGACCTCAGAAGTGTAACCTAGATAACGCTGAGTAACACCTCGTCTACGGCTCCTCGGTGCTGCCAGCGCCTCACACTGTGCGATGCAGTAATGTGATAGGACGAACAAAACACCCACGGGTAGAGTGGACACTGACAAACACATACCTGTGCACACCTGCATGCCTCCTCAGATTCATAATAGCGGTATGATTATTGGATACACATCTTCCAGCTGTGAGAAATTGGACCCCCTGACTTTGTGAATGTGTCGGTCCACACTGCCATTATTCTCCTCTGCACTTGTGAGTGGGAGCAATTCAGAGTTGTGGTGTAGGTTACCCTCTGTTGTTAAACTCTGACCCGAGCTCACAATTATCTCCATGCATATTTCATAGACGCCCGATGACAAGAGTGCACGTATCTGTTACTGACCCGACTGCTGCAGCCTCACCTGTTCTGACCAGAGGAGAAGGATTAAGCTGGAGAGGAAGGAAGATTAGACTGGGGGGGGGGGTGAGAAGGAGGACCGTGATAAAGGAAGAGGGGTGACAAAATGACAGGATTAGGTGTTAACTGAGGAGGGCCGATGAGCGAGAGAGGAGGTGACAAACTGCTGAGCTGAAGATGATGGACTTGTAGAAACAGAGTAGTTATCTCTGGATTAGAGATGCACAGGAGGGAGCGGACGTCCCGCTGTCTTGTCGCCGACGCTGTAGCTGTGATGCATTTGCAGCTGCCTTAATAAGAGGAGGAGAGGAAGATCCCACACATACAAATGAGGCGGACATTCAGGTGAGAGAGCAGATGTTAATAAGAGAAGTACACTGATGTGATTAGATACAGGCCAATCATGGAGAGCCGTAGATATTCAATAAACACCATCTTTAATCACATATGTCCTTTCTGGCATTTATATGTAATCAATGAGAGTTCAGAAAGCTCAAGAGCGTCTAATTAATCATTCAGGAGTTTTATTCATGGATCTGTTCAGCATTTTTCCAACAGATCAGGCTTTGACGAGTAATTAGCATATCTGTCAGGCTCTTCGATTTAATTATAACAAATTCAGTTTGATGCAATCTAAATACTAAATAGAGTTTGATTGACAAGTGAGTAAAAACTTTTCTCTCTGCCATGTTTCATCTCAAATTTATCAGTAGTTTATTTTCTTTGGATGAAGATTCTCATTTAAACTCTTTCTTTATTTGCAGGATTAGGGTTTGCATCTCTTTCTGCATCTCCCCTCATCATAAAACCACGTCCAACCTCCTGTAGATGAGAAACTGCTGCTAATCATGGACCCTAATTTTGATAACACACTGCAATCCAGGACGGTAAGCAGTGATTTTACAAGTATGGACCTGCAGCCCCAAACTGATGACCACATTAATTCTGGTGCACAGCAGCCGGTTATTCCATCTATCTATCCGTCTCTTGAGTACTGGTCCTCAAAATCCTTTCAAAGCCCGACCAGTCATGAAGTATTAAGTGTGTCATCCCTGGTCCCCTCTACAGTCCTCACACTTGTGCCTCATTATAAACCTGCAGTAGAAGGAAACTTAGACCCCGAGCTTCCATCTGTCTCTGAAGTCAAACCGGAGCCACAGCTTCCAGGAACCTCGTCTTCTCCCTCCGGGTCTCCAGAGGCCCGAGATCAAACGACCCCGACTCTACCGCTGCCTTTAAGTGATGCTCCTCCTGAAGCTCAGCAGAGGAAACCATCAGACGGAAGCCCGCTGGAGGAGGGTTCAGTGGGTCTGATGCTACCCAAAGACTTCTCTGATGAATCGCCAGGTATGATGATGGGTGTGGTTTAATGTGGACGTCATATTCAGGCCTGGAGAGGATGCAGGGTTTCACATATTTGTGTGTACTTCCGATTTTGTCCCTCAGTTACCAGTGGGGGAAATATTCCAGGAGTAGTCATTAGAGCTGCGCAATTAATCAAATTTCAATCTAAATTTGGGCTTCCAGTGATCATAAAAACAAGATGGCTGCCTGCCATGTTGCTCTCCTTTCGTCCTCGTTGGCACAAACTCCCTTCTGGCACAGCAGAGTGTGTGGGCGCTCCGATCAATGTGAAGTAAAGTTCAGGGGTTCAAAGAGTTTTCCAAAGAGTTCAAAGTGTACGTCTGTTTCATTTTATTTTATTTATTGCCCCTAGATTAAAATTTAAGAGCAATAAATAATTTCAACTCTGGGGGGACATTTCATATTCGAACTGTAATGAGCTGTTCAAACTCGTACTGACAGTATCCCAGCACATCAGGCCGCCTAAAAGAGCTTTCTATATGATCCAGCAGGGGGCGATCTCATCGAACCTGACCAGTCCACGCACTCATGACCTCAGTAAACTAATATAGCTACGCTCACAGATATATACATATATATAGAAGACTAGATATGCCAGTGCATTGTAGCAGCCCACTAAGCGGGATGCCTACGTTAGGGTGACCATGTTCTGACTTCCCAAAAAGAAGATACGACTACGCGGGGGCGGAGTCACAGAGTCACACTAAGTTAATTTTTACAGTTTTTCGGGTCCAATTGAGTGTCTTTTACACGCTTCTAACTCAGTAAATTCACGTGACACAAACTCAAAACTTCCGTACGAAACCACAGACATTTGAAGGATTTTATAAACTTCCCCAGACAAGGCCGAACAGCCCAGACAGCCCGGACAGCCCCCCAAAAAGAGGACGTATGGTCACCCTTGCCTATGTGGTAGCCATCTTAGCTGGGGCAATGTTCCCATTAAAGGCATAAGATGTACTTGGAAAATCGATCATATCTTGTTCATTTCTCAACCCATTTTCACACGGTTTACTTTATTTTCAATGTCAAAACATGTGCTATTAATACAGAACATTTGGTACTATTAATAATCAAATGCTCTGAATTAATAGCACATGTTGTAGCATTAACAATAAAGTAAACTGCATGAAAAATGAGTATGATATTATTTATTAATATTGTATACATGCATTACCTTTAATAGGAGCAATACCTCCTCTAGCTTAGCCTTACTGTAGGCATGCAGCTCAAAGAGGCATGTCAAATCTACTGTTTATATTGATGGCTACGCTACTGTTTGAAAATGGACGACACGGTCAAGCAAACCCACACTGAGCTCTTGAAAGAGACTTAAAAAAAAGACATTAACAATAAGGTTACAATATTAAAACCCTTTCCGTAGTGAATGAGAGAGCAGAGGGTGAGCCCCCTGGTGGATCATTGAGGCATTACCAACATAACTCTGAGCAATCACACTTAATAGTCTAAATAACAATCTAGGTTCTTTTCTCTTCTTTCTCTGGCTGTGTAACTTCTATAACAAATACTAGATCAGATGAACAACAGAACTGACACCATCTATGATGAAAAGGACTACACTACAAAAGCTGTGTTAAGGGAGAATTAAATTAAATATGTTAGACAAGTCTGACACACCAGCCTGTGACCTATATGTCAGGGATCATACTACAAAGTTGAGTTAACGAGGACTACACACACTCAGGCTCTACTTCTGCACAGGTGTAAGACTTCTCCTGTATGTCAGACTCTACAAAACACAATGATTATTAAATCTGTCTTCCTCCGAATCCAATCAGTAAACCTCTTTTTGCAAGCTTCCCCTGTTAAGTGTCTTTCTGACACGCATAAATCATTGTTACAGCTCCTCCATTGTGCATTGTTCTCTCGCCTCTCGTAATGTGCTTCATCATTTGCACATGCTGCTCTCCCCTCCTTTGAGAGCAGACTTAAACAATTGCTTCTGCCAACCCACAGAGCCATCTTTATTTTCCTGACATCAACACCCTAACTTCTCTCTAAAGTCCTAGACAGAGTGGCTTCTTATCAGCGCACAGGCGAGAGATATAATATATCAACTCTCAGGAGTTTCTTCAAAAACATAGAGCGCTGAAGCAGCAGTTTACAACCTCGAGTATGAAAACCAATAGACGAGATAGTGCTGCTGTGTAATCTATTTTATTGCTGCTCAACCTCAACGTGGCCTTTGGTGCTATTGGTTTCAGTATATTTTAAAGGCAGCAAGAAGATAGATTACTCTCACTAGGATAGATTGGACTGTATCACATACAACAAATAGGAAAAAATTGATTATGGATTAGCACAGATGGGTCGCCAATTCCCCGGAGGTGTATTCTCAAACCAATAACATTAATTATCTCCCTCTGGAGATTCATGAGTTATTTTAAATGTGCTTTTTACCAATATGATGTCAGCAGTGTGGGCAGGTTTATAAACATGGCTTTAAGTAATGATGTGGGAAAGATGAGATGTGGACGTCATCATTTTTAAAATGGAAACTGGCAAAAACTCTTCGAAACAAACCTGCATGATGGCAGTTTAAAGGGATATTCCGGCGTAAAATTAATTTAGGGTCAAACACACTGTAACACTGAGTTAGATACCTCCTCAAGAGATGAATGTTGCCGTCCGCTTGCTTCTCTAGTTGAACCAACTTTAGTAACGGCCGCAGGATAGCAATACAGAGAGACACTCGCTCAACCAAAACGCTACTTTATAGCCACAAATAATGCTCAGAACAGCACCTAACTTCATCAACAGTACATGTAGGGTCCCAGCCATAGTACTAGCCACCAAACATCTTTTTAACTTTGCCTGATTTTTTTATCAAAGAGACTATACACAGCTCACCTACTCTCTTCCAGCAGCCGCTTGTTTGTAGCGAGACCTCGGGCCAGTCCATTACAGACTACAGCGGGGTGACGCAGCTCAAGGAAGAACATTTATGACCATTACTTTATCATTTCCTGGAAGTAATAATCACCTGCATCACCCCGCTGCGATCCGTATTAGACTGGCCTGAGGTCGCGCTACAGACTCGCTATAGAGTGGCGTTTTGGTTGAGGTTTGTTTATGGCTCCTCAGACCGCTTAGTATGGCTATACTGCGCTATCATCTCTCGAGGGGGTTTCTAACTCGGTGTTACAGTGTTTTTGACCCTAAATTAATTTTACGCTGGAATAGCCCTTTAATACTCATTCCTTCTCACAAATAGCCTCTCAGCAAACATAATCCATTTAGCATCTCTTATCATTTTTCTGATTAGGACTCGTTGCTAATCTTGTTGCAGCTTTATTGCCATTTGTAAAAACTATCTCTTCCTGCTGACTTTGATAGTCAAATATATCATTTCTGACACCTACCCTCTCACACTAGTGTCAGGCATTAAATTACAACTTTCAAATTGTGAGTTTTGCCCCCAGATGGTCCATTTTGTTTTTGGATATCACAAAAAGCATTCAATATGAAATACAGTCTATTTTACAATCTTTAAAAACTCCTTATTGTAGCTTGAAGGAGTATGTTTAATGGGGGATAACCACAGTTTATCATCCTCCTTTTATACCCCAGAGTTTGTCCCACATGATTTAGTCTGGTATTGTTGTATAAAAGTATGAAACACTATCAAACTACTAAAGGTTATACGACAAGAAACTTTTAAAGAAAAGAATAAATGACCCTCTAGAGTTCAGGATCGACTTCCCGCTCCTTTCACCACCTCATCACCATCAGTCCCCCCCGCTGCTTCTAAACGCTGCCATGAGGCTTTTTATCACAGAGTAGTTTCCACATTCGTCTCAGGTTGTGCACCGCAGGTCGCTGTCAATCAAGCACAAAATTAATTGCATCATTTTCTTTCCTTTGAGGCTTTGTATGCAGCTCATTCTTTACCTTATATTATAAATCTATTGTGTCCCCAGTTTACCCAGGAGCTCTTGAACGCAGCCTTTTGTATGGTAAAGCTTTTAACTGTTGCACAAAGACCCCCAGGCAGCTTACCCCCTCATGTCAGACTAACTAACTACGTCGTTTGTTCTCAGAAAGTACTTCAAATTTAACCTTTCCTAGAGGTTGTTCGCTTGCTCTGTGTCCTTAATTAGCCTACAAAGAACTATTAAAAAATCACTGTTTACTTGCGGTTGAGCTCTAAAAAGGAAACAAACTGGTTTATGAACATAATAAAACATTTTGCAGAGAGCCAGATATTTCACATGGGAGTTGGAAAAGACCAAAATTGGAGATTAATGAAGTGTAAAGTGTACGAAAGCATTTAGCAGCACAGCACAAATGTTTTAGTTATGTATCTCTAATCACTTGAGTGGGTCTCCTATAATGAGGCCTCTTTCTTCACTGCCTCCAACAGTGGATCAGGATGGACAAAACTAGTCACATACGCCATCATGTTTAATTCAGTGAGAGATGAAATGCACGAGCAGAAAGTGGTTGTGGTGTTCGAAAGAAATTGTGGTGCACTTAGAAGAAGAGGTGAGCAACGGAGCATCTCAATGGATGGCTTTAATCTGGAATCCGGTCACTGGATATCGCTAAATATTTTCATGTCTTTTGCACACGACTAATTTCTACCACGAATCTAGATGGCTTGATAAAGATGAACTTTTACAGTTAATTTACAGCAACTGCTTAACTGTTGTTACAGCTAACTAAGTCAATTGTTGCATAAATTACTTATATATACAACCTAAGTAGATTATCGAGTAAAACTCAGCTAATCCAAGTGAAAAGAAGTTTTATTCCCCTAAACTCGGTAACTACTGTTTTTTCATGTATGAATGATGCTTTCTGTATGATCAAATATACATTATTGTAAAAAATAGAATAAAGTAAAAACACTTTAGTGCTGCTGCTGATGTAGGCCTATGATTCTTACTGACGATATGTCAAAGCTCTGCTACTGTTATGTGCCTCCTGCTGTGCAATGTGCACTGAGCATCCAAAGTGCAGGTAGTTGTGGGGCAAAACAATGTCGCAAAAAAGGACATATCCTTCAGGAGCAGAGAAAAGAAAGAAGGAGAAAGAAAAGAAGAGAAAAAACGCTAAGATAAAGGTATGTTTGCATGTCATGGAATGTTAATCAAAGAGATTTGTGAAGGTGTGTGAATGATCAACAATCAATATTATTAGCAGAAATAGAGGGCTCCAAAATCAATTTTTGCTTAGGGCCCCATTGAGGCTTGGACCGGCTCTGTGTAATCGTATAACTGTGTTGTCTTATTTGGACTACAATATTTGATTGTATATTATTTTGTTTATTCATAAATATATTTGTGTCGATCTAGATTCTCCGGCTTATTCGTCTCGTGAACTTCTGCTGTTGGTGAGCATCCCCACCGTCATCATCCTGGTCATCATCTCTGCTCTATTAGGTAAACTGTCCACCTCATTCCCAGGAGATCTGGACTCATTTGACCATGAATACAGAAAATTATGTAAACATACTTTGAGTACGTTAGATAAAGACATCATCTCGTTTTCTTTGCAGCTGTTGTAAGTGCCTTTTTGTAACATTGAACATGTTTGTCCATCATTTAGAAATCCTTTTTATGATATCTTTGAGCTCTAAATGAAAGACCAGCTACAGTTCTTATGAATGAATTAATCAATTTAATTAAACTCAAAAATATTAGCTTAAATCAACAGCAAAGTGTATGCAGGACAGGAGACATCAATCATCGTTATCTGTAATAGGGGAAAAAAATCTTATCTTGTACAGAAATCACACAGTTTGTGTGTTTTCCTCATTTATGCTGTTATCTTTCAATTACACAACCTCAGTATAACTATCTGAATAATCTAACCTTAATTCTTTCAGTTCATAACAATTTAGTTTGGTACTAAATGGATTTTAAATAGACCTCAGTGAGCACGCATATTGATGGCATATTAACTGCAGTTATCGCAGAAGTCAGGACTCTGGCCAGACCTCATTTTGTGGGAATATTTGGTAATTATAAAAACGCGGATAACATCTTTCTTAATGTGTTTTACTTATTTACTCTGCCAGCTATATAAGGGATGAATAATGAAATCCAAAAACAGGCCAAAAGTGACCTGACAGGGAATATGTTTATTGGGACTTTGGGGGGTTTTAGCTCTGTGATTTGATTCTTTCCTCTTTTTAGTCAAGTTCCTGGTATTCCCATCTGCGTTAAGTGAATCGCCGCCTCCTTGTGGTGTGAAGGGGAACTGCAGCGTCCCAACACCGCTGCCTTTTTTGCCTAAAAATCCAGTGAACCAGACTGGAAACATCACTGCAGGTACTAAAAAATAACAAAACTATGAAGATAAGAGCATTTAGGATTGTTTTATAGAGTAAATCTGATTTTCCCCTGTTAAGAAAATGATTAGATATTGCTCTGTTTCACCTAGAGGTATCGCAACCATCCCCAGATAATTACTCCCAAATTAATCTGTTAATTTAATCTTTGCAGACTGTTATACAGATGATTTTAATGACTGTTTTACTGCATGTGTTTGTATCTTCTGCTGACTCCTCATTCATTCCCTCTTGTTCCTGTCGCACAATCAGGCTGTCCAGTTCCCGTCAGCGATGGCCGCCGTATTGTTGGGGGAACGCTGGCTGCTGAGGACAAGTGGGGATGGCAGGTCAGCATGCACTGGAGGGGGAAACACGTCTGTGGAGGTGCCATCGTCTCCCCACACTGGGTCATCACTGCGGCTCACTGTTTTGTTGAGTAAGAAAAGGGCATGGGGGGAAAGAAAAGTTAGAAAGATGGGTGAATTAGCTTTTTTTTAAAGCTCCTGTGAGGAAATTTCTCATTGTGATGATTTTGGTGCCCCCTGTGGACAAACTGAAGCCTCTTAAATTTTTTTTGGTCTTGATCTGAACAACTTTAAGTCTTTTTTTCTTTCAAACTTACTTTATAAAAAGGCTGTGTCTTCAGCCCCCTAATCTGACTCCTACCCTTTTCCCAACAACACAGAAACTGGTAGTCTTGTTGCATTTAATCTGGTTTATTTTGGTTCCTCATAAAGAAACATCTGTCCTTATTTCAGTCTGTTTCACAACTAGATGAAAACCCCTCACAGGAGCTCTGCATCTTAAAATAATTGAATATCCCTGAGTCACATTAATATGATTTGGACTCAAATGCAGGTTGTACAGGCGGTTTTTCCTGATGCTGACAAATGAAAACAAACATCTCTAAATCAAATCACCTCGGAGCCTTGGCAGTAAATCTTTCAGGGATTAAAAAAGTGGAATTTATGGGCAAGTGCAAAGTTTTGGGAATCATTTTAGTGCCAAAAATAAAACAGATGTAATCCTTTTTTTCCCTTTCTTGCCTCAATAAAAAATCATACACCCCTCCATTACCTATTTTTCCTCCCTTATCTACTCATATGTGTATAATTCAGTTTTTGGTGCCCCTTTGGACAGAGCAGTCTTTGCTTATCCTTGTCCTTTACATGCTTTCATTTATTATGAATATATGATGTGGAAATTAAAAAAAAACATGGCAGATTCCTCAGCTGCTTAACTGATACCCCTCGTACACATTAAAAATCACAATATAAAAACCAGCAGTCCTGTTGCTGATGGTCTTGTTCAATTTCGATTCCCATAAAAAGGCATCAGAATGAATTTCAGTTTGTTTCATAAATGTCAAAAAACTCCACACTAGAGCTTTAACTGATCTAATATAACAAAGCAATCTAAAAAGCCCCGAGACATGAGGATTAGAGTTTCAAGTTTTGTGAGTCTGTCTATTAATTTGTTTCATGTTTTATAAAAGGCTGATTTTGTGTCTTCCTGGCTCGCAGTAAAGTCGCCCCATGATGTCAGATTTTAACAGATGATCTGTGATAAACTCGGAGATCTCACCGTTCTCATTACATGTAACATTTATTATTTATTACACTGCCCTGCTGCGTGTCCACAGTCCTCACGAGTGGAGGCCTGTAATCAAAACAAAATTTGTTATTACAATTTTGTGTTCTGATCTAATCAGGTTAAAGTCAAGAGTGGACACAAGAATAATCCGAGGCAATTCAGAGCATCCAGCAGGGTCTTTTCTGTGTTCTTCTTGTAAAATAACGAGCCTGTTTGCAGGGCTCTCCACCACTCTTGAACATTCAAATTGGATTTTAAGCAATCAGATGTTTTAGCACCACTTCAAACTAAAAGCAGCTCATTAAACTGCTCAAAGACCCAAAAGACAACTAATCTGATTTGTGTTCAGTTTGGTTATAAATGGATATTTAAGTGCTCTACTGACAATTCAGAGTAAATTTGATCAATGTAATGACCCTGAATGACTGTGATTATGTGCTGGAGTAGGGGAGACTGGGGCTTGTTGTCACACTTTTTACACTCTTGTATATATCTTGAAATCAATACATCATATATAAACAAAATGTGTACCAGATGAAAGACTAAAGTCTCAGGTATATATTTTTTATTCATGTCATTTTCATATCATGTGTCAGTGCAAAGTTATAAGAAATCAAATAGAGAGTGTGAACATGTGACATGTTGCCCCACCATCGGGTAAGTTGTCTCACTACATGGGGTAAGATGTCACAGTGGATTTTGCAGCTAATAAAACAAGGACAAAATTATTACTGTTTTCATTTTTTTTACATGAAAGTGAACATCAAAGTCAGGCACAGAAAATGTTTATCATTGAGCTAGAAAAAGTAATTGAACTAACATTAACATGGAATATTATGCTACATGCTCTGGAGTTTGGAGAGCTGTCTGACTCTGTATTTCAGCTGGGGTGAATGTTTTGCAGTACAGAGCCAAGGTATAGTAGTTGACATTAAAGTCCTTTATTGTCCTCCAGATTGATTTATTAGCTAGGGTCACCTGCCTGACTGTCCTCAGCATCACGTCAGGTACTGCTCTACCACGTTCTGTTTTTCTTTTGAAATTCCTGACCATATCTTCTCACTTTCTCCTCTTCTTTAAACCACTCTTTTTTTCTGTTAAAATACTGTCAAAATCTCATTACGACAACTGCTGATTAACAGACTCTCTATGTTAATTCTAATCCCCTTTAAACATGTGACAACTAACCCCAAAATGACTGAGACATGTTTTAGCTTAAAGTTAGCTTAAAACAGAACAATGACTGAGGTATAACAGGATGCCTTAATCTCTCCTCTAACAAGTCCACATGTATCACTGCTAGGATTTTTATCTAGTAAAAGCTTATTTTAAAATATATAATGTTAAATTTTTTTACTTTGGGTTGTGTAAAATGGTTAACTGGCGCTCATCTCAGCTCACAATGTGAGACAGACAGGACACGACCCCTGACCATGGAAAGGAAGAAAACTAGTATTCCACTTTTTAGTTGTGCGCTCTGGTGGCAAAGATAATTGTAATGTGACAATTTACCCATGTGACAACAAGCCCCGGTCTCCCCTATATACATCAAATGTACCAAATTTAAAGAGTCATTTCTTGCTGCTCTGATTTGCAAATATTGTAAGATGCTCAGTTTCACTACCTCTTAGTGTCCTGGATACAACATATTTTTCTTAAATGTGATATGACTTATTTATCTCTAGGATTGCATCAAGAGTTTTGAGCTTATAGTTGGAAAAAAAATTGTTGGAACCTGACAGAGACCCAAAGCTGATAAATAACAAATCGTACAGGCAACACATAGCTCAAGTGAAAACAACATCAGCATGGTTCACGGTCTCTTGCAGTGAACTCAAACAGGCTCTGGTGTGTACACCCTTGACTCTCACTGTGATTCATTTTGCTGTTTGTACAGGAACAACATGCTGGAAGCTGCTGACTGGCTGGTGGTGGTGGACACAGTCAGCATCGCAGACAGCTCCCTGGGGAAGCGACACAGAGCGCTGCAGGTTCTCCACCACCCTCGCTTCAACAAATACAACAACGACTACGACGTGGGACTGCTGCGCACCATCACTGACATGGACATGACAGGTGAGAGGAGGTGGCTCCATCTAGAGGCAAAATGGCTGAATGGATCATGTACTTTACAACACCTCACCAATAATTAATATTAAGTGCCTTTTACCTGGTAAGGGACAGATAACAGATGGTTTTCAGTTGAAATGATGGGGTTGAAGTTGACAGTTTAAGAGAGCTGTCAAACAAACTGTAAATGGCCACTTAGAAATGGTTTATAGTTGAAGTTAATATTGTGTAAAACCCTGACACCTTTAAAGATTTATTAAAGCTGCAGTGTGAGTAGTAATACAACACCAAACTCCTGAAGCTACCTGATTGCTCAGTCTGCTCTTTTTTCCCAGAGTTCATGTAAGAGCGGTCAGCGGTCAGACTATCTTGGAATAAAAATTAACTCCTGAGGAAATTACCTCTTACTGCAATAACCGAATGTGGGTCAGCCAATGACTAACCTCAGACCTGCAGGACATGCCAAGTGAGCACACAGGTCTGCCACTGGTATTTCAAGGTATTTTCCACTGTGTTGAATAACACATGAAAGTCCCTGTCTGACCCAGAAGAGTGGCTGCAGGAGGAAGTTTTGTAGTAGTTTTAATGCATCTGCATCACTGCATTTGCAATGAGTATACCAGCATTTAGTACAAAAATTAGTTATATTATGGATTTATTTGAAAAACAAAGTCCTTAAAATGTCAATCTTGTGAATTTAACCCCCGATACCGATTTATTTCCGATATTTATATATGAATGTGAAACTAGAGTCTAATACAGAGTTAAGTACAATTATCTTGTTTTGTTTTGCTTTTAAAAGCACTCTGAGAGATTTCTTTAAATCAGTATAAACAAGTCTGACACATTTCACAGGTTTATGAAAGAAATCAAGTGGAATTTTTTTTTAAATGAGTTTCCCAGCTATCACATGTTCCACATTTTTATGTCTTTATTCTTCCTGCAGTGAATGTAACATTGCGTGTCAGTGCGGTCACTGCCCTCTGTTTGTAGGTGGAGTGAGACCAGTTTGTTTACCCAGCCCGGGCGAGTCCTTCCCTCCTGGATCAACTTGTTGGATCACAGGATGGGGTTATCTTCATGAAGGAGGTGTGATACACCAACACAACAAACAACAAATGCAGTAAAATAACTAACGTCTTATTTGTGTCCAAAGGGTTGTTAAAAAGCCAACAATATGAAGTCATTATTGGGCTTTGTGGCTTCGTCTGAGTCTTTTTAAAACCGATAAAAAAAGTCACTTTGTCCTAAACTCTGAAATTAGATACACTCAAGTCATTGTTACCATCTTCTTATTCTTTCATTCCTATTTTCTGCTCTAATTTCAGGTTATGTGACAGACGAGCTGCAGCAGGCTCAGGTCAAGTTGATCTCTCAGTCTGTCTGCTCCCACTCCAGCATGTACGGCTCGTTCCTGACTCCTAGGATGGTCTGTGCTGGATCCATCGACGGGGGAGTGGACTCCTGTCAGGTAAACAACAGTAATATACAATCAAAAACAAGAATAAAGTGATATAAATATCATTATCAAGCCTTAAAAGTGAAAAAAAGGGTCTGTGTCTGTTTCTTTAAGTCACCACTAAGTCTGATGTGCGCTCTACTACATGGTCCTGTTTTCAGGGCGACAGCGGGGGACCTCTGGTTTGTGAGACAGCAAGTGAAGACTGGAGGCTGGCAGGTGTGGTGAGCTGGGGCGAGGGCTGCGGTCGGCGTAATAAACCCGGGGTGTACAGCAGAGTGACCAAACTGATCCACTGGGTCCAAAAACACATAGAGGTAGTTCATAAAGTGATGTCTCTCTCTGTTCCTGTCTGTCTGTTATTGACTGGACACTTTACTCTCTGACCTGTGTTTACTCTGCCGCATGATATTGTAGCTACAGCTGTAGTGATCGCTGTGTCAACAGATTATTTGCTCTCAGAATAAAAACAGAGTTGATATCAAGGGAAATGTTTTTTTTATAATAAATCGAGGGAGACCTTTTTTTTTTTTAATTTCAGTCATAAAGCAGGCTATATGGACAAAAAGATGTCTTATAACTTGTGTTAAATAAATATTTTGCACTATTTTAGTACCACCATTGTTATAGAAACCACACTGTTGATGCACAAAAAAAAAAAAAAGTTTATTTCCAAACTTTACAGAATAACAAGAGAGATATAAATCACAAAGAAGAGATGGAGGCCTGACTGATTTGTTATACTTTTATGGATAATTTATTGGTGACAGGCCCTCTAAATATACAATACATTTCAAAACATTGACTTTTAATTAATACTGGAGTTTTCCTCTCTTTGTTTTGATAAAGGAGAAACCAGAGCAACAGGAGGAGACCACCACAGCCATGACTGACACCTCTCAGAGACCAGATACCTAATAAACGATTAAAAAACAGTCATCACTGTCTTTTTTTTTTTTTTACAATAACATAAAGAAAAACGTTAAACGTTAAACGTTAAACGTTAAACGTTAAACGTTAAAAAGCTTGTAAGGAATCCTAGTTAATGCGGTAACATTGTAAACCAACAAATCAAAAGCCTAGTCCTGTATAAATCAAACTCCTCTTCACCCCTCTTTGTGTGTGTATGTTCTTAGAAACCAAAGCACTTAAAAGACTGGGGGGATACAATAATTGGTAACAACAACGTTTAACTTAGATATACTAATAATCAGGTGTTCTTTAAACTTTCAACCATGTTGATCTCATTTCTTTATCATTTCCGTGAAGTAACTATCACCATATTAATCATTTTGCATTGCAGACGCGGTAGTTCTTCTGTCTTAGCATCTCGGTCTGATTGCATTTCCATGAAGAAATGAACATAAATGCTCTTCCTTGAGCTGCGTCACCCCACAGCAGTCCGTAATTGACTGGCAAGCAGCTGCTGGAAGAGAGACGGTGAGTTGTGTTTAGTCTCTTTGCCAAAGAAATCAGGCAAAGTTAAAAAGATATTTGGTGGCTAGTACTATGGCTTGGACCCTACATGTACTGTTGATGAAGATAGGTGCTGTTCTGAGCATCATTTGTGGCTATAGAGTGGTGTTTTGGTCGAGGTTTGTTTATGGCTCCTCAGACTGCTGTGTATTGCTATCGTGCGGCCGTTACTAAAGTCGGTCAAACTGGAGAAGCAAGCAGTCGACAACATTCATCTCTCGAGGGGGTGTCTAACTCTGTGTTACAGTGTGTTTGACCCTGAATCGATTTTACGCCAGAATATCCCTTTAATCTATGTAGCCTATTTATGTTTCACAAATTCCAACACACGCAGTTTCTGCAGATGCCAGTGGCTGTATTCTTTTATGTTGCACCATAACAGGTTTTGTTTTGGTGCTGGGTGAGACTACCTGATAAAGTGAGATATGTCAACTGTCACGTAGGCCAAAAAACGCTGCAGACAGACGGACAGACTGCGCGCGTGATGATACTCGTGAACGCGCACTGCTTCTCGTGACCCCGCCGTTACTATCAGACCCGCTGGGACTGACTGACTGGGAGGGAGGGCGCAGACCTCCTTCACCGGAGTGGACAAAACATGCTGCTTACTCGATATCAACACAGGCAGCGTGGGCTCAGTTTACGGCAGCTGTAAAAGTGAGTGATTCTGTAATAACTGTTATCTCCGGGTTCATTCGAGGTCATCCCTCTGAAGAGCTGTGAGGAGGTGTCTTTAAAGTTTCACATTATCCTCCAGGAAACGCGCTCTCAGCCGTCACTAGCCAACGACAACCCCGAGCAACAACTTATCAGTGTTTATCATATTACATATTTGTATTGTCCACAATCAGGAAAGTACCCGAGAACGACAATGTCCTTTGTAATCACACTGAGCAGAGTGACAGCAGCTCACCGGGCTCTCGCTCTCACCCTCCGCCTCAGAGCGAACACCGACGGTTTGAGTCGCGCAGTAACCGAGAGTAGGCGCTTCTCTCCCGGCATAGGGTATGGCTCCGACCCGCTAGGAGTTCAAAGGAGATCATACTGCTCCAGGATGGCGCTTAAGGACGGACTCTTCTTCAGACAGGTAGGTAGAAATTTATGAAGGTTTTCTGACTCAGTTTGTTTGATTTGACGAAGAATAAAACGGAAAAGTTAGTGATATTGTTGGATAACGGCTAAGTAGGCTAACGTTAGCACCATAGACAGTCTATGGTTAGCACTAGTAGGAAGAAGGGCATTCAGAGCCTTTAGCCTTAATATAACAAAAATTAGTCATTTATTCACAAAACTAAAAGTATCACGATGGGCTAGAGTAGTAAATTGTCACGGAAACAGATTTTAAAGTTGATTTATTTGCTGTTTTATCTGCTATAGCATTTCAACCTGGTGACTGTACTGTAATTTAATAACATCAGGGACACTGTGGCATGTTAAGGTATGCCTGTTGTCCAGCCTCATGTAGTAGAGGAGCAGTGTTTATTATTTTTATTTTGACAACAGCTCTGACTGTAACACTATAATAATAACCACCACTAAAGGCCCTCTCTAAAAGATAAGTGTCCCACCACAGCCCATGATAAGCAGCACCTCCAATAAAAACCAGGCTTTCAGTGACTTTCTCATAGTTACTCACTCATATTATAGATCGATCAATCAATCAATCAGTCAATCAGTCTTTATTTTTATAGCACTTTTCATACATAACATGGAGCACAAAGTGTTTCACACAGAAAAAGGAATAAAAAAAACAAAGAATACCCAAATCAACCCCAGCCCAACCCCTCATTCCCACCCCACGATCTACTTGCAACAGAAACAGTATTAAAATGCATAAATCTAAAAAGGGCTTGATTTCGTGGAAACAGGAATGTGCGCATTGAGGAAACGTCATTTTAAAACTCAAGATAAGGAAACACTGGAGGTTTAAGTTAAAATCTAAAAACAAAGAAACAAAGAATGAAATTTAAGAAATAATAAATAAAATGAAATGAAAACAAAAGTAAAAGAAACTAAAACAAGAGCACCAAAATAGCGCAGTAAAAGACAATCCTGTTACTAAAACTAGAAAGAGATAAATGCTAAAACACTTAAACAGAGTTAATGATATAATATTTAGTTAAAAGCAAGACTAGAAAGGTACGTTTTCAGTTTGCTTTTAAAATCATTAAGATTAGCCGCAGCCTTCAGGTCTTCAGGTAAGCTGCTCCATAGACAGGGGCCATGAATTAATCTCGTCATTCTGATTACTCCACTTTATAATCTTTATGATCTTATTCTGGATTTCAGTTTTTCTGTTAAACACACATGATTACCTTTCTTTGTCAAATACTGCTGACTCACTCCCATGCCTTTCCCTGTTCTTTCTGTTCAGCTTTTTGAGGCAGAGAGCAGCACCTACACCTACCTGTTAGCAGACTCAGACACCAAGGAGGCGGTTCTCATTGACCCTGTACTTGAGACCATTGAGAGGGACCTGAAGCTCATACATGAACTAGGGCTCGATCTTAAAGTGGCAGGTATCCTCACATACTGTTATTAGTGTATGTTTATTCATTTATTTGGACCCATCAGTGTGTTGTTATAAAGGTAAATTTATTAGAACCATTCATTTCATCAGTGTTATTGTAATTTTGCAATTCTGCTTTCCTTTATGACAGTGAACACCCACTGCCATGCAGACCACATCACAAGCACCGGGCTGATGAAGAAAAGATTGGTGGGGCTAAAGAGTGCAATCTCCAAATTCAGCGGTGCTTCTGCAGATATCCACCTGTTAGCAGGAGACAAGATCACCTTTGGGAAACATGTGAGAGGGACACAACTTGAATCTTTTTCAGTCATCTTTTTGAGTGTCTCAAATTTCTGTGTTAAAAGTTATCGATGAAAACACACTTTTCATGCAATAAGTTGACCGTGATTTTTCCTTCTCTCCAGTATCTGACAGTAAGAGAGACCCCCGGTCATACTGATGGGTGTGTGTCGCTGGTTACCGATGATCAGAGTATGGTTTTTACTGGAGACGCTCTGCTCATCAGAGGCTGTGGCAGGACAGACTTTCAACAGGGTAAAAAAAACACTTAAAGCCAGTCATGATGATGTTATTTTAAAGCTATTTATTCTGTAATTATACTTCCTGAAAGGAAAAGTAATTGTTTTTGTAATACTGCTCTATAAACACAGGGTGGCAGTGCTGCGTGCGATTTCATTTGGACTTGGTTCACCTTTTAATTGCTGTCTCCCTAATTCAGGCTGTCCTAAGAAGCTCTATCAGTCAGTTCATCAGCAGATCTTCTCTCTGCCTGACCAGTGTCTCGTCTATCCAGCACACGACTACTTAGGTAAGCAGAAACAAGACATTGGTGCGCTTACATCGTGTCTGATGGAGAGATGGTGTTGCAGAAGCATCTCCATAGTATTGAAAAGTAACTTATACTCATGAAAGTCACATAAATGTTCCAAATAGACAGTTTAGACCAACTTTAGACATTTTATGCACTCAGATTTTTAACTCTTTATTAAATTTATTTCCCCTGAAAGCATCCACAATACCTGTTTCAAATTATAATCAACACTACACTTTCCGTAAATGACATATCTGGCTGTCTGTTTTTGCGCGTCAGGTCAGACAGCGTCCACAGTCGGCGAGGAGCGCAGGTTTAACCCACGGCTGACCAAGAGTGAGGACGAGTTTGTGAACATCATGGATAACCTGAACCTCCCAAAGCCCAAGAAAATAGGTATCAAAAATATTCTTTCTCTTTCTAAAGACTAAACTCTAAATTGCTAACTGGCACTTTTGTAATTCAATTGGGTCACTGGTATCTTGTTTTTCTTTCTGTGCAGATATTTCAGTACCAGCTAATCTGGTTTGTGGAGTACATCAAGTCTGAATGTCCTGCAAGAGAAAAATTCAAATCAGATCAGCTTCAATATAACAAAATAATCAACAGCTTCATGTTCTGCCTGAGCTGGATTAACGTGCTTTAATTCTGTGTAATTATGTAAATATAGAGCTGTATATGTGAAAAATTGTTAGAGCAACATTTTAAAGTGCACTTACTCAGATCATACTCAAAGAAACTGCTCTCTGCACCCTAAACTGCTGTGCTCTTGCACTCTGAAACTGGAGCTGAGGAATTATAACCACTTTTTACAGAGAGGTGTTAGCTTGGTATTCTCATCGAGGAAGTCATGGTGTATTCATAGAGACCAAAGAGAACATTAACAGAGGAAGCAAAGAAACAATCCAAAAGTAAAAGCTGCACAAGTGTCAGATTTGAACTGGATGTACAGCAGTTTGCAGAAAAATGAATCACACTCGTACTGAAGAGGGGCCAAGCTACGAATAGTTTGTGCATTACGATGCTTAAAAATTAAAATTAAATCAGTTCTGCTCCAGTGGTGAGAAAATGACTGCTTAAGCTCTGTACATGAGGGAAAACCACTACTACCATTTTGACTTAAAATAAAAATGCATATTTCTCTACATTCGTCTGTGGTGTTCTGTGTGTGGAGCCTTAAACAGGATTGTTCCATTCAGAGTCCAGTTTAGTATTCATGAACACAAATCTGGGACAATTGAGTTCTTCCACAGCCTTTCCAGTGATTCCGGACTTTTCAAGCCAAAGGCCTCACACTCACACGCACACATTCACAAACCCACTCCACTCACACACACGCCTGCCAACCACGGCGGCCTCACTGCATCGCAGGATCACAAACCTTCTCCATTTGAGTCTGGAGTCTGAGGGCTACTGTGTCCATTAACAAAATGTCATTGACGTATGTTTGTGCTTGCAACTCTGAAAATGTGTGCCAGAGTGAAACAAAGTGAGGGCATCTAGTAAGTATCTGAGCAGTGATTATCGCCGGGATTTTGTGTTTTTTTAAGACGTGGACGCTTACCAGGCAGGTTCTATTAAAGAAAAAAGGCTTTTGAGTTTGACATGGGAAATACGGTTTCTAACACTTTGAGGGTTTTACCTTAAGGGTCTGAAAGTACATAGATTTTTCTACCTCTGCAGCATACTTCTGTTTTTAAATGCTTAAGTGAGTCACACAGCTGTAAGGTGAGGAAAATGATTTAACCAGAAATCTATTTCAGGAAACTCAAATGTACATCTGTAAACACTTTATTTAGTTCTGAATAAATCAGGAGTTCATAATCAGTAAAATGTTGTCACAGGGGTCTTAAGGATTTCTGTCCAACCATTTGAAATTGTTAAGAGAGAGAAATATCAGGCAAATACTAAAATTAAGAAAAAAACGTAGAAATTCACAATCCCATGTATATCAAAATCTAATAAACATGCATATCTTATTCTGTAACATGTTTAAGATTTGTAATGACTCAGTTAAAAGACAAAGCATTGGGTGGTACTAAAAATTGGCTGATATCGCTGCCTATCAAACTGCATTATTCTACATATTATAACAATCAAACTAACAGCCGTGACTGTTAAAGATAAGCAAAGCTGTTATTAGCTGCTGATCAGAAGAATGCTACATGTAGATATCGACCCTGTGAGGGCTGATGCCGATGTTACGCAGATAATAAAATGCCATCAACCTGTCTTATTTCAAATACAAAGGCATGAAACTGAGCTTAACTAACTATCAGACAATTCAAGCCTCCTGTGAAATATTTTAGGTCCTTTTCACTGTAACTGTGAGGCAGTTTTCACCATCACAGCAACAGACAAATGACTTTTTATGAATAGATGGAGATAGATTGACCTCCTAAGCCTGATAGCGCCATCACAAAGTTTCAGTATTAAGTACCTTGTTTACACTAAATCTACTTTTTTTACAGTATTCAACCATCAACCCTTCTCTTACACCATAAAAATGACAAAAACACACATTTTAAATATGTTAAACAAGAGCACCTTTATCAGACTGATATCTATCATCTGCAGAAGCCTCAAGCTAACTATAACCTTACAAAGAGGCTGATCTTTGAAAACCTTTCAATAGAAAGCTCATATTGTCCTGATACACAGTATATTACCCACATGTATTTAATCTGATCCAGCTCCTTTCAGCTGCACCATTATTTTTACGTGGGTGGGTCCCTGTATGAATATCTTTAATGTGTTTGCCTGCAGGGTTTTATTTTTCTCACAAAAGGCAGAAAACTTTGACTCTGGCAGCTCTGTTCACTGAGTGTAGGTTACAGAATAGGTTATTAGCAGGTGGGGGTTGCCTTGTCACATGGAAGCTAATACTATTATTGCACACACACATATACACGCCGTCCACCAGATGTCCATGTCAGTGCTGGGGACAAATAACATTATCAGGCAGCTCACAGAGCGTCCTCGCAGACACACACCTTTTTTTTTATTATCCCAGACAGGAGGAGTGTGGATATCATCACTCTCAAAATGAAGATGTGCTTTCCTTTGGAGGCGAAGAGGTCTCCACATGAAACAGTCCCATTCTCTCCTGCCTGTTTTCCTGGCGGGAAGCAAATGTGCCAGCTGTCCTTTCACCCAGTGTGTGTCACCCATCTGCCAGCCCTCTTTCAGTCTCCCCCTCGGCCCTCCTACACAGTGCCACCGTGAACCTGCTGCCCATTCTCCCGCACCGGCCACATGTCAGGAGGAAGAATCTATTACACTATCTGCTCTTTCAGAATGAGCAGTAAAGAGGCCAGTCGGGGCAGTAAAACCCTCAGAGTGAAGAGCAGATTTTAAAGAAAGTGCTCCAATGTGGGCCTCAAATGTATATGAGATAGCTAGTACTGTAGCTAGTAATCCTCTAACACTAAGCACGCTGCTGTAGTACTCACTGGCATGTTTACAGTGACTAACTAATACTTAATGGTATTTTAATCTCAGCTGGGATACGTGTAAGACCGCTGTAAAGGGACTTACAGTCTTTTTGGGGTACTCAATGAGTGTTCTCAAAGAAACATGTTTATGGTTATGAGTGCTGAGCTCAAATGGTCATGGGAAAAGTTTTAAATCACAACGCCATATTGTGATGGATATTGAATAGCTGGCAGCACTTTTATTCTGAAAGGACAGAAAATGAGCTGGTTTTGAAAAAAGGATAAAGCTCCATCAACGACTTAGACCACATTTAAACAATCTGCTGCTGACTGCTCGCTATTAATAGACAGATTTAATACCTGTCATAACATACCTGCCTCATGTGTAAGGATGCCTTTTTTTAACAAGCACATGGAGCTGTGGCCTCGTCTGACAAATGACCTCAGCAAAAGCACAGACAAGTATTGTTTGACCAATATGAGTTATTTAACAGCTGATGCCGATATCTGCAGAACAAACCAGCCAATGATTGATATTTAATGCTGATCTCACAATGTTGTTATTATTTTATGCACATTACAACTTAAAATACACAGTAATCATATCAAGAAATATATTTCAGATTGACTTTGAAAATGCACTAGGCTCTGCTAAACATATCCAAACATTGACGTATTTATGCCAGAGGCAATGTCAAATTCCATTACTTGACAAATAATAACAAAAATATATATGTTTAACACTTGACTGCCTGTAGTGTCTGCAGACATAATTTAACAATTTAATTATCTAATTTTAGTTATTTCAAAATGCCATTAATCGATGTTATGCTACGCCTATGTGCAAGTACCAAAGTATGCAGTCTTTCTGTGGCCAGCAGAGGGCAACTCCACAGACGGTAAACAACATTTTTTTTTATAAATAAACAGGAAAATGGTCTGTGTGTTCATTTGTTTTATAGCTTCAGTAAACATTTTTATTATCAGCTTATGTTCTCATTTAGGAATTTAAAGTTTTATTAAACTAAGCATGGTGTTCTCTTCGTGGGTTTGCTTTCGGGCTCAATTAACAGGGTCAGTGAGTCATAGCAGCTTTATTTAATTTTGTGTTATATCAGCAAAAATAAAAAAAACACATGAAATACTCATTCTAGGTTGATAAAAACAAAGTAAATTCTTAACATTAATTTAAACAAAGTTAGGGATTCTTCCAGACCTGTTCTGCTGTAGATAAATGTTGCCGACCGCTTGCTTCTCTAGTTATACCAACTTTAGTAACGACCGCAGATAGCAATACAGAGAGATACGCGCTCAAACCAAAACGCCACTCTATAACCACAAATAATGCTTAGAACAGCACCTAACTTCATCAACAGTACATGTAGGGTCCCAGTCATAGTACTAGCCACCAAACATCCTTTTAACTTTGACTAATTTCTTTAGCAAAGAGACTTACGAAATATTCAGAGTCCAATTTTGACGTGCCTGACTATACACATCAAGCGCGATGCGATTTTGCGACTTTTTCAGTTCTGATTAGCCTCTAGTGTTGAGATGTCTGTCTGTCATGATAGCATGTACTGAGTCGGGGCCAGTACCAGATAAGCACATTAAACTATAATCCATAAACGTAAAGTAACAACCAAGACCTAATGGTGCTGTGATAGCAATGTGATTGAGTTTGAGACAGTGAGAATACATATGGTATGTTGTATCTGAACAGGTTAGCTTACGAGCTAAAGTTACTTAGCACAGATGAAAGTTAAAACAAAGACGTTTAGCAAACTGTTCAAGCACACAAACTATCCTTCAGGTTGTTATCTTTGTAATATTTGTGTCTGTTCTCCGACACGTAAACAATCAGCCAGTCGGCCATGTTGGATAAACCGGTGAATCAGATGTCACAACAACACATAATCTGATTGGTCAGAAGTGGACACACAGTCGACCATGAGCCGAAAAAATAAATGCCGCAATATCGCAGGACAGGAAAACGTCACTGATGTGAACGCTTGTATTGACAGGATACCGGTTCGAAAAAAAAATATTGACGTCCGAAATAATCCTGGTGTGAAAAGACCTTAGAGCAAAAATGTTGCAGCTGACCCCTGTCTCCCGTATCTCACTCTGTTTCCTTAATTCGTCCAATCTCTCATGTTTCACTAACGCCTCATATTTAAGTATTCCCATGGGAGGCTTACATGAAAAGCATTTAAAGGGGCCTTTAACTTCACACAGTCCTGGCAGTTTGCCTGGATGACTCTTTGCTTCAGCACTCCACAATGAAAAAGCCCCGTCAGTTCCCAGAATAGAAATCCCATTTCGGTGCTGGACTCGAGCGGGACTCTCACTGCTGTCTGTGAGCACAAATTCGTGGACAGCTCTCCTCCTCCTCTCGTACCAGCTCTCACTCTGCTTTTACATTTCTGCCTACTCCACGAAAACAGCTTTATTGCAGGCTACGGTGAGTCAGCTCACGCCTCCGTCATCGCCCCCTCCTCCGCGTGCTTTCATTTCAGTCTCACCTGTTGACGCCGACAGCAGCAGCGGCGGCGGTAGCAGCAGCAGTTCTCACTGACCGAGCTGTCATGTCTCCGGGGAGGGATTGAATCAAACCAGGTGGAGATAAACGAAGCTGGAAGAGGAGATAACGTGCCTGCTGGTAGGGCTACTCTCGGAAAACTTTTATCGAGCGAGGAAACTTCACGCGCTTCTGGTTCGTGTTTTGTCTAAAAGTGAAAGCGCGTCAAAAGTTCGCCGAAGTGACGCTGGGCTACTTTTTTTCCACGTTTCCAGTCTTTCATTTCTCATCTGGCTGCACGATGTTATAACCTGAAAGGACTCACAGACGCTGGAGCACGGTTTGCAGGTAAGTGTTGGCTGCTTTGTGTTGTAGGTCAGTAACTTAAGGGGTTCCTCTTACAAAGACATCAACAGTTCCTTTTGTAAATATCACACTACAACAACTTCCCCACGCGAGAACAGTGGGCAAGTTTGCTCTACTTCTCTCACCCTGTTTTCAAATTGAGGATATTGAAATGGGAAAGTTGACTTTTCTTTCTTACAACAACAACATAAAAATCAAATAATACATATGTACACCAAACAACTGTACATGTCAAAGATGAATTAACACATCTGTGTGTCAATAATAAACAGTTTGAGAAGGAACAGAATGAAGCAAAAAGCTTATGCAAATTAGAGATTTTAAAAAAGAAAAAAATCTCTTTGTATAAATTAAACAAAGATCTGTATAAATATATACATTTTATACACAAATACCTGCTCAACACTCAACAGGTTACATAATTACTTGCGTATTATGATAATAATCAGTGTTATACTATTACTTTTATGCAATCAAGTACATAGTTTGAAACCATATTTCTTTGTTAATTTACTTATATGAATCTTTTAATACTTCTCTATAGTTTGATTTAAATATTTCTATGTTAAAGTGACATCCAGACTGTTCCAGAGGCACCACAAACAGAAATGCACATACTTTTCAGAGTTGTATGGACAATTGGACAAATAAATTTATGTTCCCCTCTTAGATTACAGCCCCTCTCTCTGGTTTTGAACATCTTTTGTCGGTTACCAGGTAACTGATTTTGATTTTAGGAACAGAGGGCTGGTGTTATCGCTGTATCCAGAGTGATTTACGATCCGGATAACTCTTTTTTGTAATGTGCATATCTTTTGTAGATTAGTCCTGTATGTGTTTCCCCAGATTTCAACACAGTAAGAGAGGTATGGCAGGATCATGGAGCAGCTTCTTTTCTTTGACTATCCTCTTTTTTTAATTCATTTGCACCCCTAATAAAACACCAATTCATAGTTTCCCATAAAGCCATAGTTTCTTTATCTGTGATTGTAAAATAGTCCTTCATTTCATAATCTGAGTTAAATACAGACCTGATATAATTAAGATTATTCATACCTTATCTGTAAAATGTGCACACAGTAACTTTCACTCAGTTTCTTGTCCCATGACAACAACCTCAGTTTACATAAATTCCCCGTCTTGTTTACTCTGACCCTGGGATATCTTGCCTTTTATCCGTCCATCAGCTCACACAGGGTAAACAAGAGTGGGTGGGAGTGTATAGGTGGAGGCAGGATTGTGGGGAGAGATTGAGTTGTGTTGTGAGAGTTTGCTGTCTGGGGAGTTATTTTGTCTCACAAACACACACAATCACACTCACACACACCTTGTTTTGCCCGCCCTTTGGTCAAATCTGTGTCTGAGCCCTTCGTCCTGGGCTGTCATTAATGGATCACTCTTTTCTTGCATCATGATTCCCAGGGATTTACTCACGCCAAAGGAATCTCTGACAGTGCAGTTGAACCTGATGAGAACCGATATTTGCTCTCTCCCACAGCTCACTTTTATTCCTTGAGTTTCATAGACTTATTTAACATCTGTAGGTATCTCTATGTCCAATGAATTTCATAAGGGCTGTGACTTTTGTCACAGCAGATTTTACCACTTGTCACAGTGGCAGAAAAAAACAGAAGTGTTGCTAATGCTATTAATGATGGTTCATTTCTGTGTGAAGGCCCTTTTTTAGCCTGGGAGTCAGCACTTAACACATACAAGATACTCTGAAAAGGGGGAAATTTTTAATAAAACTCATCTTAGAGGTTTTTCTTTACCCAGGTTTCTCTTATCTCTTAATCCAAATTGTATTTAATGACTTTTAGCTCAATAAAATGTCTCAAAGTAGAAGGAAAAAGGCCAGTAGAAGTTCACCATCCTATCAGAGCCATGACATCTGATAGTCATTTCAAAGAAAGAGATTCAGAGAAAACAATGAACACCAAGAACCAAGAATTATCTGCATTTTTGCCACTGCTCGCATCAGAAGAAACAACTATTTTCAATGGAAATTTATAGTTCAACTGCCTGACTAGTTTAAAGTCAAGAAAACAGTCAAAATTTAGTGCAATTTACTTGACTTGACTAGAAACAGTGTTGTAGAGTCTGTGTGTAAACATCAACAAACTGATTTGCCAAATGTGGTGAATGTTAGCTGAGCTAGCATCACCGGCCTTCAGTCCTCCTTACACTTGAATGTCTACATGCCTGTGCCGTTGCGTACTGCTCCACAAGAGTACCATATTTTTCACACCATAAGGCGTTAAAGTGCATTAAGCCAAACAAAACAGTCAGATATGTCAAACTTTATTTAACTCATTCAATAACTCTGCAAGGCTACGGTAGCTGCCAAAGCCAAAAGGGTTTTAAGTGCGCCTTATAGTGTGAAAAATACGGTAGTTATAATTCAGTCTTACTTGACATAAGTTATGTGCAACTTTATCTCTAGTTTCTCGATCAAAATTGCCAAAGTGTGCTGCGCTAAAAGATATAATCTGTGTTTGTTTACATTCTAGTGGTGAAGCGTTCTAGCTGTAGACATAAACTGGGGCCAAGCATATTTTTTTATTGATTATTTTTCTGCATCTTGACCCCTTGTTTGTTTCCTACATTTCCCAGGATGCATTTTTCTTAATTCAGAAAAATGCACTAAACATGTGATTCATAATTTGAAGTTTGACTTTGAAGCTCTGAAAGAAGATAGACAGCTGAAGTGGGACAGCATGTTGATTTTTACCATTAGGTGCAGTATGTGTGATCTGGTTTTGTTGTGTTTTGGTCATTTGAGACCAACTGTAGTGCTGAATGATGTTTCTCTGTTGTTGCTGCTCTCATAGCTGAAATCTCTAACTACTTAAAGCAGCATATACAAGTCTGCACTCTAATATGGCGTCAAATGACCAGTCAGATTGATGAATAAGCATCTTTCTAGTATTTTGACAGCACTAAAAGTCGCTCTCTTACTTTTAAAACTCATGTTTTTTGTTTTTTTTAGTTCCAACCCTCATCCAGTATGCATTCCTTGCTTCTGTTGTGCAAAACCAGTATGTCCGCTTCCTCTAACCTAGATCTCACTTAATTTTCTCAGCTTAGCTCCTGAGAATAGTCTGTTTGATACCAGGTAATGTGGGACTCACGCCAGCAACTGACATGTTCAACTGATGATTGAAACTGCAGCAAAAATCTTCAAACGCATAAAGCAGCCTTTGTCGCTGCACAGCATCTCGAACTGACATTAGCCAGTCAGCCAGTTTTCCACAGGAATGTAGAAAAACTCACCACATAATAACCGAGTAACTGCAAAAAAAAATGAGTCAATACAATAATTTTTTAAAGTGCTGATGTGTTTTCTGCGTACAGGAATGACAGGCTTTGTTTCCAGTGGGTTAATTCCACGATTCAAAATCCATAAAGCTAACTTTTTTGGCCTTTTTCCTGATCCTGACACCTCGCTTTGCTGACTGCATGAGCCAGTTTCTTTCTTTCTTTTTTTTTTGTCATGTGCATTGTAGCTCCAGGGTGCCATTCAGGACTTGCCACTTTTGTCTCAGAGTCACACACACAGTGACAGCTGGGTGAAAGCCAAAACACCCTCCTCTCACCTGCTTTTCTGGCTCGCAACTTTGTCTTGTGATGACAGCCTCCTGGTCGTTTGTGCAGAAGCTGAAGCTACATTAAGCAGATCCTAAGGTCAGTGCTCGAGAGTCCAATACGCTTTATGCATTTGTCAAAATGCAGCACGGACTGTTGAGATGATGTTTGTTTGATCAGTTTTTTAGGGAACAAATTTACTGCGATTACTCATCAAATCAAACAAATATTGACGTCTCTTTCACGTGCACAAATGGAGAGGGTGTAGCCTTTATTTAACCTTTAATCGAATCTAGCACAAACCAATTAGGGAACTGTGACACGAGGAAACCAAACATGAATCTTCTGGGTAAAGAGAGTCGCTGAATGTTTGTTTTTGTTTGTTTTTGTTTGGTTAGAGCTGAGGAGAAGTTTGGTGAGAGTAAGACAATAGCTTAAAAATGTCTCGTGGAGCTCAGTTTAGACCATAAATTCGTGAAAATAAACTCTGGAAACACTGATGTGATGATGTCAGGCCTGCTGATGAACACAGAAATTTAAAGAGTGGTGATTTGGTCTGTTTGATTGGAGACACAGGCTGTAATTATGGTAAATAAAAATGCCCTCCTAGTTCATGAGCTTAATCGCTGGTTTTGGTCTTATGCCTTAAACAGATGGGAGGACTTCATGTCCTGTAGCTGAAGAGGTTATTTGGTCTAATATGTTGTGGCAATCTCTCTGCTATATGTCATGTAACTCAGCCTTTGTTGAGTAAAATGCACTATAACATCAGTGGGTGGATCTCTGCTAGGAAAATAGATTCAAGTTGATAAAGGTGACAAAGTTGAGACAATTTCACTCAATATCAACTGATCAAACAACCTACAAATAGTTAAAGTGAAAAAGGAAGCGTAAAAAAGTTATTAAAAATGTTGGAAAATATGAGTAATGTGTACGTTTGAGTATGCAGCCCCCTCGTTAGAGCTCCTGTATCAGCCAAGGACAACAAAGAGACCATAACCTCCATAACTTATCTGTTATTTCAAAGAGGAAGCAACCTCTGTGGATAACACTGCTTTATCTGCAGCACAGTGTTATTTTGTAATAAAACTGCTCAGTTAAAGCTTCTGTGAGCAACTTTTGGTTTATGTTGAACTTTGTGGCCATGTGTAAACAAAGCTGTAGTTCCCATGTCTTTGCTCTTTTCTTATAGGAAAGATCCACGGTCAATGAGGGTATCAGTATGAATTTCAGTCTGATTTATAATCATCTAGCTTTGAGTTTTGAGAGGGTGTGAGAGTCTCATGACCACATTATTTACACCAGTCAAAACCCAAAATCATGACTTCTACTAATTGATAAATAACAGAATTAAACATGACAAACAGTTTGGAAAATTTAAGAAAAACAACAGTTGAAGCCTTGTTTGTTGAAAATCTTTAAAGCTATCTTATTAAGGAAGAAAAATCCAACTATTGCAGCTTCTCATTATAGATTTCTATCTTCAAGCGTCTTAATTGGACTTATTCATCGTAACAGTCATGATTAAATCTGTCACTAAGATATGGGTATTATCACAATACTGCTGATAACAAAAATCATAAATATGTAGTTAACTGATGAATTTGTCTTTTTTTTCTGAGAGGGCAGTAAGTGTTTTGACCTCTAAGCTCGGCCTCTGTGGATTAACTCCCACACTGTACATTGCCCCCCTCTTTACAGGGCAGTTAAGCTCACATGCTCGGTGTGTGACATGTTTTCCATATAGTACATTGCATTGAAAGCATAGTGACAGGCTGTAATCAGCATTCACACCCACACACTGCATGCCACCGTCAGAGCTCTTTTGTCCTGTGTGTTTAGTGCAATATGGCTGTTGACTTTATGGTTTTGTGTACACACACAATGCTCGGCCACATTTTGTCTGTCAGTCAGTCACCAGCGAGGGGTCCTGATGAGGGCCGGGTCATATAATAGAGGTGTGTGTGATGCTAAAGGTTTTAAACTCTTCAATTAGACTCAGAACAGCACTACAGACTAAGTATAACCAGTCTGCACTTCCCATTAGTTTTACATAGAAAGCTAAATTTAGTTTTGAGTGATTAATCTCTCATGGGTGACAATGAATTTGTTCAGACTTGACGAGGTAAGCTTGAAAAATAAAACACATTTTCAGGATTACCATAATTTTGTCTTAACAATTAAAGTAAAGCTCCATTAATTTTACTCATAAACAAACAAATATTTATGGGTGCAAAGACATAAAGTATGAGCTAACCAGACAACTCAGTGCAAGTAATTTGAGACCAAATTAGCCACTGATAGCATAAGGGCCTGTGTACACTATTAGTGTTGGTTGAGTAAACAGCACCTTGACCTCGGTTTTCAGAGCACTTCCCAGAGTCGCTTGCTGGTTCTAGGTTAAGGAAGTTGTCCAGTGGCGCCTCTGCTACCCTTAGTACTGTCCATTATATATGTTTGAAAACTTTATTTGTTTCATATCTGCTTTAATTTGATCTAAATATCAAAGTAAAGGTTGAAGCAAATGATAGGAATGATGTCCAGGCATCCGCAGCAGCTCTAGACCCTGAAGAGAACAAGTCCAGTTGTGGTGCTTTCTATTTGATCTCAAAAATCAGAAAAACTAGGGTGAACAACTGATATGCTCCCTAAAGTTGTTAATTCCTACTTGGAGTAACTTAAGCAACCCTCAGCTTGAAATCCAAGATGGTTGCTCCCCGCATCAAGAGTAAAATAGCTGAACTTTTAAGAGAGTTTATTTGCAAATCCGACTTGTTTTGTATGATGAAAGTGATCACATCGATAGTATTGTATAAGTCCTATCTGTTCTGCTTGCAAACTATTATAATACTGGTTAACAATGCTCTCAACAACAGGAGCTAAGGTCCAAACAACTTTCCCACTCTTGACTGGAGCAAAGTCGACTCAAATGTCACGTAAATCCCCGATCCAACATCCAACTTTCAAGTTAGACTTAGATTACTTCTCTTCCGCCATTGTTGTTGCAGAAGTTGATCTCAGAAGTCCTGCCCCTTCTTGATTTTGATTGGTCAGTGTTGGCGATGTGGCTCTGGAGAGTGCAGTAGTGTTCTCAATGTTGGACCATTTACAGCTAAGAGTGAAGAAATGAAAAGCATCTGACACCGAGGATAATACTGCACTTAAGACTCTGAGCACAGAAAACGCTAGTGGTGGACACAGGCCCTAACACCCCTGAGCCAACAACTGTTGTTTGAGCTGCAGTTTCTTGTCATAACTTTTAGATAAAGCACAAGCATATTTAAAGTCACAACAAGAGAGAGCAGATTTTATCGTACTCATGAGATTGTCCTACTTCTAGAGTTTCAGATGGTGTTTAAAAAGTGGAGCGAATGAGATGAGAAATCAGGGTAAATCAACAAGAATTCATGTGACCTGTGAGTCAGCAAACTTGTCCTGAAGAGAGTCAGACTTTTATCTTTTCTATTAACCAAAGAGAAACACTGATAAAAGAGCAGAGCTGCTTAGAATTAAAGTTGTACTTATGCTAAAACACACAAAGCACGTCTACAAACTGACTCCCACATGACTTGTTTCAGGCCAAACAGTGAAATGCACAAAGCTGACTCAAAGTGTGTTGGAGGCTCAGCGGGACAGAGAGTGATAAACCTGCTGATTTGAGCACATGCTGTGTAATATGACTCTGTTGTCTTATTGGACAAACTTAACTTTCTTGCTCTGGTCTGACTGGGTTTGTGTGTCTGTGTGTGTTATTGTGAATCAGCTGTTGCCGGTTATTGCTTATCTGTGGCTGATCATTAGCGCTGCAGCGTCGTGACGTCTCCCGGGATCAGTTTGGGAGTGGGACACTCAGGTCATGTGTTACCGCTGGGTCTAGTTACATAACTCACACTCATAAACACACACATAAACACAGTTGAATTTTGAACGGGCCGTCTGTTCTGCTATCTTACTCTCTAGAGGCGCTCCCCTCCCTGTAATCAAGTCTAATTATTTTGGGCACAAAACTGTGTTTTGTTCTTTGATGTGGCTCTCAGGGTGAACTTTGCTGTCTTTGTTTCCGTATCTGCTGATTCTGACATCCACAGCTGCTGTTTTTGAGACCGTCCTTCACTGTTCAACTCTTTTATTTTTTTGTCAATGGATTGTCTTTGGCCTTTTGTTTGACGAACCTGTGTTTACATGAAAGCGTGGACTTTACTCCTGAATACCCCGCTCTCTCTCGCTCTCTCTCTCTCTCTCTCTCTCTCTGTGGCGTTGATAGTGTATCTGAGTGGACTTTAGTTGGAGGTCAGACAGCAGAGGTTTGCACACACGTTTGTTTTATTAGTAATATGACTAAGTGTGAATCTCTCTCTGCTTGTTTTTTCCTGAACGTTGACAGATTTTACTGGAAAGCAGGTCAAAGAGTGCAGTGATACAGATTTTGGCCTGCATGAGTAGACTTGCTGTAAATGAGGGAGTCGAACATCCCACGCTGAAACTATGGGAATTAATGTTTGAACCCACATTTGCAGCTTTACCAGCCCGGTCTCTTCAATAAAGGAGGCTTTCAATAAGAATCTGTGCAGCCTCCTGTACCCTGTTGTTTATAGACCTCGCTTCATGGAAAAGAATGCAGTCATACCGAAACAGATCTTAATGTGTTGCTTCACAGTTGGACAAAACACTGGATGAAACTTCTTTGTAGGGCTGGGCGATAAACAGAAAATTTACCGATACCGAAAATCATGACAATATTGTCATTTTGCCCATGTCAATGTATTCGGTTTTAAAAAATAAATAAATAAAAGTTGGTTTTGGATGTGTGTAGGTAGGCTATGGTCTCAGAGACGTGACTCCAACCCATCCATCCAAAAAGGGAAAGGCAAGTGAGGAGATGGAGGACGGTTCAAAAGTTGTAGCGGCTGAAGTAGACAAAGTTAATGTAGGAGGGGGTGAGCAGCTTGTGGAGTAGTTATTGTTCATTTATCGTTATCGAGGTGAGCTGCTCAATATATCATGATATTGATTTGAGGCCATATCGCCCAGCCCTACTTCTTTGTCCTTTAGCAATAAACTGAGATTATGTTCACACTGCAGGCAGAAGTGACTCTTTTTCTCATATGTGACACAGATTGATTAATTTTTAGGGGAATATGAACTCTTTAAATTAGATTCAGCCGTCTTCGTATGTGGTCCCAAATCGGATACAGGTCTAGTCTTATGTGATGCGGTCTCAATCTAAACAGCGACCTTGACGTCACTCTAAAGCGATATTTGTCATCGTTCTGTGCCGGTGGGAAAGTTTAGGAGCTGTGGTCACTTAAAACTCAGTGAAAACAAGGAGGAGCATTAAATACAATCAGAGAGTTTCAGGGGACCTGTCGTTTAAGTTTGTTCCAGGTACATGGAGCATAAAAACTGAGTGCTTCTTTCTGTCTCTAAGGACACAGGCCCAGCTGATTAACTACTGAGGCAGCCTGGAGATGAAAAAAGTGAAGCCACAAGCTAGTTAACATTAGATGAACTAACTGAAACTCAGTGTAAATATTATGAACAAGGCTAGAGAACAGTTTTTTTCTTCTGGCATGTTTAACTTTCGATTAATTTGCAGTTCTTCCAGTGTCTGTATTCAGGAATCAAATTAATCAATAAAATGTTCCCATGATCTTGACCTTTAGATTTATTATTCAAATAAATGTCGCATTATTTGTCCTGTGTGGTCTGAAACCAGGACTTAGAGGTAGGAGACAGCTCAGAGCGTGTACCCTGTGTCAATTTTTGCATTTGTTTTAAAGGACGACACTGTTTTGCATCAGTTTGTAAGGTGAGCTAAATAACCCACGTGTGCAGGAGAGGGAGAGATCCAAAGAGGGCTTATCAAAAACAATATTAAATTAAGGAAAATAAAAGTAGGACATTATGAAATTGGCTACACATATCTTTGATTTGGTTTCATCTGCAGGTCTGTGGAAAAGAGTGCTGTGTCAGCTTTTTTGATGCAGGCGCTGACAGTCTGATTGGGTGCGCCTTCATTTTTAGCTTGAATGCTTCGGTGTTGAATCAAAAAACCACAATGTTCAGATGTGCACGAGTGTGATAACACATCTTGGTGGTAAAAGATAAAATAAGAGGAAATTTGAAGACCATAACTTCATCATGATTTACACCATGACACTGACAGACCTTCTTCCTTATTTAAGTCACTTTGGACCAGTTTAATCAGAAACAATGAAAGTATAAAACATCTGAAATCTCCGTCAGAAAGAGTCATGCTCCACGGTTCAAAGATTTCTGGAGCCTCGACCTGCTATTTTAAGTCTTACTCTGTAGGGTCTGAGTCTTGATTAAGCGGATCAAAACCACCAACCACAGTAATAGCTACATTTTTTACTGACAAGCTCTCGCTCTCACTTTATTGTTGGAAATGTTAGTTTTCGTCCAAGTTTAGGGGAGTGGAGGATCAACTAGTTATGGCAAGTCTGATGTTGAAATTTCATCCCTCATTGTTGAACGTCTCCTCTGTAGTTCCTCCCCTGTGTTGTTGTTCTGTTTATCCGGGGACACATCTGTTTAACTTCACATTTCAAACCGGGTTCATCCACAGAAACAAGACACTGACCTCTGACCTTTTTTTTTAACACCACATTTCCTGCCGTTTTCTCTCTCCTCTCTCTCTCTCTGTGTCTGAACTCCCACGTCTCTCCCCTCTTCTTCTTCGAGCTCCCTCTCGATGACAGTGTGCCAGTCAGTGCTTGGAAGCCCTCACTCATATCTTGGCTGTATATTTATCTCTCAACTCTGACTCTGCCTTTATTCCCTGCAGCCTTATAAGGTCAGAATACAAGGGGAGAAGGAGGGCACAGGGAGCGAGAGAAAACGGTGGGAAAAGGTTGGACAATAGGGGACAGAAGTATTTTCCCACAAACTGGCTGCAGGAATAAAGGGACCCGAATGTAAAAGGCACATAAGTTTAGAAACACTTTAAAGTTGCAGAGCACTTTGATGTTAAACAGTGGAAACAATATATAATGATATTTGCTTAAGGCGAAGTGACAGACGGGACAAAACTGTCCGACTTAAAAGGACTTCAAAGTCTTCTCAGATGTGCTCGAACGTTTCTGTGACCGCTCTCTCCTCGTAGTTTTTCAATGATTGCTCTACTTTCATTCAGAAACTCTCTCGCTGCTCATGCACATCAAAAGCCTCTGAGGAGAAAAGACTATTTATCGCTGCACAAACACCGGAGTCCTCCACTTAAATAAAGACCCTGAAACTCGACCGCAACAGCATCGCCCACATCCTGAATTCTCTCCCCTCTTGCTTTCACTATTGCTTCCTCTTCACAGGGAGGTGTTTTCTCCATCACACACTCGTTCCTGAAAGCTGAGGGGGATTTTCTTTGTTTCTAAAGTGCTTATGCTGTAGTACTACTCAGCTGTGATATCCCCTTTTTGAACCGTCAGCTGATACACGCCTTCAACGGCGGATTAGACGACAACAACATTCGCAAAGTCAGTGAGAAATCCTCGATCCTGCTCTGTAGCTCATATTTACCTCCTCTCTCTCTCTTTCCTTTCAGAAATGCCCCAGCACAACATGGAGAGCACTAGGAGTCAGTGGCAGCCCGGTCTGCGGCCACCGTGGATCACCAGAGTGTCCGGCCATCAGAGCCCCGCCTCCTCGGGGGCGGAGTCAGACACAGAGAGTAGCAGCACGGAGAGTGAGAGGGTAAGATAAAGCTGTTGAATACCTGGTCTGCTTGACTTAAAAGATGCAGTGTCAGAAAAACGAACTCATCCTCTCGCTGAAATCTGAACAGTGATTTATCCCGTATGTTTCCTCTCACCTGGTCATTGTTTTGAAGCTCCGATGTGGTGATTTTTCTCTTTTTATCCTCCTTTTTCTTAGTCTTGTGCCAAAAAAACAGAGGGGGGCTCACTGAGGATCGTGACATCTCCCTCGATGATCCAGCGGCGAATCACAGAGCTCGACCAACACAAGGAGGAACTAAAGATTGAGGTGAGCTGAATATCTGAAACTGTCAACTAGTAAAAAAATAGAATCACAAATAGATTAATCAGAACTATTTTTAGCTGGAATATCCAAATCCATGAAGAAGAGAGGGACTGGAAGGATTTTATGGTTAATGGTCCTGTAAGAGTCTTTTGGTTTGAGTCAGTTTTGGCGCCCCCTGTGGACAAAGAAGCCATTACTATCTTGTCCTGTCTATGCTGAAGTAACTGACATAAAAACCTCATCCTGCTGACTGTTTGCAGTCAATTTCAGCATTTTTTTTCATGTTTAATGTTTTGAAAGTAGAGTCCACAGACACCTACCCGCTCACATAAGGTTAAGGCATCAAAAATTAGTTATTTTTTCTGTGCTGGTCTTTTCTGATTTTACATATCATAGAAAGGAGTCAATATGAATTACAGTCAATGACATTAAAGGGATATTCCGGTGTAAAGTTCACTAAGGGTCAAACACACCGTAACACCGAGTTAGACATCCCCTCGAGAGATGAATGTTGCCGACCGTTTTCTTCTCTAGTTATACCAACTTTAGTAACAACCACACGATAGCAATACACAGCAGTCTCAGGAGCCACCCGCTCAACCAAAACGCCACTCTATAGGCACAAATAATGCTCAGAACAGCACCTAACTTCATCAACAGTACATATAGGGTCCCAGCCAAAGTACTAGCCACCAAACATCTTTTTAACTTTGCCTGATTTCTTTAGCAAAGAGACTAAACACAACTCACCTACTCTCTTCCAGCAGCCGCTTGTTTGTAGTGAGACCTTGACCAGTCCATCATCGACTGAGGCGGGGGGCGCAGCTCAAGGAAGAACATTTAGACCGCTGTGTTTTGCTATTGTGCGGTCGTTACTAAAGTTGGTATAACTAGAGAAGCAAGCAGTCGCCAACATTCATCTCTCAACGGGGTGTCTAACTTGGTGTTACGGTGTGTTTGACCCCAAATTTTATGCTGGAATATCCCTTTAATGTAAAAAGAAGCTTTAAATTGGCATTTTTAGTCATTTCCAGCAGCCTTATATTAAACAAAACAACCAAACATGTAAATTATTTCTGTTTTTAATTAATATACAAACCATTTTACTCAGAGCAGTCCCTTATTTTTTAGGAATAGTGTGTTTATTCTTTTTAAAGGAGGAATGGCAAGCATTTCTAGCTTAGGGGGGTCATTTTTCACTATGAAGGTTGGGCTGTTCGATCCCTGCTCAAGCATTCCTAGCAGTGTGCGGATAGTACTAAGTACTGGTTGGCGCTTAGCTGGCATCTTCTACTGTAACTGTGTGTGAACTTTGTGTAAATTGGTGAATCTAAAATGTAAAACATAAGTGCTTTAGGAGTCCTGATACCATTCTAGTTCAGCCTTGTCTAATGTGACTATTTTACTGTTGGTAGCATTTATGATTGAAAACGATTCTTATAAATCTGTGTACGGAGCAGAAAGTTTCAAAAGACTGGTCAACATTTCCTGAAGTGAACTTTTCAAGTCAATTCTGGATGTCGTCAGAGGTGAAGTTTACTTAAATCCCTGAGTCTTCTCCGAACACCTCCACACTCACGGCGGAGGAATGCTTATCTGTGACTTACTCAACGCCGGGTCAATATTATTCACCTCAGCGGCGTCTTCTGTCCTCACAGCTGCAGCTGGAGATCGCTCTGCTGCAGGGAGAGCTGCAGACGGAGAAGAGCCAGCTGCACAGACACACACAGAAGCTGCAGACTCTACAGCAGGAGGCCAGAAAGAGAGAGGAGCCCAGGCAGAAAGGCAGACAAAAGGTAACGTGACTCAAAGCGGATTAAAAAAGTTTGGCTTTCACGGATTGTTAATAAAAAAGTCATGTATCATGCAGAGAAGGTTGTAGCAGAGCTTAACCGTAGTTGGATGTCTGTGCTCTTTCAGTACAAACAAAACAAACATGGTTGTGAAATCGATTTGTCATTGCATTCCTTTATGTCTGGCTGGACATTGTTTTTGTACTGCTTTAGAAAGTCTGATGATGACTGTGCTTTTGCTTTAATTTTTCCCCGCTCCTCTGTGACTGTGACTGCAGGAGAGAGAGAGACTGGAGGAGGAAAGAAGCCGGGTGGAGGAACTGAAGAAGAAGTGTGAGGAGAAGGAGAAACTGATCCCCACTCAGCCAGAGAGTCAGAGAGAGCAGCTGACTCTGCAGCTCCAGCAGGTTAGTGACTGAGCTGAGCACAGCCTCGTAGTGAGGAAACGCTCTCATCCTTGAGTTTAATCTTTATGAGTAACAGGGGTGAACTGTCTCTGTCAAATCAGACTTTTTCCATCTCTATAAAATCTACAAGTAGTGCCAGAAACTGGACTCTGCTTTTATAAACTTAACTGATGAGTGCAGCTGCAGCCTGACGTAGGAGCCTCCGAGATTTCTTGGTAAGCAGACTAGCAAGGTAATGTTATCTAAATACTGAATCTATTAGATTAGAAGTGATTCAGTTACCAGTCAAAACAAGCACTCAAATGTTTGAGTGTCTGCTTTAAAGAGAGTTGAAGAGTGGTGTTTTGTTTGAAATGCAACAAACTGCTTCTGAGTGACCTCAAAAAGAAAAACATCGAATTTACAGCCACAGAAATAAACAAAAAACTGAGAGCTGATGCTGTAAAAGGCCGATCTAAGTCGTTCATTGGTGTTAGGCTTTGTCCCATGGCGATCAAAATGCTGTTTTGTTCTTCCTCAGAGTGGGATTGTTCAGTACCTGTTCAGCCTGATATGTCAGGTGCTTAAATGCACAGACACAGTGTAAAGGACGTCTGCTCCTCTTTGTCAGCGTGAGTGGAAAAAGACAAAAGGCCGCCTTGTTTTTTACGACATCCGTGAACAGATTGATAGTTTGTGTTGAGACATGTCAGAGTTATGTGGACAGATTTTTATGGACTGGTTAGTCAAAATAATTGCACCATCGAGGTCCCCACTCACACGTGCGGTGAGACAGAAACCAGCCTGCAGGAGAGCAAACACTCAGGTATTTCAGTTTGGAAACACAGGTGATGACTTTTACTTGCATTGGCACTTTTTAGAGTTTTTGTGTTTAAAGAACAAACCAGTGCAATAACTGAGAAAGTACCTGAATAAAAAAAATACCACAATTATGAAGAGTGCAAGTTTTAATCTGAGTAAATTCCTAGATTCGTAAAAAAAAAAGTAAAAATACTATCTTAACACTAATTTAAAACCATTTTATGGAAGCAGTTATCTTTATTTAGAATATTAGTTTAGCAAATTAAAAAAAACAGTTTCTTCAGATTTAGGTTAAGATGTTCAAATTCGCACCTTTTTTGAAAAATTCAAAAATGCCTCAATGTTAAAACTTTGTAAATTTCTCTAAAGAAATAATTTGGTATCTGGCACAAATTAAACTTCCTTACAGGAGCTTTAAATGCAGTTTTTCCTCATCTGTGCACACAATGGTTGGAACTTTATTACCGCCCCAAAGCTTGCATGTTTCTGTATGTTGTGTCGTCTCCCTCGCAATGTTTTTGTTCACCTGTTCCTGTTTATTTTTAGCCATTATTTTAAACAGTCTGAACCACATGTGTAGAGTTAAAACAAGCTTCGTCATATTCGGCTAATTTTTCACTTAAGGAAAAAGAGGCGATGGAAGCAGCGGTTCGCGCCTTCGAGGACTGGGAGTTTCGTGTCCTGGAGCAAGAGAGCGGCATCGATGAGGAGGACGAGAGCTCGACGGACAAAGAGAAGGAGGGAGAGAGTGAAGGGGAGATGGAGAAGGAGATTTCATGTCAGAAGCAAGCAGTCAGCAAAGCTCAGGTAAGCAAGAACAAGATTTCTGAAAATTTTCAGCTGCTGCCAGCTTGTTTTACGGGTTTGTGGTGTAAACACCTGAGGGACCACTGAGGAAACTCCTCCAAACAAACACATAAACTGTCAGTCTGAACAAACATCATGTTTTTTACATAATGTTTTGTATACATGGCTGATACTGGTGCTGAGTTTGCAAAATGACGAACAGAATATTGTAGCAGACTCTACATGAAACTTCGAACCAGAGCGTCGCTGGTAAAAGAGCTAACTGGAAAAAAGCAAACTGGAAATGAGCAGGATTTTACGTTGGGTGTCAATGTTTTGCTGCTCTTTAAAGAAGAAAGATTTCACCTGATATTCTGACATTTATCCAGACACCAGAGCATGAGACAGAGCTGTGACAGGTGTTAGTAAACTGGTACGTTTGGTTGCCTTTTTATAGCCAACAGTAATAAATCAGAGTAATAAAAAGATTAATTGATGGCGTTAGGGATTTTAATTTAGTCAACAAACAGTTGTTTTAATGGGAAAAGATTGTACAACAACCTCCTCTTGAATCATTTATGGGTTATGATTAATATCTATTTAGTGAATATACTTTTCAGATATACCATATAAAAAAGTTTCCTGATTATATCATATTTAGTGGCTTCAGAAGAAGATAAGGGCCTCTGGAAAAAATGGTGGTGAGGTCTAGAGTTTTTTAAGAATCTTGAGATTAGAGCCTGACTTTAAAATCAGAATCTTAATAAAAAAAAAAAAACTGAATTCTGACTTTAAAATTAGAATTTTTATTCATTAAAAAAAAACAGAATTCTGACTTTAAAATCTAAATTTTTGGGAAAAAAAGTCAAAAGTTTGAGAAAAAGCCAGAATTTTTTTGAGTAAGTCAGAATTCTGATTCTGAGGCGAGAGTCAAATTCGGATTATAAACTCAAAAATCTGAGAAAAAAATTCAGAATTTCATCTATTTTTTCAGACTTCTGGGCTTAAAGTCTGATAGTTAAAAATGTCCCCCTATATATATTTTTTTAATTTGCCCTTTACTTAAAGTAAATACCATAATATCCATCACTGAACCATCCTTTTGTTACTAGATATTTGCCTTTCCATTTTGAACTGCCCATTAATGATCAGTTTCAGATATTTCTGAATGAAGATCTATAAATGAACATCAGAAAATGAGCTTTGGACCCGTACGTCTGAGCTCCTCCTCCTCTTACAGTAACCTGCAGCATTGATAACACTGATCAGCAGAGCTGTAAATCTCCCTCAGATCAGAGTATTTTGGACTCCAGCAGAGTTTACATTCTCACTAATGAGTTGGTGGTCCTGAAAAACTCATTACTGTATTAGATTTCCTGTTTAGAGTCACTGCTCACAATCACAGTCACTCTCTCGTGTCCTGTCACAGTCCGTGTTTCTCATTTCAGTTTAAGACTTGACACGAACGTGAACTCTTTACCTCACTCGCACCAGCGTCGTCCTGACACTGTCACATGACTCTGTAAAGCAAGCTTAATTACATCAGTGGCCGCCGTGAGAGAATTAAAGGGCCAGGACAGGGGAGAGCAGCAGCAGCAGCAGAGGAAAAGTGTAAATATTTCGAAGCACGGCCACATTTTTTCAGCTAAAATTATCTTTATGATTTTATTTATGAGCAGTATGATCTACATTATCTTTGTTCTTTTTTAACTCATTCATTTTTGGTGCTAAAAACTGAATCTCTGTTGTGTTTTAGGGTTTTAAACAGGAAGAAAATGTGGGAATTACAAGTAGGGTTTTTTAACTGCAGGGAAAAAAGGCCAGATTATAATTCATGGGTTATTAAAAATGTCAAAATCTAAAGATTTATTCTTGATCTGAAAGTGGTGTGTCTTTTGATGTGCCATACAAAACAGCTGGCAGCTAAAACAGCAACAGTGACACCTTGTTGTCGACCTAAAGGTAGTTTTTCAAGTTATTCACCTGAAGCTGAAAACCTGTTTTTTTTTTTTTTTAAGGCGGTGTGCAGGAAAAAAAGCCTCTGATTGGTCACACAGTTTGATTTTGAAAAGAGCAGGAATGATAAATCACTCTCAGCGCAGCTCCAAACAAGTGTGATTTACAGTGAAATTAAAGACAGTTTGAGTCGCTCCTTTCTGCTGCATCGTGACAGAGACTGTAAAAGTCTTTAGGTTCATATTCACATGATCATTCAAAGAGGTCGTGGACATGCTGGCACTTGTGTGATAAATCATAAATTCACTATAACAGGGAGGCTCCAAGTGTGGAGACAGTTGCACCCCAGTGTGTCCTTTGTTGTGAGTGTGAGTTATTGTTTTGAACATGTGTTTTCAATGTTTGTTTGTCTTGTAAAATATTCCTCTGACAGCGGCTTCAATCATGTTCACTGTGAAAGACTGAAATCACAGCGATGGTTTTATAGGAGGTTTAACACAGGGGTGCTTTATGCTGCATGCTAACAGTATGCAAATTCACTCACAATGGTGAGGCGAGTCTATTCACAGAGCAACGTTCACCCATAGAGTAACTCAAAGTGCTTCAAGGTACGGTGGCCCTGAAGGTCAATGGCATAGTTATTTAATTAAGGCATAAAGTGAGAATTAAATTATATATAATTATAAATTAAATTAAAATATAATTATAAAATACACGAACATTTTAGAAAAATAAAAATATTTTTTAGAAAACAAAGTAAATTCTAAAATCACATTATGTTTGAAAAGTTTTGAAAATATTTTTTAAAAAATGGCAAAAACATTTTTATGTTTAATAGACGTGTTTCTTGTGTACAAACAATATAAGGTGAGCACGCAACCAGAGGGTAAAAGCCTGCTTCGGAGTGAACTGATATCAATGAAGATGCCATAGTGTTTGCAAGTTCTCCCTGACACAGTTGCAGTAAAATGTCAATTCATTGAAAAATCGCTTTGTCTTTCTTTGCATCAAAATCAGAAAAACACTTGCCGAAATATTCATGAATTTCACTTAATTTACCAGGTTGTGACGTTGTTTTAGATGTTTCTAATATCAGGAGCAGGGTCATAATATTTGCCAATTGTTTGTTTTACCGATTAGCTTCTTGCCTTTTTCTTTCCCCCGTTGACTTTGCTAGTAAACAAATAAGAAATGTCCCACTTTCTGCCCCCTGGCTGCATGCGCATACCTGCGATGACGTTGCACAGAAACCCATCTATAGTTTTGTGTGATTCCCAAAGTCTTTTTGTGTTTTCAGCATTTTTTTTTTTGTTTGCCTTGCGCATACTTTCTATACTCTTCTTGACATCGAATAAATAGCATCTTTAGCTAACAATAACAGAAAGCACACAGTCAAAATTCAACATTTCCTTGCACTCAGTTTAATATCGAATCACTTATTAAGCAATGCAGTAATTTGATACGTCATACACCATAATGGATCTGTTATTGCCAATGAATGTGGTCCACATTTTTATCACTCATCTTTTTCATCATCTTCTTGGTTGTTGTGTGTCCATTCAGCAGATAAATACAACCCAGTGAGTCTGGCTCTGCTTCAAAGTTTCAGCCTGATACTGAGTGTTTGCTCCAATAAGAACAAAGTTGTGTCTCTGTGAATTAAGACTACAACGAGCGCTGTCTAGACTTTCTCTGTATGCAGAGTGTTTTAGGGTCACTCTCTCTGAGATTAAGTTTAATCTTAAGAATATCTGATTAAATAAAGGACATTTGATCCCTAAACTTGGGTTGGTAACTAGTGATGACATGCAGGAAAGATAAGTGGAAGTTACTTGTTCAGCCTCGGGGTTGGGCTCCTAATGATATTACAGGTAGGAACAGAAAGTAACAAGGCAGACAACTATAAAAAAAAATGGACTGACTCTTCATGAAGTGAAACTTTTCACAGGTCATCATGAAAGTTGTTGAGATATTTCCTCAGAACTGTAAGTAAAAAGTCAATTTTGAGGCAGAATTGAAGGTCCAGATAACAACTTTAGACAGATGTGTTCATTATCTGGAGACTGTGACTTTTTCCCTCTTTATTGCACGGTTTTAGTTTAACACTGTCGTTCATACCCGCAGAGCAGTGTGCTGCCAGCTGACTTAACAAAGTTGTGGGTAGTAAATATAGTTTAAAAAGACTTCATTTGTATTTCAGAGTCAGTTTCCAGAGGAATATATCAACACAGACGATGGAAAGATGGTGAAAATAATGTTGAATTGTTCCTGAATTAGCTGAAGTATGTAAGAGGAGGGGTTGAAGCGAGTTAAAGAGAGTGATTGTGTGCGAGGGATGGTCGTTGACTCAGCTGCAGATGACAGCTCATGTCTGTACCCTCTGTCTGTTTGTCTGTATGCTTCTCTGTGTTTGATATTTGCAGTCTTATACTCCAGTTTAAATATCAGTCCATCAGTTCTTTGAATAACACCCTCAGCCCTGCTGTCACGTGTCTCTCCCGCCTCTCATTAACTTGCAAAATGGTCTGATTTGCATTGTGTCACGGCTACAGAGATCATCTCTGCATTCACTCTGCTCCACCACACAAACACAAACACACCGTCGCATCAGAGATGGATTCAGTCACAGCGTAATGAGAAGATTAAGAAAGCTGAGGCCAGAAAATGAATCACCGACAGCACATGTCATTTGTGTTAAGTAAGAGGAACCATATGGTGGTCCACGCTGAGGGGAGAAATGTTTCTCATTTTCAGGAGCGAGTCCAGCATTTGGAGAAGCAGCTGAAGGAGATGGAGAGGCAGAAGGAGAAGGAGCTGAACGCCCTGAGGAAGGAGAAGAGAGAACTCGTCCACACGACTCAGGCGGTAAGAAGGATTTATGGCACTGTGATTTTTTTCTCGCTATCAGCTTGACTTCTTAACTTTCTTTAAAATACTGTACTCTAGTGGCTCATTATATAGTGTGTCTTTGTAACCTGCTGTTTACAACATCTGAAAATTTGGGTCATATTTTCAGTATGAGTGGGAATAATGTCTTTAGAGGTAACAAGTAGCCCCAGGACTACTTGATTACCTGATCATTACGTTTCCACTTTGTCCTTTAACATGAGTATTATAGCTCCGTCCGTCTTCTTTAAAGGGACTTGGTTGCCCATCGTTATGTGAACATAATATCAACACCACATTTTTAAACATCTGTAACTATATGGTCATGCTTTAATGGTCTGTAACTTAATTTTATGGTTTAATTCCCATCAGGCTTGTTTTGAGCCGCAGCAGCAGCTGATTATAGCCTCAGCCAAGTGAAAAACAAGGTAGAAAACAGAGTCGAGCATTTAGCAGATTTAAGACTTGACATTCATTTCATAGTTGGAGAAAGCCAGAAACGGAGCTAGATGGGAGGAAATCTTAAAGTTGCATTCAGAAAGTGGCCTGAAACAGAACAAGAGGCGAATTATCACGTTAGACTTGTTGTGCTTATGGCAGAAAAACAGTAAATTACTGTAACCCCAGTAGTTGGCATGAAATAACTTGTAAGTTAGACAAATTATGAAGATTTCGGTTTTTAAGTAAGAAATGCTGGTTGTAGTTATAACTATCTATGGTGCCCTACTAACCTGATGTACCCTGATGGCACAATTTGACAGGAATTTTACTTAAAAAATGGAGATAAAGTTGTATGTAGGCTTTCTGAATAGACTGGCATATGACCGCTCAACTGAAGCAACGTGTAACCAGGACAGACGTGTTGGATATCAACCTGCAAGAGGAACCTTGTGGTGGAAAACTCTCAGCAAATTTTGCTTAATATATAATAATATTTAAATTTTGCTTAATTTCAACTGTTTTCCACGTGTTTATTTAACCTTTAGCCTTATTGGTTCACCTGAATTTAAGTCTATCTGAACAAACAGGAAATTAGTTGCTATGGAAAATCGTCAGTTGTGCTGCCCCCATGTGGTAAACAGAGAAGTGAATCCAGGTCTTGCGAGCTAGCTAAATAAGCAAGAGCTGGCAAGCCAATTTATAGAAAAGCATCACAATATTGTTTGCAGGAGGCGTATGTATACCTGTGTGCTTTGTTCCCATTTTATAGTGTTTTTCCAACTGTCTTGGGGGAACTTAAGAGTTTTTATGCCTCCATAGCAATGCCTTATGAAAAAGTAGCGTACCTTAAGCGAAAATTGCAGAAAAAATACAACTCACAAATAGTGGATAAAGAAGGTGAATTTAAAGCTCCTGTGAGAAGTTTTTTGGCACCTTTGAAATACACTGAAATTCATAGTGATACCTTTCTACAATCTCCAGAAGCAAAAAAGACCATCTGCGTTATGATTGAGGATTTTCATTTTCTAATTTTTAATGCCTGAAACTGTTGCGAGGGGTTAGATGTCAGCCACTCAGCTGAGGAAACAGCCTTGTATTCATACATAAGGTATCCACAGTAAATGGTACATTTGACTGTCAGAGGTCAGCAGGATTATGTTTTTGTAAGAAGCATACAGAGGAGAAGATAAACAAAGACTGCTTTGTCTTCAGGAGGAGCCAAAATTGACACAAGGGGAAAGTTCCTTATAGTAGCTTTAAAATGCCACAGGATTACTGGAAAAGCTGCCAATAATATCAAGCAAGAAATTGATACTAAACCTGAACAGATTCACTGAATAGTGATCAGAAAGTTGTTTCATTTGGTCTCTGATCGATTTTCCAAAAAATATTGCCTCATTTTTGGTTTATATTTTTGAGGCCAGCATGAATCTTTGTGTGTTATCAGAGTTTATTATGAATACTTATCTCCCAGAGTGTGTGATTTACTCACTCAGGAGTTTGCCTTTTGATCAGACTGATGACAGCACCGGTTAAACTCAGGAGGAGACGAGATGTGGACGAAGAGTAAGCAAATCCAACGTGGAGAGAGAGATAGAGAGAGAGAGCTGAACTCATGCTGGAGGGAGGGGAAAGATAGAGGGAGGAGTAAGCAACGCAAGGGAGGGTGCTCGACCGTGAATGTGTGTGTACATGTGAGTGTGTGTGGATGAGTGAGAGGGAGAGGAGGAAAGCCGGGAGAAGTTCCACATCATTACAACAAGCGGTAAGTTCGAGAAATTGGCAGAAATCGATCTGCGCGGCTGACAGCCGTTAAAACTGCGCGTTTCAGAGACATGTCTTCATGTTTAGATCACGGGCTCCTCTAAATGAGAGAGCAGGAACAGCTGGAGGGAGGGCAGAAGGGAGTGGCGGCACAGAGGAGGAGAGACGGACCAGCCAGTTCAGACAGCATGACCAGTATGATCGCATGAGGGGTGTACTTTAATTCTGACAGATATTTAGTAAGCGCTGGACGTCAGTGATGTTAGTAATAGAGGGAAAACCGACCCACCCTGCTGGCAGCTCATGTGAAACTATTCTGATTACACCAAGCTTAAACATAAGAGGCCTCTATAATCGATTTTACTCTTGGAAATTTAGCAAAAAGAGCAGAAAACACTCACGGGTCGGCCACTGTTGTCTGGCTCGTCACTCTTCACACATGCCCTGTCAGCATGTGTTTGTGTGGGGCACTGGAGGGACAGATAAGGGTTAAACTGCAGACGGCATGCAGCGTCTGAATTGCTCATGTGTTTGTGAGTCAAGCAGGGAGGGAGGATACGAGGGAAAGATAGTGGGGGAATGATAATTTTTTAACTCATTAGGATCCCTCCTCACAGCGGCAGATTTCATTCTCAGCTGGATGTGATATGTTGAACGCAGCAGTCATCATCAATCACGGGATCTGTCACCTCCCCTGCTGCTCTGTTTCTCTGAATCTATTAAACTTAGTACACTTATCTAAAAGTTTGTGTCTTACAGCCAGTTGTCATCAGATATATGTTCCTTGATTTCAAATGAAAACCCTCTGTGGTTCGACAGGTTCTCAAGGAGAAGAAGCCACTCACTGATTGGTCGAACGTCACTGGCTCAGCCCCCTGCATGATGTCACTTTCACCTCTGACCGTTCACAAGCCTCCTCAGGTAAGCAACAGATGCAGATACAGAATTTGATCACTTGGTTTATGAAAAGGCTTTTCTTTGTTTTCTAGAGATAGCTGCAAAAACTTTGACCAATGCTTCAAATTTAAAGACGCTCATAAAACCAGAAAAAAACTTAATATTTTGGCCAGAAATAAATCTTTTGTGTCACCAACCTTTTCTCCATTTTTGCTTCTGTTTTTTTCTCTTTTCTTGCTTTTAAAACTATAAACAAACAACATCAAACTATCTAATTTCCTTTTCCACACAAGAGTGATTATAGTTTGTCCCAAGGAGCCTGTGATTACAGCCGTAGCCATAGCAACCATGTGTTCTTCACGACAACAGACCAGTATCGAGAAATAACAGATGGTTGCTATGCAGTATTAAACATGAATCAAAATTTTTAACCTTTTATTCTTTAATCTTTTTTTTAGTCTTCCTTAAATATCTAATGTATGACCCCGTTTTAGCTCAATTAAAACATGTTTGTCCACAACGTCTTTTGTTTTGTAGGAACCGTACAAAGAATCGGCCAGTTTACCCAGAAGACGCAGCTCAAATCGAACCCGACCAAACGACCGGCCGCTCTCAGCGCAGGGTGAGCATTCACTAAACCTCATTCTCTGTTCCCTAATGTGCTTTTGTTTGTAAAAACTGAGAGCACCATGATATCGAACAATGAACCTGCTCTCTTTGAGCGCATGTCCTCGTTTTGTCGGACTGTTTGCTCAGTTCCCTCCCTTTTTAGTCAAATTAAAGGTGTGTCAGAGGAAAGAGGCAGGTTGTTATTGTGTTGGTGGAAAGCAGGATTTACCTGTATGGACCGGATGAGCCAGAGGAGCACACATTTACTGACGTTTAAAGCCGCTTCAGCAGTATCGGTTTTTCACACACACCTTTCTGACGTTAATTCTGTAAGACGCCTGATCTACTAGGTCAAGTCAAGTCTTGTTGTGTATGTGTCCTACTTTCTTTTCCCTTTTTTTAATATTAAGACTGAAAACTCTTAATGTTTTTCACTGCCAGCATTGTACAAAAAGTCACAGCACATTTTTCATGAAGCTCTGAAGTTTTTATGTCTTTCTCTGTTACCTTCCTCTCTCAGGGTTGGTGAGGGCGCTACCAGACAGCTCCGGGGCCTTCACATCCCCCCTCCCCTCCCACAGGCTCAGTAACGGGCACAATAGCGTGCACAGACCTGTGACCAGCAACGGTGGCGGGCTCATCACTCCCTGTAACAGTACGACGAGCTCTCGAGCTGCCAGGTCAGTGAGTACACCGCTGGTTTGATGAGATATTTTTTAGCACACTGAAAACCTCCTCATCTGCAGCTCTGACAAAGTTTAAGGAGAAAAACAAAACAAAAACAAAAACACAGTTTTATCCCTTTGTATGAGACTGGCCAGGCTGCAGGAATAACAGAACTTACAATAAACCATAAAGACATTTTAAATCTTTTAGCTGATGGTCTGTTTTGGGATTTCGTCAGCTGTAAACAAGTAACAGTATTTACTTGTTTACAGCTGACATTTTTTTTCTGGAAGTCCCTTAGCTCCATCATGCTGTAGGTTCCTCTCCATCACTCCTGCAGATTTTTTGCTGCGGTAAACCTTCCTGCTTTACATCTACTTAAACTACTTGCATCTGTCTCACCTCTGTCCATCGCTCTCTTTCTGCATCTCCTTCTATCCCCTCTCTAAACCCAATACAGTCTCAGCAGATGACTGTCCAACATGAGTCTGGTTCTGCTCGAGGTTTCTGCCAGTTAAAGGAAGTTCTTCCTGTCCACTGTTGCTAAATGCTGCAAGTGCTATAAATGAGGTGGGAGGAGGTCTTATAAGATGAGGCTCAGTCCATATTTACATTGGGCCTGATTAATGCTAAAAAAAAAAAAATTATAATTGTGCTTATTTAAAGGGATATTCTGGCATAAAATTAAGTTAGGGTCAAACACACCATAACACCGAGTTAAACACCCCCCTCGAGAGATGAATGTTGCTGACCGCTTGCTTCTCTAGTTATACAAACTTTAGTAATGATCGCATGATAGCAATACACAGCGGTTTGAGGAGCCATAAACAAACCTCAACCAAAACGTCACTCTATAGCCAAATAAAGCTCAGAACAGCACCTAACTTCATCAACAGTACATATAGGGTCCCAGCCATAGAACTAGACAACAAACATCTTTTTAACTTTGACTAATTTCTTTAGCAAAGAGACTAAACACAACTCACCTACTCTCTTCCAGCAGCCGCTTGTTTGTAGCGAGACCTCAGGCCAGTCCATTACGGACTGTAGTGGGGTGACACAGCTCAAGGAAGAACATTTATGATCATTTCTTCATGGAAATACAATCAGACCAAGACGTTAAGGCAGAAGATCTACTAAGATCTACAAAGATCTAAGGTCTGCAGTGCAAAATGACTAATATGGTGACTATTACCTCAAGGAAATGATAAAGTAATGATCATAAACGTTCTTCCTTTTTCTTCCCTTTAAGTATAGATATTATATGATCATATGTAGAGGTAGCGCTGAGTACACTTAAGATATGCAGGTGCATGTTCAGCACAATGAGAGAGGATTACTTTGCTTGTTCTGTGTATTTAGCCTCACAGTGTCCTGCGTTGTTGTCAACATGGGTTGAATTTTATCAGCTTTTAATGATCTTAGACTCTTGTTTTGGTCTCTTTAGACTAACTAGTATCCTTCTCTCCTGCAGCCCGTCTCTGTTGGACCTCGTGGAGATCGAGAAGAAGCTCAGGGAAGCCAAAGCAGAGCGAGAGAGGCTGCTCAGAGAGCGGGTGAGTCACCTGCTGTGGGAAAAACACTCATGACACCTCTAATCACCCCTGACACTCGGCATTAGACACGGCTGTCCGCTCGCTGACACCCACCCGTCTCACACATGACGGCACCAAGAAAACAGCCACCAGATGTGTGGATGTTTGTGATGCATTTTTGACGCACTTGCAAATACCAAGACAGAGAAATGTGTCGCCGTTTCAGTGTTAAAAGAGAGAAGAGAATTGTCGCCTATTGTTGTCAGTCCTTGATTTAAATATTTATTTAAGATTCAGTGTTAAGATGATGATAACCTGATATTCAGTTTCTTTTTTGGGCACAAATATGTAGGAATCCCTCAGCAGTACATTTCTTTTTGGGATGTAGGATAACTGACTTTTGGTACCCTGACACAGCTGATGGTGTTTTTTGGCTTTTCACTGATTCATTTGTGTCCCCAGGAAGAGCGACGGCGGTTGTTATTGGAAGAGAGGCGGCAGAGGGAACTAAATTCTCCGAAGACAGAACCAGCAGAGACAGAGACAGAGACAGAGACCCCACGAAGTCCAGCGCCAGAGCCAAGGGAGGAACCAAAGGCCAGCTCTCCCCTAAAGTCACCAGAGGTATATCAGAAATGACAAAATCAAGCTGTGTTTAAAGACCTGAAAATCTGCTCTCAACTTGAACAGATTTACTGTTAATATTGTTGATATTTTGTAGTTTGCTCCTTCCCTGTTCTGTGTTTTGTTTTGTTTTAAATCCAGCACCACAATCTAACATATTTATCAGCTAATATAGCCTAAAACATCTGATAAATCATAGCCCCCTAACTCTGAACTCCTAATAAAAAAAAGCTTTTTCAGCCAAATGCACCTGGAAATAATCAGTCTTATTGACTTCTAAATCACTCCTCTTTCAAATCTCAGTTTTTCTCTTTCTTTATATTCATGAAAGAATCCAAAACTTTCAAAAACAAGTGACCATAATTAAAGGAGATGAGTGTTTCTGTTTTTTTTTCTGTTTCCAGGGAAAATTAAAGGTCTCCTTTCACCCAAACTCTGTTTATCTCTTCAGCAGCACAGCCTGCCTCTCTTCCTCTCTCCCAACTTTGACCTGCGGGCGCACCTGGAGTCTCTGGGTCACGGCGTTGCCGGCTGCACAGATCTGCGGTTGACTTCCAGACGCTGTGCGGGCTTCCTGACCAAACGAGGGGGGAGGGTAAAGACCTGGAAGAAAAGATGGTTCCTGTTTGACATGGACCATCGACGACTAGCTTACTATACAGGTTAGACTGGCTGGGAGAGGGGGAGTGTGTGTGCAAATACTGAGTGTGTGTTTGCATATATGAAAGCCCTGTGTGTGTCATCATAAGTTTCTGGGAGAAGTCAAAGTAAAATGCATCAATTTTATTATTTTCTGGCTGTTGTCCTTCATTTAATTTATGTTTAATTGTGTTTTTTTACTCCCTTTCTTTCAGAGTGTGATGAGCGGAAGCTAAAGGGAGTCATTTATTTCCAGGCTATAGAGGAAGTTTACTATGACCATCTACGAACGGCTACTTCTGTAAGTCTCCTAATAAATCACAGGATAAAGGGTTTAATGCAGCAGCAGGTTATTGTTGGTATCCATCATGCATGCTAAAACTGAGGAGAGATGAAGAGGTGGATGCCGGGAGAGTGATAGGGCTTAATACTCGAGCAGAGGCAATGAGTGGAAACCTTGCAGCTGAAATAGACCGTCAAATTGGGAGGGTGTGTTTGTCAGGTGATAGTGAGAATGATGCATGGCAACTGCAAAATCAGTGCAGCTGGAGTCTCTCGCTTTAACTAGTTAGCAGGCGTCGTTTCATACGTTGATTGATTAAAGCTGGACATTTAATTCACAGGTGGGAAATTTTTAAAATGCATATACACTGAATTTGAGGACAAGAATGCATAACCATCAATGCATAACCTCCTTTAAAGTTTTCAACTGAGGGGGCGTTACCTTTAAATGTCATATAATTTGTGAAATTATTCCTTTTCTTTGGGTTTATTCTTGTTTATTCACATGACAAAGAGATTAGATCCACGATCGGAGGTCAGTCTCTTTCCAAACGGGTCAGTGGACAGATTATAGACCTGGCAGATACGTGTGGGATTAAAGACACAGGCGATCTCTGTAATTATTGAATTAGAAATCAAAGGCAGGTGTCCAGTTACACAAGATATGCTGAGTGGAGGTTGACTGGTCGCAGGTGTTGAATAACGTGTCATATGACTCTAAAGGTTCACCGTTACATTACAATTATATCCTCATAAAAACCCCGTCAGTACTTTCACCAAAAGGGAGCTTTAAAAATCAAACACTGTGCTCTTTTACCACTTTTTTATAATGTTACATATACTTCTCTGAGCCGCATCTTTTATTTAAAGCTCCTGTGAGGAGTTTTTTAACCTTTATGAAAAACACAGAAATTCACTTTGTTTCCTTTTAACGATCTACAAATGCAAAAAAGACAATTAGCGTCAAGACGAACCACTTTTATATTGTAATTTCTGATACCAGAGTCAGTGTATCAGGGTAAGTGATAACTGAGCAGCTGAAGAAACAGACATTTGCAGGACGAAATTTTTACGTCTAAAAACAACTTCAGCATGTAAAGAACAAGATTAACAAAGACAGCTTTGTTCACAGGGGAACCAAATTTGATGCAAACCCAAAAGTATCACAGTAGCTTTAAGAAGAGGGTTTTTTTCTCAGTAGGATATAGAAACTTTCAACTTTATTTTAGTTTTATGGCACTTTTCAGACAAAAAAAAGGAGCTCAAAGTGCCTCACAGAGGCTAAAAACAACAATTAACAACAACCTCCCACCCACACACCCACCCATGGACCTACAGACACACAAAGACACACACCCACCCTCACTCACCCACACATACACACACACAAGCGCACACAGTGTGAGAATTTAAGATATATTGTTAAAGAGACCTGACACCGTGACATTACGTGAGGAAAGAGCTACCTTTTGGAAAACACTGAAGATAAAGATAAAAAATTGTAAAAAGAAAAAGTAAAACAAGAAAATAATATTGAATGAACAGATAAGTAAGAGCTCTTTACCATGTAAAGGGGTAAAAGAAGTAAAAACCTCTAAGACGAGAATTAAGAAAAAGACTAAGAGCAGAGATAATTAATAAAATGACATTAAATAAACATTAAGAACTTTGATTAAAATGAACATTTGCAATTAGAGAATTATATAAAGGCAATTAGTGAAAAGGCTGGTCAAAAAGGTGAGTCTTGAGCCTCTTCTTAAAAACATCAACAAGTTACACGTTAAAGTAAACAACTGTATTTTCAAAAACTTGAAAACCTTGTGGAATATAATACAAGATGCAGTGTGTAGTATTTAGCACTATTTATATGATATATAAAATAATAATAATAATAATTATTATAATAATAATAAATTTTATTTATAACGCACTTTTGCAGGTGTTAAAAAACACCTTACAAAGAAAAAGAAGAAATATATTCATAATAATATTCATAAGTCTGTGTAACTTCATGAAGATGTAAACCTCTCTACCTTTATTCGTCACCACAACTTCACATATTTCTCCTCTTTTTCAGTCTCCTCGACCCAGTCTGACGTTCTGCGTAAAGACATACGACCGTCTTTTCTTCCTGGTGGCTTCTAACGCAGTGTCCATGCGCATCTGGATGGATGTAATCGTCACGGCAACAGATGAGCACAGCCGATATTGACATCTGGCTTATGTGACTTTTAAAAAACCTTGAAGGGGAGCTACTTAGACATGCAGTCATTTTTTGGTCCCTGTGTGAGGGGGGCTGGTGTGACTGAGAATTACATCAGGGGTGGATTCTGCACCCGGACTCAGGAATCTGTGGATACGAGAAGCACTGAGGTGCAGGGGTTTGAGGGGCTCAAACCTGTGGAGGACACTGTTACTGAAGAAGTGATGCCTTTGTGGTGACAGGTGCTCACCTTTATCAGAACACTTCGAGGCTTTATTCACTCTTTGAGTCTGATCTCCCCCTGCTGGTCACTGTCCGCCATTACAGCATTTAATGCCATTACATGATGTAAAGCCGGACGGCTGTGGATTTCACTACAGCTCACTGTGCAGGGATTAAAGTTCGTCAATTTGATAATTGGATTGATGTTTTGATCAGTGTCTATCCGACGGGACAAAATAAATCAAGGGGAGCAGAGTTTTATAACGTTACCTACAAATCGCCGTTTTAACCGTGAGGCAGGTCCAGGTCTTTCACGTGAATCGTGTAGTATAGCTGTAGTATTCAATTTCTGCTGATGTCCATGTGCCAATCAGATCTTTCATCTCATCTGCAACGTGACGTCCCCTGGAAGACACCGTCTGCCCTCGGTAAATAGTAAGCTTCATTTTCGTAGCAAACATTAAATGTCTGCTCTGCTGGCTGGATGGATGTTTTAGAACCTACAGCACAGATCTGCTTCATGTGCACTCCGTGTAAAGTGAGTGATTGTCGCTAACTTGATGATGGAGTTTACCGGTAGACCCGTTTAAGTAGCTAAATATCGACTTCTGTAAACACCGAGTCGTTTATTTACACGTAACACGTTACAGGAGTTACAACAGAGTGACGATTGAACAGCGCGAGACAGGTCGAAGTAACGTTTAAAAAGAGCCGTTAAAAACCACCGTACTCACGTTAATGTATGTTGAACTAGCAATAGCTTACTTTTTGGCGTGTTTTCAACTCTGTGGTGTAGGGTAACTAAGCATATTAAGTCAAGTACTGTACTTAAGTACGATTACAGGTACTTGTACTTGGAAATTTCTATTTCCTGCTTCTCCTGGAAACAGTATTTTTTTATAGCTGCAGTTACCTTATGATTCATGGTGGGAAAAAAATTTAAAAAAGCTAAAAATATTTTATTATATTTAATATGACAGTTATAAAACAGAGTATTAGGGCCACATTAAGAAAAAAAAATATGACTTCGAGAAAATTAACACTTGGAGATTAAAGTCATTAATTTACGAGAACAAGTTATTACCAACGACAATGAAGTCGTACTAAAATCCATACTTACGAGAATAAACTCATAATAAAGTAGTTACTTACGAGAATAAAGTCGTAATTAAGTAATTCGTGAGTAATTACTTAGGAGAATAAAGTTGTAAAAAAGTAATTACTTGCAATAATAAAGTCGTAGTAAAGTCATCCCTTACGAGAATAAAGTTGTGATAAACTACGACTACTACTATACTTATGATAATGTGGTGCTGATGTGCCAAAAGATTAAGTATCTCTTTGTTTGAGAAACATATTGAATTACATTTTCACAAAATGCTCCATTGCTCTAATTTCAACAACTGTCATCTTTAACAACATTCTGACTTCACTCCCGTAAGTGATTACTTTACTAAGATTTTTTTGACGTAATTACTTTATTACAACTTTATTCTCATTAGTAATGACTTTATTACGACTATGTTCTCATAATTACTTTATTACGACTTTATTTTCACAAGAAATGATTTTATTACAGCTATTCTCGAAAGTGATTACTTAATTACGACTTGATTCTCATAAGTAATGATTTTATCACGACTTGATTCTCGTAAGTAATTACTCTTTTAATGACTTTATTCTCGTAAATTAATGACTTTCATCTCAAAGTCTTAATTTTTTTTATTTATGTGGCCCTAATACTGTATCGTAAAAACTCTGTCGTACAGTAAAGTTCTGTAATAAATTGATCTGATTGGACAAGAGGCGTTCCGTTATTATCGATATTCTAACAGCAGCTGGTTCTTTAACCATATATTTCACACCGCCTCAGCAGTCTTTATCTGAGTTAATGAAGCTTTTATCTCATAATGAGAATACAATCAAAACTCCATTACTCTGATTTCATAATAAACATCTACACAGAATTCAAGGCAGCTGGTCTGCTGTAACCTGCAGACATACATGTCATTGTTTTCTTAAATTACTCAAATATGCACAGAGCTGTTGTATAAAAGTAACATCACATGATAGGGGGGGTGCCAATATACTGAATATCAGTGTAGTTGAGTGAAATAATCCAGTGCTGATATTCAGTACAACAGAACTCCCTCTTGTTTGATATTGCGTAACATACAAAGGCGTCATGTGTTGTGGAGAAAATTCACAAAGCACTTGGTTCCTTGTGAAGTTCTGGATTAATATAGATATGTTAAATTAAGCTCCTGCTCCACCAGCTGCAACATTAAAGTAAAAAGGCATCAATAATTACAAATTAACAATAATGTTTGCTGATGACACCATTTGAAAAGTGATTTTTCTTTTGGTTTATGAAAGTATTGTTTAATGGTACATCTTTTGTTATTGAAAAAAGCTCTTATTTTAGTATTAATCACTCGTCTAAAAGTGCCCTAAACTCCCCCTAACAACTTTTGTCATCACTGTCCTTTTCCACCACAGATTGTTGAAATCGGCCACAAGTAAAGCTCAGTCTGACGCCATCCTTGTCTCCCCTAAACAGGAAATGTACTTCATAACAGGGAAATTTGAAATAAGCCTCTTTGTCAAAAAAAGCTAAAAAAATGGCTTTAATCTCTGCACACTGCAATGGGGTATACATACAGTAACAACAACAACAACAACCGTATAATGCAATCAAATATAACAGTCAGCATCTGATAATCTGGTGTTAATCGTCAGACAGATCTGAGTTTGTGCTGCGGTAAGTTCTTGTGTTTGATTGCTTTATACACTTCCACTTCCTTGTCCACATCCTGTATCTTTGTTCTGATGACTTTACTATTCATGAATTAAGTTATTATTTGAAATTTATATGGGTTTGATATGCAAATAAATGAAGGCATATACTGTATTAAATGCACTATTAAATTTTTATTGATAAAAGTTTGTTAAGTTTTCTCTCTTTTTTACGACTGGTTTCATATGGAACCTCAAGAAAGCAATAGCAAAATCAAAGGGCTGGTAATTTTATATTATTTATGCTATTTTGATTAATATCTGGGTTCATTTTCACCTGCTCAATTAGTATATTAATGTTTTTTTAACAGAACAACCTATTACAGAAGATGTTGCAGATGTTTTTCAACCATAAAATTCTTCCTGTTGTTCATCTGGGTCAATATGCTTCAATTTTAACAATGTCTAAACAGCACTAACCATCAGTCCACTGTCTGGACTTTTTCACTTTTTAAGGGTTTTATTTCATACACAAAGAAATACAGTCAAAGATAAAACTTTTGCACATTTTTAAGCACCACTCATGGAGCCAGGAAGTTATTCTCAGGCTCTTTTTTTGAGTCACTTACCCAAACAGATAGAAGTCTTCCTGTAAAGTAGTAAGACCTTACCTCAAGCCTCAGTGATTTGAATGACCAACCCTGGGAACTGTCAGATTCACCAACACGTCTTCTTCTTCTTCCTATTTCAGTTCAAATTAGCAGGTAAACAACCATTGTGTTATTATGTAAACTTTAATTTTGCCCCTTTTCAGCAGTTTTTACTCATCTTGATGGTTTTACAAAAGTATTTGACTTAATCTCTCATACATTTTTACTAGGTGTATTTGAGTGCTTCATAAAAAAAGAATAAAAATAGAAAACTATATCTTTGCCCCACTGAACAAGGTGGCAAAAACCAGCGTTTCCCCCACAGTGTGTGTTTTAGCCTTATCAGGATAAAAAATAGTACCAGTTGAATAATAGTTCCTTCACCTCGTTGCCGCCGTGCTCTCAATTGTTCATTTAAGTAATCAGATCTTTTTAATTAGATTACTTACATGTGGATGTAGTCAAATTGCAATTGTTTTTCTCTAGCTGTACAACCATGACTGTTCTCCTTCTCTTAATAAAAAAGCTGAATATTCTGATGAGTCAGGCGTGAGTGGGCTGAAATCGAGCTGATTTAAAGACCTTCAGTTGTTCTCTGGTAGAAAAAGATGATTTAGTTAACTAGAAAAATATCCTAATACCCAGAGGATGATTTCCTGGCTCAGCAGTCATTCTTGTCTGTCTTGTCTAGCTCACTAATGTGCCACTTTTGTTACCGTAGTACAGACAGAGAGAGAATCAGATCTCTGTTCTTGTGCAAAGCGCCACTCCCCAGACAGATCCTCCAACAGCTGAGCGTGGCATCCAAACACCCCGCCAGTCTGACATGACTCAGTAATTGGATTACCACCACTGACCTTTCAATGCTGGTAAAACATTTATTTGCTCTTTTATCAAATGCAAAATCAGTGTTTAGATATCAGAAAAGTTTGTTTTTTACTTTGGCTGCAAAATCAAAACAGGAGCTTTGAATCTAAATCTGAACTTTTCTCTTTTTTTCTGCAGAAAATAAAGACACTGTATGCTGAGCATCATTGTTAGCTGTAAGGTAAGATGGTTACACAAAAATCAACTGATTACGAACTGTTAAGTTATGTCTGTGTTTGTCTGCCATACTTCCAAAACTTTAAGTCTTCTTCCTCTCCTTTTTCTGCTAATTTATCGTTAACCTTTTTTTCTGGTGTAAGGTTTTGCAAACATAGTCAAAGTTGTACATTCTTGCACTAAAAGCAAAGTTGTGTGACTATCTCAGCATCATTTGCAGACATTTCCTGTGTATTTTCAGAGTTTGGGATGGTAGAATTTAACTTAATCTCTATATTTCAGATCATGATACACTGAATAAAAGTCAAATTTTCTCATTAGATTTATAAATCAGTGCAAAGATGTAAAATTGCAATTGGTTAGTGATAAGACAAGCTGGTCCATTATCACAGCGTAGTACAAGTTAGGTTGAAAGTGTTATACGACTATTTTTACAAGCTTAAGTGACTTGTGAATTTATTAAATTGATAAAAATACAAATATTGATGATATTTTATTCTAACAGTTTTTTTTTTTTTGGTCTCTTTTTTTGGTCTTTTTTAGCTTATTTGTCATACTTCCTTTATCTCTATTTGCACTATACACTTATAGCTGCTACACAAAAAAACAATTAAGATTATTGCAGAAACTCTGAGGGGTGTAACAGTACTTTGTATGTCTGGTAAATTCAGATATAAATTGTATTTAGTGAGTTTTCATTGTGCCAACTCCAAAGTAAACTTACAGATTTATTCGTGTCCTCTTCCTCTCTGCAGGATCACCAACCTGACAGTAAAGAATGACAGGTGCTGTTGGGATTTTCCTCATATGCTGTCTACTCCAAGGTAAGCTGTTCAGACTTATTTCTATTGTTGGATGTCTTCGTTATGTAACATTCACTCACATATTTGAAATGGAGTTTTGACTTAGAATTTGGAATTTATTTATTGTATGTCATATAATGTGATAACTTTTGTGGAGAATTAAAAAACTAATGTGAAGGTAAATGATTTAATTGTAGAAAAAAAATTATCTGGTGTATTTTTGATTTATGTTTTTTTCTGTTTAAATTAACAGATGTTGTATGTTGTAAGGAAGGTTCTGCCTCTTCTCAAACAGGTCACGGGTTTTTCTTTTTATTTTATTAAATAGATCATTTATGCTTTATTTGTTTTGCCTCCAAAATATGGGAGGTATTCAAGATCAAACCAAACTTTAAAAAATGATTGATTCAGAGTCCAGGCTGTATTCACTGAGATATTTTACCTTCAGTCCAAACATTAAATCTCCCGTGAGGAACTTTGAAGTCAATTTTGGCTCCCCCATGAATAAAGTTGTTTAAATTGTGAAAAAAAGGGCTGTTTTATAGCTGCTTGACCTAGCTACAGACACCTAACCCTCACATCGTTTCAGGTATTAAAAATTACTTTACAAAGATAATCATTCATGTCACTAATGGTCTTGTCGGATTCTGGAATTCATAAAAAGGCGTTGATGTGGATTTTTGGTCTTTTTAATCGATGCCAAAAAAACTCCTCAGGGGAGCTTTGATAGACCAGTGAGCACTGGCTAGAAGAAATCTGCATTAATAGGCAGAAACCTTGAGCAGAACTAGACTCATTGGTTAATGGTCACCTGCTGTAATTTTTGGTCAACTTAACGTTTATTTTGTTGTTGTCTCTTTTCTTTCCCCACAGGTAGCTTATGCCAGCAGTGGGATGCCTTCATGCCCCAGGCGGTGGATGGACTCAGTGGATCCTGTGTGACCATCCCCTGCACGTTCAGCATGCCCTCAGTTTGGGATCAATACCTGGATGATTCCTGCAGAGCCATCTGGAAGAGAGGCAGCTGGAGTCGAACGCAGGTGTTTGACTCAGGCCTCACCGGCATGAACACGGGATTTAACATCCTGCAGGGAAACCTGACGGGGGTCCTGCGTGAGAAGGACTGCACCACCGTCTTCAACAACCTACCATCCAACCATTATGACAACTACTACTTCAGGCTGCAGTGTGACAACGATCTGAAGTTCAACTTTCAAACAAGTGTCCTTATCACTGCTCAAGGTCTGTTCCACATCCTCTGACCTCTTTCACACGTCTGTTATCTTTTTATATCTGTCCTGCCTTTCCTCATTGTTTTCACTCGTCAGATTCAATGCCCAGACCCGCCATAACTCCATCCAAGCAGGAGATAGAAGATGGTGATCCAGTGAGGCTCAACTGCTCGGCTTTAGCTCCCTGTCTGGCCCTTCCTCCGACATTGACATGGTTCCCACGCATAGGTGACATTGAGGAGCATATGGAAGGTAATATTGTGATCTCTGTCATGACCTTCACTGCTTCCTTCCACCATAATGGACAGAAGATCTCCTGCTCCGTTCTCTACAACCGACAAGTGGGCAACGGTGACCTCCAGTATGACCAGACTGTGACCCTCCAAGTTCTCTGTAAGTTTGGATTCAACTTGCAACTTGTATTTGTAGTCAGGGTCCGACTCAACCTGCATAACCACCTGCTTTGTTATACATTGACCTACTTGTAATCTAGCTACCAACTAAAGCTAAGCACAATAACTCAAAATGTTGATTTTAAGAGGATTTCATTCATTTTAAAATGTTTTATTCTGCTTCATAAAAATGCATCAGATTCATATCAGTCTACTTGCAGGATGTATTAACAGTAAACTTAACATTTAAATGTACAATCAGGTCCTAAATGAGCATTCTTGTACTTATTTTCTGTATTTAGGAGTAAACTGAACATTTCTATTGAAGGTGAAGTTAGTCAAGATGAACAGGTCTGCTGCAGGTCCATTTATGCTGAATCTCATCCTCATTCAGAGGTCACATCTTTGAATGGAAACGATAAAAAGTTACTTTACATACACTGACCAGCTCTGGTGATGATGCCTGGACTGTAGCACAGGGTCTAATAACAAAATCTGCTCCATGTTGTCTGATTTAAACTGTTGACAGAGTTTTTGCTGTAAAGTTGACCAATGTGATGCTATTATGAACTCAAATCTTACCAGAGTGTCTCAGTCAGAGGTAAAATGTGACTGTTTCTTTTAGCTGAGTGCTTGATATGATATAATGTGGGTTCACACTTTATCTGGTGTCGTCTCAGCTGTTGAGAATTAGTCACAGTTGAAATGATATTTGACGAGTGAGAATCAAGAGAGGTGAACAGTATGAAAGCCGAGTTTTAACAACCATTTAACAACGATATTTATTGATTCCCGGTGGCAGACTTGTTTTACAGGAGGGTGTTATGATCTTGATTTTTGTCATGTGTCTTAAATTAAAAGTTCAAAACAACCGGGATTGCACTTGTTTAAATTTTTGCTGACATCCAATCACTGGTTAGACCTGAAAAAATGTGAAACAGCCACCCTGCCTTCATCTAAACACAAAAGAGAATCCACCTTCCAGCACCTCAGAAGCTCATTACTTAAAACAGGTTATCTTATATGTCTTTGTTTAATCTGTGGCAACCACCCAGTGACAAGATTCTAGGAAGTTATCTGCATTATCAAGAAAAGACTCAGGATCTGGCAGAAGTATTTAGATGCTAACTAGCTTGATGCTGTCTTCAGTTTTTGGAGACCAAAGTACAACAGATCTAAATTGTCTTTCAGATCCCCCAGAAAACACCTCAGTCCTTTACTCTGATCCTGTAAAAGAGGGCACCTCTGTGATTATGACCTGCAACACCAGTGCAAATCCAGCTGCTGACAGCTACACCTGGTACAGAGTGGACGAGGACCAGGTGACAGCAGTTGGTGCGCAAAAAACGCTTTCAACCCCGGTCTCAGAAGCCGACAGCCAATTTTTCTGCCAAGTCGGCAACCGAGTGGGAACCCAGAACTCCTCCATCATCCAGTTAGACGTCCAGTGTGAGTATGACTGAACTAGAAACACACAAATCAAATACTGCGTAGCAACATGGACTGAATCATCGCTTTTGTGTCTTTGTCAAGTTACTCCCAAAGATACTACGGTAATCATCGGCCCTGGTCCAATACTGGAGGGCAGCTCTGTCACTCTGACCTGTAACAGCCGTGCAAACCCACCTGTGACTAACTACACCTGGCATAAAGATGATGAGGAGGTCAAGGAGCCTGGAGAGATGTTGGTTATTCAAGGTGTCGACACAAGTCACGGTGGCAGCTACCATTGTGCTGCAAGAAATGAGCTGGGAGAGGAAACCTCGGCAGATATACAGCTGGACATTCAGTGTAAGTCAATTTCGCACAGCGAAGTTACTGTTTCACACCGATTACAAACGTCTCATCTGTATTTTCTAGTTGTTCTACATGCTGAATATGTTTACAGCTGTGGTCACCCAAACATGATGTGGAGCCAAGAGTCCGTCACAGGCAACACATCGGTGTCTGCACTCTGAACAGTAGGACATTGTCACATAGCGTGACAACGTCTTCATCCTTTCTGTGTCAGAGGTTCATCATAACTGAGCTCTGTTGTGCCCACATGTGTGCCAGTGTCCTAATGCATGTGTAGATGTTCTGTTTGGTTTGTCCTGAAGTAAGACGATGTTTCTAACCATGGATAATGACGGCTGACCCATTTCGCTGAAAAGCAAATCAGATTCAAAATTTATTTTGATATGGATATATTTTGAAAATGATGTTTTCTTTATCACACTAAAGTCGTAGATCTTTCACTAACTTGCCTCCAGTGAAGAAGTTTAAACTGTTTATTGGAAAGGCAAGATGTTGTACAGTTATATTACTGATCTGTAAACCGCAGGAGGGAGTTTCAGGAGTTTTGATTTACTAGAAGTTTGACATAAAATCTCCAATGCTTGGATCAGATTCCTTGAAACTAGTACATCTGGAAACTGTCAACTTTTGCATTTTTAAAATCAGTTCAAACCATAGACTGTATTTACTATGGACAACTTGGTTCCGCCTTCAGCCAGTACACGGATTTAAAGCCAAAAAGCTCTCGGTAATTCCGGGTTTTCTCTTCATTTCCTGAAACCAACATTGAGCAGTAGTATTGTACGCACTCGGCAGAAGGGTTGCTGAGAGTCGCTGTGATGACACTCGGTTCAAACAGTGTATCCCCCTGGGTGAGCTACGCAATACTTGTACCCCCATAGGCTGTATCAAGTGTCAATCATAGAAAACATGAGCCCCCTAATAACTTTTGAAAACTAAGCTTCACAGAAAAAAAGAGGACTTGAGCACAAACCAGTCTTACAGTAACTACATGTCAACATCACAACCAGGGGGAAAAAAATTATATTCTGTGTAATAAATTTCTAAAGTTTGTCCACAGCTCCATAAGATTTGCTGGTGGAGGTGGGATTTATGACCTATACTGCAGTCCGACTCCAGAGGGTGCTGTTCTTGCGGTGGCTTCACCCAGCGACACTGTCCATTCTATATACAGTCTACGTTCATATCCCAGAACATTAAACTTACTTCAAACATTTGGTGCCATATTAGGTTTATGAAGTCCCATCTTAACCTTCAACGTAGGAGCTGCAAACAGCAGTCTGTCACGAGATCTATTCAAGAGTTGTTTTTCTTCAAAAATAGATACAGTTTACACTGACCCTTTCTTTAGTTTAAGGGACTTCTGTGAGGTCTTGCTGTATCTGTTAATGTTTCGAGGGCAAATTGATTGCAAGTTTTCCCATCGATTTACTGATATAGGAGATATGTTTTGTGTTTGTGTTTTTGTGTTTTGTGCTGTTTTGTGTCTGTGAGTGTTACAGGAGACATGTAATTACTGCGAATCAGTGGAGCAGCAGGGCAGAACAGCACCGTGTGTGTGTGTGTGTGTGTGTGTGTGTGTGTGTGTGTGTGTGTGTGTGTGTGTGTGTGTGTGTGTGTGTGTGTGTGTGTGTGAGCATGTCTGAATGTGTGTCTACCTCTCATTTCATTTATTGTAGAAGCATGAGACACTGGGAGAGCAGTATTATGCTGTTACAAGATCATTTAAAGATGAGTTTAGGATTGATGAAGGTGAATTTAGGCTTGATGAAGATGAATGAGGTGTAAACAATGATTTAATCTTGGAAAAGATGGTTGATTGTGATAACCCTGATATTATCTCTATTTCATTTCCCTCCTTAGATCCTCCCAAAAACACCTCGTTCTCCATTGACCCCTCTGGTCCAGTGTTGGATGGCAGCCCTGTAACTCTGACCTGCACAAGCGTCGCCAATCCAGCGAACATAAATTTCACCTGGTTCAGAGTGTCTGGAAGAAAGAAAGAGATGATGGGCTCAGAGCAGGACTACGTCTTTAACGTGACCAAACTCTCCAAGGATCGGTATTACTGCGAGGCCCAAAATGTCCATGGAGCTGAAAACTCAGAGCACGCCAGCATTGATGTCATATGTGAGACTTTTTTTAGATTTTAAACATGTTTATTTCTCAAAGAAGTTCAACTGAGTATGTCAGTTTTCCCTTTTTCTCATCCGTCAGTTGCTGCGGAGATCCTACCCTCTTCCCGCTGCGTCAAGGTTTTTTCCCAGATTCGGTGTTCCTGTGACAGCCAGGGGAACCCCATTCCCTCCCTTTATTGGGAGCTAGCTGGGGTGCCTGTCAATCACTCCGCCGACTTACCGATCAGAGAAGCTCCCCTGGGGAATCAGGGGAGGATGAGCCTCATCACGCTTTACAGCCAGAGCGAGGACTTCCCGCCTCTCATATGCCACAGCTTCAACTCTCTCGGCTCTGATAAGTTTGCTTTCAACGTGTCCTCCAGCGAACTGGAGCTCGGTAAATATGCAGCAGGCTATGTGCAACATTTCAGTGAAATAACACTTCTGTTTCTAGTTTTACTGACTGCTCTGAATCGTGGTTTCAGGCCTCCACACTTTTTCTCTTCTGGTGGGCTCTGCGGTGGGAGCAGTGGGAATGCTTTTGGTGTGTGTCCCGCTTGTGCTCATCCTACTCAGGTGAGAAATATAAAAAACAGAACAGATAGATCATTAAAAAAAAAAAAACTATAAATAATGTGAAAGTAATTCTACGAAACAATGCTAAACAGATGGGATTGTGAAGTAAATGGTGGTTTTGACCAGGACGAAGGTCAATAACTGTGGACAATCATACTCAAGAACACTGCTAAACACAAGCGTGAAACAGGATACTGTTAAAATAAAAATAACTGTGTGTTTCTGTTTTAATTCTAGTAAAAGAAAGAACAGCTTTTTGTCAGACAGAGGATTTGTGGAAACTTCAGGCTTAATGGGGAATAATGAGGTGAGTTTTGTCTTTGTTTGGCTCTACTAAAAACTTAAAGATACAAATCAATGCAAACCTTTATACCTGTAAAATAACATGAGAAAATGATTTTTTTACAGTTACATTTGCACTTGTTGTTATGACTTCAAAGTATATTTTTTTCTGTCTAGTACAAAATAGGTCTGTTGGGAAACATGATTCCTCTTTAGTATCTTGTTAACAAAATGGGTCCTAATAGAAACTTGAAATACAGAATCAAGGATCTATAAATAAAGAGTAAACACGGGGACGCATCAAATTTTAAGTCCTGATAATGGTACCAGTACTAATACTTGTAACTGAGCTTTAGCATTGGCTGATACTGCTCATAATCCAATCTGATACCAGCAACAGATTAGCAGCCTGAATTCCTCAATGAGAGAATCAGACTGGAGATTATGTCCTAGCAACCTCTGGGTTTTCTAAACTAAAATAAGACAAACTCAAAAAGTAAATCTTAAAAACTCATAGGAACTTAAATTCTTATCTTAAAAAAACAGACATCAAATAATAAAAGAAAAATTAACTCATAATCATATCACTTTTCCTTTCTTGATGTTAGAACTCTATAAAAAAATAATTCAAACCTGCTTTCTTATAAAGAATTTCGCTTATTCATCAAGTTGCAGGAGTTTGTCACATTTTTGTTTTGACTTCCTTTAGTAGATTTTGTATCCTTGAGAAGCTCGATTCAATTAATTGTATTGTATTTCACTGTGTTACTACCATCCCCTGGAATACTGGCCCTGCACATGTTGCCAGTTGTCGCTGCAGCTACTGGCCTCATAAGTGTGTCATGCCTCTAAACTGCTGAGTCTCTGTAGTTAGCTTCCTTCGTGCTATATTTGCTCTCCGCCTGGCAAAATGCTCTGACCTACTAATGTACTGATAAATTAGTACATGCACATGGCTGAAGAAAACACAGAATAACACAGAACTGAGTTTAATAGAGCTGCCCAGTGGTTTGGCCCTTTGACACTGATACATGATCTAGTTTGTTGAGTCAGTATCTGACCCAACACTACGAACAAATCAGTGCATCCTTTGTGAAAAGTTAAATTCTTCAAGTTTTTTCCAATGAAGCAAATTTTAGTTACAAATTATCTTCACCATTTCATGGTATCGACCATAAATTTCCCAGGTTAGTGCCTAGTGTGTTTACAAGGTAACATAATTCAATGTTGGATAATGTTCAAACAAGCACGTTTTTGGAATTATTTCTTTTAACAATTGATGTAATCTAATGAGGAACCTTTAGTGAGGAGGTAAACAACCTCTTTGGCAGAGCTTGACCGAGCAGCTGCCAGCTGTGGATGAAGTTTGTCCTGAGATGCTTTTTCATTGTTGGGATGACTTGGCTGGCAAACCTTGTTGACATCATGTAGAGATCTGGGACAGTGCCTGTGGGATGGCAGGCTGAGTGGTTCCCTTTTTAGGAAAGATGCCCAGAATAAATAAGGCCAATCACTGAACCTTAGATAGAGGATGTGGATTCTGACCTAGCTCTTAAGCCTAGCAGGGTTGTGAAGTGCATCATCTGGTCCCAATATGCTCATCTGGTCCACATGTGTTTTTTGGACTTGATGGAGGCCCACAATGGTTTCCCTTGGGTGTCCTGTCCTGACAGGAAAAATATAAGGTACAGGGGCTGTTGTGCCGCACCATCCAGGCCTTGGATGACATTATTGTTTGTAGGAAATGGGTGTTTCCATCATGATTAACGACCCTGTTCACGTGGCTTGACATATCTGCAACCTGGAGAGGCCAGACTTCTGTATTGTTGTTAGGGTGATTTTCTTTAGCCAGTCATGTCAGCCTTTAGGGTGGTGGAGCTGTGTCACTCAAATACCTTGGATTCTTTGGTGCAAGATTTCTGGAGCCATGGGCCTCTGACAACCATTGTCAACAAGGACCTTGTACCCATGTTCAACATCACTCAGGCTCCCAAAATATGTCGTGCTTTGTTATTACCCTACATGGACTCTCCTTCAGGTCCACGAGATGCAAGCAGAATATCTGGAAACGTGGATGGCTATATATACTTGAACAGTCTCAGACCAGTCTTTGTTACACTTGTTGCATGAAGAGGCTGTAACCCAGATCTGCAACCAGCAAAGCTTGTCAAAATGATCATTCGTGTGGACCTTCCATTCTTTAAAGTGTGAACATGGGCTAGGTATCCTTACAGTTGTCAAAATCAAGTCTCAAAGGGTGGTCCTTTTATGTGATTCTGTTGGAGTTTCATCAACAGGATCTCAAGGCAAAACATGGTGGGGTATCTGATTGTTGGATGTTAGATGTGCATCTCTACGTTTGCAGATGATGTGGTTATTTTGGCTTCAACAACCTGTGACCTCAAGCAGGCACAGAGGCTTTTTCTTGGCCAGTCAGAAGTGCTTTCAGATGAGGCTCTGCACCTCCATTGGTATTTGGTTTGAAAATGGTGGTGGAGTGAGTTCCTGCCTACCAGAAATTCAAGTATCGAGGATTAAACGGATCTTGAGATTGATGTAGTGCAGCCGTTGCGCCAAACTGTTGTGTGTAGGGGAAGCTTACCCAAAATGCTAAGCTGTTCATTTACCAGATCATCTATGATTGAGTCCCGAACCAAGGCCCTGTGCTTTGGGTAGTGACCAAAAAATTATGATTATGGACGCAAGTGGTTTACATGAGTCCCCCCTTGCAAAGGTGATTCAGATATCTGGGCCTAGATATCTGGAGAGAGCTTTGAGTAGATCCACAAGTCCATTGCATTGACAGCAGCTTTTCTTGAGATGGTCTGGGCATCCATTGGCATACCTCATGGGTTAATCTAACTGGTACAGATTTAGAGCATGCCAGATGAATTATGTATCCTAGATTGCCTGACCCAGCAGTTGCTGAGGTTGCTGGGCAGAGGGACATCTGGGCAACCCTGCTTAGCCTGCTGCTGCTGTGAAAGGCTGTACGGACATGGGTACAATCTTTGCTCCTGCATGACTAAAATCAATCTTTGTTTTCCTACAGACCAACTCTTTACAAGTGGATGTGATTTATGTCAACAACGCCATCATAGAAGAAGGCGGACTAGTAAAGGAGAACCCGACCCTCTACCCCAGCGTGGACCATAATAAACTCAAGGCCATCTCTGACGATCAACCCGGGGAAGGGGAAATGAAAGGCCTGGCCTCCAAGACAACTGAGTACGGCATGACTCATCCAAACTCTGAAGAAAACAAAGGAGGAGACGTAAAAGAAGAACAGACAGTTACTGACGGTACTGATGGTAATTTGGGACAAGTGAATGACGCTGAGGTGGTCACAGCACAGGTCGGTGAAAAAGAGAAGTGATACACGGGATCCCGGGCTTCAAAAGTGCAGGACTGTACCACGTCCCGCCTCGGTTTTCAGCACGTAGCGCAGCTGAGCAGTACACCCCTTTGGAGTTTGCAGCAATTAAGGTAGAAACTGCACTGCAGATAACTTTGTTTTAAGTGACTGGAGCCATACTCGTGTGGCTGATAGTTTGACCCAAAACTTTTTCACTTTGATATCTGTTAATCCTTTACCTTTATCCTGAAATAAACAAGAATAACAAATAAGTCAACAAAGAACCATAAAAAGGATTTAAAATCCGTACACAGAACAGTTAGCTCTTTACACAGATGTTAGATTATATCTGCATGACATTGTACAACCTTAAACTAGTCCTACAAAGTTTTGACTTTTGTCCCTCTGGGTGGTTCACTACCAGAGAGACAATGTTTATATCTTTATATTTAACACTCACTGTTCCCTCTGTGAGTGTCACATCTGTTAAACACCATGTTCTTTTCTTTAATAATTCTTGATTTTCCCTTTTTTTAAATAACACAGGTATTTATACCACTATATCTACATGTCACATGGCAGCCACATAGAGCTCAAAGCAAAGTTTTTTATGTACAAGGTTCTAATTAATACTAATGCTTTATTATGATAAACAAAAGCAACACCAGACTGTATGAAAGACTGATTAGCTGATTAAGAGGAAGTTGTTTTTAATGTCTGCAACAGCTGGAGGGGGGTAGGTGTCAGACAGAGCATTAAACCGCAACAGCAGACTCTTCATGAGTGATATATTTAAATCTTAATATACGACAGGGGGAGAAAAAACAAGACCTGCATATGTACAGGTCGAAATCAGCAAAGAAATGAAGGGCACTGCATTTGTCTAGGAGGGGCACCATTATCTACACAAACCTTAAGTTCCTGTTAGACCGCTGTGTCCCATCCTGCATATTCAAATCTCAGTTACCAGCCATGACATTTCCTTTCAGGTGTAAGTTTTATTTTTATACACACAGGCCAAAATACAGGTAAACATTTATAAACAGAGACCTTTTGACGTGAAAAAAAAAAGAAATACGTCAGAATGAGCGAGCTGTGCACAGGCAAGTGCTCTGGGCAGTTAGGGGGTCTATCCTGTGCTCAAGGTACCTCAGCCCCATTTCCAGTATTAGTCTGCGACTCGACCCCCAGTTCCTGACCCAAATCACTGCTGCCACACTAAGCATGACTTAATATGATTGAAATGAATCTTGCAATATCCAGAGAGCATTTGTCTAGACATGATTTCTCTAAAGGAGCAATATGTAATTTGCATTTAAAAAACAGGCTGTCCTACTTTAAACTGGTATTTACATAAACGTGATTTTGAATTGAGTTTTGTTAATAAATTAAAGGTTAATAATTGAGGTTTTGAGTGGCGGTACTCACTGCCTTGATATTCGGCCTATTCTGAATAATAAACATGTTAAATCAGAGATATAAGATCGTTTTTGCTCATCTGTCGGCTGTCTGCTAAACAGGGAAAAACTTTCTAGCTCTTTTTAATCCCTTTCACTAACAATCAACTGGAAGTAGCTCATATTTCAAAATATAAGCATAGTTTTACAATGTAGGAACGAAGCAACCTAAACCTAAGTCAAAAGATATCACAAAAATACTGTCATCATGATGTTTCATGGCCACGATAATCATGAGGTGAAAATCTGATATACTGTCAGCCCTAATCTGATGAAATAAGAAGATGATTTTATGATTTAATGTGGTATTTAACTCACATCCTGCTCCTTTAAGAAATCAAGTTTTGATCAAATCATGATTTGACTTGACTTTAAAATACTTGTTCCCTTCTCAGTCGCCTTACTGAGGTTTGGTACCTGTTACTGCACACGTATAAAAGCAAAAATATTATACTTGTTATCTTAAAGAGTAAAAATTATGTACAGGAAAGTGATAAAGGCTTATTTGTGAGCGAAACCTGATGATTTTAAACCGCTAATACAAAAGGCATTTGTACCAGGCTGGTGGGATAAGACTGTTTAAGGTCACATTTTGACTTGAGAGTACTGGGTCTCCTCCTCCTCACTGGAGGTGCTGGAGGTGCTGGAGTCTCTGTGGGCTCGCTGATGTCCAGGCTTCGCCTTGAAGCTCACTTTGGCATAATTGAGCTCGACTTCATCCTCGCTGCTTTCTGAGCTAGTAGAGGTTTCTGAGTTAGTAGGGTCCGCTGGATTTGGAAATTTAGCTGCATATGCTGTCCTTATATTCTCGTAGTCCTCCAGCTTTTCTTCTTCAGCCTGGGAGGATGGCAGAAAGAGGGACAAGATTATTTATTTTTAGGGGAATAATTTTGATCTGGAGACATCTTGGCTTCAGTTTTGATAGCACACATGTATCATACGGTTTATTTCTAGTTTAAATCAACTATTAATCAGACATAAAACAGAATAGCTGTAACACAATCCTAACCCTAACATAACAGATGGAAACAGAGTGGTTAACAGGCTTCTGACCTTTGTTGGTTTCTTTTTCTTGGGCACCACAGCATACTCGTCCATTTCTGCTTTGTTCCTGAGACAAAAAAACATCAAATTAAATACTGCATGAAAAGATAACTTATGTGATGTTGTATAAAATACTTCAACTCTCACTTGTTCCTCTTTTCAAAGTGTAAAGAAGCGTAGTTTAGAGCGTCATCCTGTGTGTGTCGAGCTTTCTGTTTAGCTGGCATCTCTCCAGAGGGACCCTGAGCAGATGCAGAAGACATCAGTGAATGTACGGCAGCATCTGAATCAGTTCATTCATGCCTTAAATGGAAGCTGAGTGGTCATCCGGTGATTCATTGCTGCACAATACTGAACACTAAATGATCAGTGTGGACAAAGCTACAGCACATTTAACAAAACAACAGCTTGATCACTGAACAACATCCGTCTGTTGAAAGTTAGAGCTGGACAAATACTGACTTTACAAGACAGAAGTCATTGCAAACATTTACTTTGAGAAAACTTTAATCTTTTTAATGTTAACTTGAACCTTTTTTTTTTAAATTGATTTTATATATCATGTTCAAATATTTACATTTCTAATAAAATTAAATAAAAGTAATGTATCGGAAGCAGGAATACACAGTCAAAAATAACTCCACCTAGAAGTCTTATGAGGTCTGACAACCATCACATGTCCTGTTTAGAGACTGACTTCCCTACTTTTAATACAAAAGTAACAATAATGTTGTTTCTCTCAGTTTTACAGTTGCAGTGTGTTTTCAGAGGAAGAAACTTGCATCATTAAGAAAATGTTGTGATTCGAGTGGTAAATGTTGTAAGCAGCAGAGGCTGCCTAGCTGAGTTCACCTCCATAAACAATATTCCCATATTTTTTAACAAATCCTCCATGCGTGGTTTATGCCCAAATCTTCGACTACCTATGCCCATCTTTTGTATTTAATTATTCCGTTTTTGAATCTCCATTTTGAGCCAAAGTTGAGCTTATGTAAAAGACACCACCTCTTTTTTTTTTTTTTTTAGACTTTGAAAAACTTAAGATATTGTAAAGCTGAAAATGTTCTTATCACATGTAGTTGTGTAAAACTGATGGATTGCCCTTGTAATAAAGGCTAATATGATGCTGAATGACATTAGCTAGTGTGTTTTTTTTTTCTTTTTGTCAAGTCCACAAAATGTAACAGCTTTCATATACAACCTCAATTTCAAAAAGCTGACGATGATGAGACTGTGTGAAATATTAAAGCTCCTGTAAGGATTTTTTTCAAATTTATGAAATAAGCTGAAATTCATAGGGATGCTTTTTGATGATATACAAGAGCAAACAGGACTATAAGCTACAATAGAAATTTTTTTTTACTGTAATTTCTAAAGCCTGAAATAAGTGTGAGAGGGTAGGTGTCAGCCGAGCAGATAATGAAGCAGCCCTGTTTTTATGACGTCCTCTTAAAATGTTCACCTTAGATTAAAGATCCGACTGTATTAAAGATCAGCAGGATGAGAATAATTATTAGAGGACACTTCTTAAGCATGCAGAGAATAAGATGAGGAAAGACCATTTTGTCCACAAGGGGCGCTAAAATTGACACAAACTTGAAGTTCCTCACTGGAGCTTTAATAAAGATAAATCTGAGCAGTTATTAAATCTTTTAAACCTCTTTATTGAATATTAAACAAAGACAACATACCGAATGTTGAACCAGAAACATCTTAGTGTTCTACGTAAAATAAAGTCATGTCAAAAACAGATGCTTGCGATGTGCCGCATTAAAGTTTGGACAGGGATAACAAAGCACCGAAGAATGAGAAATAGAGGAGAATCTCTGAACTAATTAAGGTAATTTGCAACAAGCTTAGTAACCTGACTGGATATGAAATAGGCTCCCAGAGGTAAAGGCAAGAAGAGGTTTACAACTCTGTGAGAGACTGCATGAGCAAATGGATTTTAAAATTCAGAATAATGTTCTTCAGCATAAGATTTCCAATAATTAGGGTTTTTTTTAAATCTTATCTATAGAACATATTATTTGGAGAACCTGGAGAAATATCTATGCAAAAGGGGCCAAGTTAAAAACCAACAGTGGATGTTTGTAATCTTCAGGAAGTCAGGCATCAAAAAAAAAGAGATGGCTCTGCAGCGGAAATCACAACATTGGTTTTGAAATGGCTTCAAAGACCACCATTTGTGAATACAGTTTGATGTTGCATACACAAATGCATGTGAAACTCGAGCTACTGCCGTAGAAGGAAACCACGATAAATATGAGCTGGAAAAGCAAGTTACTTCTCAGCTTGAGCTATTTAAGACAGACTGAGGCAAAGTGGGAAACTGTCATTCGATCTGGTGAATAAAAATTTGGAAATCATGGACACCACACCTTCCTTTCTGAGGAGGAGAATCGCCACTTGATTTGTTGTCTTTGCACTATTTTGAATCAAAAACTGGCTTTTAACAGGTAACTACCATATTTTGTTATTAACACATTAAAAAGCCGCTTAATCAGTGTCCTAAAGTTCATTCCTGATTGTATTTTTGTCTTAATTGTGTTATTCTTGTGGTTTGCTTGCCTCACCTGTTTTGCAGGCAGATTCACAGTGCAGTAAACAGTGTCGATCTTGGACGCTGGTCTGTGGGACAACAAAGATTAAAAAAATACATCATTAGAGACTGGGGAAGCCCTCAATGTGTCAAGCTTGTCTTGAGGGTTTAAATGGATGCTTTGAGTCCAGCATGAGCAGCAGCTTACAGTCTCAGTGATATAGTGTGTGCCTTGTCCTGTGTGTGTGTGTGTCCAGTGTGTGTGTGTTGTCTATTACATGCTGTCTGGACGAGGCTGCTGTCGTTGTTGGCCTTTTGAGCGGCACGGCTGGTCTGGCAGGAGGTCATCTCTGCTCCTGAAAGGCTCTGCAGTGGCAGGTTCATTCATGAGACCCCTCCGTCTGCTGCCAATCCACCTGCCCTGAATCAGTTTCCACACAGACGTAAGTTATCACTCAAGTATTTGGATTCTTTTTTTTTTTTTTTGTCTAAATTTGTTCGATAAAAACAGAAAATTTTGAGGCATCACCAGAGAACCACTCCAGGTCTGTGGGTTTGAATTTCTTTGTACAATTGGTTTCTTCTTTTTGTGTCTGAAACCAGAAATGCACACGTTGTTTAAGCACATCATATCCTCCGTTAAATGCACTTGTTCTGATATAAAACACACTTATTCATACTTTACCTGTAAACCAAGAAGCATAGTAGAAATATCAGTACCATGGCAAGTAAGATGAAGATCAAGATCCTCAAATAGCCTTCTGTGTGACAGACAGTGAAATGACACTGTGATTGTAGCAACATTTCAAATTCAAGACAGTATTAGGACTACATTTAAGAAGAAAAAATAAGAGATTTCAATCATAAAGTCATTAATATTATGAGAATTAAGTCAGAGGGATATAAGTCGTACCATAAGGAGAATGAAGTTGGAGTATTAGGATAAAAAAGTTGTTAAAAAGTCATTATATCAGCAGAATAAAGATGTAAATTTACCAGAAAAGCCATATTTATATGCCTTGGATAAGACAGACAATAAGGGCAGCCATTTAACTTTATTCTGGTGATATTTAAGACTTAAGTTCAGCTTTTTTCTTGTAACAGAACGATTTTACCCCCAAATGTACGCCCGTAATATCTGACTTTATTTTCCAATGACTTTGTTCTCATAACAGAGTTATAAAGTCTAATGGCTGTTGGTACAATATATATATATATATTTATATATACCCAATTCTTTGTCATTTAAACTCATGATTCTAACAGATTGAAGCTTCTGTGAGGAGTTAACAGCGATGTCTCCTTGTAAACTAAACAGGCAAGCAAGATCACCAATAAAGGGACTAAAATTACTACGGAGAAATATTTAATGGCTACATGGGGGGTTAGGTATTAAAAGAGGCAAATTACAGAATAGTGTCTTTCTTCATATCAAATATTCCTGATGACTGACTCTTCAAAAAACATAAGATAGGACTTCATACATGTTCAGGACAAAAACAGCAGATATAAAAGGTGCCACTTTGTCAAAAAGAGGTGGACAAAGCCTAACCCTAATCCTACCAGGAGCTTTAAAAACGCACATGTGTAGTCATGGATTCACTCACTGTCAACAAACACTTGAATGGGCTCAGATTTCTTGTCATCTATTTCGTTTTTTGCAATGCAGTAGTAGGTTCCTGGGTTGTCTGAGAACACCGTGAGGGTCTGATGTTCTAAAATTTTTTGATCTTTTTTGTCCTCTGCCTCTTTCTGCTTGTACCATGAAAACTGATGGGCTGCAGGAAAGCTTTGAGTGACGCAGCTCAATGTAACTGAACTCCTCCCATCAGGCTGCTGCTCCTCCTCTCCTGTTTGGATCTCAGTCAGTTTTGGAGCATCTGAGAGAGGTTTGTAAGAAGAAAAGGGAGAAGAGCAAAAATATTAACCCAGCAATACTTACTTTTTCATTTGTATGTCATCATTAGTGCTTAATTTAACCTACACTTGACTTTGATTTCAGCTTCCTGTGATTTCCCAGTCCCCATTTCATTTTTGGCTTCACAGCTGTACAGCCCACTGTCAGAGGGGCTGACAGACTTTATGATGAAGTCTGGACTCGTCCCAATGCTCTCAGCCTTCCCGTCTTTTCTCTTTGTCCAGGTAAAAGAGGTCACAGGCGGGTAGGAGTTGGTGCTGCAGCTCAGCGTCAGCTGTGTGTATTCTTTAACAACAGCATCAGGCTTAGGCTGTACTGTCACGTCTTTTGGACGATCTGCAAAAATAAAAAATCAGATTTAAACATTAAACTTGTTGCTCATAATGGCAGTGTATACCACTTTTTTTCGACAGCAAGTACTCACAGTAAGCCCTCAGTGATAAGCTAATGACAGTGTTGCCTTATCTGACATATATAAGCATTTTTTTTCTTAGTTGAAACTGTGACACTGAATACGATGTAATCTGAATATAATCAATTTATTGGGTAAATCTGGTATAAAATTATTGAAGTGGAATAACATTTGGTGTGGTGGAAAATAAAAATATTCAAGTGAAGTGCAAGTACCTCGCCGATATGGTTAAAGAAACTGCACAGATCCTGCAAATACATGGCAGCTCCGCTACTAGTGTGTAAGCTACTGTGTTCAACTGATAATATATTGACTATTACTAATCAAACAGAGCCACCTGTCAACAGAAAACTAGATCAAATTGACGAACAGAGAAAATACATTTTTTTCTACTCTGCTCATGTTTGTTTCTCCTTTTAATGTTTTTGATTAGACTGACAAAGACAACGAAACACTGAGTCACTTACATTTCACCACCAGCTCTTTTCTCTCACTTTTACTTGAATCTTGGTTGTTCTCGGCCTCGCAGGTGTAAAAGCCGGAGTCAGCTGAAGTCACATTAAATATGCGTTGGAAAGTGTTTTTCCGCCAGTGATTGGCAGGATGAGTGTACACCACCTCTGAAGACCATGGGGTTGATTTGGATGTCCATGTCAAGGTGAGTTCAGACGGTGGGAAGCTTTCGACGGTGCAGCTGAAGGTGATGGGCTGACCTTCCTTGATTTCTTTCTTGTCCACAGTAAATATCGGGGGGGTTGGAGGATCTGCATAGGTGGAATCATTTGAAAAATACTGCTACAAAATTACAGAAGCTGTCTAAAAAAACTTTAAAATTTGCCATTTCAAGAATTAGCTTATTTGATTTTCGGAAAAAAAGAAAGAAAGCAGACTTTGGGATGTTAAGTCAAGTTACGGGTTAAAACGCCACAGTTACGAGAAAGTAAGTCATAATTACAAAGACAAAAATCAAAGTTATAAAAGTAATGTTTAAATCTATGTTGCCTTGTCAGTACCTCCAGGAATTTGTGATGTTTGCGATCGCAACGATTAACACAAATTCAACCAATCACCTCGAATTCGGCGAGGCACTGCAATTTCGTCCAATCATCGTGAATTTCCTGCATATTTGACCAATGAACTTGTGCTGCATTTGAGTTACCTCGGAAGTCAGATACCGGACAAGGCAAGCATTAAAATAACTTTCGTAGATGTAGCCATCTTGTTTCCGCCTCCGATTTTGCTTTTTTCTAACTTGGCAACTGAAACGCTGGTAATTGGGTGTGACGTCATTCCCAGCTTGGACTTCTGACTTCCGAGCGTAGACTGTATATAGAATGGACGCCGTCTGCCTCCTCCCTGAGTGAGGCCACTCCGAGAACAGCACCCTCTGGTGACGGGCTACAGTATAGGCTATAAATCCTGCCTCTGCCAGCAAAGCTTATGAGGCTGTGGACAAACTTTAGAAATTTATTACACAAAACATAAATGTTTTCCCCCCTGCTTTTGATGTTGACATGTAGTTATTGTAAGACTGTTTTGTGCTCAAGTCCTCTTTTTTCTGCACAGCTCCATTTTTAAAAGTTATTAGGGGGTTCACGTTTGCTATGATTGACACCTGATACAGCCTATTGGCGTACAAGGATGGTATAGCTCACTTAGGGGGATACGCTGTTTGAGCCAAGCGTCATCACAGCGACTCTCCCGCCGAAAGCGCACAATGCTACTGCGCAAGTGGTGGAGTGCGTACAATGCTACTGCGTAATGTTGGTTTCAGGAAATGGAGAGTAAACGCGGAATTACCGAGAGCTTTTTGGCCTCAAATCCGTATACTTGCGGAAGGCGGAACCAAGTTGTCCATATAGCCTATTCTTCCGAGGTAACTCGAACGCAGCATTAGCTCTCTTTCGCCCGCGCTTTTACCTGACATGTACGTCATCATATTCACTTCCTTGTTTACATTGAGAAGATGAAGACGTGCGGGACGCTAAACGCTCACATTTACCAGCAAATATCACCGCCAAAGTTCGTGGTAGCCATTTCCAGATGTGTTACATGAAAACTCTTCTACACTGCCTGCGGTATCGTGGTACAACACACGCGAAAGTCGTCGCTAGAGAGACGCTTCTTAACCGCGAAACATGCTAGGAGGACAGCTGAGAGAAGTCACAATGACAGAGGCTGTTGGATCCAGAACTATGAAAGGGTCAAGGTAAGCGCGGATATACTTTTTAAAGCGATATAAGTGAAGAATGAAAAAACGTGTGGATGTATGCTTTCATTTGTGTAATATCTAGTGTGTGTTGTGCGTGCGCGACTGTGCGTGCGTGCGCGAGTGTGTGTGAAAAAGTCCCCCCCCCAAAAAAACTGTTCTCTCTGTGTTACAGATAGGGGAGAGTGGGGTAAGACGAGCCATTTTTCATATTTCGGATCAAGTCAATCATAGTTTTGTCTCTAACTAGTGTATCTGCATATATTTCAGGATGTTGTGCATCCCTGCAAACCAACAGAATGAGTGTAAACATAACTGTCTTGATAATATAGCATGCTAAAAAAAAGTGGTCTCCTATGGTCAACTTGCCCGTGTATGGGGTAAGTTGAGCCGTATCCCTGCTACCCCCCACTCTCCACCCCAGCCCTCCCTCATCTTCTCTCTCCCTAAATAACAGTCACTTCTTTACATTCTTGTGTATTTTTATGTACTATACACTATTCAACTGGTACAATATTTCTTTTAAATTATTATTTCATATAACTACTAAAAAGGTATTTTTTAAAACATTATCCTTGTTGCTCATAATGGCATGTATATTATCACCTTTATGATCCTAAACATAAAAAATCTGGCTGATCATTTCACTGAAAAGAGAGGGGGCGGGTGTCAAACCAGAAGACTGATTGGAGGCAAAGAAAAGAGTTTAATTTGACTTTTTTTCCACTGCAGATACTCTCAGTTAGCCATCAGTGATAAGCTAATGCCACTGATGCTGTATCTGACATATATAAGTATTTTTTTTCTTAGTTGGAACTGTGACACTGAATATGATATAATCTGAATGCCTTTAGTACAGATGCTTTAAAACTGGCAGTTTAAAAACAAATGGTGATAACATACCTTACACTTCGGCGTGATTTCTCGACGTCACTTTGGAGATACCAGAACCACCGCCACACAACTGACGTTAAATAATTTTCATTCTCAACAATAACATCTTCGGAGGATGACTCAAAGTCATGGCTGACATCTATTTTGCTGCCCTCAGCTCCGCGTTTAGTTCCACGTTCGGTCATTCTATTTACTTCTCTGGCAACTTACAGAAGTGAGCAGGATCGACTCTGATTGGCTGTTGTGACGCACACTTCGGCTATGTTTGAAATAAGTAAATAAGCTCTCAGCTGATTACCGTGATCAAACTGAAATTTATCATGATCATATAATGCCCAGTCCTGGTCTAACCCCTTCACCCATGTGCTTTTAACCTTCACAGACTCCATAAATTGATGCCCATCTCCTAAATATTTGATCACATGATCAATTTTTACTATTTCCAAGCAACAAGGGGTGGCATAACTTACCCTTTGGCTCAATTTACCCCATTCTCCTTTATTGCTCAGAGATGCAGAGCACTCTGTGTAGAAAATATCACACCTTAATCTTATGGTTTAAGGCCAAAAAATCACAAAAGACTGGTGTAGCTAATTTGCAGTTGCCCTCTTACCTGTGATTTTAAGAACCGAAGCCTCAAATGATGTTAACTTCCACTGCAATTTTTTAGAAAAGCTGCCGCAAAATCAGGCATTTTAGGCCGTAACAATCACAAAAAAACCTGCGAAATCCTGGAGGGACTGCATTGTAATGTCATGAGAACTAATCATCTGACGAAAGTGAAGTATTTTCATCTCAGTGTCTTTCAGCAGACATGAGTTTAGAAGAATAGAAAAGACCAGATTTGATTTTACTGGATGAGAAAAGAACCCTCATCAACACTCAACATTTCACATGACAAGAGGATTACTTACAGAGAACTTGGATGCACACAGATGTACTGTTGAACCCTGGACCAACTTCATTGGTTGCTCTGCACATATAGCATGCTTCATCTGCTCTTTGTACTTTCTCCAAATTCAGGATCTGTTCAGATGACTTTAACTGTGAGGAGCCAGTTGCTTTGATTGTGTTGTGACTGAACCAGGAGTAGCCAGAGTTGGTTTTCGGGGAAGGGTAGGCATCAGTGTCACATGTGAATTGAAGAGAGGTATTAACTTCTACTTGAGTATTGTTTGAAGGCGAGGAAATTCTTGTCTCTCTTGGCCTGTCTGGAAGGAAAACATAAGTCTTAGTGTGTTTTCAGCGGTTAAACAAACTACAAATTTTTATTTACTTTCTTTTTGGTTTCATCACCAAGAATGCATGAGCATGTTCAAGGTAGCTAAAAATACTTACATTTAATTTCAATATCTTTTGGTTGTGATCCTCTAGTACCCACAGAGTTAGTGGCTTTACAGGTGTATCGGCCTTTGTCCTCAGGTCTGACTCTTGGAATACTGAAAGTCTGGACTTTCTTAATCTGGAGTCCATTTTTTAACCAAACAAAGTCACGGGGTTTTGGGTTGCTTTTGAGGACATTGCAGGTAAATGTTATATCATCTCCTTCTGTAACCTCATCAGCAGGTGAAGTCTGCACCTCAATTATAGGCATATCTGAAACAGGATATTTCAGTTATCGATTTACCTATAATAACGAGTAAAGTGTCTAAAAGCACATCAGTATTACAGGAATACAACCACAGAGATTAAAAATAAAGAAGTAAGGCAGGTTGGAGCATAAATTGTACTCACATTTAATATCAATGCTGAATATTTCAGACTTTGATTTTCCCAATGTGTTTGTAGCTTCACAAGAGTAATTTCCACTTTGTTTTGTTGTTACTGATCGAGAATTCAGAGCTGCTCCATCATACTTTTGTCCATTTTTAAACCAGGTAATAGTAGGTTTGGGATTTCCTTTGGCAGAACAAGTCAGAGTAACAGATTGACCCTCCTTCACAATGCCTTCCGTCACAATGCCTCCATGCACAGAACTCGTTGCTGACATCTCTTTTGGAGCATCTAATCAACATATATTGCACAAATTTAAAGAAATATTCATTAAAATACAACAAGCACAGTTGGATTGTTTGAGGAAATCAAATGTTCTAAAAAAAGGAGGTGATTCTCTCTTTTGTTTCACTCTCTTTAGTTATATCTTTCTGGTGAATAATCGAGCCCCTCAAAGCTATTTGTGAACCACAGCGCTGCTTCCAAAATCTGTGTCTCTGCAGATAACATCCAATTTTTGAGCTTCATCAGGTTACGAATTGATTAAACTTTAAACTGTTTTTTAAAACTGTTTTTATTCAGTTCTGTCTTGAAGGCAGATGACCAATTGCGTCGATGTTTATTATCCTTTTTAAAACGATCATTTAGCCGTAAAAGGTGTGCTGGTACAAATTGTTACCACCTCCATTCATCTCTTTCATTGGACGATTTCCTGCCGCCTGTGTGACGGTTAAGAGTCTGTTGACAGGTTCTGGTAAGAAGCAGTGTCTGCTCAGGTAAGAACAAAGCTGTATGATGACTGTCAAATACCTGATAATTCTCTAAATTTCGTGTTCACAATACTCCACTTTCTTTGTGAAGCCAGGTCTATTGCTGCATTTCAGTTGTACTCAGAAGTCGGAATTTCCGAGCTCCGAGTCGGAAAGTCATCTGAAACGCCCACCTGAAGTCGGATTGGAAAGTCAGATGATCCTCACCAAGCCCGACTTGACTACAACGTTCAACAGTAAAGAGTAACAGCGTAATCTCTCGTAATGTATTATTTATTCGCACTTCTGTTTTGTTTTTGTGAAATTAAATAAGTGGTATATGATGTACTACTGACATCCGACTTCTGAGGTAACTGAAATGCAGCATATTGGTTTGCGCTTCGGTGGCGTCCTTTGATAAGGTAGCAAAACTCATCGGAACCTCTCCGTGTAATCAGCATGAGAGCATTACATTAAGTGTACCTCAGAGTAAACACATTTTCAGCCAAGCTAACCAAAACAGTCGGGTATTCTTTCTTCACGCTGTAAAAAACGAGTTCCTTTGACTAAAACCTTTGGTGTAGTTTAGTATTGTAAATGTATTTGTAGTGAAAATAACCATTGTAATAGAAGATATCATTCAGATTGTGAACTTACATTGGACAGTTAAACGGTCTGTCTTGATAGAATAGACATCCGAGTTCTTAAGTGTTTGACATGAAATCTCTTTCAAATCATCCTTCCAGCTCACTTCATAACTGATGGTAATCCTTTTTTCTTCATTTTGAGTTTGTGTGGGGCGATCTTGTCCTAATCCTTCTATTTTGAGGTCTAAAGAGCATGAACTTGGAGTGGAACACTTGAGTGATATGGTGCTGTTTTCCTTTACAGCTAGAGGCGTTTCGAAAGTGATCGGGCATAGGTTTTCTGAAACACGAAGATGAGACAAGGTAAGAAGAGATGCAGGATTAAATGCACATTTCTTGTACTCATTTGAATCTTAAACTTTATTTTTTTCTTAACTCAAGCTACTTTTAAAACTGTGGTCAGTATCTAGAGCTTTTACTTACTTTCAACTTTGAGGGTTGCATTTGGATTTGTCATCCATTTTTCACTTGTACGTCTTCTTATGTATCTGAAGGCATACTCTCCACCGTCTGTTTCGTTCAGGTTGCAGATCTTAATGCTGCTCGTTGCCTCCTTAGAGGCTGATTCCGAAGTATTTAATAGAGAGCCGGTGTATTCCACTCTGTTTACATAGTCCGGACTTACTGAACGTGCTGACTGGTCTGAGCTGAAAACCACAGTGCCAGTGAAGTCTTTCGCTGTGTCATTGTATGACCCATTCTTTAACCAAAACCAGTATGCATTGGTAATATAGATATCCTTAGTGAGCTTGCACTTGATTTCAATGCAGGACCCCTCCACAGCAGTCAGCTGAAGTTTTTCTAGTATGAAGGGTGATTTTTCAGAACAGCGCAAGCCTGTGGTGTTCAAAAAACAAACATGAAAACATGAGGTGTTGCTTATGACTTGAGTAGAAATGTAAACACCATAGTTGATATCATTGTTGAGTGATCAAATCCTACCTGTTATGAGCACCAGAAATACCAACAACCGCACAGGTTGTGCTGTCATCTTGAGGTCGCACTGTGGCCTGATACGTGAAACAAAGACATCTAACATTCAGGTGTTTTAACCAAGGTGTGCATGAAAACTCAGTAGAAGCGTCTTTTTGTCACTGTCAAATCAGGCTGTTATCAGGAAGTTTTGTTTTTTTTCTTGAGGTGCAAAGCAGCTGGTTGACATTTTCTTCTTCCTCTATTATCTTTTTTTGTGCTCGCTGTTTTCTGCATTTCATTTCTCCTTTCATGATATTTGGGAACACCCGTGTGTCACCACAATAAATTTTCACTTTTACTCTCGCAGTCAGCAGAGTGAATCGCTTAATGTCAGTTAACAGCGGATAACGAGGGGCTTTCTGAAATTGTGTCACCAAAAATAAAGGATATTTTGTCTTTGATTTACGACAAATTAAGCCTTATTTTATGTATTAATTTCGTTAGGCCTTTCAAACGGTTCAAAGTGATATCTATGTAGGTTAAACTTTTTAATCTTTATAATACCATTTAATCTTGGAGATGTTATCTGAAGGCATGGCATCAACTTCCATAGCTTTGCAGATGACACAGCTTTATGTTCCCATGTCTGCAGATGACCCAGGACCAATTGCCACCCCTTTTAAAATTGTATTTTAGATATCAAGTCTTAGTTTACATCAAATTAGCTTTAATGATATGAGCATGTGAGGGCCCTCAGGTTTTCAGGTAATGGTCCTTTAAAGGTGCTGAAAATCAAGACAAAGACCCACAGTAAGGCAGCTCTTCCTACGACAGCCTTAGCTGACCTGAAAACCTGACGGCGGCACAGAACACCCATATTTTTAAAGGAAACCTAAGACCCACCTTTATAGCCTTCATTACTTATCATACTCTTGTTTACTTATTCTGTAATTTTATTTTGTTTCAATGTTTTCAAAACAGAGTCGTCTTTTATAATTTATTATCTTATTTGTTAGCTCTAAAGATTTTGTCCTACCTCTAGTGTTTCTTCTTCGAGCTAATGCGAGAGCGCTTGCTTAGTTTGGCACCTCCTTTTTGAAATAATAATGATAATAATAATAATAATAATAATAATGATGATGATGATGATGATGATGATAATAATAATCTCTTTTTATAGGGCACGTTTTAAAAGCTCCACTAAAAGTGCTTTACACAGATGGAAAAAGTCTCTGATTTAGTCATTTACATTTTTTTTACATATTTTTACTTGGCATCTCGATTGGGGGCTGGGGGAGGGGAGGGCACTTTGTGTTCGTTTTTTTTTTATGTGCAGCACTTAAAGTTACATTATTGCTGTATGATTAAGTGCTTTACAATTAAAGTCCAACTGGCGATATTAAATCAATGACCTTTGCCTTTTATATTGAATTTAGCGTGTGGTTAGTCGTTTTCAGCATCTGTATGATGGTTGTGCGGCACTACTGGCTGTTCAACAAACTGTCCTTCAGGGATAAAAAAACATTGATTCTGGATTCAGATTCTTTTCCCTTCTTATAATATAACCTTAAGAAACCTTGCTCTTATTTACACACATTTTTGAATGATCTTTTTTCACTTTTTTTCGACTTAACCAGCCTAAGAGGCCAACAACACACCAACTCATGTATTTCTAATGTATTTATACTGATGTAGAACAATGTACTGTATGTTACACACTCATTACATACTGTAGATCTTGATAGTGCATTAAAAAGGTTAACAGTTTTGCTCTTTGGTCATAGATAACCAAAACTCCATTCCATCAAAGGTGGAATGATTAATTACAAAGTTTATTGAAGAATACAGAGAGATGGCCGCTCGCTTGAGAAAGATAAGTTCAAATTAATGACAGAGAACTTTTTCCTACTTTTTACCTACAAAAGAACTACAACAAACTGATGATGAATTACTCCAGAAAGAGGTCAGTATTTCTTTTAGATAAGGCTGTAAAAATAGATGAAAATTTTCCGGCTTAAAGACACAAAAGTAAATCTCAATCTTACCTCAGAGGATCCCCTTGAAACAGGTTGTAGCGAAAACCATCCCGTCTACCAAGACATTAAAAAAGGAAGTTTTCACACTTGATACAAAGTCTTGCAGAATTTGCATGCCCACTCATGCAAACCATAAAATGCAATCTTTCATAGTTTTACTGAAGCTAAATTCATGACTTCTACTTGCCTGCTGCTGTACGCATGTGGTTGAACGCCCTCTCACTTCCTCTATTTGTTGTTTTAGCCAAAACTGAGCAGAGAACAAGTGTTCAGGGAAACTCTCTCTCTTCTCGACACTTGTTTTGAATAATGCATGCGTACAGAGATGTTCGCTTTCACTCTCTTTCAAAGAGAAAATGCATCAGGTGACTTCTCAAGTGTTGTACAAATTGTGTTTTTATTAACCAAATCATTAAAGATGAACCTTTACATGAACAGGAAACACCAAAAAAGCAGTTCACTTCCCCTCCCCAAGAGCAGCAGCCACTATCCTCTCAGCATCAGCCGCCATTTCATCAATGGTGCCGTTTAAGGCTTGGAGCATTGCAGCGAAAGAGCGGCTAACAGAGCGGGCATGTCTCGGCATCGCCATCTCCACTATCTTTGAAGAAACTGTGGCCAAGTCCTTCTCTGCTGCCGCCAGACGCTTTTTCACTTCACCTTTTGTGACCTCCACGGACAACGCACAAGTCCGCAACCCCTTCAGTCTCATGGGCTCAATACCTCGCTGTCGGGCCAGACGCTCCACCGATTCGTCGTCCAGGCACAGAGAGAGTTGAGCTTTCGTCAAAATCCTCATTGCTATACTTGAGTCCACCATAGAGGCCACAAAGGGAACAGGGATAGCAGAAACCCCACCAGATAGAGATGCAGCGGCCCATACGAGAGCTTTGAATGCGTATTTTTTCTGAGTGACGAGTTTTGAGGTTAGCGTTGGGAGAGCCAGGAGGAGGGCGTGGGCTCTGATTTCTGGGAGGTCTCTACCCATGTCCTCCAACAGGTCAGGGAAGTCAAACTTCTCCAGGGTTGAGGGTCTCACCAGGTAGACCTTAAGGTGAGCCACACCCTGTGATCTCAGCGCCTCCACACTGGCTTTTCTCTTTTCCTCCAGGTTGTTTTCTGCGTCCTTATCTGAAGCTAAGAGAATAAAATACACATTTTGACGCTGTAGTGACCGGGCCTCTAGAAACACTCTTATACTGTTGGGTTGGGGTGTCTGTGAGAACGTCATGAAGACGGCATTGTACCGGAAGAACTTTACTCTCTCCATGTATCCCTCAGGTTCAAATGGGGAGGTCAAAGGGACGGGTGGTAGATCCCACAGGCGAAAATCAGGGTGTTTGGGGTTGGGGTAGCTCGCCAGTTCTTCTGGGGGAACAGAGGATGGTGAAGGAGCTGCTCCATCATCCCCTGGAGTGAGACCACTGAGGGAGTTTATGAAGGTGGTCTTTCCATCATCACGGTCCCCCAACATGGCTAAGTTGATCCTGCTGATGAGGAGATCTTCCACTGCTTCCTTGACGTCTGATAACTTGTTGTTGTCTATTGAGTATTTGAGGGTCTCGAGGAGGTTCAGGCTTTTTAAAACGTCAGCCATTTCTGTGAAGAGATGAGAAACTTTAACTTAAAGCCATTTAATACAGAAAAATACAGAAACATCAGATGACCACCAGGAAATAAGACCAAGAAGAGCATCAAGACTGCTCTACTTTTCCCATATTTATAAGTGCTACAAACATGCAGAGTATTGATAAACACAGATTAAAGAACATAGACATAGATTAAGAAAATTACCCTGCCATGTCTTTGAAAGAAACTTGTACTCAATTGTCATATCTTGTGACTCAGGAAGAACAGTCAATCTGACATCTTAATTAAAGATTTGCACGCTCAGTTAACACAAAGAAATCTCACCAATCACAGCCCCAGAATTTGATGTTACAAACACATATCTGTCAGTTATAAGTGTGAAAATCTAACTTGTTTTTTTGTAGTTTTATCGAATGCATAAAATATTTGTTGATGTAAAACTACCCAAATATTGAATTAGAAAAACCTGATCTGACAGAGTATTGCAGAATCTCACCTATAGATCCAGAGAAGAGGCAGCAGTGTGGTTTAAGTAATTCCTCTCTGTTGTCAAGTGAGGATTCTTCCGTAGTCCTGAGGCACCGGCAGAGTCAGCTCGATCTATTTAAAGTGTCTGCTCCTCCAGTGGAACATTTTAATCTTGTTAGCTTAGCCTTAATCCACATTCACTTTCAGCACATGCATGCGTTGTGAACTGCTTGTTCATGCACAAGCTTACAAGAAGGCACATGTGTTTGTAGGTAAAACAAACAAACAAATACACACCTTTTTATGTGAAGTAACATTCATTCATATATTTAAAAAAAAACTTGGACTATTTTAATTATTTTCTGCTCTACTAAAAACTCTAAAGTAATATTAATTGTGGTGCTGTATTTGTTTTATCCTTAAAGGGATATTCCGGTGTGAAATTAAGTTAGGGTCAAACACACTGTCACACTGAGTTAGACACCCCCTCGAGAGATGAATGTTTTTCGACTGCTTGCTTCTCTAGTTATACCAACTTTAGTAATGACAGCATGATAGCAGTACACAGTGGTCCCAGGAGCCACGCGCTCAACCAAAACGCCACTCTGTAGCCACAAATAATGCTCAGAACAGGACCTAACTTCATCAACAGGACATATAGGGTCCCAGCCATAGCTCTAGCCACCATACATCTTTTTAACTTTGACTAATTTCAGGGCCAGTCTATTACAGACTTCAGCAGGGGGACCCAGCTCAAGGAAGAACATTTATGATCATTTCGTCATGGAAATGCAATCAGACCGAAACGCTAAGGCAGAAGAACTACCGCATCTGCAGTACAAAATGATTATTATGGTGATTATTACTTCAAGGAAATGATAAAGTAATGATCACAGATGTTCTTCCTTAAGCTGCGTCACCCCGCTGCAGTTGGTGATGGTCTCGTGCGAGGTCTCCCTACAAACAAGCGGCTGCTGGAAGAGAGTAGGTGAGTTGTGTTTAGTCTCTTTGCTAAAGAAATTAGGCAAAGTTAAAAAGATGTTTGATGGCTAGTGCTATGGCTGGTACCCTATATGTACTGTTAGATGCTGTTCTTATTTTATTTTATTTTATTTTATTATTTGTGGCTATAGAGTGGAGTTTTGGTTGAGGTTTGTGTGTGGCTCCTCAAACTGCTGTGTATTGCTATTGTGCGGTCGTTACTAAGTTGGTATCACTAAAGAAGCAGTCGGCAACGTTCATCTCAACTCGATGTTACGTGTGTTTGACCCTAACCTAATTTTACGCCGGAATATCCCTTTAACTTGCACCAAAATTGATTCAAACTGAAAATTTATCACAGGAGCTTTAATTTTTTCTGAATTTGTCTAATTGTATCCTCTCTTACGTCACCTTAAAAAAAAACATTCATGATTATGTTAATGTGTTTTTTTTTCCCACCAGTTTTAACAGGCAGAGGTGAAATGTACCAGACTTCTCCTTAATTTGTTTTTGTATGATGTCTTTAATAGACATTTTCTCCAGAAACACCTCTGCTAATGTTCACAGTTACTATGGGGTTTTGACCAATCAGAATTGAGTATTTAAGGGCGCTTTTACACAGAAAACAAGAAACCTCAACATGGAAAGATATTGTCTTGTATCTGTTAATATGAGTGCACCACTGTTGCTGTGGTTAGTCATACTCTATTTGTTCTGGTTGCCAGATTTGACAGGAAGTGACTTCACCTCTTTAAGGCAACCTCTACTCACTTGTTTTGTTCAACATCAGATTGCAATTTCTATGTCAAAATTATAATCCAACAGTCTATAGTTTCAGTAGTTTTTAATTCAAACTCTTTAGTAGTTTTTAATGATCTGAAAAAGGCCCAGGTGTGTGAAATTACACAAAAACCCAAATCTGCAAAGATCCTTTTTTGAAGCTGACAAACAGTCCAACCTTCAGCATGACAGTTTCATTTTCTTTTCATTGATAATGGGTTATATTATAAATTAACACTTCCTCACAAAGGCGAGAAGAGAGTTTTCAAAAAGAGGTACCGAGTAGGAGAGAAGAACTGCAAGTGAGAACCCCTTTTAAGCCAAGCTGCAGTCTTACTTTCATCTCTGTTAAGAAGACAGCCTGCATGCAAAACATGGTGGGGGTTTCAGAAGTTATCTTTGGTGCGCATCCCCGCTATGTTTTCCTGTCTGCCAACAGGAAACAGTGGTGTGAATTCACTGTTTTTGACACCAACATATTGTGTGTCAGTTCCATGCAAGTGCCAAGACTTGATTTCAGTATTTAAAAATGGCTCATCATTGATCATATGTTGATACAGTTGATCTGACAAAGTTGCATAGTTTCACTGCAGTGGCTTTCTTGGCAATGACAAACATCTTGCAGTCAGATCACCTTTACCTTCAATGCTTGCAGACCAATTTCACATATACAAAGCAGACACGTAAATGATCTTTCCTCTGATTGTGAGGAGTAGAGTTACTCTGATTATTCTAAGTCCACAAAACAGTGGCACGTTCAAGTCTTTCTTCAGAAGTTATAGATAAACTTAAAGCATGAAACACTTCCTGAAAATGAGAAGTTTCAGTTGATATGACATGGGTCCCTCGGCTGTAGTTTAAACAAACTCTCAGATTCAATATTTTTATTTAGTTTTTCTCTTTAATCTTGATTCACAGTCATATAATACATCAAGAAAATACACATCACCCCAAAATGTCTATTCACTGTAAAACTTCAACACTCAAACAAAACAGCAACAAAACATCAACATCATAAATTTATGGTTGGTCCAACTTTTATCTATTTTCCGTTATTGCTGGTAAAATCTGCATTACTTGCAAAATGTTTTAAAAGTCAAAAGTTTAATCTACAACAGTCAACGAACAAACGCATTTTCCACACATAAAAAAACAATTCTGATGAAGTTAAAGGCGGAAAGTGTGATAATGAGTCTAATCCCAAGTGTAACTCTCATACTGTCATATAAACACATGAACATTACAATTCCTACCTTTTAAAATATTTCCTCACAACTGCTGTCTAGACTGTCTAGACCCCTGTGAAGAGTATTTTGATGTTCATGAAATTCACATTGATGCCATTTCATGAAATCCAAAAAAGACAAGACCATCAGCAACCAAACTGATGATTTTATATGCTAGTTTTTAATGCCTTATTTCAGTGTCAGTTGGCAGCTGAAGGAACAGCCATATTGTGCAATTCCCTCAAAAAATATTAACAATAAATAATACATTTGACTGTTAGAAATCAGCAGGATGAGATTTTTTCTCAAGCATGTAGAGGACAAACAAAGCAAAGACTCTTTACAGGAGCTTTAAGTATTTTGGAAATATTCAGATAAGTCACAGGAATGAATTTTAAACAATGATTTATACATTTAATACCCAAGGCATATTTTCTAATTTTATAGCCACAGTGTTTGTGGTTGAACAGGTACCCCTACTGGTGAAAAAAAAAAACATTTCCAACAAATCTTTTCTTGTACTGCCTTTTGTGAACTGCTTAGAGCCACAGCAGAGCCCACTCACCAGAACTCTATGACTACATCATGGTGGTACCAGGTTTTCAGGGTTAGAGACAGCTGTGTCTGGCAAGTTGTCATGTCAGAACAAATTACAGAGCTGCTGTTTCCTGAAACACTTTAGCTACACTATCCTCACTCTGACCCATTATATCCTCCACATTAGAGTACACATCCTCACCTTCCTTATCATCTGTTCCACCCTCCCTGTTCTCCCCGTCTTTCTCCTCTTCCTCTTTGCCTTCTCCATCTCTTCTTGTGTTTTCTTTCTTAATTTCAGCGTACTCTGTCTCTTTCACCTCTGCTGTCTCTGCTCCTGAAAGACTCTTCCTTTTAACCCTGGAGAAATCGAGGTTGGAATAATCAACATCTGGCTTTCCAGCCGCCGCATCACCTGCTTCTTCAGTTGCTTCTTGGTAGATGGCCTGACCATTTTCCTCCGCTTGACCGGCATTCATCTGTCAGAAACGACACAGAACTGATTCAAAAATATGTATATATTCGGGTCAAACTGCTCTATAAATTGTCCTCACTTAAAAAGTCTTCCGAGTGTAATTTTCATTTCCACCACTAGGTGTCAGAAAAGTTCTCCATCTCATTTGTTAGAGTTTGTTAGGATTGTCCCAATTTGCTGAATAAAAAAGATTACCAGTGGATCCACTTGACTCGTCACCATCTCCAGATTTTGAGCCTCAGCCAGGTTCCCATAAGTCCTCTGTTTTTTCCTAAGAAGTTGTATTAAAGCAACAAAAATTAAACTCACAACTTTAAGCAAATATGAGATCTCTTGAAAGGGCAAGTCCAAACTTTTAGCATGTTTCGGCCCACCAACCCCACTCATAGACATTTTCCGTCTCTCAGTATTATTTATTGATGTTATCCACATCATTATTATTGGATTATAATACAAAATTATGCACAAGGGGAGCCTAGAAATGTATGCAAGCATAGTAAAAAGATATAAAAAAAACTGTATAAATAAGAATTTAAAGTGTACCTGTGGCATTTTATCCCCAAGCAGCAAAGGATTGCAGAGAGGAGAGCACCAATCAGAAATGCAATGATAATTTCCAGTCGAGTAATAAGTCTGAACAGTTCCATGTTTGGATCTGAAATCAAGAGAAAAAGAAAGTATTAAAAAAAAAAAAGTCTGTCACGGCTTTTAGAATATCAAATTCACCCATAGCGTGAGTGGTTACCTTCCTCCTCTACTTGGTTTATGATGAGGTTCTGTTTTACTTCTCCACGCTCGTTGCTGCTGACACACTCAACAGTTGTGTGACTTGTCTTTTTTAAAGCCAGGGTGAAGGTGCTGTTGACGGTGTGGTTTGAGGTGGTGGTAATGACCGTGAACTCTTTGCGGCCCTCCAGCAAAGGCCATGTGATGGTGGGTAAAGGGACCCCTTCACTGATACAAATGCAGATCAGATGCTTTGAGTCATTTCTGCATCCAGAGCCGCTGAGGATCTTTGAATATGCTGTAAGAGGAGGATGATGGCGTTAGTGAAGTATACATTAGGTGGTAGAATATGATGTGCATACTTCTTACGCAGCCTGATGTCGCAAGACCGACCATCTATCTCATTTTAACAAACTGGTGGGTCTGGGATTGCGGTCATTCTGGACATTTTCTTATCAGGGTTAGATATTAGGGCTGGGAGAAAAAAAACAATACTGCATAGCAGAGGTGGGGGCTTGACGACTTGGCTCAAGACTTGACTTGGACTTGAGTCCCGTTTTTGACTTGCTTGATGAAATCAAGAAATTACTTGGACTTGCTTGGGACTTGATTGCTAAAGACCTGAGACTTGACTTGACTTGACTTGAGCCCAGTGACTTGAAAAGTCAAGTCAAGTCTTTTCAAGTCACTTCATACCTTACAGCAGGCAGGCCCAAACCATTTAAAAAGTGTCACATCAACTAATAGTCAGGAATTACGGCCGTTGGTAACACCGTGTTGTGTTGCCAAGTCTGCTTATTTCCCGCAAAAAAATTCGCTTGTTTTTGGCTTGTTTCTGGAGGTCTGTTTCCTCATTTCTCTTACGAAACTTGGCAACACTGTCTCAAACTCTAGCCTCCCTCATAATGACAACACCGGGAGGACTGAACATAAATTCGCTCGCTAGTATTGCCCGCCTGTTGCCTAGTGTCTCTCTTTTGTTTTGTTTTTGAACAGTGAATTAGAGTATCAGTTTAATGTTTGATTGTATTTGAGTCTTCCTTATTTTTGTGCACATTGTCTAAGTTTCCAATTATTGAAGTTTATCTGATTATTTTTTTTATGACATGTAAAACTGTTTGGTTAAAGCTGCACTATGTAATTTAACACAAACAAGAACCCTTGTTTAATAATATAATCTATATATATGTAAAGATTTAATAATAAATCTTTACATATAACAAATGGTTTATGGCTTTGATATGACTTGTTTTTGACTTGAAAGAAACGGTAAGGACTTGGACTTGACTTGAGACTTGTCTGTGTTGACTTGGACTTGCCTTGGAATTGAGAGCAAAGACTTGAGACTCGACTTGGACTTACAACATAGGGACTTTCCCCCACCACTGCTGCATAGTGTTGCGATATTTTCTCTGGTGATATATCGTATCGTCTCATTTACCAAGTATCGATTTTTCAAATCGAGGTGGGGTGTCAAGAGGTCTGAGCCAGCTCCAGGCTGTAACTCAACACAGAAGAAGACAGGTCAGTTGGTAGGTTGACATGTTATCCAAAAGAAACCTATTTGTTGCATTAGTCTGACTGAAGTTGCACTAAATCGAACCTTTCACAGTTGGACTAACATATCTGGATTATGTGGTTGGGGATCAGTTTTCTCTCACACGTATACGGCTCAGACAGACTGAAACTGGCCTAAAAGTTATTTGCATGCTCCGGTGTTCACGTGCTAGGTTTTGGCCTATTATACTTATTTTAACACTTTGTACCTTTAAAGAAATTGAGTCTCAGGTTTCAGTTCCTTGAAAAAAAGTCTCTGTATTAGTACGGTCTACTCACGTCCCACTGTTACATTCACTTCCTCCTTCTGACTGGTGTTAAGATGTTCTGCGGTACAGATGTACACTCCTGCATCTCCTGGTTTCACTGCAGTGATAACAAGTGTGGCTGATCCTTTGTCTTGTAGGGTTGTATTGGAGCCAAGTTTAGTCCATAAAACGTTAGATGGAGGGAAACTGTCAACACTGCAGGTCAGATTCAGAGTGTTGCCCGTCCCTATAGCTGTCTCTCCAGTGATGTTCGGTTTCCTGATATCTTTAAGACAAAGTTTGGACATAGTATTAGAAAATATCACACAAGTCTGTTTGTGATCAGCTTTATACATGTCCAACCTGAGGCTGAAGACCTTCAATCCTAGGGTTGCAAAATTCCGGGAATTTTCAAAGTTGGAAACTTTCCACAGGAATTAATGGGAATTAACTGGAATTGACGGGAATAGATCTGAAATTTACAAAATTGAAGGTTGGCCCTCAACAGGGAACTTAAATATAGTTGGGGAAATATATTGCAGCATAATCTTGACTAAAACAACCAGATTTAATGCAAGTAAACTCCTCGATCACATGCACACTGCTCACTGCTTACAAGCTTTTTTTATTTTATTTTTCTGAAAAATGCCGCGTTTGCCATCTGTATTATTTTTTGCATGGATGTCAGCTTATGACAAAACAAAAATATTTACATTTAGTACGCTTGGGTATGATACACTTTGTTTAAATTAACCCCCAATTTCCAGTTAATTCCCATAAATTCCCCGTGGAAAGTTTCTGGAAATTTACCGGAAACTTTCCGCCCCTTTGCAACCCTATTCCATCCTTAATTAAGCTAAGATATTCAAACACTTTCTAATGTTAAGGGGTAAATCTGCTTTCATATGAAGCATCACGTTCTGTAAATCGTATATATTTACTGAATGCCTGTTTATTGTGTGTCTTGCTTGATTCTGGTACAGCAGTTGGTCGACTTTGTCCCATCATCCACCTCTGTCACACTGCACCTTGAACTGGCAATATGAAAAGGACTATTATGTTTTACTCACAGGTCACTTTCAGAGCCTCAGTTTTTGCTGTCGTCACTCCTTGTCCGAAGCTGACCTTACAGGTTACATTCTTGCCATGGTGTGAGACCAAAGGGTTAAAGGTCAAATTTGAACCTCGGACAGTTTTTCCTGATCCTGCCCATATCCAGGTGATCTCAGGCTCAGCAGGGCAGAGGCTGGGAGCAGTGCAGGTCAGTGTGGCCTGCTTCCCCTCTTGTAGAAGAGGAATCATCACTGTAGGCTTCTGGCTCAGATCTTAAGTGAAGTGAGAGAAAATATGCAGTAAAAACAAAGTCAGCAAGACACTAACTTCTAATGATATAGATTAATCAGATATACACGTTACTGTTAACTTCAACTTTGATAAAAACAAAAGCCAGATAAGATGCCTGGATATGAAGGTTTTGCTTTGCTACTATTCAGCTCAACCCCAGAGACCAGACATTTTTTCAACAACAGACTTCATGGACTGTGATACTCTATTAAGGAAGTGTACTGCATTTGCCTGTTCCAGTTCCTCCACATCCAGACAGAAGCTTTCGTTTACACCTCTTAAGAAAGCAAACAAGCCCTGACTGTCAGATTATAAAGTCTAGTTTTCTCTTGGTTTGGCTGTGAAGCATGGGGACTCATGTTGTGAAGTAACTTAAATGGTGTTGTAAGTTTATAGACTTTGTTCAGGCATGTCAGGACTCTGTACTTGTTCAGACATGAAGCTGATGATGGTCATTGCATTTGAGTAAACATGGATGTTTCACTGATAGTGGCTGGATCATCTGAAATGCATTCATACACCTGAGAGAGCTGCTCTTGATCTTGAGGCACTGGTATCCTGTTCATTCAGAAAAACAACTGTTTTTGTTATTCGCTGAATGCAGTACTTTTCTGAACTTCATACCTTTTACAGTGAGTTTCACTCTGGAAGAAATAAATCCATTTGTTGTATCATTCATGAATCGGAGCTGATAAAATCCAGAGTCTGACTTTTCGAGATCTTTGATGATGATGCTGCAGGTCCTCCAACTCAGATCAGGAACCAACAGGGAAACCCTTCCTCCGGCACTAGAACGAGTCTCTGAATCTGTGTCGTTCAATCGGAGTATTACGTCAGAACGAGAGCAGTTCTGATCACATTTGATCCAAACTGCACTTTCCAAATTGATGTCAGGATCAGAGGTCAAGTTACAGGGAATCACCACACAGAGTCCAACCTCTGCTGTTTTTTCTGGAGTTTCTGGGGGGGATGCAACTGAAAATAAGAACATGTGAAGAGGTATCAAAATCAGCAGGGCTGTCTCAACAAGCAGTCAGTCAGTTTAACAGACAGGACTTGGTGTTTACAGGCAGGCTGTTATGATAAAAAGAGTCCACTAAGGGTTGATGTTGGGACCACTGCTTTTTTATTCTTAACATAAATGATATGAATCAAAATGTGGAATATGCAGATTTTCATTTCTATGCAGACGACTCTACGATGTACTGCTCTGCATCTACTGCAAGTCTCCAAGTTACAGCTTCCTTTAAACACTGTTCAGCTACATTTGTTTGACTGAAAACTGGTTTTGAATGCAGATGAAACAAAAGCCAGGCTGTTTTTAAAGGCAAAATCCAAGTCCTCAAAAATGCTTTCAATCTTAACTCTGCAGGGCGAAGAGATCGCGTTCGCTGGGTATTTTACTTTTATGTCAATGCTATGTCACATGCTTCCCACTTCTCAGAGTTTGCATTCCCTGGACACTGAGGTTCATCGTTTATTGTATAGGCCTCACTCATTATTGAACGCATTGGTTGGCCTTGCTTGTCTATGAGTAGACTAAAATGTTGGCAAATTCTTGTTTATTTGTGTCTATCATAGGTTTGCTTTCGTCGTACCTCTTAACCTACATCAAACAGAATAGTACAGGAACTTTGACCCCCGATTGCAGGATCTTCTCTTATTGTTCGCTCCAGAGGTCAGAACTGAGATGGGTGAAAAAAAGCCTTTTAAATTCCCTGCTATACTTAAACACTGCAAAGACCTCATGGCGCCTGATACTGACAAGGATGGGCTGCTTTTATTGGGACGTTGACGAACCGTCAAGGGGCAAATCTCAGTTTTTCTCATGCAACTGTTGCATGCTGCTTGTAAGACATCAATGAATCATGGTGTTATGTTCCTTTACGATAAGAACCACAATCAGTAAAATAAAAATATGTAAATAATATCACAACAACTCAAGCAGGTTAAAAAAAAAATCAAGATTGAATTAAAATGTGCACTTTACCTTCATTGGCATTGTTTCTCCCAACCGTGAGGAGGAAAGTCACCCACAGGAGAACAAACATCCTTTTTCGACGGCTTAGACTGGTGTGGATCCTCAAATGTTTCTCAGACTCTCTAAAACACTTGAAAAACCTTCAATAGGAAAACAGGAAGTAAGGTTTACTGAAGTGGATGAAAAACACAGAGCTGACAGCACTGACATTGATACAGGATGTTGCATTTTCACCTCTCTTAAAGTTAAAACATTTGCATGAAAGGGTCCCTGGAGGATAGAGTTTAGGGCGAGAATGATAACTCGGTAAAGCTCAGTGGAAAAAGTGGCTTAGGGGCCTGAATCGGTTCTGTTTTACTGGATGACGAGTTCCAATTGATAAGCAAAGATCATATCTCCAGCTGTAGAAAATCACTTTTGTAGATGCTGTAAATACCAGTTGCTAAAATCAAGATGGAAAAGACAAATCTTATCACCGTTTCTGCTGCATATAACTCATAAGAGGACCTTAACTATACTTAAAGTCATTTGATTGTACATACGTACAACAGTGTGCTTTGGACTCTGAAGGATCATTGCGGTTTTACCCACGCCGCTCTCTCTTCACAGGCCAAATATTTGCCATTTGGGGGCATCTTCAAAAGGACAGAAGCTGCTTTTTGCTTTTTCCTCCACAGCACAGCCTTTACAGTAACTCTGCTGGAAACTCAGTGACTAAAAGTGAAATACAGTTCTAGTGAGAGTTCAGCATACAGATCTTAAAACAGGATGTTGCACATTTGGTTATTCTACAGTTGCTTCATCTAAATTTGGTTACAACTTCCCCATCCAAGGGAGCTAGACTCTCTACTTTATTTAGAAGACTTAGTGTGAATTTAGAAGAAAAGATAGACTTCGTAAAGCGGCTTCATGATACACTTCTCATCACATAGTTTCAAGAGCATAAAACCAGCTGATACAGACATAACCTTTAAAAAAAGGACTCTAACACTCTCCCTTCAAACACCTCTTCTCTAATACAGTACAGAGTCCACCCTTTTTTAGCACCAAGCATCGTTCCCAACCAGTCCAGTTTTTAAGTAAACAACATGTCTATAAAATGACACAATTAAAGAGAGTGATACCTGTTTGTCTTGCTGTCTTTCCTCCACTTTCTGAAGTGTCACTCTTCCCTAAATCGGCTCTTCCTTTTATCACTTTTTCTACTTCTTCCTTTTCTGTTCAAAAACTGCTCATGCAGAGCAAAATTGATACGAATCGACAGTTTTGTAGGGTTTTAACCTTACATTATTGGCCTATTGTCATGTGTTAGAGATAGTTTTAGTTGGAGTTTTCACTTCTTAAACTGAGAGGCTTATGATGTCGGTGACTGATGAATGCAGCTCATTTGAAAAGAGGAAGTTTACCAGATGCGCTCAAATGTGCAACAAAACTTTTGGTCATCTTGAGAAACGTGGAGTACAGTATCTGTTCTTCTATTTTTAGACGTCTATGAGGCTCTGTAAGATTGCTGTGAGAATCTGTATTAGTTGAGTGTCTTTGCTTTTAAATTTTTACTTAGCAGCAGTGTGTAGACAAACTGGTGATGTTTCCAACTAAAGACTATCAAATATCTTCTTTCTGCAGTGCTCACTGAAGACTGATCCTGAGTACATTATTGTGTGAGAGGACCATAGACTGTATATAGAATGGACAGAGTCTGCCTCCTTGCTGGGTGAAGCCACTCCGAGAACAGCACCCTCTGTTGACGAGCTGTAGTATAGGTCATAAATCCCGCCTCCGCCAGTAAAGCTCATGGAGCTGTGGACAAACTTTAGGAATTTATTACACAGAACATAAATTTTTCTCCCCCTGGTTGTGATGTTGACATGTAGTTACAGTAAGACTGGTTTGAGCTCAAGTCCTCTTTTTTCTGTGAAGCTCCGTTTTAAAAGTTATTAGGGGGTTCATGTTTTCTATGATTGACACCTGATACAGCCTATGGGCGTTCAGGGATTGCGTAGCTCTCCCGGGGGGATACGCTGTTTGAGCCGAGCGTCATCACAGCGACTCTCGGTGACTGCGCGGCCGAATGCGCGCATCGCTACCGCGCAGCTCGGGTTTCGAGTAAGTGGAGAAAAACCCGGAATTACCGAGAGCTTTTCGGCTTCAAATCTGTATACAGGCGGTAGGTGGAACCAAGTTGTCCATAGTATATACAGTCTATGGGGCGGACATTGTGTCATACATCAAATACTGTAAGGTTCACACACAAAGTATAAGCGTTTGTTCTGTTGTGGCTTCAGTCTCTAAGATTGCACTTCTGTATTTGAAGTGTTAGCTCCCATTGAGCCTTAGACGTCTATTAGAAGGATCGTCTTAGTTCAGACAGAAATTCGCCCCTCTATAATCGATCTATATTTTAGCCCGACTCCAGAAGACAGAATTTAATCTATTAGATTTTAAATATTAAATAAAAAACAACTGTAAATTGTGTAAATGATGGCCAAATGTTGGATTCAAACATTTTTAACAGTCATTGATCAATGCACAGTGTAGTTTAGTCTGTTAGACGGATAGTCTAAGCTTAGACAGATGAAAAAACTACATTTTTAGACTGGTTTTAGCCCAGACATCTAAGGACCATTAGACGTCTATCAAATGTCTGTTAGACCGAAAAATGCTCAGTGGGCTGTGCAATTTCTTTACCACTTTGAGAGCTCTGAGGAGTCATTCATATACTTCCTATTACAGCAACAGTTTCAGTGCCGTATATAAACCTCTATTTTCATCAAATCTTAGAGTTTTGAGTTATTCAGTTGCAGTAACGTTAAAGTCATCTGTCATTTATATGAAGGTTTAATACAAACTGTTGTGTCAAAGGTTGTAATGCAGGGTTATATGATAGAAAGCTGATAACTTTAAACTCCTTTCTCTAAATTTCTTCTGCACAAAAAAAGTGCTGAGTGTTTGAAATGAAAGTCAGGTTTTTCCAGAAGACATATTTAACAGATTTAAGTAACTTCGGACCACAAGACCACAAGAACTGACCCGGGGAATTTTGTGTTTTCGGTAAAACTTAATATGAACCAACTCCTTATTATGCACCACAGAGCCTTTTAAAAGTATCAATGAGGCTTCATAACAACCCTATTTATTGACGATAAGCATTCATAACAGCTTATACTAATGTTTATGAATTGTTATTCCTTATAACGGTATGGTTTATAATTTGTTACACCTTCAGGCAAAAGAAACTAATCTTAAGTCAAGGCAACACATTACAGAGTATAAACCCCCATGCACACTCAAAAACACTTGAAGGAATGACAATGAGAAGCTGTACTCCAATAAACTCTAATAATATTTTATTCACACACAGAGCTATTTCTAAAGCATAAATCATTCAATTCTTCATACATTTTAAAAAGGCAGATTATATAAAACAATTTACAAAGAAAACAAATTAAACCTCCAACAGCACCACAACCAAAATCTGAGAAACTCTAAATTATAGTATGTTGACATAAAAACAGATCTATATGTGCACAGTCTGCTGTGTCATCAGAAGTGAAAACACAACTGAACAAAGCAGTAACTTAAAATCATGTAAAAACATCCTTTGAACACGTGAAAGTTTGCAATTCTAAGTCAAAATGTAAAAAACTTCCTTTAACAGTTTTATGTTTAATATACAGAGCGGTCGATTCAAGCTGCAACATTAGATATGTTTTGGAATATTACAAAAAATGGAAATGCTAATTCTCCAGCATGTGAAATTAGCAGACATGTCCTATGACAGATAATCTGGGGCAGAAAACACGTCACCTCATCTGAGTTTACTCTAAGCTTTTGTTTTTGATTTTCCCTCTTGGCTTCCCTCACTCACATCAGTCCACCAGTTACACAGAGAAACTGCACCGTCCTCAAATCTCCTGAATTAAATCCTTCACATTAGAATACACCACTGCATCCTTGTCCTCTTTCTCAGAGACTCTGTCCTTCCTCTCCTCCTCCACCACCTCCTCCTCGTAATCCTCCTCCAAAGTCTCACCATCCTCTTCACCCTTGTCTTGAATCTCCTTCTTTTTCTACCTCCTGACCTCAGCGTACTCTGACTCTGGGGTCCCCTGGATGTTCTCTGTCCCTGAGGGACTCCGACTTTCCAACAAAGAGAAGTTAATTTCTGAGTACTCAACCTCTCGCTGTTCAACATCACCGTCAGGAGCTGAATGCACGGCGGCTGCAGCTTCACCGTCACCTTTTCTCCTGGAAAGACAATTAAAAACAAACAAAATCAACAGACAGGATCGACTGAATAACAGCTGACGTAAAGTAGATTTACATCTCTGAACAGGCTTCCTCCTTTACACTTTATTTACAGTCAAAAAAGTGTGAACAAAGTCAGGAGGGCTGAGCAGCTGGACTTCACAGCAAACAGCGTTCTGGATCTCAAAAGAGCTGACAAAGCTTTTCTTACTATTTACTGTCGATGCAACAAAAGCAGAGTGTTGGTGTTATACAGGAAAGTGTTTTTCAAAGGAGATAAACTTTTAGTTTTACCCGTGACATTTTCTGACCAAACAGCAGGTGACAGCTGAGAGAAGTACGCCAATCACAAAGGCAACGATGACCCGAGGCTGTTTCAGCACCTCCAAAAACTTCACGACAGAATCTGCAAATTCAAATCAACATTTAAAAAACAAATATGATTATAATTTTAATCAGTGGTCAAATTTATGAACTGAGGTTTAATGAATTTAGTTTTGAAAATGCAATCATTATTTTTAAGGATATGTTTTAAGTATATACTGCACACTGAATCTTGATAAGTGCCTCATATAGCACAGCATCAGTAAGCAGACCTAAAAACTGCAGTCATCGTAGTTCCTGTGTAAAAATGAATAAACAGATTTTAAAAAATTCCCTTAAGAAAAAAATTAAGAAACTGACCAGTAAGGAGCTCTGTAATAGACAGGAACACATTAAAAAAGACAGTTTTTAACGCTGGTACTACTTGTGAAAAGAAAGTTTAAACAAAATTTGTTTTAATAATAAAATCAAGTATTTATTTTAAGTCAGCCTTTAGCCGTCAGTACCCACCCTCCTGTTCAAACTCGCTGTCTATTATGATCTTCAGCTCCTTCTTCACTTCTCTAAAGTCATTTTCACTGACACACACAACAGTGGAGTAGCTGTGATCTTTGACAGATACAGTGATGCTGCTGTTGACTCTGTTTTTTAACACACTAGTCGTTACACAGTGTTGGGTGGGATTCTTCAGCAGCAACCATTTGATGGTGGGTAAAGGAAACCCATCACTGATACACACACAGGTCAGGAACCCGGACTGAACTGTGTTTTCAGGATTTTGTTTGAGTTGAGTTTGGTCCATGTGATGATAGATGGAGGGAAACTGTCAACACTGCAGCTCAGATTTAGATCCTCACCCTCTTTCGCAGTTGTGTTTCCTGTGATGACAGGCTCCTTTACATCTGAAAGACAAGAAAGAAGACGGCTTCATTTTTACTTTTTCAAAGTCAGAATAATATGAGAGATCAGATACTCACAGGTCACAGTCAGAGTCTCTTTCTTCTCTGTGGAGATGTTGTTTTTGAAGCTGACCTTACAGGTGACCTCAGTACCATGGTGCTCAGCTGAGGGAGTAAAGGTCAAAGTTGAGCTGTGTCTTTGTGTGATAACAGTCAAATTAACAGTCTTTAATGCGGTTGTGTTTCCTATGATGTGGGACTCATTGTTTCTTCTCCCTCTCCACATCCAGGTGATCTGAGGAGCAGATCCAGAGCAGAGACCAGGAGCAGTGCAGCTCAGTGTGGTCTGCTGTCCCTCTGTCAGAGGAGGAATCATCACTGTGGGCTTCTGGGTCAGAGCTGATGAGAGAGAGGTCCATGAGTACATGAGGTGAGCAGCATGGAAACTATTCAAACACATTAAATTTACTCAGAGATATTGAACACTTATGATCTTGGAATCGTGGGAGTAATATGTGGGACTACTGCAGTTCTCACAGTTTACCACTAGAGGTCAGTATATACCAAAATTACTTTCTGCTCCATCAGGAATCTTCACAGCCTGAATTCACACACTTTATCTAAATGTCCAGTAATTCACTTCTTGACTGAATGTTTGTGAAACTCTTCATACCTTTAACAGAGACAGTTGATTTTAAGATATATTGGAATCCATCGTTCGCTCCTTTAAACGTTCCATTAACTCTGAGCTGATACGATCCAGAGTCTGAAACAGTCAGGTCATTGATGATGATGCTGCAGTTCCTCTCAGAAATGTTCGGCTCCAACTGTGTTACTCTGCCTCTGAATTCAGGCTGAACTTCTCCACTGTCTGATCTGTATATTATATCTGAATAAGGACATCTCACAGCCGTCTCACATTTGAACCAATTAATATTTTGGCGAGTAAATCCAGGATCTACTGTGAAAGAGCACGGTATCACAACACAGAGTCCAGCTTCTGCTCTTATTTCCCCTTTATTCAAAGTAGTGCAGAAGTCTCCTTCCTGGCATACTTTTTCTTCTGTCTCTGAAGACCCTGTTAAAAAAACAAACAGTGAGACATGCAGGGATAGAAATGTTTGAGTTTGTCAGAGCATGTTTTATACCAACTGTTCGGTCGGCTTCTTCTTCAGATTCACATCAACTTCACTTTCTGTTGTCAGTAGAGCTCAGCAGACATCTCAACATTGATCATATTTCTATAATCATGTCACTAATACTGATCTCTTAGATAACTACAGCCTTCAGATTTCTTCAATAATAGATGAGGTGAAGGGAAGGACTTTGTAACCACATCCATCATTAAAAATCATTTTGTTCTATTTTGTTGAACATTAAAGTGATAAAAAGGACTTTCATAAATACACATACCTCTGACTGCATTGTGGACCGTCACAGAAAAAAGCAGAGATGCCAAGACGAGAGCAAACATCCTTGTTTGATGGAGAACGGCCCAAATATCTGTCCAAAGAAATAATTTAACCTTCAGAGTAGTGATGCACGATATGAAAAATTTCAACCAATACCGATAACCGATAATTTTCTTCTTCTCATGGCCGATACCGATAACTGATAAATTCATATTTTTACATTTATTATAATCTTCATATAATCTGCAGTTTGTGCAGGATGCAGTGATTGAAAACTGATATTTTTGTTGCTCTGGCCCATCTAGAACAACAAACTAAAGTTTTTGGCTCTTCAAATGTTTATTTTTTCCATGTCATCACAAAAATATGTGGTCATTAGCTATAAATAACAATAACAGAGCAAAAAGCAGAACTTCATTTGATCCCCTGAACTGTTCAACAGAACTGTAAACTGTAAAGGGGCTATTATGAGACGTTAGGCTTCGCATGCTGACCGGACTAACATCTGACGTCCATATGTCTGTGGTAAAACTCACGTGTAGTCCGTTCTTGTCGATCAGGTTGTGAATGTATGTGGCGACAATATCACAGAGTACAGGAAGAGACACATCCGAGAAGAAGCGGCAGCTTGGGAGAGTGTAACGTGGCTCCAAGTGTGCTATGTACTTACGAAAACCCGGGTTCTCAACGACGGAAAAAGGCTGGTCGTCGACCGCTATGAATTCCATCACTTTGTCGTTAATGGCTTTAGCCTTTTCGCTGTCTCTTGAGAAGCTTTTGCAGTTTTTAAACGCCTGCTGAATGGGGACATCAATCCTCCGTAGTGTTGTTGTCTTAGCTTTAGTACCGCTAGCAGCTTCGGCGGCTGTCTCATATTCTTTTACTACCGCTTCGCCGCGATGGCGACTTTTCAGATGAGCTATCAGATTCGTTGTGTTAAAACTTGACGTCTTCATTCCGCCTCTCGGAATCCTCGCTGAACAGGTTTTGCATATAACAGCTGTTGTCATCTTCTGCCACTGAGAAAAACGACCATGCTGGTGAAGACATTTTATTATCAGTCAGGTAGTGACAGGGGTCAGGCTTGGGACCTGCGAGTAAGGCGCGACGGGCGGCTACTCCGCCTGCAAACGTTTCTCGTAATTTCATTAATATATCGGCTCTTTCTATCGGAAAAATGCACCTATCGGACCGATAAAAAATGACGTAATTTTCCCCCAAATCGGCCGATATTCTATCGGTCCGATAAATATCGTGCATCCCTACTTCAGAGGAAAAAATCATTTGAAACACTGAAAACTTGAAGTGAATGAAACTCCTCCATGGTTTACTCTGATCTGAATAAACGACAATGTCAGATCAATTCATACGGTCACTTAGTATAAACATGTCAATAAAGGTTCTTGTTATTCTTTTTACATATGGTCAGCATCTACAAGGACCTGTTGAACCAAACTGTTAACATACAACTTAAAAACTGTAATAATGACTTTTAAGTATTTAAAAGAACATTTTAAGAATACATAATTTCCCTCGTGCTAAAACTCTTCAAATCAAAACCTTGTACCTGCTGTTCACGGTTTGATTTGGAGAAAAAGTCAAAATAATTGATTAGTTTAGACAGCCTCACTTCACATTAAAACTCTAAAACTACAGTCAGTGTTGAGTTTTACCTTTATTTATCTTGTTCTTCTGCTCTCACTGGCCTCTGCTGAGTCTCTGCTGTAAAATGATTCTTCCTCCTTTTCATCCTCTTCTTCTACTTCTTCTGTGTTCATACTTAAACAAGTTTCCAGGAAGTTCTTATATTTTTTTCACTCTCATGTTAATGTCTAAAACCCAAACTCATATTCACTGACATCATGTTTTCCAACATGTACAAGTTTCTAATATGTGACACTTGAAAGATAAAATTAAAGAAGTATCAACTTTCTACTAAATATCCAACTTCTAAAATCTGAGAACCTTATAGTCAGGTGTTCCTGAGGATCTAAATTAATAGTTTAATAGTTTCTTTGTTTAAACTTTACCTTAGATGGCATTACTGCAAATAAAATCAAGTATTTATTTTAAGTCAGCCTTTAGCCGTCAGTACCCACCCTCCTGTTCAAACTGGCTTTCTATTATGATCTTCAGCTCCTTCTTCACTTCTCCAAAGTTATTTTTGCTGACACACCCAACAGTGGAGTAGCTGTGATCTTCTACAGATACAGTGATGCTGCTGTTGACTCTGTTTTTTAACACACTAGTGGTATCGCTGTGTTGGGTGTGATTGTTCACCAGTGACCATGTAACGGTGGGTAAAGGAAACCCCTCACTGATTCTCTTCTGGCTCTCAATGAAGTGATGTGTGGGACCACTGCAGTTCTCACAGTTTACCACTAGAGGTCAGTATGCCAAAATGCCAAAAACGATCCACTTCAGCTCTTCATATCTGAACACTCAAGTCAAGGCGACACATTACAGAGTATAAACCCCCATGCACACTCAAAATCACTTTAAGGAATAACAATGAGAAGCTGTACTCCAATAAACTCTAATAATATTTTATTCACACACAGAGCTATTTCTAAAGCATATGTCATTCAATTCTTCATACATTTTAAAAAGGCAGATTATATAAAACAATTTACAAAGAAAACAAATTAAACCTCCAACAACACCACAACCAAAATCTGAGAAACTCTAAATTATAGTATGTTGACATAAAAACAGATCTATATGTGCACAATCTGCTGCTTTTATTTACAGAATAAAAATGTTTCATCAGAAGTGAAAACACAACTGAACAAAGCAGTAACTTAAAATCATGTAAAAACATCCTTTGAACACATTAAAGTTTGCAATTCTAAGTCAAAATGTAAAAAACTTCCTTTAACAGTTTGATGTTTAATGTACAGAGCGGTCGATTCAAGCTGCAACATTAGATATGTTTTGGAATAATACAAAAAATGGAAATGCAAATTCTCCAGCCTGTGAAATTAGCAGACATGTCCTATAACAGATAATCTGGGGCAGAAAACACGTCACCTCATCTGAGTTTACTCTAAGCTTTTGTTTCTACAGTACAGACTAGATTTTCTCTTATACGCACACACACAGAAATGTCCACGTTGTCCTTAAAACAGAGCTTAAACTCACATCAGTCCACCAGTTACAGCGAGAAACTGCACCGTCCTCAAATCTCCTGAATTAAATCCTTCACATTAGAATACACCACTGCATCCTTGTCCTCTTTCTCAGAGACTCTGTCCTTGCTCTCCTCCTCCACCACCTCCTCCTCTTAATCCCCCTCCAAAGTCTCACCATCCTCTTCACCCTCATCTTGAATCTCCTTCTTCTTCTCCCTCCTGACCTCAGCGTACTCTGACTCTGGGGTCCCCCGGATGTTCTCTGTCCCTGAGGGACTCCGACTTTTCAACAAAGAGAAGTTAATTTCTGAGTACTCCACCTCTCGCTGTTCAACCTCACCGTCAGGAGCTGAATGCAAGGCGGCTGTAGCTTCACTGTCACCTCCGCCGTGGTCATGGTTCTGACCTTTTTCGAGAGCTTGATTGACATCCATCTGTCAGACACAATTCAGAAGACGAACACATGAGTAAACTTTGTATGAAATCTCTCCATCAGTAGTTGTAAATGTTTTCAGCCCTCATTAAAGGAGTCATCAGATGGAAACAGCCCTAAATCCGATCCAATAACTCCAGAGATGGTTGGAAATTAACTTAAACTGACGTACCTGCTCTCATTTCAGTTATGGTCTAGAAAGCTGTTGTTTAGATCTTTCTATTCAGTCTAGCGTTTACATTTCATTTTCTCAATATTAGTTTAGTTCATTAGTTAATCTGTTTATTTGATAGAGACTGAGCACCACATAAGCTGCTGAGCCAGTTAGCTTTGGAGCTAATTTACATCTAGGGTCCCGGGGCAGAAGGGCTCGAAACATGCAAACATAGAGGTGCATGCATCACAATTCTCGATCACCGATCTTTAAAAAGCTTGACCTGCTGATACTGATTTTGGCCAATACCATTTCTTTTTTCTTTATAACTGACAACATTCACCTTCGATGCTTCAATACTTGTGAAACAATACAAAGTTTTTGTGTTCGTTTTAACTGCACATGAGGAAGTTCTCTCCAATATAAATGAAAAGTTTAGAATATTTCTGTCCAAACTACTAAATTATTTCAGTTCCTTTAGTCTTTTATTTTCCACATTTTAAAAATGAACGGGTCACACTTCAGGCCTGTTTTGAGCCTCTTACCAAAATAAAATGCACAGCAGTATTTTGCTTTTACAAATAAAGGAAATCACAAGGTTTGAGGAAGTTAGTAAAATAATAATTTACAGAACAAACGAACAACTTAGGCCCGAACTACACGAAGGCGGATATTTATTTATCTTGATATTTTTGTACTCCCGTCTAAATAAATGTACCAGTCCACACGTGTTAGTTCTCAAAAATATCTGCGTCCACATGTAGCCTTCAAACTCAATCCTATCTGGTGCCGCTTAAAAAAATTCAGGAACAAAGCTACCTGATTGGCCGATGAATCGGAAGTTTAGCTTCCATTCATCTGCAGGCACAGCCCCTCTAACAGAGTTGTCCCACCACTTGACCCAAAACTTACGCTTCTGGCGAACTTTAAAACGCCTAACGTTAACGTTACGATTGCTCTCCAAAAAAAGTATTGGGCGCAGCAGACGCCTCTGTGAGCTGGCTGACTGGTGGATGTAATTGTATAAAATAAGGTTCACTTTCAAGGCTGAAATTAGCCCCAAAAGGGCGAAACAAACGTAAAGAATACCCTGTATGTCCGCCATCGTTGTTGTTATTGTTTTTGTTTTTAATTCGCATGCGCGAGCTGCGGTTTGACGTCATCGATCCGTAAAAGTCCGACCACACGAATCCTCTGCGGATACGGGATACGGATATTTTTTTATTTCTCCGCTTGTTTTTCCGGATTCAGATTTATCCGGTTTGAGTGCTCCAAACTCCCGGTTTGGTGTGGTAGGGAGGCCTAATCGGACATAAATATGTGCGGTTTGAAATATATCCGCCTTCGTGTAGTTCGGGCCTTAAACCACCAATAAACTGTCCTGAGTTTTAGGTTTCCTTGTAGTGGGTTCAACATGCTTGGTTGATCATGCTTTGGATGACTGTTGTGTGTGCTGCTGGAGCTGATGTGTGTGCACACGTGACCAGGTGGGCGGGCCTGTCACTCTGGCAAAGCAAAAAGCTTTAACGGCTGACTTTCAGATAGATAAGATCGGTGGATAAAATCGGTTTCATATGTAAGAATCAGCCGATCACCAATCCCCCAAAATTGAGGATATTGGTGCCGATCGATAGGCTGGCCGATTTATCAGTGCATGTTTCAAAATTTAGAATAACTTTAGCTCTGAGCAATGGTCAACACTCAGTGATTTTACTGTTCAAATCGATATTTGAGTAATTATATATTAGAGAGGATAGGATAGTGCTGAATGACGTTCTGAAAAGGAGCCACAGGCTGGACTCGAACCCTGGCCCTTTGATTCATTAACTTCAAAATCTTATCCTTTCGTGTTTTAATCATGTTTACTTTCTGAAGCATCAATATTAAGGAAACAGTCTGAGGACTCACCATCTCCAGGTTCTCCAAAGATGTGTTTCCTTTCAGTTTTCTCCTGCAAAGACATTTAAAAACAAACAAAATCAACAGACAGGATTGACTGAATAACAGCTGACGTTAAGTAGATTTACATCTCTGAACATGCTTCCTCCTTCGCGAAAAACACTTTGTTATTTACAGTCAAAAAAGTGTGAACAAAGTCAGGAGGGCTGAGCAGCTGGACTTCACAGCAAACTGTGTTCTGGATCTCAAAAGAGCTGACAAAGCTTTTCTTACTATTGACTGTCGATGCAACAAAAGCAGAGTGTTGGTGTTAAACAGGAAAGTGTTTTTCAAAGGAGATAAACTTTTAGTTTTACCCAGTTTGACATTTTCTGACCAAACAGCAGGTGACAGCTGAGAGAAGTACGCCAATCACAAAGGCAACGATGACCCGAGGCTGTGTCAGCACCTCTGAAAACTTCTCGACAGGATCTGCAAATTCAAATCAACATTTAAAAAACAAATATGATCATAATTTTAATCAGTGGTCAAATTTATGAACTGAGGTTTGACATTGAAAATTAAATTGTTATTTTTCAAAGTGGTTAAAATCAATAATCAGCACTCACCCTCCTGTCTCAACACGACTTTAGTCTCATTTTCTATGATGGTCTTCAGCTGCTTCTTTACTTCTCCAAAGTTATTTTTGCTGACACACCCAACAGTAGAGTAGTTGTGATCTTTGACAGATACAGTGATGCTGCTGTTGACTCTGTTCTTAGACACACTTTTGAAGACAAAGTATTCAGTGTGCTTCTTCAGCTGTGGCCATTTGACGGTGGGTAAAGGAAACCCCTCACTGATACACACACAGGTCAGGAACCCGGACTGAACTTTACATGCAGAGCTTTTTAAAATCTTTGGTGAAACTGTAAACAAACAAGAATAATCTCAACATCACAGAAAAAACACAGTGTTCGGTGTTATGATGGTGTGTTACTCTTTCAGAGGACACCACTGACCTGCCAGGATCACCTCAACCTGTGTAGACCTGGTTTGGTTCTTGTGTGTTGCTGTGCAGATGTACTTTCCAAAATCTTCTTTTGTCATGTTGAGGATGAAGAGATCAGCTGATCTGGTGTCATTGTTCAGGCTTTTGTTTGAGTTGAGTTTGGTCCATGTGATGATAGATGGAGGGAAACTGTCAACACTGCAGCTCAGATTTAGATCATCACCCTCTTTCACAGTTGTGTTTCCTGTGATGACAGGCTCCTTTACATCTGCAAGACAAAATGAAAGACAAGAAAGAAGACGGCTTCATTTTTACTTTTTCAAAGTCAGAATAATATAAGAGATCAGATACTCACAGGTCACAGTCAGAGTGTCTTTCTTCTCTGTGGAGATGTTGTTTTTGAAGCTGACCTTACAGGTGATCTCAGTACCATGGTCCTCAGCTGAGGGAGTAAAGGTCAAAGTTGAGCTGTGTCTTTGTGCAACAGCAGACAGCCTCTCAGTACGGAAGTTTCCTCTAATGACAGAGTCGTTTTCTCCTCGTCTCCACATCCAGGTGATCTGAGGAGCAGATCCAGAGCAGAGACCAGGAGCAGTGCAGCTCAGTGTGGTCTGCTGTCCCTCTGTCAGAGGAGGAATCATCACTGTGGGCTTCTGGGTCAGAGCTGATGAGAGAGAGGTCCATGAGTACATGAGGTGAGCAGCATGGAAACTATTAAAACACTTCAAATTTACTCAGATTCTGGACACTTATTATCTTGGAATTGTGGGAGTGATGTGTGGGACCACTGCAGTTCTCACAGTTTACCACTAGAGGTCAGTATATGCCAAAATTACTTCCTGCTTCATCTGGAATCTTCACAGCCTGAATTCACACACTTTATCTACACTCACCGGCCACTTTATAAGGTACACCATGCTAGTAACGGGTTGGACCCCCTTTTGCCTTCAGAACTGCCTCAATTCTTCGTGGCATAGATTCAACAAGGTGCTGGAAGCATTCCTCAGAGAGCTTGGTCCATATTGACATGATGGCATCACACAGTTGCCGCAGATTTGTCGGCTGCACACCCATGATGCAAATCTCCCGTTCCACCACATCCCAAAGATGCTCTATTGGATTGAGATCTGGTGACTGTGGAGGCCATTTGAGTACAGTGAACTCATTGTCATGTTCAAGAAACCAGTCTGAGATGATTCCAGCTTTATGACATGGCGCATTATCCTGCTGAAAGTAGCCATCAGAAGTTGGGTACATTGTGGTCATAAAGGGATGGACATGGTCAGCAACAATACTCAGGTAGGCTGTGGCGTTGCAACGATGCTCAATTGGTACCAAGGGGCCCAAAGAGTGCCAAGAAAATATTCCCCACACCATGACACCACCACCACCAGCCTGAACCGTTGATACAAGGTAGGATGGATCCATGCTTTCATGTTGTTGACGCCAAATTCTGACCCTACCATCCGAATGTCGCAGCAGAAATCGAGACTCATCAGACCAGGCAACGTTTTTCCAATCTTCTATTGTCCAATTTCGATGAGCTTGTGCAAATTGTAGCCTCAGTTTCCTGTTCTTAGCTGAAAGGAGTGGCACCCGGCGTGGTCTTCTGCTGCTGTAGCCCATCTGCCTCAAAGTTCGACGTACTGTGCGTTCAGAGATGCTCTTCTGCCTACCTTGGTTGTAACGGGTGGTTATTTGAGTCACTGTTGCCTTTCTATCAGCTCGAACCAGTCTGGCCATTCTCCTCTGACCTCTGGCATCAACAAGGCATTTCCGCCCACAGAACTGCCGCTCACTGGATATTTTTTCTTTTTCGGACCATTCTCTGTAAACCCTAGAGATGGTTGTGCGTGAAAATCCCACGAGATCAGCAGTTTCTGAAATACTCAGACCAGCCCTTCTGGCACCAACAACCATGCCACGTTCAAAGTCACTCAAATCACCTTTCTTCCCCATACTGATGCTCGGTTTGAACTGCAGGAGATTGTCTTGACCATGTCTACATGCCTAAATGCACTAAGTTGCCGCCATGTGATTGGCTGATTAGAAATTAAGTGTTAACGAGCAGTTGGACAGGTGTACCTAATAAAGTGGCCGGTGAGTGTAAATGTCCAGTAATTCACTTTTTGACTGAATGTTTGTGAAACTCTTCATACCTTTAACGGAGACAGTTGATCTTGAAGTATAATGGAATCTATCAGGGCGTCCATTAAACTGACCATTAACTCTGAGCTGATACGATCCAGAGTCTGATACAGTCAGGTCACTGATGATGATGCCGCAGTTCCTCTCAGAAATGTTCGGCTCCAACTGTGTTACTCTGCCTCTGAATTCAGATCTATGAACTTCTCCACTGTATGATCTGTATATTATCTCTGAATCAGCACATTTCCCAGACGTCTCACATTTGAACCAATTAATACTCTTGGGAATAAATCCAGGATCTACTGTGAAAGAGCACGGTATCACAACACAGAGTCCAGTTTCTGCTCTTATTTCTCCTCTCCTTAAAGTAATGCAGAAGTCTTTCAACTGGCATTGAGTTACTTCCGTCTCTGAAGACCCTGTTGAAAAAACAAACAGTGAGACATGCAGGGATAGAAATGTTTGAGTTTGTCAGAGCATGTTTTATACCAACTGTTCGGTCGGCTTCTTCTTCAGATTCACATCAACTTCACTTTCTGTTGTCAGTAGAGCTCAGCAGACATCTCAACATTGATCATATTTCTATAATCATGTCACTAATAGTGATCTCTTAGATAACTACAGCCTTCAGATTTCTTCAATAACAGATGAGGTGAAGGGAAGGACTTTGTAACCACATCCATCATTAAAATCATTTTGTTCTATTTTGTTGAACATTGAAGTGATAAAAAGGACTTTCATAAATACACATACCTCTGACTGCATTTTGAACCGTCACAGAAAAAAGCAGAGATGCCAAGACGAGAGCAAACATCCTTGTTTGATGGAGAATGGCCCAAATATCTGTCCAAAGAAATAATTTAACCTTCAGAGGAAAAAATCATTTGAAACATTGAAAACTTGAAGTGAATGAAACTCCTCCATGGTTTACTCTGATCTGAATAAACGACAATGTCAGATCAATTCATACGGTCACCTAGTATAAACATGTCTATAAAGGTTCTTGTTATTCTTTTTACATATGGTCAGCATCTACAAGGACCTGTTGAACCAAACTGTTAACATACAACTTAAAAACTGTAATAATGACTTTAAAGTATTTAAAAGAACATTTTAAGAATAAATAATTTCCCTCCCTTCAAATCAAAACCTTGTACCTGCTGTTCACGGTTTGAAGTCAAAATAACTGATTAGTTTAGACAGCCTCACTTCACATTAAAACTCTAAAACTACAGTCAGTGTTGAGTTTTACCTTTATTTATCTTGTTCTTCTGCGCTCACTGTCCTCAGTGACCTCTGCTGAGTCTCTGCTGTGAAATGAGTCTTCCTCTTTTCATCCTCTTCTTCTACTTCTTCTGTGTTCACACTTAAACAAGTTTCCAGGAAGTTCTTATATTTTTTTCACTCTCATGTTAATGTCTAAAACCCAAACTCATATTCACTGACATCATGTTTTCCAACATGTACAAGTTTCTAATATGTGACACTTGAAAGATAAAATCAAAGAAGTATCAACGTTCTACTAAATATCCAACTTTTAAAATCTTAGAACCTTAAGCTCATAGTTTGGTGTTCCTGAGGCTCTAAATTAATAGTTTAATAGTTTCTTAGTTCAAACTTTACCTTAAATAGTATTACTGCGCTCTCTTTAAAAACTTCCTCTTCACACTTTGAGGTGTGAGCTCCACCTTTGTAGAGAAAACAAACAGACCACCATGTTGTTTTTAACCAGTCAGTTTACTGAACACTTTATTTACAGCTACTTTTTCCTGCAGTGTGCCAGAAGTAAGACAAGAATTGATGAAAACAAACTGCTCAACAGTTTCTTCTCTTTGAAAGTCAGGGTCAGATATAGCTGTGGAAGAAAACTCTCACACTCGCTCATTCATTCAGACACTTAATTCGTCTGAGGATGGGTGTGGGGATCACATCTAGTAGCACCTAGATCTACGCTGATGGTGTGCGTTCTTTCCCCACTGCTCTTCTCCCTCCACATAAATGACTTGATCTCAGAGGATCCATCTGTCAAAGTCCTGAAGAAGACAACACCACAGTCCTCGGCCTCATTCGGGACAGTGAGGAGTCTTTAATTATGATGTTTAACATCCTTCTCTTCAAAATCTGTATCATATAAATATAACCCTTTCATCATAAACCCATGCATACGATTATTAAAGCACTCTTCACCATATCAGCACTGCACTATTGTCTTACAGTCATCACAGCCACTGAGAAGTGACAGGTTAGCTTCACAGGGTTAAAGGGAGGATTTAATTTTTCCACAGGAACAGACATTCAGTCCACTCTGAAGAGCTTTGAGTGGACCAAAATTACACTTAGCTTCAGCTCCCAGAGCTGAGAGGACCGAGCTGGTGCCTCATTTTAAACGTATAGACTTGTAATTTAGTCCCTCACAGTAAAACAATCCATCATCAGTGAACTACTTCAGTTCTTCATATCTGAACACTGTCCTCATGTCCCATTTATTACATCCCTCAGATTGGAGTACACTGCCACACCCTCTCCTTCCTCCTCCTCTGTGACCAAATCAGTTGTCTCCTCCTCTTCTTCCCCCAGTGTTTCATCTTTAACTCCACTGTGGTTTTCTCTTCGCTCTATCATGTCTTTCCTAATTTCAGCGTACTCTGTTTTTGTGCTCTCCTTCTTCTTTGCTGCCCTCCTTTTCAGCACAGCGAAATCAATGCTGGCGTACTCCACATCTTTTGCTTCACCGTTCACTTTAAGGGCTGTTTTCTCCCCTGACACAGCTTTTCCTCCTCTTTCCTCTTGGTAGTAGGTGTGATTTTCTTCTTCTTCTTGGCTAGCATCCATCTGTCAAGTAAAACATGAATGACAAGACTTGTTTATCAGCCCTGAGAAGTCGATCGCCGAGTGTGGCGGAGTTTCGCAGCTCAAGGAAGAAAATTTATGATGATTTCTTAATGGAAATGCAATCAAACTTCTTGTGTATTTTGTATGTGCACTGCAGGCGCAGTAGTTCTTCTGCCTTAGTGTTCGGTCTGACTGCATTTCCATGAAGTAATGATCCTAAATTTTCTTCCTTGAGCTGCTAAACTCCACTGCACTCGGTGATCAACTTGTCAGGGCTCCCCCACAAACAAGCGGCTGCTGGAGTAGAGTGGTGTTTGGTGGCTAGTCCTATGTATAAATAAATATATATGTACATTTATATAGAAATATATATATATATATATAAATCTATACACACACACATATATACATTTATATATACATATATATATATATATTTATATAAATATTTTATATATATTTTTTTTATATATATACGTGTATATATAAATGTGTATATATATATATATATATATATGTGTGTGTGTGTGTGTGTGTGTGTGTATGTATAAATATATATATTTATATATTTATATTTATATTTATATATATGTGTATATATATATATATATATATATATATATATATATATATATATATATATATATATATATATATATATATATATATATATATATACAAAAACATTGCTCCTTGTACACAGACTGGCATGGGAGGCCAGACCATCAGGGTGTTTACTTTTGCTTTAAAAAGTGGATTTTTCGGTGTGGTGTGATTTTGGTGGTTCTGCATCCAGTCTTAAGCCGACAGTCAGGGAACTACAACAGAATGAATTCTAATTACCAGGGGATCCTCCTGACTGGTCACCATCACCAAAGTCTTCCCCATATTTCCAGAACTCCTCTGTCTTTGTCTGGAGAAAACAAAGCAAACCATTTCAATGTATGTATAACAATCATCCAAATGTCAAACCATGAGGAACTCTTTGGAGTTAATAGAATACCTCTGGCATATTGTTGCCAAACACCAAAGGACAGCTGAGAGAATTAAGCCCAGAAAAAAGGCAGTGATGACTTCCACCCATGAAAATGTTTTTGATACCCAGGACTGATCTGCTTTAAGAGGAACAACACAAAACTTTCAGTGTCAGTGAACATGCAGATGAACTTGCACAGCTTGCATTATACAGTAGACTTCCTCACACAAAGGTCACAGAGGTCTTTAGTTTGCAGTAGCAGAAGTAGTTTGGTCGAGGACATGTACCTTCTATTTCTGGCATGTTAATTTGGATGGTGAGATTTTCTTTGACTTCTCGATTTCTGTTGCTGCTGACACACTCTGCAGAGGTGTTGCTGTGGTCTTTAGCAGTCACTGTGATGGTGCTGCTGATCGTGTGGTTTGTCACAGTATTAATGGCAGAGTACTTAGCGTGGTTCTTCAACAGCGGCCATTCGATGGTGGGTAAAGGAAAACCTTCACTGACACACACACAAGTCAAGACCTCTGACCTAATCTGACAACCAGAGTCTTTCAAGATGCTTTGAATCCCTGTAAACACACAAAAAGAATCACAACATTACAAAACAACCTTCATGGGAAATCTGAACATGAAGTTTCTTATAGGAAGATGAGTCCAGTCCACTTACATGTCACAGAAACGTCAGTGAATACAGTCACAGTCGTGTTCAGGTGTTTTGCTGTACAGATGTACCTTCCAGAGTTTTCTGCCTGCACATCACTGATGAGCAGTGTGGCTGATCCCGTGTCGTTCTGCAGGTCAGAACCAGAACCAAGTAAAGTCCAAGTGATATGAGATGGAGGAAAACTTTCAACGCTGCAGGTCAGATTCAGAGAGTCCCCTTTAGTGACAGACGTATTCCCAGTGATTACAGGTGTTTTCATGTCTGTGAACAAAAGTCATAATGAAGTTAGAAGAATGAAACTGAACTTTCTACTTCAAGAGGATAACATGAGTATATTCTTTTGTTATCTGTTAGATTATATGAGTAATTATATGTGTATGCATCTGGACAACAGACTTAATAGAAAATTATATGAAACTAATTAACCCTGGTATCAGTTCCTTTATAATTTATGTGTAATATAATTAATTAGCACTCATATGAAGGTTTCCACATGTAGGCGTTTGTCTGATTTTTTCCATTATCACCACTAGATGGCACTGAGGTTGAACATTTGTTGGCACTTACATATCACATTGACATCCACTTCCTTCATCAGGGTGTTGTTCAGGTGTTTTGCTCTGCAGATGTACAGTCCTGAATCCTTTACAGTCACATTAGAGATGGAAAAAGTCGACTCCCCGATTCCCTCCTTCAGGAAGATTTCAGTTTTCTTCTCCTGATCAGTTAAAGTGTCATTTTGCAGATCAGTTTCTGTTCCGGTTTGTGTGTTGTTATCAGGAAGTTTTGTCCATGTGATGAGAGATGGAGGGAAACTCTCAACGTTGCACCTCAGATTCAGAGTCTCACCCTCTTTCACATCCGTGTTCCATAAGAGTTGAACTTCCTTTACATCTGTAAGACAAAATTATACACTTCATCATTTAAAACAAATATAATATTTATAACTGTGGCCTTTAGTAGACTTTGTGACACTTACAGGTTACATTCAGAGTCTCTGTCTGCTCTGTTGTCGCCCCCCCTTTAAAGCTGACCTTACAGGTGACCTCAGTACCATGGTCCTCAGCTGAGGGAGTAAAGGTCAAAGTTGAGCTGTGTCTTTGTGCAGCAGCAGACAGCCTCTCAGTACTGAAGTTTCCTCTAATGACAGAGTCGTTTTCTCCTCGTCTCCACATCCAGGTGATCTGAGGAGCAGATCCAGAGCAGAGACCAGGAGCAGTGCAGCTCAGTGTGGTCTGCTGTCCCTCTGTCAGAGGAGGAATCATCACTGTGGGCTTCTGGGTCAGAGCTGATGAGAGAGAGGTCCATGAGTACATGAGGTGAGCAGCATGGAAACTATTAAAACACTTTATTTTGGGGATTAAATTTACTCAGATACTGAAAAAATAAGAATCAAGGAGAATAAGAGTAATAATATGAATGGCTGCAGTTCTCACAGATTACCAGCAGAGAGCAACAAATGCTAAAATTTACTTCATATGAGTTTTTACAGCTGAAATACTCTGTTGGAGTTTGTTTGCACACGACATCATAGACCTCCTCAGTGTGTTTGTGTAGCTCTTCGTACCTTTAACAGAGACATTCGCTCTTAAGGAATACTGGAATCCATCTTTATCCTTGCCAGGACTGAAACCGTTAACTCTGAGCTGATATGATCCAGAGTCTGACACAGTCAGGTCATTGATGATGATGCTGCACTTCCTCTGACTCGTACCGGGCTCCAACTGTTTTACTCTGCCTTTAAATCCAGACTGAACCTTTTTGTCGTTCTTTTTGTATATCACATCTTGATCAGTACATCTTGGTTTGGATGGTTCACATTTGAACCACACAATATTCTGGGGAATGAAGGTTGAGCTTGTATTGAAAGAGCACGGTATCACAACGCACAGTCCAGCTTCAGCTCCTATTTCTCCGTCACTGAGAGTGATACAGAATTCATTTTGACAGGCGGATCTTCTTTCTAGTGAGCAGAGACACAAAAGTGGGTGTTATTGGGGCCAAAAAAATCTGATATTTTACAACAAACTGAGAAAAACAGCTGCTGATTTTGGCTCATTGTGCCACAAGGATAAAACAGAAGACAAATTAGGGTGAATTATAGAGTCTTAGGGTTGTTGTTGGCTGTTTGTTTCTGAACAGTGTAATGGAGGTCCTCGCTCTGACACTCACATGCTCTGTAACGTCTGCCTGAACATAACGCTTCGTATTCATGAGTCAGGAGTCTGTTAGATTTGAAATTTTGTCACCTTAAGATCACTATGAAGTTACACACCTGTGTCTGCTCTGCTGTCCATCACAGAGAAAAGCAGAGTTGTCCATATGAGGACAAACATCCTGAGTTGGTTGTTGAGACTGTCGGTCTCTCTCCCGCTGCAGAAAAGATTTTCACAGTAAACATGAAGAAAGTGACAAAGTGAAGCTCAAAGCTGACATGACAGTCCTAAAATACAAGATTGTTCATTTTCAGCAGCTCCACGGTTCACACGTCACACTCAGGAGAGTTTGTACAGCTCAGCATTGATCAGTCGTTGATTTAACTACAATGATTTTAATAACAATAGCAGCTCTTGGCCGTTTCAGCCTCTCCAGACCTCACTAATAGTTTCCAATACAGCCGTTATGCAGTCTTCCTCATTTTAAGTCTCCCTCCAATCCAGTCTACACTCTTACTTTACCAGCAAACTAAAGACTATCAAAAAGCATTTTAATAACTCTGTAAGGATGAAGGAAAACACTCTGGAAACTTCTATTTACTCTCCCAAAATTAATTTCCAAACTCTTTCATACCTCCATCTGTCTCCTTCCTCCGCTCTCTTTTCTCTACAAGTTTCAGCGCTCAAATGTCTCTTCTCTCTTTTCTATTTCTCCTTTCGGTGTGCAACCAGATTTCAGGAAGGTTCTGCAAACACAGCTTATTTCTCCTCTGCCTAAACTGACAGGTTTTTTTGGTTTTTAATCTTTTTGATCATAAATACGCACTTTTAGTATCCCACATTTCTCAGAACTCTGTTTTTGTTTCTTATGTTTAGCTTTTTCATCGTATGTTAAGGTGTCTGAGCTATCCAGAGATTTTTAGTGTCACAGCCCTGTTCTCGGTGTGTCTCTAATGCTGTTAAAAACTTAATAATCTTTACAACAACGTCAGCTTTGGACCCTAAAAACAGCTTTTGAATTCATGAACTGAGAAAACTACAGCACATCCTGTTTTTCAACACTCTTCAGTTACTTTAGCAGAAAATCAAAAAGGTAAGAATAAATAACTCCAGCCTTTCCACAATCACAAAATAACATGTTTAAGTGTCTTTCAAAGTTGTCTTTTACCTCTCTCTGTCTCGCTCCTCTGCTCTCTTTCCTCTGCAAGTTTCAGTTCTGAACTGACCCCCTTTTCACTTTGCGTTTGGTCTTTTTTTGGAAGATTTGAGGAAGTTTTCTCAGGCACTTCTGCGTTTTATTTCTCTTCTTTTGAACCATCTGTATTCTCAATGATATCATAAATACTCTCACTGAAATATCAAAGTTTCAATGTTACGTCTGTTATTTCTCTAAATTTCAGTATACACAAAATTCACTCTTAGTTATCACACATTGCTGCACACTTCTGCTCTCAGCCTTTCTTTGCTGATGTTGTCCTTTAAATACATAAACCAGAAACAGAATCAGAAAACTTTATTTATCCCCAGGGGGGATTAGATTAGATTAGATACAACTTCATCTGTCCTTTTGGGAAGGTTCCCTCAAGACATTAAACGTTCAAGCATAAGTGTATACAATCAGTTTGTAGTGTAGAATATTGCACAGAGAATTACACAATTTCATGTTTCCTGATAAGAAATCTCATCCTCTTGACTTTTCAAAATCAAACCCGTTTACTCATTTTTATGAACTACAGGGAAAAAAGCTTCTTCTTCTTCGGTGTGTTGTGAAACATCTGGTCTAACACCCTCACAGGAGTCACAGACATTAAAAATGACAACAGAGGAAATATCAGTCTGTTTTATAACCAGCAGAAATCTCCTCACAGGACCTTCATGAACCTTGATTTGGTGTGTTTTGAGTCGTACGCTATCCTGCGTTTATGCTACATACAAACAGTTTCAGGTAAATCACAGAATGAAATCATAAGACAGGAGAAGAAATTATGAGTCATTTAAACACATCAAAAAAACATCAGCTTAGTCTGTCCTCATTATAAAAGCAGAACCTGAGGGAGCGCTTCTGCATTATTGTGTTTTTATAGTTCATGTTGCGCAACATCCGTGGATTCTGCTCACAGCAAAGTCGGTCCAGTTGATGACTTGAACATGAGCTTGTTTGGTACCTCTGTGTGCTCAGTATCCTAAGAAGTGACAAAGTTACTTAAACCTTCAAATCACTTCAATCTGCTGTAAGTCAGTGAAAAGTTCATTGACTTTATTTTTACTTGAAATCATTTCGCTGTGAAACAACCTTAAAAAAACTTGGAGTGAAGCTGACTCTGGTTAGTTCAGAGGTCGGCAGATAACTGCAGACTCTGGAGCAGGGCTCTCAAGTATTGAGCTGAGCTTGGAGTGAGATCATTTTTTATTTTGTTTGTTTATTTGTTTGTTTTTGAGGGGGAAGTGAAGTGAAGTGTGTTTGAAGATAACCTAAATTGAGGTAAAAAATGATCCATAAAGCAAATTTACTGCATAGTTCCTTGACTTTAATAAAATACAGCAATTGTATGAGAAAAAAATCAAGTGATTGAGTTGCAACATAATTTCAGGACCCACTTCCAGCTCTTCTTTAGTGTGCACACAATAGCAGCATTCGTGCGTGTGGAGGACACGATTATGGTGCTGTTATTTCACCTAGCAACAAGAAATACTATTTTCTGACTGGCTGATTGGTTGCAGATTCAAGCATCATCCATTTATAGGTTTACTGCGTGAGAAATGTTGTGTGGTGCGTGAACTCGTTGAAATGTGTGTCTCACGCTCGACACGTGAAACCTGAGAGCCCTGCTCTGGAGATAGCTCTGTTTTCTGAAGAGACATGTAAGTCCTGTCCGCCTTGTTTGGTGTCACTGTTCTTCTTTTGGTCCTTTTTTGAGAAAAAGAGAAAAAAAAAATTCAACATGATTGAGTGTTTAAAAGTCTTCACTGCATTAACTGAGCTGTGGAAACACAGACTGAGGGTTTAGTAACTCACCAGAGAAACGCCACGAGGATTACACAGATGACGTTCAAAACGAGAGACAGAGCAGCAACGACAGCCAAAGAGAGCACGACTCCTTGTGAACAGAAACGTTTAACAAGTTACTTTTTAATGTAAAATCAAGTATTTATTTTAAGTCAGCCTTTAGTCGTCAGTTCTCACCCTCCTGTTCAAACTCGCTGGCTATGACGATCTTCAGCTCCTTCTTCACTTCTCCAAAGTTATTTTTGCTGACACACCCAACAGTGGAGTAGCTGTGATCTTTATCAGGTACAGTGATGCTGCTGTTGACTCTGTTTTTCCACACACTTGTCGTGACACAGTGTTGGGTGTGATTGTTTAGCAGTGGCCATGTAACGGTGGGTAAAGGAAACCCCTCACTGATACACACACAGGTCAGGACACCAGGCTGAGCTTCACATGCAGAGCTGTTGAGAATCTTTGGTGAAACTGTAAACAAACAAGAGGAATAGAAGAATGATTCAGTAGGTGGGAGACTTAAAATTTAAAGTCATATGTTTTGCTAGAAATGAAAGCCTTTTATTAATAACAGTAAAAACAAATACTTTGACATTAGTCCTGATATAGTCCTCTAAAAGCACAGGAGTCAGGTAATATAGTACAAAACTGGATTTATTTCACATCAGCAGAAACTCTCTAATTGTTACTAAAATGTTGATGGTTACTTTAATTTCTAGAAAGTTAGTTTTAATGTCTTGTTTTTCAGATGTCTTGTTCAACAGGTTTCTGTTCTGTATTTTTGCTATAAAAGGTGAAAACTTTTCAAGCAAGGTTCAATTTAAACAACTAAACACCAGTTCAATAATTTCTATTTAAATATGACACGACAGAAATGGAGAAATTATCCTGAAAATGGTGCAGATTCAGTTTCCCGAACCAGATCAACTTTATATAACATGTACAAAATAGAAGAAAACACTAAAAAGTTCATTCAAATTTATTTTGTTTCAATCTGTTTGTGATTTAAACTTTTATCAAGTTGCACCATTTTCATCAGGGGACATGAAAACAATCAGAAAATCTGCTCCTGTTGTTTTTCCGTGAAACATTTTTAGAGATCAGATACTCACAGGTCACAGTCAGAGTCTCTTTCTTCTCTGTGGAGATGTTGTTTTTGAAGCTGACCTTACAGGTGACCTCAGTGCCATGGTCCTCAGCTGAGGGTGTAAAGGTCAAAGTTGAGCTGTGTCTTTGTGCAGCAGCAGACAGACTCTCAGTACGGAAGTTTCCTAGGATGACAGAGTCGTTTTCTCCTCGTCTCCACATCCAGGTGATCTGAGGAGCAGATCCAGAGCAGAGACCAGGAGCAGTGCAGCTCAGTGTGGTCTGCTGTCCCTCTGTCAGAGGAGGAATCATCACTGCGGGCTTCTGGGTCAGAGCTGATGAGAGAGAGGTCCATGAGTACACGAGGTGAGCAGCATGGAAACTATTAAAACACTTCAAATTTACTCAGAGATTCTGGACACTTATTATCTTAGAGTCATGGGAGTGATGTGTGGGACCACTGCGGTTCTCACAGTTTACCACTAGAGGTCAGTATATGCCAAAATTACTTCCTGCTCCATCAGGAATCTTCACAGCCTGAATTCACACACTTTATCTAAATGTCCAGTAATTCACTTCTTGACTGAATGTTTGTGAAACTCTTCATACCTTTAACAGAGACAGTTGCTCTTGAAGAATATTGGAAACCATCCCTGCGTCCATCAAGCCAACCATGAACTCTGAGCTGATACGATCCAGAGTCTGACTCAGTCAGGTCACTGATGATGATGCTGCAGTTCCTCTTAAAAATGTAAGGCTCCAACTGTGTTACTCTGCCTCTCAATTCTGACTGATCTTCTTCACTGTATGAGCTGTATGTTATCTCTGAAACATTACATTTTACAGACGGCTCACATTTGAACCAATCGATAGCCACAGGAGTAAATCTAGAGCTAGTATTGAAAGAGCACGGTATCACAACACAGAGTCCAGCTTCTGCTCTTATTTCTCCTCTCCTTAAAGTAATACAGTAGTCTTCCACCTGACATATTGTTTCTTCCGTCTCTGAAGACCCTGTTAAAAAAACAAACAGTGAGACATGCAGGGATAGAAACGTTTTAGTTTGTCAGAGCATGTTTTATACCAACTGTTCGGTCGGCTTCTTCTTCAGATTCACATCAACTTGTTGTCAGTAGAGCTCAGCAGACATCTCAACATTGATCATATTTCTATAATCATGTCACTAATACTACAGCCTTCAGATTTCTTCAATAATAGATGAGGTGAAGGGAAGGACTTTGTAACCACATCCATCATTAAAAATCATTTTGTTCTATTTTGTTGAACATTGAAGTGATAAAAAGGACTTTCATAAATACACATACCTCTGACCGCATTACCGACCCTCACAGAAAAAAGCAGAGACACCAAGACGAGAGCAAACATCCTTGTTTGATGGAGAACGGCCCAAATATCTGTCCAAAGAAATAATTTAAACTTCAGAGGAAAAATCATTCGAAACACTGTGTTAGAGCCTTTTGTGCACTACTGATAATTTGACATATAATTAATCATTTTTATTATTTATCCTGATTAGAACTCTGAGAGACTGAACAGTTGTATAGTTGTACTTTAAAGTTTGATTGAAGCTGATTACTACTGCAGCTCTCCCATTGGTTTTTCTTGGGTTGTTAGTGCAGCTGTGGGTCTTTGCGAGCACAGTAATTTCTGACCGTGTTTACATCGGGTCTCGACTTCGTCATTATTATTTGTAAAAAGTATCTTTTTTTTATGCAAAGTAAACCTCCATGTAAATTCAAGAAAGGAAAAATCTACGACTATGGTGTTTTATTATGGAAATACGCGTCAACTACATGCTCTGGTTTGTCACCTCAGGGGGTTTTCAATCATTAGACGGAGCTGCAATCACACACTGAAAACTTTAGGTGAATGAAACTCCTCCATGGTTTACTCTGATCTGATTAAAGGACAATGTCAGATCAATTCATACGGTCACTTAGGATAAACATGTCTATAAAGGTTCTTGTTATTCTTTTTACATATGGTCAGCATCTACAAGGACCTGTTGAACCAAACTGTTAACCTACAACTTAAAAACCATAAAAATGACTTACAAGTATTTCAATGAAGGTTTTAAGAATAAATATATTTTTCTCGGGCTAAAACCTTTGAATCAAAACCTTGTACCTGCTGTTTAAGCGATGATTTGGAGAAAAAGTCAAAATAATTAATTAGTTTAGACAGCCTCACTTCACATTAAAACTCTAAAACTACAGTCAGTGTTGAGTTTTACCTTTATTTATCTTGTTCTTCTGCTCTTACTGTCCTCAGTGACCTCTGCTGAGTCTCTGCTGTGAAATGAGTCTTCCTCCTCTTCATCCTCTTCTTCTTCTTCTTCTTTACTCACACTTTAAAAAAACATATTTGTATCTGAAATGTTCACAGAGTTTAGTCGTTTATCGTCTAAAACCCTTAAACCGTGTCGTCTCAGCATTTTTTCTAAGCTTAAACTTATCCTTAAACGGCATCACTGCGCTCTCTTTAAAAACTTCCTCTTCAGACTTTAAGATGCAAAATGAATGTTTTTGAAGAAACAAAACAGGCCAAGTTACAAAGTTTGGTGTCCATATTAGATGTTTGAAAAGTTTCAAAACACCAGATAAACGTATTTTCTCATTACCCTGGACAATAGATGTAAACTGCTCAAATCTCGGACAAATCCGAGATTATAGTTTTTTGTGCGAGATTTACTAAAACTCTTACGTAAGCATTATTAACTCTCCTTACTGGTTTATCTGAGTTTCCGGCAAAGCGGAACAGCCTGACTCCAACAGCGTGTGAGCGTGTGACACCCACAGCGGAGCGGGGGAGCCATGGTCCTAATTTACATATATGTAAATATCTACATATATGACGTCTTTGGAGGGAACGCTGCTCGACCACATTAGAGGGAGCGATGCCAAAACATTTAGCTCTGCCCTCGGCCGGTTCCGGAAAGCCTCGGAAGAGTTGGCCAATCAGAGGAAAGTGGGCTCGTGGAAAGGTGGGGGCCTTAAAGAGACAGCAGCTAAAACGAAGTGTTTCAGACAGAGGCTGAAATAGTAATATTTTAATATACTATTGTGAGAAATTTGAGACTTTTTTAAATCTGACAATTATGTGAAGCTATTAAAAAGGCATCAGAAAGGACATATGGAGTTGGAAAAATGCATTTAAAAGTCAGGGTCAGATACAAAACCCCTCACTCAATCTATTAATAATAATTTCATTTCATGTTTATTTATTTCATTTCATTCATGATACATAATTAATACGATACATTGCACTCATTCTTCTTCTTTTTTTTTTTTCATGTGTACTAATGTGAAATGAAAAGGAGCAGACAGAAGACAAGTCTTATATACGACTGCCCCCTCACTACAACACCTTTGTCTATGGCAACCAGCCAGCAATTGAGCAATATATTATGTAATTAAGGTCCAAAAATACCACAAACAAACAAACAAAAACAAAACTGACACAGCATCAGTCATCCAATTCATCCAGTTCAACATTGTTGTACAACTCTTCGACTCCTTATTTTGCGAATTCCATGACTTTATACCTCCAACAGAAATACACATAATTCATTTTATTTGTACAGCGCTTTTAAAAACACTCAAAGACGCCTTACATAGTACATAAAACCCAAGGTAATAAAACAAAGACATAAAAATAGTAGAAATAAAATGAATAAAACAGTTAAATATTAAAAGCAATTTTAAATAAGTGAGTTTTTAAAATAAGTGGGGTCAGGGCGGTGTCTGATGGAGAGTGATAGAGAGTTCCAGAGGGTAGGGGCAGCTGTGGAGAATGCCCGCTCCCCCCAGGTTCGGTGATGAACGTGATGCGTTGCTTGATGGGAAACCAGTGTAGAAAAAAACTACCTTTTGTATTCACTCAGATCTTCAAATTTGATCAGAAACATTTAAGTGTGACAAAAAAGCAGAAACAAAAGAAATCTGCAAGGGGGGAAAAACACTTTTTTCACAGCACAGAAAAAAAAGGTTTCTGCTTGACAACAACATATTTTTAAAAATATAAGTATAACTTCATAAATAGCAGATTCCACTTCATAAATTTTAAGTCTTTGTCTCAATTTTACGTCACATTTATGAGAAACCTCAAGAAAGAGGAAGTTCTTTATGTCCTAAAATTGTCATGTTGGGTTAACAAACCGGCTATTTTCTGAGTGCAGCTGGACGCCACAGAGTCATGTAAGAGAAGTGACAACTTGGCTGCAGAGGGTGAAAGTGAAGTTTTGATCTTTCCACAGGAACAGACCTGTAGAAGACGAGTCTTGGATTGACAAAGACACCAAAGAGTGTCAAACAAAGCGTTACCTCAGCTGCATAAAGAGAAAGAGTTTAATAAAAACCTAACAACACTGAAATACAGAAATGCAAATAGATTCCCAAACCTCCCTGAGTTAAGTAAAGAGATCTGCACAGCCCCGGACATTAACAGGAGTGCAGTCCACTAATGATTTTAGTTCCCTCTAGCTAAATTTGGCTTTTGAACATCGTAGCATTTTGGTAGAAAATAAAGGTATAAAACTGTCGATCCATCATCAGTTGTTCACATCTGATCAGATCCTGAACCCTTACCTCAAACAACTCAACAATCAAACACGGTCCTCAATTCTCTCCTTTTATATCCTCTACATTGGAGTACACAGCCGCATCCTCTTCTTCTTCTCCTTCTGGGACACAGTTTTTTGTCTCCTCTTCCTCCACTTTCATCACCTCCTCCTCTTCTTCCTCCAGTGTGTCACCTTTTCCCCCGCTGTGGTTTTCTCTTTTCTCTATCACGTCTTTCTTAATTTCAGCGTACTCTGTTTCTGTGCTCTCCTGCTTCTTTGCTGCCCTCTTCTTCAGCACAGAGAAATCAATGCTGGCGTACTCCACGTCTTTTGGTTCACCGTTCACTGTAAGGACCGTTTTCTCCTCTTCTGCTGCAGCGTCTCCTCCCTCTGTTACCTCTTGGTCGTAGGTGTAATTTTCTTCCACTTCTTGAACAGCATCTATCTGCATGGACGGCATGATTTTAAAACAATTAATTATCTTCTTTAACCAAAAAAATAAATAAATAAACTGTGCAGTCCTTTTCGCACTCGCTTTTATTACCTGACCCCCCCTGACTCACCATTATCCCACCCCTCACATTTGCCCCTCCCACTTGTATTCTTTTATTCTTTTATTTGATTTTACCTTTTTTTAGCTTGTTACTATTAATCTTTACCTCACTTTATTTTTGTTATGTTTTTTTAAAGTGTCTGAGCTCCTGTAAAAGCGCCATACAAATAAAACGTATTATTATTATTATATGTCACTTAATATACAAATACAATACGACCATTTAAAGAGCACAGGAATCAGTATGCCACAGCCCATATCTGCCTGTCGTCCAGTTTGTAGCACACCTGGCTGTTACACCTGTCTCTGTGGGTGGTAAGACCACAAGGCAGCGAATTGATGCCCTGTTTTGGGGCTGGATCTAAACAGGCTCAATACTATGAGAGATTTTAGGGTCTATTTTTGCTCGTTGTCCCCTTAATAGTCACCTGACTGCATGTAGCTGATCTTTCCCAGAGATAATATTATTCTGCTAAGATTTTAATTCTTATTTAACAACAAAAACAAATCAGAGCTAGTCTGACCGGTCACGTCTTCTGCCTCTCAACAAACATTTCCTCCTGTGTACTGACCTGCCAGCAAACTTAACTGTCGGACCTTTATTTACGATTAACTGAACTAGGTGTGCCTGTTCCACACAGCTGTTGATTAAAACATAAGTCTAAGCTTGTGTGCTCTAACTACACAAATAATTGGCACAAATAATCAGAATAAATCAGAATAATCGGAATAAAAATGCTTCATGTAAACATGTCGATCGGAAGATTCTTATCCAGCTCGGCTCAATTGGAAAGAAATTGTATTCCGATCGAGAGGGGTGGTTTAACGCGAAACGCGAACATATAAACACTCATTCCGATCGTAACTCTCTTACCTGACTCGATCTTCACTCTTTAGCTTTTGAGGCCAGTACAGGAGGTTTCATTATTAACAATTTAGCAAACAACACAACCACAGGTGCCGTGTCTGCTCCTCCGGTAGCATAACAAGGCGTACATACAGGGTAATGATGTCACGTCTGCACACACAGAGCTACCTTTGACAGAACAGTAAAGTAAGTACGCAAGGGCGCCATCTAGTGACAACATTGAACAGGCGGAAAACTCCTGAATTGGATGGAGTGAGCCACTACCGCGTTTGTTGGTTTGTTGACAGCACAGGCGTCAATACAACTCTTCTTCTGCGGTTGTTTTAGCGAAATCAGACAACTCTGCACATGTCCAAATGCTTCTAATCTGAATAAAACTTGGTGCATGTATACGTACGTCATGATCGGATTATTTGACTTTGCACTAATATAAACAGTGGATTCAGATTATCCGATCCCTCAAATTTTTAATCAGATCAAGAAATTTTGCAAACGTAAACGTGGCTGATGAATTTTGATTACCAGGGGATCCTCCTGACTGGTCACCATCTCCAGAGTCTTCTCCAGATTTTCTTGACTCTTCTGTCTTCGTCTAGAAAGGAATGTTTGAAAAGCAAAAATTAAAACCCGCAGTAGAACCGATCATCCAAACACAAATCAAAGGAATTAGTTGTAATTGATTGCGTACCTGTGGCATTTTGTCACTACAAAGCAAAAAACAGTCGACAGAAGTAAGCCGAGAAGAAAGGCAATGATGACCTCCACCCATGAAAATGTTTTTCCTACCTGGGATTGCTCTGCAGTGAGAGGAGCAAAAGAAAACTTTAAGTGTCAAAGATAATTTTGGCATGAGTTTAAATGCAACTGAGTTTGAACTTTTTCCAGTATCGCTGACTGTGCACAGAGGTCTTTAGTTTAGTTTGCAGGAGCAGAAGTAGTTTATTTGAGAACATGTACCTTCTTTTTCTGGAGTTTTAATTTGGATGGTGAGATTTTCTTTGACTTCTCCATTTCCGTTGCTGCTGACACACTCTGCAGAGGTGTAGCTGTGGTCCTTAGCAGTCACTTTAATAGTGCTGCTGACCGTGAGGTTTATCACAGCAGTATTAACAGAGTACTTAGCGTGGTTCTTCAACAGCGGCCATTCGATGGTGGGTAAAGGAAAACCTTCACTGATACACACACAAGTCAAGACATCCGACTTAATCTGACAACCAGAGTCTTTCAAGATGCTTTGAATCCCTGTAAACACACAACAAGAATCCCAACATTACAAAACAACCTTCATGGGAAATCTGAACATGAAGTTTCTTATAGGAAGATGAGTCCAGTCTACTTACATGTCACAGAAACGTCAGTGAATACAGTCACAGTCGTGTTCAGGTGTTTTGCTGTACAGATGTACCTTCCGGAGTTTTCTGCCTGCACATCACTGATGAGCAGTGTGGCTGATCCGGTGTCGTTCTGCAGGTCAGGACCAGAACCAAGTAAAGTCCAAGTGATATGAGATGGAGGAAAACTTTCAACGCTGCAGGTCAGATTCAGAGAGTCCCCTTTAGTGAGAGACGTATTCCCAGTGATTACAGGTGTTTTCATGTCTGTGAACAAAAGTCATAATGAAGTTAGAAGAATGAAACTGAACTTTCTACTTCAAGAGGATAACATGAGTATATTCTTTTGTTATCTGTTAGATTATATGTGTATGCATCTGGACAACAGATTTAATAGAAAATAACATGAAACTAATTAACTCTGGTATCAGTTCCTTTATAATTTATGTGTAATATAGTTAATTAGCACTCATATGAAGGTTTCCACATGTAGGCATTTGTCTGATTATTTCCATTATCACCACTAGATGGCACTGAAGTTGAACATTTGTTGGCACTTACATATCACTTTGACATCCACTTCCTTCATCAGGGTGTTGTTCAGGTGTTTTGCTCTGCAGATGTACAGTCCTGAATCCTTTACAGTCACATTAGAGATGGAAAAAGTCGACTCCCCGATTCCCTCCTGCGGGAAGATTTCAGTTTTCTTCTCCTGATCAGTAAAAGTGTCATTTTGCACATCAGTTTCTGTTCCGGTTTGTGTGTTGTTATCAGGAAGTTTTGTCCATGTGATGAGAGATGGAGGGAAACTCTCAACGTTGCACGTCAGATTCAGAGTCTCACCCTCTTTCACATCCGTGTTCCCTAAGAGTTGAACTTCCTTTACATCTGTAAGACAAAATTATACACTTCATCATTTAAAACAAATATAATATTTATGACTGTGGCCTTTAGTAGACTTTGTGACACTTACAGGTTACATTCAGAGTCTCTGTCTGCTCTGTTGTCGCCCCCCCTTTAAAGCTGACCTTACAGGTGACCTCAGTACCATGGTCCTCAGCTGAGGGTGTAAAGGTCAAAGTTGAGCTGTGTCTTTGTGCAACAGCAGACAGACTCTCAGTACGGAAGTTTCCTCTAATGACAGAGTCGTTTTCTCCTTGTCTCCACATCCAGGTGATCTGAGGAGCAGATCCAGAGCAGAGACCAGGAGCAGTGCAGCTCAGTGTGGTCTGCTGTCCCTCTGTCAGAGGAGGAATCATCACTGTGGGCTTCTGGGTCAGAGCTGATGAGAGAGAGGTCCATGAGTACATGAGGTGAGCAGCATGGAAACTATTAAAACACTTCAAATTTACTCAGAGATTCTGGACACTCATTATCTTAGAGTCATGGGAGTGATGTGTGGGAGAACTGCAGTTCTCACAGTTTACCACTAGAGGTCACTATACGCCAGAATTTCTTCCTGCTCCATCAGGAATCTTCACAGCTTGAATTCACACACTTTATCTAAATGTCCAGTGATTCACTTTTTGACTGAATGTTTATGAAACTCTTCATACCTTTAACAGAGACAGTTGATCCTGTAGAATATTGGAATCTATCGTAGCGTCCACCAAACCATCCACGAACTCTGAGCTGATATGATCCAGAGTCTGATACAGTCAGGTCATTGATGATGATGCTGCAGTTCCTCTCATAAATGTTCGGCTCCAACTGTGTTACTCTGCCTCTGAATTCAGGCTGAACTTCTCCTCTGTATGATCGGTATATTATCTGTGAATCATCACATTTCTCAGACGGCTCACATTTGAACCAATCAATAGCTGCAGGATTAAATCTATAATCTACTGTGAAAGAGCACGGTATCACAACACAGAGTCCAGCTTCTGCTCTTATTTCCCCATCAATAAGAGTGATACAGAATGCACCTTGACATGTTTTTTCCAGGGATGCACCTGTTATTGCAAACATAGAGACACAAAAACGAAGAATTTAAATTAGTGCAACACATGATAAACTTTAGTATATGATTTAAAAAAATAGAAACTGCTTCAACTGCATGGTAAAACATCAAAACATCATTTTCTAGTCTTTTTTCCAGCCTTAAACTCTTTGATTGGAAGAATCACTGAAACAACTCATCTCAAAGTGGATCATAAGAAATCGTCACTTTTGGCCAAGTTAATGGAAAACTAATTCTAACTTTAAAAAACATTTCTTCTTATTATCATTATTATTCTGTGTTGCCATCATTAGATTAGAATGAAGATACACACCTGTGTTTGCTCTGCTGCCCATCACAGAGAGAAGCAGAGTCGTCCATATGAGAACAAACATCCTGAGTTGATTGTTGAGACTGTCAGTCTCTCCCTTCTTTACCGATTTTACAGTAACAGTGGCGTAAAGATGAAAAAGCTGTGAAGCTCACAGCAGACATCACTGTCAGGAAATAAAGGGTGAAGCATGATCAGTTTTTCCCCAGTTGCATGTTTTACACTCTCTACCCAGAGGTGTGGCTTCCCTCAGGTTCAGTGAGATTTTAACAGATAAAACATTCATAAGTTGTACAAAAATATCAGATTTTGACCTTCAGAACATTCAGTGAATTCAGTAACAGTAAAATTTACAGTCAGTCTTTTCCTCTGTATTACAGAAATCACACTCACTTAATCAACTAATCACTGTATATCAAACAGAGTTAAGAAAATGGGTTTAGTAAGAAAAAATCACTTTGGGAGCTTCCATATTGAGCCCAAAAATAAATTTAAAGCATATTTGAATGTTGTTTTTACCTCTGTCCGTGTGGCTCCTGCTCTCCTCTCTGAGGTTTCTGCTTTAACTGACCCTTTTCTCTTTTTTATTCTTCCTTTTTTGTGCAGATTTCAGGAAGTTTCCTCAGACCCCACAGTGCTTTATGACAGTCCTTGTACCAAACTGACAGGCTTTTACACATTATTAAATTGAGATTATTGGTGCGCTAGTGCTTCCTGTTCCAATTATGACTGTTTTGATCATCAGTTTGGATCCTCTGAGTTACTTGAGCAATTACTCTAACCAGCAGTGTACTGTCCCTCTTCTGGCACCATAGCTTCAAACTCATGTTGTCACCTCCAACATCCGTTATTTCACTTAAAATATTTCAGCAGTCTTAGCACACATTTCTGCACGCATCTGCTTTTTTCCTTGCCTCTCGCCTTCAGATTTAAGGGAAGTCACTGAAAATCCTCAAGATTAACCAGACCTCAGTGGAACCACAATCACACCAAACATTTAGTTGGTATTTGTAGTGGAAGCTGCTCAGTGATACACATGGCTGAGATAGGAAGTGGTAAATGAAATGTATTTTAAACCCAAAGAATTAAACAGAAGTGTCTGTTTACAAAGTTTGGGGAGCACTTCTGCATATTCTTTTGTTTTTATGGCTCATCTTCTGAAACATACTGTTTTCTGTTAGTCACTGAACTTTCAGTAGTTCCAGTTTCACTCTGAATAGTCCAGCACTCGATACATTTGATCGCTACACGGTCTAAAGGTAGATGTAAACACAGCTGTTTCACACAGCTTTAATACACGATAACCTGTCTTCCACAAGCACAGAGCGAGAAAATGCACGTTTGTTTGTGCGAGTTTGAAAACCTTTAATTTAGCAAAAACAGGATTACAACACGGCACAGTTGAAGTTGATGCAATAATGGAGGCCCCACTGTTCTTGCAAAAGATGGAGAAACAGGATGTAACACATTTAGTTATTCCAAAGTTACTCTATAAATTTGGCTGAACTGAGCACTGACCCTAGTGCTCACACCAGTGAGTGAGTACCTGATGTGAAACTTCAAATGGTAAGAAAGATGTACATTTTCAGTAACATTATAGATGCTTTATAAAAGACAAGATGCTGAAGTGAAGAAGTGAAGTTTTAAAAATGCAAATTACAAAGAACGACACAGTGCAATAAAAGATATTACAGTTCATAACTTACAGATATCACATGTATAACATCCTAAACATGTTTAAATATCAACAGATCAGTCTAATTGAATAAAAACTCTCTCTGTCCACACTCGTTGGAAGCTGACTCTTGTTAGTTTGGAGACGGGTGGATAACATCATACTCTGGACATCGCTCTGTTTTCTTCAGTGACATGTAAGTCCTGTCCTCCTGGTTTGATGTCACAGTTTTTCTTTTTTTCCTGTGGAGAAAAGAAAAAAAATGACATGTTGTGATGTGATGCATTAAATGGGCCTTTATAGCATAAAGTGAGGATGAAGTAACATACCACAGGATCACCACGCCGACTATTAAAATGACATTCAAAAGGAGGGAAACTGCAGCGACCGCCCAGGGAAGCAGAGCTTTTCCTCCGTGTTGATCTGTTACTAAAATACAGAAATGTTTCAGTGTGATATCTGTGATTATGACTCAGTGTCTTACTTATTAGCTACACAGAGTTACCTGTGAATGTTAGACTTAATACATGTAAAATATTTCAATAATAGAAAAGCACTCGGAGAGCGCAGACCTCCGCCAAGCAGCTCATGTCCCCCCTTAAACAAGAAATGCCCTGACCGGGATTCAAACCCAGGACCTTCTGGTTGTGAGGCGACAGTGCTATCTACACCACTGTGCCGCCCATTGGTTATCTTTCAGCATTGAAAATTCCAACGACACCCTTATTTCTGTGTGTTCTGGATCACAGTATCCAGAATTTTGTCTGGTGAAAATTTCAGGTCAATCCGTCTGTTACTTTCTCCGTAAAGTTGCTAACAGACAAACAAACAACAAACCAATGCTACCGAAAACATAAATAACAGCTAAGGCTGTTTTTATTTGAGTGAGTATTTTTTGAGCTGCTATCAGATAAATCCAACACTCTACATGCCAGCAAAGAATTCTTTCATCCACAGACAGAATAACATTATTTTACATGGTGTTAGAAAACTTTGATAGTATACCATCAAGTACCAGTCTCCTGGACACCCTCGTCACCCCTCATATACATCACATTGGTCACATGGCACACACATTGGCACAGCATTCGGTCAGTTCATGCCATGCCAGGTGACAAACCTTTTTAGAGCAAATACAACACAAGCAAAGATCCAGACTAGAGGAAACAATATGAGCAGAAGCGGCGGTGAGTGCGATTGGATGTAGTGCTGTCATGTGGTATATAAAGCTCCAGGCGCCTGTTATTGGCAAAGCGTAACTGGTGTTAAAGAGTGGAGGCCTGTATTAGAGACTTCAAATCAAAGGAACTGATTTAGCTGCGGTCTTGTAGGCAAGAAGTAGAAGTTTATATTTGATACGAGCTGCTACTGGGAGCCAGAACATCGTAGTGACATTTGCTGCTTTGATTTGGTTAAAAAACAGACGGGCTGCTGCATTTTGGATCATCTGCAGAGGTCTGACTCTGCATGCGGGGAGGCCTGCCATTGAGGAGTTGCAGTAGTTGATTTGGAACATTATGAGATCTTGGACCAGGAGCTATGCTGTGTGCTCTGCCAGGATGGGTCTGATCCCCCTGATGTTATAGAGGGCAACAACTGAGCATTCGAGGCCACATGAACCTTTATGGTTAGTTTACTGGGCACAAGTTCATGTGATCCAAGCTGGATTCTGATATATGGAGGGACTTGCTAGAAATACAAGAAGCTCAATCTCGGTTGAGCTGAAATACAAACTAGAAGAAGAAAAGGAAACCAACCCCTCAGACTGGAGCTGGCTCATGTTGTTAAAATTGAAAAGCCAGCTCTTAGAGCTAAAATGTTAGCGGCCAACACATCTCTATCATGGAGTGCTGTCCTTCCAGCACAGACTTTATGACAGGCAAAAATGAAACACAAGGGTCATAATTGGAGCTTTGGTCCCTGTGGTTGAAAAGGTGATCAGTAACCCCCAAATCCTTTAACCTGGGAGAAGATCCTGTCACAGAGAAGCTGCTGAAGATACCTATTAGCAGTGATTTGTATTTTTTGCTGGGACATGCGTAGAATAAAGAGGTCTATGATGATACCTTCTGACTGCTGTTACTGACTGGTCCAGTGTTCACTCACCTTCTTGTCTCTCTGAAGCTCTGATGGCGAGGCTCTGTTTCACCTCCCCAACTTCATTTCTGCTGACACACTCGACCACGGTGTTGCTGTGATCTTTTACAGTCAGGGTAAAGGTGCTGTGTATCGTGCGGTTCGCCGCAGTGTTAAGAACTGAGAACTGGGTGTGGTTCTCCAACAGCGGCCATTTGATGGTGGGTAAAGGGAACCCCTCGCTGATACAGGCACAGGTCAGAACCTCAGACCAAACTTCACATTTTGAGCTGGTTAGGATCGTCGGATACGCTGTGGATACACATGCAGAAGAATACTGAGTTACTTCTGGCTCCCTGTAAGTCATGCAAGAAATAGATGCTTCCATGTGGGCAGCATACTCACAGCTCACTTTCAGAGTCACCGTCTCCTCTGTAGTGATATTGTTTTTATAAGTAACCCTGCAGGTGATCTCAGTGTTGTGGTGTCGGGTGAATGAAGGGTTAAGGGTTAAAGTCGAGCTGTGTCTTTTTGATACAGTGCTCAAATGTTCAGTCTCAAAAGCGGTGTTCTTTCCTGAAATAAAAGTATAGTTCTCTTTTTCTCCACTCCATTTCCAGGTGATCTGAGGAGCAGATCCAGAGCAGAGACCTGGAGCAGTGCAGCTCAGTGTGGTCTGCTGTCCGTTTGTCAGAGGAGGAATCATCACTGTGGGCTTCCGGGTCAGAGCTGATGGAAGAGCAATGCATGAGAAACAGGTGAGCGGTTTTAATTAACATCCAAGATTCACAGTCAGTGTAGCTTGGCCTGGTTAGGGCAGTGTGGTTACAAGGCAGGAGTGAGGCTTAAACCAACTCCAACACTGTAAACTATCGTCTTTATTGTCTTTGACCTCAGCTGGCTTTGCTAAGTCATTTAACAAGTTCTATACCAAACCCGCAATCAGCAGAGATTACTGTCACTTAAATTAAGATATTATGTATTTTAAACAAAATAGTTTCCAGTATTTGTAACCATTACAGTTAAGGGCCATCTGCAAATGTAATGTTAGGTTAGGGTGACCCAAAAAGAGAAGACACGACTACACGTGGGCGGAGTCACAGAGTTAATTTTGAGAGTTTTTCGGATCAGATCGAGTGTCTTTTACACACCTCTAACTCAGTAAGTCCACATGACAGAAAATCGAAATCGATTTTATAAACTTCCCCGAACAAAGCTGGAAAAACAGGGACAGCCCCCAAAAAAGAGGACAAGTCCGGGTAAAAGAGGACGTATGGCCAACCTGCGTTAGGTGGCTGGTCAGGTGGTTGTAGTTATCGCACTGTTAGAAAACAACCAAACAAAGCGATCAAATCAAGCTATATGGACTTCATTTGTTGGAAGAAAACTTTTCCAAACATGTTCATAGAAAAGAGATTTTGTACATCAGCTGGTTCAGATCAATTCTGGTTCAGATTCTCGTTCTTATTGATTCCAATTCCAGTATATTTGGAGAGGTAAAAATAAAACTAAACAAATATTTAACAAACAAGAATAAACCTTCTTGTGGTTCTTTTTTTCCTTAGTTTAAGAAATTAAAAAAACACTCTTTCTTATAAGGATCGATCAGACAAGAAGAATACAAACCAGAAATGATGAAATTAATAAAATAAAAATAAAAACAAAATATAAATATAAATGAGTATGTAACTCTTTCTCAACATTCATAAAGCACTTTGCATATCTTAACGACTGATGACAGGCAGAAGTGTAACATCACCTTCATAAATCACGTCACCACACGGTGACACTCCCCTTCTTTCACGCTCCTCGTTGCTAGTGACCACAGGTTCTGCACCTCTCTGTAGGAGGCGGGGTTAGGGTGGAGCTCTTTGAACTTGCATCCAGAAAATAATATTTGAATTTTATTAATTTTTTTATTTTTTAACTTGATTTAAGTGCAACCATGAGCTCAGCTGTTTTTTTTCCATACTCAAGCTTAGCTTTGATGCTTTTACCTGAAACCTGATGACACCTGTGCAACAGGTAACAGCATTAATGAGCAGCAGCACAAAGGCCCCCCCAATATTTCACACTTTTCCAGCCTTAAAGTCCCACTCCGATAGTTTTTTTTTTTACCACTTAAAGTGTTCTCAGTGGTCTTTAAATTGTCATTATGAAGTATTTTTCAAGGACTTCTCTTCTGCAGAGCTCCAGTAGTTAATTAGCAATTTTCTAATGAGTCGTGGGCGGAGACAGCGCTGTTCTGCACACTCCTCTTCATGTTAGCTTGTAGCCTAACATAGCTGGTGTCGTAGAAGTGGCAGGTAACATAGGACCTATTCAGCTCTCAAACACTAATGTCTTTAGGGACATGATGAAAGTTGATATCATAATTAGCTTTCTTGCGAGCACTCTGCTAATGCACACACTTGTTCCGCGATCGTCCTCTCTACTTTTCTGAGTGTGACCTACATAGCGCAGCTCTGGTGGGTGGAGCTTGGATTTGTGACATAGGAAATCTCACTGAATCTGATCCTGTTGTTTGGGTCTGCCAGAGATTCACAGCGATTTGAATGCAGAAATACTCAGAAATGCAACTTGCACTTACCTTTCTCATGATTTGTCCTGTAGCATCAGAAAAAATGCCATATGAACATGAAAACAACAAGAAAAACATGATTTTATCGGAGTGGATCTTTAACTCATTAACTCTTTGATTATTCGGCATCCAGCTTGTTGTATTATGGTTAGTTGGTTAATTGTCTCACTGGGTTGTTTGGTGCAATGGCTTTGTGATGTGTACGTTAAAGGTTCAGCCCTGTGGTCCATGCCAAGTATGATCCTCCATTTATTAAGTTAACCATCTAAAAAAACGTCTATCGATGTGATTTACTTCATGCACATTGACCAACTACTTCTTTGTTGGGGAGAGGCACACCTCAATGTTGGGGTAAACTTGCACAACAAATAACACCGTCACTTCATAAAGTTGCTGTAGATGTTCATACCTTCAACAGAAACAGTAGCTCTTGCAAGAAATGTGTTTTCCGTCCCTGGAAATAATCTACTGTCAACTCTGAGCTGATACGATCCAGAGTCTGACAAAGTCAGGTCATTGATGATGATGCTGCAGTCCTTCTGATTCAGATCAGGCTGTAACTGTCTTACTCTACCCTTGAATTCAGGCAGAACTCTTCCACTACCTGAGCTGTATATCAAATCTGTGGGACCACATCTTGGTCTAGATGGTTCACATTTGAACCAGTTGATACTTGGTTGAAAAAGTAAAAAAGCAGGACTGAAAGAACATGGTATCACAACACAGAGTCCATCTTGAGCTGTTATGTTTCCATCACTCAGAGAGATACAGAGGTTATCTTGACAGAATCTTTTCAGTGGTGCACCTGTAAAAAAAACAGTGAGATACCAAAATCAGGTATGACATTCAATAAATAGTAAAACACGGATAGTAGTTTTTACAAATAGTTCAGCTCTCTGTTTTTTAAAATACATTCTGTCATCAGAAATGTAAAAAAGCTGTGGTTAGCCAAACTTTTTGGTAACACTTTATTTTACGCCTATCTCTATAACTGGAAACATGTTGTTTTATGAACAAGATAATAACAGACAAGCATACCTGAATCTGCATTGTTGCCTCCAACAAGGAGCAGCTGAGTTAACCAGATGAAGACAAACATCTTCAGTTAACAAAAGCAGCCAGACTTTCCATACAATGGACAAAATCCACCATTCAGAGCTTAAAATAATAACACAAAGAATGAAAAAGTTCAGTCGATTCAACTGCAGTGAAATCTGTAATGAAAGCAGCAGGAAAACCAACACTTTTTACAGCATAAACCATTGACTTTTTACCTTTTTATGCCTCGTCCTCTGTGGATTTCTCTGAGTGATCTCAGCTCAGTCACACTGATCCTGACGCTTTTACTTCTCCTTTTCTACTTCCTCTTTTGTGGTCATACGATTAGATGAAAACTTTTTACTCCATGTAAGACAAAAAGAAGTAGATGTGTGATAAAAAAAAATGTCATCAGGATTGTGGTAAGGCATTGAATAACTTTTATAATTATTATTATTGTTAATAGCTGCTCCTACGCATTGAGAGGAGTCAGATCTCTTTGAAATCCACTTCAATTTCTCCACTTTCTCCAGTTAAGGTTTTTGACTCCTGTTCTATGTGCTTTGACTGATAAAGCAGAATAAACAATAAAAATAATAGCAGCAGAGGGGAAATAAATCATTGCATACCGTCAAAATAAAAGACAAAAAATATGAGCACTAGATACCAGAATAACTGTGAAATAATACCATCATTTTGAGGACAGTTAAGATTCCGAGATGAGGAAAGAGAAGGATTAAGGAATCTTTTAAAAAAGAGATAAGAACGACAAAATGACATTAGCAGCATCCTTTAAAACAGCGGTATTAGAGGGTTTGAGACAGTGCATCAGGGATGTAGAGCTTCTTAGAAGACACTAGATAAGAGATCATCTAAATAAATGATCACTAATAATGATCTTAAACTGATTGAAAAATCATGAAAATATCAGTGTGATTATACTTTGTCGTCCTGCCCATCCGTGTCAGGGAACTTCTGGATCACACTTATGTTTCTGCAAATGTTGTGATATTCTTTCTTTAATAGTTGATTTGATTTTCATTCTGGGGTTCAGTCTCTTTTTCCTCTTTTCTCTCCAGACTTTGGCGAAGAATACAGCATTTGCACATGCATGCTGATGCCTTATATCAGTATACAATACCTTTCTTATGTGAAGGTTTTGTAGAATTTTGTCGATAAGTGAAAAGGAAATTTGAGCTTTTTTCACAAAGCACCCAAGAGGACCTTTGTGGCTTTTGGTCCCCCTCTGTAAACAAAGTGGTATCTTTAATCTGTTTTTGTTGATCCTGTCCTGTAAATGTGTAGGTTGTGTTTTCTGCCTCCTAATCTCATCCCACTGTCCTTAAACAGTGGCAGGTTGCTGCTGCCAGCTTTTTTAAAATATTAAGAAACAACTCTGAAGACGAGCTCATATTTTCCCTGATTGTTTGGTTTCTTTCAGCAGTTCATGTAGAGTTCTCAGTGCTAACCTCACTCTGTTTCACAACCAGCCAAAAACTCCAGACAGGAGCTTTAAAAAACATTCAACACCGGTGATCCAAAACCATCAGGAAATGAAAGTATGTATTTGAAACCATTACTCTGACTTGTTTATGTCTTCATCACGTGTTTCACACAGCTGTGAAAAGTCTGTCTTCTGCTGGTTCTCGGTCAGGTTTCATGTGGTTTGATGTTTGAATATGAGATCTGACTGAATATAACGAACAAACATCTCACTGATTGTCAAAATTTTAGACTAATCTCATTTTAATATTGATTACAATTTTGGCCCCTGAGATCATAAAAATATGAAACTTGAGCCACCAGCTGTGTTGCCCCTATTAAATCCATATACATTAAATAAAGTTAAATGACATGAATTAATCGTAATTATGACTTTTGCCGTAATCAAGCAGCTCCAGCTTTTTCTGGATCTTTTCCATGAGCTACCATTCAGCTACCATACCTTTTTTTATAGACTGTTTCTTATCAAGTCATGCATTTTAATTTTTTTTTAATCAACAAAGTGAAACACAAAAAGCAAAATGATTACAACTCATTATAAATAATCAAAGAAGTATAATAACAGCCAGTCCAGTTTGATTTTGTATCAATAATCAACTCTTCCTATAACGTGTTGTTTTTGTTTTATTTGTATTTTCATGAAACTGAAGACAGATGAATTTGCTTGAGGCATGAAAGACATGATTAAAATAAAAGAGCAAGCAAACTACATCATCGCAGAAATCCTAATTTCATTAAGTAACAGTTCTTATTTGCTGAGAGATTGCAAACCCTGATCTGAATTATTGTGTCAATCACATATGTAGAAAAAAAACTCTTCAGAATAATAATTATGATCACAACAAAGCATGGGACATACAGTTTGCTTTACAACACAAAATATTAGGTAAGACATATTTGATATTTCTGCTTATAAAAGTAAATAAAATAAAAAAATCGACCAACTATGAGGCGCTCCACAACAGGAACCAGTTATTGACTTTGTGCATAAGAGAGATTTAACTAAGCGAGCCAATACATCCGATATTTGGTCAACTGAGCAGCGTCTTAACACGAGCTAAATATGAGTCTGAGTAGCTGGTGGAAGCTGGCTTTGTTTACATGCACAGAGAGCTGCACTATATCACTCTAAAATCCTGATATGGGACTTTTTGTGTTACAAACAATCGATTTTAGGCCTGTGCAGGTTTTCGGCAAGAGAAAACCTCAGTATGTACCTCTGATCTTTCCAGCTCATTTGTCTGCAATCTTCATGTTGCACTTTAATTCTGCAGTCATGACTTTACGCTCGACAAAACAGAGGAATTCATTTTTTTAGATGTTGGCCAAAAAAGAAAAACAAGTGAGAATAAGTTTGAAAATGAAAATATGCAAAATGTCTGTTACTACAGTAACTGCATGCCACCACAGATTTGAGGGATGTGCTTTCACTCAGCCCCAAAGGTAATCAAAGACTTTTGTTATTCATCATCAGACTCTCTTGTCTCAAACACTCAATTTATTCTCAGAGACCCACAGTGAAGTCTTTTGGGTATATTTTGGTCTCAGGAAAATTATTTGGCACACCTTGTCCTCGATCTTTACTAGTTTTGTGTCAGGGGCAGCCAGAGATCACAGTGGGTCATACTTTCTCAGGTTTATGTGATGTATTTAAGGGGGAGTGCCCCACATTTTGACTTCTATGGTGTTATTATTGGTATATCTGTTTACATAAACATAAATGGAGTAACCATTCACATTCCCTGTAATCTAAACTTATACTAACTAAAAATCATAACATAGATGTTACACTGTATTCAACTTATACCTGTTAAGTTGTATTTGTTGATAACCACTTACAGATCTCTAGAAACTTTATTTTTACTATCAATTTAAGCATTTAAGCATCATTAGTTCACATCAGTGGACAGGTACTTATTTGACACAAATTTTGTAGTTGAAAAATTACTGTTGCATGTTCAGGGCAGGATCAGCAAAGAGGAAGTCATTCTGCTTTGTCTGCAGGGGGCGCCAAAAACTGAAAAGTTACAAACTGAAAGTTCATCACGGGAGCTTTAGGCTACAGTGTGTGAGTTTTATCAACTCTTTTGAAAATGGTGTGTGACTTGTAGGATATGATGCAAAGTGAAGAAAACTGAAGTGAGCACAGTGGGGGTGAGAGTGGCAGCAGAGAGATTCTTTTCACTGGATTTTATTTGACTCAGTAACCTAATTAACTTATAGTAATTACTATATTTTGTGAAATTGCTTTTATGAAAAATGATAATATTTAAACACACTTTAAAGCTCCTGTGAGCCATTTTTAGTTTGGGTCAGATTTGGCACCCCCTGTGGACAAAGCATTCTTTACTTATCTTGTCCTCTACATGCTTTAGTTGTGAGTTTTGACAAAAAAATTAAATATAATCATGACTTTTAAAAATGTCAAATGTATCATTTATTGTGAATATTTTATGTGGAAGTTTTAAACCAGGACCATGTTAATCCACTCGGCTGAAACCTAATTCCTCACACAGATTTCAGGCATCAAAAATTTGAATATAAACGTCATCAATGTTGTCGCTGACGGTCTTTTTTTCATAAACAATTAAAAACTCCTCATGGGAGCTTTAAATAGGGTTTCAATCAGCAAAGTAAATCAGAGACATTTTCTAAATAGAGCATTCACTTACATAGAGAATAGAACTTTGGTCGGACTTTTCTTAAATTAGCTAAATTAGCTGGTAAGGCGTCTGTAGCCTAGCTTTAGTTCTCAGGTTGGTTTCTGAACTAAGAAGTTGAGCTGACTGTCGTCCTCTGTGGCGAACACACTTATTAATGTCTAGTACCCCATATAACTCCACTTCAAGAACTATCCTTTTAACACTTTGTCTTGATGGCTGTTTCTTTAAATAGCTGGTTCTCAGGGTCCTCTGGGACCCCCGTCAGTGGCCCTTGTTTGTTGATGAAGGTTTAAAATAAAGTCTGCTGACTCACTGACACAGAGGGGTTTTATATCAGACAAGTACAGTCTATGTTGTTTAATGTCTGTGTTTGTTGAGGGCTATCCAAGGAAAAGGACTGAGGACAGGCCAACAAAAAGTTGCCATCAGTTGCATTGTGGGAAGTGTAGGCTTCCATCAACATGTAGTCCATTTTTTTCGATTTCCTAAAAACTCACTCATATATTTAAATCACAGTGGGATACAAAATGAAAACTTCACTGTTCTACTCCATGCATGTAAACAGAGCCTTTATAGTGCACACCAGTACAAGGTTGGTATTATTTTACTAAACTCATATTAAGACAAAGTTCAGTCCAAAATATCTGGAAGATGTTTGACAAGACTTTGTTTAATTTCTCCCGCTGGCTTTAATCCATAACTGACCACTTATATCAATGCCTGCTGTCACAACAGTCATGCTGGGTATTTACTGTACAACCCTTTCCTGATCAATATACATCTTTTTTAATATATATTATTGATAACATTATCATTAAGTTAGAATATTAGTGGTTTTGATATAACATCTCAGGTTCATTTAATGTCTTAGAGTAGCACAACCATCTAGCTAGTCAGCATCTTTTTCTTTTTTCCTCATTCAAACATCTAATGAAATCCTGTGAGAAAAACACATCAAGTGAAGTGCTGCTCGAGCTTCCCCAAAGACCCCAGTGATCGGTGTCTTATGAATCCTTCAGCACGATTTGAACACACACACATACACACACATATTGTCTAAAAGAGATAACACTTTGGCCACTCGCTCACAATTGCGTTGCTCTGTGTGTCTGCTTTCTCCAGATCATTCAAAGACATAAAACCCTTACTTTAAGGAAAAGAGGATAAGACAGACATTTTATGTTTGGCTCCAGTGCAGAAAATTCCCCCCCAAAAAAATCTCAACACATTCTGCAGCTGAGTGAAAAAGGCTGGAAAGAAGCTGTGACAATTTTTTAAACCGGGCTATGTACGATATAAACTTACAAAACCTCTTCGATTACTAAAAAAGTGATGTTGACTTTTCTATTTATTACGAGAGGCTTCTGAGTCACAGCACGCATTAAACTCGTTTATGTGAACACAAGACGCTGAGCTTTCCGCCTTACGCCCCCGTCCGTTAACTTCTCTGGAACCAAAAGAGAGACAGGAGAGGTTTGCTCTCAGCAAATAATAAACAGAAATGTAAGAAAACAATAAGCGCAGTTACTCCTTGCCCTGATGCTTCGACTGGCAGCAGACACAGTGACAGAAGAGACAGATGTGAAGCAAATGGTCAAACCGATATGAGCACTTGGATGTCTGTTGTTTGACAAATACATCAACAACCACAATGAAAAACATGGAAAGAGCAACAAAACATGGCCACTGGCTAACATTACATGTTTAAAAGCCCACAAACTACAACTGAGGCTAAAAAAATTTGACATTGTCCAGTGGGCCATGTTCTGACCCGAAGAAGTACCAGTTTTTCCATACGATGGCGTGTGAAGGGGCGTCCCGTGGAGGGGGGGCAGCATGAGGGGGGGGAATGCTGGAGTGGTGCATATGAGACAAATCTGAAGAAATGAGAAACATGGAGTCATCATTTGCAGAGGATGGTGGGTTATGATACAGTTTATGGGGCAGGGGACGTGTTGGGGCTGCCGCTGTGTCTCGCATAGCCGAGGGATCAGGGAAGGATCGCGATTCATTTGGCTTTGATTTCCGTGTAGTTGCTGCCGTCATCCCCCCTCCCTGAGGCCCCCTCCCTGGGCCTGGCCCCGATAAACTCCAAAGCAGCATAATTCAGCTCTTGCCTCTCCAGTCCTGCCATAGAGCCCACAGGTTGGTAATCCCCGTCTTCTCCCTGTGGACAGAAGGACCAATCAGTGAGACAAATCACTGGCCTGGTGCCGGTGACACCTCAGATGACAGTGGCGTGACAAACACCATAAAGAAAAAGACGTTAGTGGTTACTGGTGGACAACTGACGAGGAGATTGAGATGTTTCCTGTTAGTCTGGCTGTTGGTGTTAGCGATGAGGCAGCCATGCAGAGGGCAGGTTCGAAACAAACAGCAGTGTACGGAACACAGAAGCTGATATGCGAGGAGATGCGTCCTTCATTGAGCTTGTGTTTTTTATGGGGATTTGATTTTGAACCTTACCGTAGTCTCCTCTAGAATGGAGTTAAACTTTGAGCCCAACAGCTCTGTCTTAAGCTGTGCAAGAGTTAGGGGAGAGAAAAAACAGACAGAAAAACGCAGAGAAGCGATGAAAGCAAGAGAAAACAGTGGTTGGAAAGGTCATGAATGGAGCTACTGGACTGCTAGTGGGAGAGATTTCTTCAACTTCCTCATTTAAGAGGCCAGAATGGGGTCTGATATTGTATTACTTGTCGCATCACACACAACTATTACGCCCAAAACTCAGAGAATGGTCATCCAACCCATTTTCAGTCATAATCATTATTATTGACATTAGCATGTCTCACCACTTTCTTCCTCAGATTTTGTTTGTCCTTCTTGACTGCGCTGTAGTACAAAGCTGGGTTCTCCAGGACCACGTCCTGCCTAGGGTTGCCATTCTCTCTGGGGGACGGAGTCACATAATCAGACTCGGTCGTGACCGCCACTAACGCAGGGTGACACGCCAAGCCTGGGCATCCATTTTAAAACAACAAGCTCTGTAAGGTTATGCTGGAGGCCAACTATGGCTGTGAGTGACGTGGTTATTTTATGGGTTTAGTTGCTGAGCTCACACCCACTTCAGGGGTGATTTGCCAGAGAAAGCTTGCAAATTTTGGGGTCCAAATATGCCTCAAGGCCAAAATTAAGCACCTTGGTTAAGAGGGCTACCTGGGTTGTATTTAGCATAGCAGGTCAAGGATACAGGATACAGAAGCAGTGTCAGAGCAGGGAATTGTGCCTGCAAAATATAAGGTTAGTCCAGCTTGCTAACCCACTCCACCCAATGTGGATCTCCAAGGATTTCGACAGGGACTTGTCCTGGTAAATAAACTGAAATTGCTCTGGAGAAATGATTCTCATGCCACATCAGTCCCACATTCACTCATTTACAATGTGCATCAAAGTGTTTTAGAATGGATGACAAGGCTCAAGTGTTTCCTTGGATATCGTAAAATGCTTTGTGAGGAAAAATGACTACTTCTGCCTTGCACCGGCCTCTCCATTAGTATGTCATTGATACTCACTTCTTGTTGTTGTGGCCAACGTATCTCACTGCTGCAATGATGAAGGCTATGACCGCCACTCCTCCAATGGTGCCAACTATCACTGCCATCATGTATTTTTCTGCAAAGAAAAGTTACCACGATTTTCAACCAGCATGTAACCTCATTAAGGAATCTACATTTTAGCAGGAGGTAAAGTGATTTTTCTTACTCAAAAGTTTGTGTCTAGTCTACTTAAGGTTTCCATAGTCCAACTACTGAATCCTAGATTTACCCTGTTAGCATTGCCATTGGTTAGTTCATGTTTGTGACTGCAATGACATTACATCCTAATAAGCAACCTGGCTCTTTTCTGATATTTCTTTAATGCGTGAAATTTTATTTTTCCTGTATCAGAAACTAGATGCTTGAAGAGTAGAAAGATGCTTAAAGTTAACCTCAACATTTCATGAGTCCCATCATTGCAATGACTTTGATTGTGAAACCAAAGGACAAATCAGCTGTGTTACATAAATTGTGCTTAATTTTTACCTTTTTCTGAGTGTTTTCTGAGTCTGTTAGTTGGAGTCTAAGTTTCTGACCGCGACATTCGTCACTTAAGACAACTTTTTAAGGAGTTGAGGGATTTAAGGTTATGTTTCCCACAAGACGACTCCTGAATTATTCCTTTTAGAAGTGAGATGATAATCAAGTCTTTCTCTGTGTGAGGAGAGAAATCCTGTTTTGTTGCCAAAGACCAAGACCATTATGTTGAAGGTAGTGGGAGGTTTTTTGTTTGTTTGACTTCTACAGCTAGGTATTTTGGGGAGGATCTAAGCTGGTCATTGGGTTGGTTGCGCAACAAAGATATTGTGATTCTGAACAGTTTTGCCGAGTAGAAGCTAACAGATTTAAAAATGGAAGGGGCCCCAGGACCAGGCCATGAGGAACACCACTGGCGATACACTCATTGTAACAGAGATAGGCCTAATCAGTGATATTTGATCAGAGCCAACTTAAGGCCATACCAAGACACTGAATAAATGATCAAGAGCTGGTAACAATTGGATGGTTTATTGTGTCAAGTACAGCACTATGACCGACTTAAGCCTCTACAGAAAGATCATTGGTTGCTTTAAACAAAAGTTTGTACCCTTTCTACTTACTCTCCTGCTGTAGCTCCAAAAGTACGCTCTCTCTTCCATACATGTTGTAGATGCTGCAGTGAACGTTGACGGCAGGGCCGCCATTGTCAACCCGCTCGCCTTTCTCCCGCAGCTTGATCATACCCGTGGAGGTGTGTCCGTCTGTGTGTGTGTAGAAATTGTACCGGCCGTCTGTCTCGTTGATTGTGACGTTGAGGTCAGGTAGATAGAACTCTATGGTGGGCTCAGGGTTTCCTGTGGCCATGCAGACACACTGGACACCTTCTCTGACCACAGTGCACTTTGACTCCTCCAAGAGGACTGGGGCATCTATTAAAGATGGCAACACAGTAAAAAATTTAAGTAACAGTTTTGGTAAAAATTTTGCTCTCACAGGTGTGCTTTATATGTTGCTGCACCTTCAACTTGTTTGGGTGTGCTACATGAACAATTTTTTTACCCCATCTTTGTGTGGGATATTTTTCCTGCCAGGGCACATGTTCAGTGTCCTCAACAAGCCTCATCATGCCAATGTGTGACCAGGTAATGCCCAGGAGAATTCACTACCATTTTACAGGGCAAAACTTCTCCAAATGGACATGCTACCTTGTCCCAACCACCACCACTATGCCAATCATGGATGCTTGTGTGAACAGCAAATTCCCAAAGTATTTGGGGCTGAATGTTCTGAAATTTTCCTGAAAATGTCAGGAGTTCCTGTGTGAAAGAGGCTTCTGTCTCTGACTTTTAGACCATGGTTTGGTAATGAGAAATTGAACTGGCCGTCTGTCTTGTTGATGCTACCTAGTCCCAACCACCACCACTACTCACACAGCTTAACCAAATTTGATTCATCGAGTTTTGAGAGCATGCCAATCATGGATGCCTCCAACTGTGACATGCTTGTGTGAACAGCAAATTCCCAAAGTATTTGGGCCTGAATGTTCTGAAATTTTCCTGAAAATGTCAAGAGTTCCCGTGTGAAAGAGGCTTCTGTCTTTGACTTTTAGACCACGGTTTGGTAATGAAGGACAGAGAAGTACTCACATTCGACTGTAATGTTGAGGGAGCTGCTGGCTCTCCCGTGCTCGTTCTCGGCCAGGCAGCGATACTGTCCGTCTCCCTGGGGTGTGATCTCTACGATATCCAGCACTGACAGCTCGTCCGCTGTGATGGTGCCCACTAGCTCTCCATCCTTCAGCCAGGTGAGGGTTGGGGCCGGGTTGCCCTGGGTGCTACAATGCAGGGCCAGTGAGGTTCCTTCTTGTACAGTGAGAGAGTCATTTACTGTGGGCTCCCGGGGAGGGTCTGCAATAGAAAAAGATGTCTCCATCATTTTGAACATTTGGAACGTACAGTATGAGATTTTATGGTCATTCGGGGTCAGCAGAACCGATTTACAAACAAAATAAAGGGAGGGAGAGTCAGCTCATACACAAGCTGTCTCCCAGAACCATATTGTATAATGCTGTGTTCGAGTTACACCCGAGTTACCAGTGTTTCAGATACCAAGTTGGAAAAAAGCAAAATCGGAAGCGGAAACAAGATGGCTACATCTATGAAAGTTATTTTTGCGCTTGCCTTGTCCGAATATAAGCAACTTCTGGACAAATATGCGGTCCTTCTGCAACATCTTGTTCTGCCTCTGATTTTGCTTTTTTCCGACTTGGTCACCGAAACGCTGGTAACTTGGGTGTGACATCATTCCCAGCTCAGACATCTGACTTCCAAAGTAACTCGAACGCAGCATAAGATCAACAGCAGGTTCAAAAGACTTACACTTTACAGACAGGTACAGTGAGGTGTTCATGATGCCGTAGCCATTGTCCCCGATACAGGTGTAGATTCCTTCCTGTGCAGGCGTCAAATCATCCAGAGAGAGGGAGATGTTGGATGCCGTGTCCCACAGAAGCTCTTGGTCTCCAAACATCCAGGAGATCCTGGGGGGAGGGTTACTGTCTACCTCGCAGTGTAGCATCACAGAGCTTCCCTCCATCACCTCTGAAGACACGTTCACCCACACAGAGCGGGGAGCATCTGGGGAGGAAAATAAGACAGAGAACTTTAAGTCCAAGAACTAATAGTTTGAGTAACATCACTGAGTGACTGCAAGGCTTAGGAGGAAAAATCAGTATTTTTGGGGGGGTGAAAAAACCTGCTCTAAACTCTGTTCCTTGGTTGGAGTCAGTAACTTTTCAGTCAGTGAGCTGCATTGAACTTACACTTGATGTCCAGAGAGATGAGTCTCTCATAGACAAGAGTGGTGTTGGGGTAGTAGACCCTGCAGCCCAGGAGCTGTCCATTGTGCATGGGTCTGGGTGTGAAGGTAAGAGTGTTGGAGAGCACCGCCGTGTTGCCCTCCTCCAGGAAGTCAGAACTGAACTCTGGGTCAGGCAGGTAGTCAGTGTACATCCACTGGATCTCGGGAGTCAAGTCTGGGCAGTTGTCGGGAGCGTAGCATGTCAGCTCCAGGCTCTCGTCGCTGACAATCTCCTCGGGGACATCAATGTTGGGTTGATCTGGTGGACAAGGGTAAGAACAGATTACTTGAATTCTCCAACGAATAGAGACAAGCAACGTGTTGTTTGAGGTCTGAGCTTAATGTCTGAAAAACCCTCCTAAAGGTAAAGATTATAGTGGTGAGTCATAGCCTTGATCCGTTTCCAGGACTAGTTACTAGAGCTGTCACTTTTTATCTATGCATCCTTAACAGTGTAATAATCATAGAAATGCAGCTTTAAAACTCACAGCAGTGGCGCCACATAACTTTCCCAGCACTGTTGTTTGCAGTTTAGCTTTAACCACACTCTTATTGGTGACCTACCGAGAACTTTGAGCTCTGCAAAGTCCGGGAACGTGTACATGTTGGCTCCACCAAGGTCAGCACGAAAGTAGTATCTCCCTGAGTGCTCTGAGCCGATGTTGTTGATGAGCAGAGTGCAGTTCCTCTGAGTCAGGTCACCCAGCAGCTTTGTGCGGCCCTTGTAGCTCTCATGCACAACATCCGTACGTGATTTAAAGACAACAGGAGGGAAGAGTTGGGGGTACGGCTGGCCAAAGTACCAGATACCATGAATGCCTCGGTATGGCCTGATGCCAGAGGGATACATGAAGGTGCACGGTATCACCACGCAAGAGTTTGTCATGGCAGAGATGTCCCGAGGCACCCAAACATTCCACTGGCAGCTGGCATCTTAGAAAAGTTCAGAGACGACAATCAGAGAGATATAACTGCTGGAGATCTCCCATAATGATAACTGAAAGTGTGGCTATTATGTAAATTACAGCGGAAGAATATTTTAAGTAACAAACCAGGAAAAGGAAATGATTACCATTGATGATCAACAGCAGAGGCAGGAGCAGCTCCAAACACCACATGGTCTCTGCTCAACGCTGGAACATAGACCTCTGCAACACATGATTTCCCATCAGTCACAGCACATGCATCATCAGGAGAAAAATAACTTTGAAATATCTTATTTACAGAATTGATGCGGCATGACTCACACGCTGTGTCTATCTCTGAGAGTCCTCAGAATACTGAAATGTGTCTGAGATTTAATAGTTGGATTCTCGGGCTTCTCTCTAAACAGAACACACTTTTCTTTCGCAACTGCCAACGAGCAATTCCAATTTCACATTTTCACTGTGCTCATTTCATCCCCCAGATAAAACAATGCTGCAGCCATGAGTCATACGCACCAGACACATTTATCTGCAAAAACACAGTGATGCTCAGACCGTCTCTCACTGTTACCCCAAACAACTGGTAGAGAAGGAGCAACATCAATAGAAGCGAGAAGAAATGAGTCCAGTGAGAGAGGGAGAAAAAAAAAGCGGAATAGAAGACTTTTGTATGTTGTTTAGTTCAATTCAACCAAATCCAGTTTTGATGTTCTGTCGTATCTGCTCTGACGTGGTCTCAGAGATAGTTCCTAGACAGGAGCCATGAAGGTAAACATCAGCAGTGGTCGTATTGGAAATGCTATCTACCTTTAGTTAAGCTGGATAAGGACAATGGCACGTTTCAGACTAACAGCTTCATTACACCCACCTGCCAGTCAAGTTCAAGATCTTTGAGTTTTGATTGTAAAAATTCACCCACCATAAAGTGTCTTCAAATATTAATGTGAGCTATTCACACCAAAACTGTTTTTAACAAGGCTGTGAACGTGTTTGATCGGGCTGTAAAGATGGACGTTTTAATATTGGTGTGTATGGGACCTACATGTCTTTCGCCAAGCCTCAAGTGGACACTCGAGGAACTACAGGGTTTTTTATTTTTTTTTAACACTTAAGTATGGGCTTCATCGTTCAACACTGATGGTTTCTGCTTGGCATGCACATGCAGGATGTTTTTGCACAGACAGTAACAATTCAAACATAAATACAACTCTGAATTGTCAGAACTATCATTAGCTGCGTTTACATGAGCACAAATAATCGGAATAAATGCCCGATCAGAATAAAAATGCGTCATGTAAACACGTCCATGGTAAGATTCTGATCCAATTCACCTCAATCAGAGAGAAATTGTATTCCAATCGGGAGGGGTGGTTTAGGCCGATCATTATTCTGAAACGTGTCCATGTAAACACTTATTCTGATCGTGACTCTCTAACCTGACTCGATCTTCTCTCTTTAGTCTCTGGTTTATGTACTGAGGTCAGTTCAGGAGGTTTCATTATTAACACTCTGGCATCAAACACAACCACAGGCGCTACTCCTCAGATAACATAACAAGGCGTACATACAGCGTAATGCTGTCACATCTGTATACACAGTGCAACCTTTGACAGAACAGTAAAATAAGTACGCAAGGGCGCCATCTAGTGACAGCATTTAACAGGGAGAAAACGCCTGAATTGGATGAAGTCAGCTACGACCGCGTTTGTTGGTTTGTTGACAGCACAGGCGTCAATACAACTCTTTTTCTAAGGTTGTTTTAGGGAAATCAGACAACTCTGCGCATGTCCAAATGCTTCTAATCTGAATAAAACTTGGTGCATGTCTACGTACGTCATGATCGGATTATTTGATTTTGCACCCAACAGTGGATTCAGATTATCGGATCCCTCAAATTTTAATCAGATCAAGAAATTTCGTCCATGTAAACGTGGCTACTGTAAGGGACAGATTTAATTTCAAAGTAATCCAAGGTAGTCAGGCCAGAAAGAACAGTTAAAATAGTTTTGTTTCTTTAGTGAACTGTAAGGGCCACAACCAGAAGAAGACGGCGGTAAACTTCCTTTTCAGTGCGCGTTTGTCAGCGCTGTGACTTCTAACTGGTTTTACCTTGAAAACTCAGATGGTTAGAAACAGACAGAAGCTCTGCAGCCCGGTCAGCAGCTCCACTAGAGGGTGTTGGCTCACACCCAGACGGCCCGACAGCCTCTTTCTCTGTAACAAGAAAAAAGGTGACATCAGCATCATCGGACAGTGACATCACTCACCGTCTCCTCGCTCACACAGCGGCAGAGTAAGTCACACAAGCTCAGCGTCAGTCAGTCAGCACCTGTTAGCTGCCCCTCTGTAGAGTCTCTCATTATGGTCTCCGTACGTAAGCTCGTCCACTGAATGACACTCAGTGTTGGCTGAACTGTGACACCACGCCAAACTCCAGTCACCACACATCATGTCACCAGTGAAGAACTGACACTAAGTGTTTGCTGTGCAAGAAATACATCAGTTTAACAACACTCAGTGACACCAGCATCTGTGTACAAATGCAACCCAATTTATTCTGAGATGTAGAACATTTGCAGTATTGCACAAGAATTAGAGAATTTGGTGCTATTACAGCAGCTGTGATCTTTATTTGAATTAAAAAATTACTTTGCTTTGAAACATGATAGTCTCTGTCTGTTTTACTGTCAGATGTGTTAGGCTCAGAGGGATGAATGTAGCGTTGTCCAGGTTCAACCCCTCATGTCTTAGAGCCCAAAAATGGCTCTTGGAGAAGCACACTGGACAAACACTTCGTCCACTGTACTCTTAGTTTCATCTTAATCTCCAATGACTTAAAGTTTATCTTCTCTACAAAACTTCTCCTTAAATTTTCTCTGTAACATGTCCCCAAAGGAGGATAGAGCAAGGTTTAAACATGTAGCAGTAAAAATACCAAACATTAAACTGACGTCGCCCCAGCAGCTGGTTGCATCTTCATCAAAATGCAGCTGAAATAGTTTATAATTTAGAGAAAGATGCATGGAGGCAAAGAGGGCGATGGTACGCTTGTTGCAGATGATTGACAAAATTAACTCTGTGTCACTAACTCAGTCTGTTCCAGGAATCACTGCTCATATTCAAGGTGGAAATATGATGATTTTAAATGCCAAACGTTTCACCCAAAACATTTACGTCTTGTTATCACCTGGTCAACGAAGCCCAGACCTAAATTCTTCAGAGTTTGCATTGTAAGTGTTATATAGTATCTATTCTAGCACTTCTTTGTTTGGCTTTCATCATATAAGACAGGTCACTGACGAACATTTATTGTCATAATTTTGTCAACTAAATTAACACTCAAGTTCAACCTAAATATTGGACCATGATGTCCAAACAGACCAGATTTCTGTTGCTTTTCATTGGAGCGTTAAAGTGCTAACTCGACTGCCTTGAAACAGGCTGATGGATGATGATAAAAGCTTTTAAAATTACAACAGTGACCTTGAGTGACGAATTCACCATCTATCATAGATTTAATATCATTTTATTGGCACTCTGCAGGTCTCTGCCTGTGGAAAACGACAGCAGGAGTACCAATCAGAGTGAATATAAACAGTATATATACCTTAAATGAATTGTTGAAATATGTCTTGGGAAATATGATGTCCACACAAGACAGCAAGTAAAATCTCATCCCCTTCCAAGTTACCTCGTCTTTCAAAACAATGTGTCATTACAAGCTGAATTTGAGGAAGACCTAACACCTTCTCACAGCCACGTGTTAGATTCAAGTTCTTACTTATACTTTTATGGAAACTATCTCATCTGATGTCTGAAATCAGAATTTACTTCCAAACTAAACTAAGTTTAAACTCAAGTGTAGCTGGTGCAACCCAGAGCTTCCAGATTGAAGCTTTAACAGGTGATCGAATAATAATAAACTATTAGTCTACCATGTTGAACTCAATTTAATGACATTTTAGGTTACTGTGTGCACACTGTTACTTCACCAAGTAGTAAAAGAGCTTAATTATATGATAGTCTTCAACAAAGCTAAAATCAATGAGGCAACACAGCAGTGCTCATTCAGTCAAAATGATGTTGAAATTGTCTTTTTGCCGTGATGGCCAATCACCCAAGCATACACAACAGCTTAAAGCAGGAGAGAAGCAAAAGCAATAAGAAATTGTAACCTAAAGAACATAAATGAGTGATAAAAATGTATTATTCAATGAATTCACACTGTATTTTTTGCGGTTTTTGTTCCTTTTTTAATATCAAGGCTTATTACAAAAGAGATTAAACTCTATTTCACCCTTTTGAACATGGGACAAGAAAAAAAGTTTTCCAAAAATTCTGTTGTCAAACTTCCTGCTCATTTAAAACGTCCAATGCAAATAGATTACTCATTTAATGTACGTTAAGATGCCCAACGTTGTTTCCCTTTTACCCTCACTTGTATTTGAAGAAAGACGAAGCTGTCCAAGTTCGATAAATGAAATATAAAATGTCACTCTGACGACAGTTATTGGGTTTAGATTTAACACATGCAGTTATATGAGTAGAGGACTTTGCCTCATGTTGCAGCAGCCGGTGTGTGCAGATGGCAGGCCTTAGAGTGGATTGTGTGTTTTAGAGCTCGGTGGTTAACACTTCCCAACTTCCCCCAGGGAATCCATGACCAATTTATAGTCTCATGTATTGGGAAAAATGCAAATAATTCTGTTTATTCTATGTTGCAAAAGAGCTGCAGATTTAGCAGTCCACGCAACATAATAAAAAAGTCACTAATTATAGATATTTGAGGAAGATTGCACGGATTGTGATGGCGAGCTTGAGCTTCTAGCAGTAATCTAGCAGCTTCTAGAGTAATTTTACTGTCAAAGGTGGTAGTTAATTTTTATCAATTGCACATACGACAAGATGACCCCAAATTGTTCTCAGTGACACAGTCAGTGGTGTGAATGGACGTAGTTAATCCTCATTAGTATCCTCCACCATCAGTGTGTAAATTAGAAGAAGTGTGAAAGCCGTTATTAGATTATAATGTCTTATGTGAGGTTTGGAGCCACTAAAGGTCTGCAGAGGTGATCATTATTAAAGAAGCAGCTTTGGGGAACAATTCAATAACTTTTCACACAAGTTATCACGTTAAAATAAAACCAAAAGTATCACTTTGAGGGTTGTAGATAATGGAATTATTATCAGTACAGTCTTTTAAATACTAAAATTAACATTCAACAAAACAGAATATCAGTGAAACTGTTTGATAACACTTTATTTTAAGGTCCTTGTAATAAGAACTGATTAATAACAGTCAATAAGTCACTTATTTTAAAAAGATCACATACATGAATCAGTGTTTATAAGCTGCACAGGAGAACTGTTAGCTGTTAATGAATGCTTTATTAAGGATTTATTAAATTTAATAAAATATTTCTTTCACTTTAGATCCAGTAGCTGCAGACAAGTATTGTAAGACGTTATTAAGTGAGTGATTAAGGATTTATTCATTCTTAAAAGGCATTAATCTTAACCCTCTATAGTCTTATTCAAAATGAATAAGATCTAATTCAGGTTAATAAGCGATTTTTAAACTGTTAAGATTCCAGCAGAATAAAAAACGAAATGATAAACGAGTTCAAGAAGTGTCCTGATGCACATGAAGTAAGTGATGTTGTTGTTTGAACACTGATATCGAGCTTTTATCTGTGATATTTACATAATAGCATTGATTTCAAATAACTTTGGGTGTTATTTTTGCATTTTTATCTCACTTTTAAACATCTTTCATGTGCAGTTTTCTTTCAAGCCCTTGTAGGTTTTTACTAGACCACACACAAAATGCAAGTATCATCATTTCTGAAACACTATTTTTTAGCGTTTTTTTGCAGATTTTTGCACGATTGTACAACCTTTTAAATGTCTTTTGGCCATTCGTAGGTATCCAGCACACCCAAACATCTTTTCATTTCTACTTCTTGTGTTTTTATTTCAATCTGAGTCAGTTGAGCTCGTTAAACTTTAACCGAAAGAACAACTCAATTGAAAAATAAGATGACTCATTTTGAAACCTTTCGGCCCACAATGCCTCACTGTCTGCAGACTTTGATAAGACCAACTTTTTCCCCTAAAGTGGCGTCAAGCTCCACCATCTGCATGCCAACAAAAGGCCGAGAGCGGAGCGAGTGTGTCCAGCCTGAACATCAGCAGCAGCAGCGGGAGAGAAGAGCGTGTAGCACCCAGGCAGGAGCACTGACACCACCGCTAACCCTTTACAACAACAACAACAACGTCCTCATTGATGGAGCAGACAAACGGCTGGTACAGAGCACTCAGCATACGTGTGCACACTTACACACTCATCACACACACACACACACTCGTACACGAACACTTGCCTCATACCAGCCTCAGCACCAGGCTCCTGCTCCTGCTCCCTCTCAGTCCTGACTTTTTCTTCTTCTCCTTCTTGTCCCTCTCAAGTTCTGGCTCTGGATGAATCCTGATTCTATGTGAGATTATAGAAAAGGAAGATAAAGAGAGATGTGAGAAAGAGACAAGGGGAAAAGAGGGAGTCTGTGTGCGCCCTGGTTTACGGGCGTCGTGGGCAGCTCTGAATATGCGTCGAGGCATTTCTGGAGCTGCTCTTTTGGCCCACTCAGAATTCCTTTCCTCTGGTCCATCGACTCCCTGAGCCGTGCTGAGTGTGTCGAGGCCTAAAACTCGGGGCTTTGATCGTACTTCCATCTGAGGTCAAACCAAACACGCTGGCATGAGCTGAGCTATTTCATGCCGGTGATGCTGGAGACACTCGGGCAAACGTTGAGCGTTTAAGGAGGGATGACTCAATATCACTTTGAGTTCGTCTGTGTTAGAGCAACATACGGAGAGTGGGAGGAATATGGAACTTGTGAGATGAATATAGTTATGTAAATGACAGATTTACATTTGTTTGATACAGATTTTGATCTTGTAAATGTTCATTTGTCCACCGGAAAAGAGCTCGGATCAAACAACTGAGCTCAAGAATTTGAATCTGAAGCTCGGATGAATTTGAAGTCCAGATTTGAAGGACTCTCTCGGGCCATGATCATTGATCCTACCAGCTGTATGCAGATCTAATATTTCCCTGCAGAGGAATGTCTGTAGGCGAAGAGGACAAGCATGGATTCACTCAAAGGTCCGTCTAGTTTACATATAAAAGTAACAAAGCCAACTTGTCTATCCAAGTGGTACGTTTCCCCCCCCACACACTCTCATTGTTACATGTAGTGTGAGTCACTGCATCCAAAAGCCTTTAGGCCACCAGCCAAGTGATGGCATCGCCGTGGATAACCTCAAGGGAATCCCTCCGCAGACAGCCTGGAGACCATCTGAAGACAAGAAAGCTGCATTGACTCTCTGGAGACGTGTACGAATGTGGCGTGCCTCAGCCCCCCTACACACACATGCAGCATAAGTCATGCCAACACACTCCTCAGTGTGGGGTGTGCAGCTATGTGACCCTCCTCTGCATCCCCTCTGGGCTGTTTGTAAGCTCGGTGTGCGTCATTGTCCTGCTGGGACTCTTGTCTTTGTTTGTGCGCATTACATGTGAGAACGCAGACAAAGTGAGTGTATAGCTGAACGGGAACATGTCAGGTTATTTTCTGCAGCCTTGAATAACTTAGAAAAAAAAGGTAAATCTGCAAGGAAATTCATTCTGAAAAGGTTAAAAGACTCGCAGATATTTAATCTACACAAACATCCCTGCACCTGTTATTGTTCTGTCGTCTGCTGAAACCCTCTTTTTTCTAATACCAAAGGTAATCAAACTTCACCACAATTGCTTATTCTGCATCACGCTTCAGGGAAACACTCTCTGTCTGAACAATCATCTGTGCTAAATCAGGCCACGACACCTTTTATGAGTCATTTTACATTATTGAAATTGCTCGCACAAACCAAAAGGCTCACACAAACAAGCGACTGTGCCAAGAAGAACATTTTCATTGTGAATATCGTCTGCGGCCGCCCGTGTACAAGAGCTTCGCCGTGGCTCCCGGATAAAAAGAATAGCAACCTTGTGTGCAGAACACTGCCCATTGTGCGAGGGAGAAACTGGAGGAATTTTTCCGGAACAGGCCCGCTCACAGCTTGTGCTTTGCTGTTTGCCTGTGACGCGCGATGGTCCACCACAAGTGAAAAATACTCGGAGGAGCAGATGGTCTTAAAACATGACTGCTCCCCCCCCCTCCCACACATGGCGCGCTGAGCTGGGATGAGCACAGCGCACCGCGTACACACTCATGCACAAGAGATACAAACATAAACACAGAGATGTGCCAATATCCAGTCACACAGTCTGTCCAAGGTTCTGCACAGAGAGCTGGCATGGGGACGGATTCAGACTGGACTCTGAGTTAGTCAAAGGAAATCAGACCATCGCTGCTCACCTCCAAGAGCAGATGCAAGAACGATAATCCAAGGCTCCACCATTTCTATTTTTTTAACCTTTATTTATTGAACTTGATCCTGAAAATCTATGACCTCTGAATATCTGACATACCTTACATTGGCCCATTCGCCTCATGCCAATCTCAATGTTTTCACTCTTTTTATATTTCAACAAACACCCTCAAGGTGAATCGTCGTTTATTACCATTTGACCAAGATCACACCAGCAAGCCTTGGTTAGCAGATTCCTTTTTTCTACCTGGCAAACCCGGTGAATCCCCGGCCCAGTGGGCAGATGGTAGACCACAGGCCCCCTTCACTCATTAGAGCGCTCTCCCTTCCGCTCCCAACAAAAGGGGGCGACAAACAGAGCCGTCACCTGTTCAGCCGCACAGACAGAGAAAGCGTGGCCCCATCCCAACGCCGCCTAAAAACCTCCACTTGACTCGCTGTCCCCAAACGAGAGCGTGATCTTCGGTCTGCCAGCCCACTGGTCTGATTTTGGCGAAAGTTGGATTAGTGACACATCTTCGCAGTGAGGCGAATGAAGCGGGGCGAACCGGAGAGCGACTCGTCTCTGTTATTCTCTGTGGCTTGGAAAGTACCGACAAAACGAATCAGATTTTTGATCCTGAATATCTGACGTGTTTGATATGATCAGAACAGTCGGGATGAATCTGCAAGCTGTTTGGGAGGTTCAACACTGAGTCACATTATCAGACATAAATCAGCCTTAAAGCTTTGAATCTGGGTGCAGCTGTTATAATCGAACCCTGAGAACAGCCTTCAGTTCAAAATCTTGCACAGTATAAGAAAGTAGATGAACTTTTTTGGTGTCTTTTATCCTTTTTCCTTCACTTGTGCTGTACATGCTGATGTGAGAATCTGATAGGAGGAGTAATCCAAACTTAGAAGAAACTATCAGTCCTTTAAAAGTAGAAAAACCAACATTTACTCACTTTTACATCTAAAATCTTGATGCATCTTGACACCAAGCTCCAAAAATGCCCTCATTCTTATGCACGGAGTCAAATCTGACACGTAATACTTGCAGCACACATCCACTGATTCTTTTAAAAAGCATTCGTCTTATTGTCTTAAAAGGAAGATTTGAAGGATAACAAAAGCTGACACCTAATTGTCATCACTGCAACTTTTACTCCAACAATCCACCAAATAGCTTCTGCTTTGACAAATTCCTTTGCACTGCTACCCAAATACTCTAATTCTTATGCGGTGTGTGTTCCCCTTCGAAGTTTTGCAAGAATGCAACCTCTTTTGTTTCAAACTTCTCTCTGTAAATGTGGAGAAACACCGCGGCCTCTGATGGAGGCATTAGAGGAAACATATCCTTCGCTCGTTTGAATAAAGCAGACAAATGTTAAATTACTTGTAAAACTGTTTTGGTTGGCGGTGTAATCAGAGGCTCTTCTACCTGGCGTCAGATGTCTGTTTAGATGCTTTAATACGCTTCGGCAATTACAGCAACGGCTCAGCGCTAATGGCACAGGCAGCCAAATCAGTCCAGTAATAATTGGCTGAGCTTTTAGCAGCCCCCGCTAACGCCGATACACACACACACACACACAGAGGGAATACACACTCAATCACTCCTGTGTGCACGGTTACACATCATTACTAACACGCTCACTCAGGCACGCATTCATTAAGGCGCGCACACACACACACACAACACACACAAATACACACACTTACTCATTACCTAACTGAGTCCAACTTGTGACTCATCCAACTCTCAATCTTTTCACTCGCTCACTCATCACTTCATCTTCGACGCTCACGCAAACAAGAACACACTCATCCAGACTGTGGGTGTTCAACCTTAAGATCAAAAATGACAAAATTAGACTCAAAGATATAAAGATTTCTTCATCCTTTCGTCCGCTTTGATAGTCAAATATCCCTTTTTTTCTCGCTTGAAAAGGTGTCAAATCCCAAAAGTTGCCAAAAGTACAAAATTAAGAGCTCAAGAGCGCTGCTGCTCACCTGTGCAGGTGACCGTGGCCGACCTCCAAGCGTCCAGCAGCTCCCGTACGAGCAGCTCCAGCAGCCTTTTCCCTCTGATACTCACATGCGAAGCGTCACTGCAGCCCGCTGCCAGCAAGACCTCTCGCCACTCTCTGTACCAAGCCCCAACGGTGGAGAATAAACTGCCCTCCCCACCGCTGCCACCATCATCACCACCACCACCATCACCCCTCCCTTATGAAAATGAGCCCTTCAGTGTAGCAGCATTGTTCTGAAGCTTCGCCCCAAGGCTCAGCCATTCATAAATACACACGGGGGCCACAAAGGGCCACACTGTTCCCCCTCATCCCAACAAATATGGGTGAGGCTTTGAGCTGCCAGGCCTTTCTGTTCAATCAGGCTTGTATGGCCATGCTGGAAGGAACTGAGCATATTCGATCATTTTGGATTGATGGAGAACAGATCCACTTTTTTTTTTTGTTTCATTGGGGTCAGTGTGACAGAAGGCAGGAAATGAGTTTGGGAGGGGGGGTGCGGGAGATGAGGAGGGGTTGTGATAATATGAGGGACAGTAGCGAGGATGCTTTAGAGCCTCATGTTGTTTGTTTTCAGTCAATTCACGAAACCCAAAACCATTTTTTCAGAGATCACAGAGGAATGAAAGAACTAAAGCAGCTTTTGCAAATAACAAATTTCATTGATCGCAGATCTGAGTCTCAGGAGATGTGCTCAAACTTTAGAGCAGTGTTATACCAACAGTCTGTGCAGGTGTTTCACAGATCAGATAAGAGATGAGATAGAACTCAGGCTCTGGGCTCGGACTTGAGCTCTGAAATGGGACTCTACATAGCCAAAAGATCCTGCATACAGTGAGCTTGAAGTGAAAGAGCTTTCCACTTTACACGTTCTCAGGTGACGGGGACTCGACTGTGACTCTTTTCTAGTGTCTAAGACTTTAACGAAGGAGCTCAAAGCTTGGACTCTAGAGGTTTTGTGGCTCGACTACAACGTTGGCATGAAGTGTCTTAAGAAAGGTGTGGCTTATTTGCTTTGACCACCATGCAGAAGTCACTTGGTTTCATTATGGTACTGGGATTCAGAGACTAATATCCAAAATTTGATCTTTGCTTCAGTGTGATAATAAAGAAATTAAGTTGATTAATGGAAACAAATTGAAACTGCAGGTCAGCATCGATCAATCGGGTTGATTTGCCAAGTTTGAAAGGCATAAATACACAGCAAAGGGCAGTAAAAATCAGTGTATAATACACACTTGTAGTACCTTTTTTTGTCATGTAAAAAGCAACTTTATCCTGCAAACT